CGTATTGACCGGCCACCTCACGGTGATTGTCTCGAATGACATGGTCGCCTATGACGGAGTGAACCTTGATCTTACCCAGGAACTGCCCACGGGCTTTGAGGATCCGATAAAGCAAGATCGCTACGGAGCAGCCGACGGTGGCGTACAGGCCGTCTTCTATGTGGGAGAAGACGCTCACTACGACGCCTATGAGGAAGATGATGCAGTCCACAGGGGAGACGCTCCAGAAGTGGTAGGCCGTTTTGGGAGGAGTGATGAGGTCTCCCACAGCATGAATAATTACAGCCGCGAGTACTGCACTCGGGATGAAGAAGAAGATGCCGGTGAGGAAGTACGTGGCCAGTAAGACGACGGTGCCGGTAAAAAGACCGGCGGCAGGCGTGCGTACGCCAGCCTTTGACTTGATGGCAGTTCGGCTGAAAGACCCGGTTGACGGATACCCACCCAGGAAAGGTCCGATGATGTTGGTGATTCCGATGGCGACCATTTCTTGAGACGGGTCGATTGAATAATTGTTCACTCGACCGAACGACTTGCCAATAGCAATGTGCTCAACGAGCATGACAATAACCGTTGCGGGTAAATATGACGAGAACCGGCGAACAAGATCAGCGTTGATCATCGGACTGCCGACTTTCCGGAAGCCTATTACTGTGAGCGTCATAAAATCATGGAACTCCGAGTGACTGGCCTTGAGGGACGTTGCCCAAGACCTCGAAAGCTGGGTCTTCCCTTCTCTCCCGATTCACGACAAAGCTGATAAAAGTGTACAGTATGATTACAGAAACGGTCCTCATAGTGTTGATGAAGAAGATAAGATGTCTTCTCTTCGGGAAACGGACAGCGGCCTTGCTCAGCCCATTGCGAACCGAGTAGAGCAAACAAAGTGCTGACAAGCCCATTGCGGCATCAACCTTGGCCTCGGACAGGTGTGCCAAGGTGTTGATGATAACCTCGTAGGGGGGATCGCGGTTGGAGAACCCCTTTACGCCGAGTAAAGCCGGGAGTTGACTTGCCGCGATGGTCACAGCGGATCCGGTCATGAAAGCAGACAGACAGGTGATCGATATCAAATCCACTATCCATCCCCATCGAAGAAGCCCAATAGCTAGTACAATTAGCCCCGAGACGATGGAGAGGGCTGCGGCTATGGTGTGGGCCGGCATGTCGAGTCCAGATGCATGTACTGCGTCGACGACGTTGCCAACGAGTGTCGACAGTACCGCCACAGGGCCGATGGATATGTCTTTGGACGTGCCAAAGAGCCAGTACAGCATAACGCCCACAAAGGACGAGTACAAACCATACTGCGGATCGAGTTTCGCTAGCATGGAGTATGCCATGCCCTGCGGAACGACGACTGCCCCGACTGTAACTCCCGCAATCAGATCAGAGGCGAGCCACTGCAGATTGTAATGACCGACCCAAGACAGGCATGGCAGCAGCGATCGTGCGTAGATGAGTGTCTCGTCAAGAGATGGCACCTGGCCTTTCACCCACTCTGCCGTGGTTGGCGAGCTTTCGAAAAAGAGCTCACTTGCATGCTGTGCAAGCAACGGCTCGTCGCAGACTTCTTCATCGCAATGCGTGCTACGCGGATTTTCGAGCTCGATCCCCAAAGCCCCCGCCAATGCACGTTGCAAGGTGCCAGTGCTGAAAACCATGGTGGCGTCAAGTGAGAAGCCCGATGGAGAGATGAAGGACGAATGTGTGTCGCACTGTCGACGGGAGGACAGGTTCGGGATTCTAGGCCAGCATGCCCTGCGATCATGTCGCGTCTGTCCACATCACGCGTGAAAATGCAGAATGTGCGTCGTGCTGCTTTCAACCACGATACGTATTCGAAGTAACAAACAGAGACGGTGGGGAGTGAGGGCGGGCTGTCTGTCCTCTGATACAGTCGAGGTATGTACCTGGTACTCGTAGACAGGGCATGCACGTAACGAAGCTCGAGACGAATCCCGATTGATGCATGCGTGCAAGCAGCACGCGCCCGTCGATGTGGGATGCAAGGCCCCGACAATAGTAATGGTGAACCAAAGTGACCAGCCAGACACATGAGGATCTTGAGGGCCACTTTCCATTCGCAATGTGGGATTCGTATCGTCGCCCGTGTCTTCTTCACCTTGACTGACATATCTCACCAAGCGCGACTCGCGGTTGAAGGTTTCGTTCTTCCCAGCCACCCCCGCGACATTCACACATTGAATCTAGCATCAACAAAGCACCAGTCTCTCGCTCAGATCTTGCCCTCTTCTGCCTAATTCAGTCTCTTCGCATGTGCTAGCTCTTGAGGACATCATTATGGCCAGTCCGCCTCGAGATCCAATTCCTTCGCTGAAACCGTCGCTTCTCCAGCCAGAGCTTCAACCCCCACCATCACCGCGGACTCATCGCGCCTTGCGACGTCTACAGTCCGCCCATACGTTGGGTGCCAGCAACCGGAACTCGGCTCACATACCCTCGTCGCCCTCTCTCATATCCCAGCAGCGCCAGCAACAGAGTCAGGGCGCGTCGAGTGGCCAGCCTAGCCAGCGCAGTGGCTCGCCGACGCGCAGCACCCGTGGTCGCGCTAACAGCGATGCTACGCCGCCGCTCGTCCACCAAATGAATGCCGTTACGGCTGCGAAACGACCTGGGAGCCGGAAACCCGTATTTTCGCACGGTCACCTGTCTCTCGACAAGATCATACGCGACGGACCGGCCGATGGCGACTATATCGGTGCGCTCGAGAGCGCGCGGTGGAAAGTAGTGGATGAGGGCATCAAGAGCGCGGATGACGGCATGGTCAGTTCGCAGGAATGACAATGGAAAAGAAGGGTATGCTAACTTTGCAGTCTACCGTGAGGATTTACGTATGGCTAGTCCTGCTCAACGCGCCCATCTTGTCCACCGACGACTACCTTGCCCTGATCCATCGAGGGGCCTCGCCTGCTTATTCGAAGATCCGAAACGACACATTCCGCACACTTACGACCGACCCCCTCTTCCGACGGCGTGTGAGCGAAGCAAGTCTGATACGTTTGCTGAATGCGATTGCTTGGACTATGCAGGACGCCCGAGATGAGGACCGCCTGTCTGGCCCCCGCAAAGGAAGGTCGTCAATGGCTAGGGCAAGCTTAGCAAGCAACGCATCCGACAGCTCGCAAGGACGTAAGTTTTTCCTCGCCCATTTTCTGACAGATGCTAAATGAGAAGAAAATGCAGTTGAGCCCGGTGTGTACGTGCAAGGCATGAACGTCCTAGCGGCCCCATTCCTGTATGCAGCGCGCAGCGAGGCCGAAGCCTTTGCGGCTTTCCACACCTTACTTACACGAGAGTGCCCTGGGTATATCCGTGGTGCGATGGATGGCGTGCATCGAGGTCTAGCGCTGGTCGATAAAGTCCTCGCCATCGTCGACCCCAAGCTAGCGATGTACCTGACCGCCAAGGGCCTCTCCGCCGAGATCTATGCTTTTCCATCAGTCCTCACCTTGTGTGCGTGCACGCCACCCTTGCCAGAGGTCTTGCGCTTATGGGACTTTCTTTTTGCGTATGGTCCGCATCTGAATATTGTGTGCATTGTTGCGCAGTTGACCATTATGAGGTCCCAGATTCTAACGTCAGCAAGGTAACTGACCTTTGTTTGGCTTGTAGCGCCATTGACTAACATAATTAGCCCCAACAAGGTCTTGAGGTCCTTCCCTCAGCTCAACGCCGATCTGGTCAAGAGTGTCACAATAGGGATTATCAAGAAGATTCCCGATGATGTCTACAACGAGATTGTCAATCACGCCCTGTGATCAGGAACACTGAAGAACGAACATTGGACCCACTTTGTGCTACATGAAATAACGAATTGGATGTCTGCTATGATGAAGCTTTCATTGGCGTCAGGTACAGGACACGGCTTTATCGCACGCTTGTAATTGGTGTTTTGGTTTAGGTGGGCAGGTGCCCTTGGAAAATGTTATACCGAATTGACACTGTCCCAGATCAGATCATGTCTGCTGCTTGATTTGCCCTCGCTTCTTAATCCACGCGAAGCAGACCGCCGCTTGGTGCAAACTGGGTGACATGAAGAACAAGGACGCCCATGCAACATTCAGTAGCCGATGAGTTGCCCACTGTCACAGATGAGAAGGCCAATATTGATTGAAGCGCTCGGTTAGACAAACACCGAGGTCAGTTCTAGGTCTAGAAATGCAAGAATGTACTATGCAAGGATATCTAATGCATCCCAAGATTGTCGTCCAACAGCGACAGAAACTCATCGCAACGCCAGTCAATGTCGCATGAAACATCGCTTCGCTCTATTTTATGTGTGGTGGCTCGTTCCAGAATTCTTCCTCTCTTCGCTTCCCCTGTGAGACTTTCCCAATACCCGATCCAGGTCCGTTCAATCATCGAATATCGTCAACATGGGTTTCTTCGTCCGCGCCCTCATCGGATGCGTGATGTATTGGTTGGTGGTTACGGCAAACTTAATGCGCTATGCTTGCAACGCGTTGGTGTGCCCGTCGACTCGTCAGCATTTGAGTGTTTGTTGACGTTCGTAGATAGACTGTAGTGGGCATGGCCTCACCCACCAAAGCTATGCACGCCAGGTCCTCGATGCGCCTTTGCGCTGGCGGATGAAAGAGGGGGCGTGGATTGCCGCGATGCATGTCCGTCTCGAGAAGAAAGCATACAGCCTCCGCATGCTGTACGATTCAATCATGCCGCAACTCAAAGCCCTGTCCTGGCGTTGTTGGCTGTGCTGGTGCATCCTCATAGCTCTCGTATGGTACTGCCCAAAACGAGGTCGGCCGTCTCAATTTCAGCTAGCTGAGGAGGATTTTGAGGGAACACTAGATGGTGATATCGACGCTGCGACCAATGATGGCGAACCGAATGGCCGCCAAGGGGGGGAACCTGGCGGGCATCGAGAAGCTTGAGAATGACATGACGTGGACTAGGTCGCCAATCTCCGTGAGCTTCTGCACAGGGTAGCACAGCATTTGTACTCCACTGGGGTATTTTCAGTAGGCAGGACAGCCGCCTTCGGCGCGATCGAAGGCGCTGGCAAAGAATTGCTGCATGGCGGTGTAATGGAAAAGAATGCCACCGAGGACCGCAGCATGCCACAGATTGTGACTGCCCCCAAAATAATCAAAACAGCCCGGGCACCATCTCTCTGGGATCTTGCTCGCGTAGACAACAGCGCCGGCCAGATAGACAAACAGTGATTTGAAAATAGGGGAGTAGAAGTCGTAGACAAACTCCACACTGTGCGTCCATGACAGTTGTAGCATGGGCATGAACCCTGTCAAAGCCAGGCCAACGAAGAAGGCAACTCGAGCCCAAGCCATGTCCGGCCCGTTAAACTTTGGGTGCCACGGCATAATGACACCTCCGAGGCCAAGAAAGGCGGACAAGCTCATGTAGATCCAGCGGCTGAGGGGATCGCAGTAGAATGCAGTGTACTCGCTGGTCATGATGGAAGCTGCGATGAGGAGTGAGATGCCCGTGTAGTCGACACAGGCGAACAGGGAGACGGCTTCCAGATCAGCGACAGCATTCATCGTATGCCAGATTGTTGAGCACACGAGTGTTACACACGCCATGACGAAGAAGACAGCCGCGACGAAGACGTCACTCTTGGTGCTCAGAGAGAAGTTGGGACTGCTCGGGTAGAAATACAAGGCCACGGCAAGGACCAAGATAAGGCCCAGAGCATGAGACCAGATGTTGAACGACTCGTTGGAAGGTCGGAAAGCCGAATGGACACACCCGACTTTGGTCGCGCTAAACCGGTAGCCCTTTCGAATATGCGGGTTGTTCCTCCACGGCGTAGGCAGATCCTCGTACATGATAAGGCCGGTCTCCTGGGCCTTGAGGATGGTCATCTGGATGTGCTCTTCCAGAGAGTACGCTGCGTCGCGCGCGCGTTCAAGGCCTTCGTGGACCACCTCGCGCGCCCTCTCAATACTCTCGTTTGCCACGCGTCGTCCTTCTCCCACGAAGGCGCCTGCTGCTGTGGCGGCATTAGCGAGCCCTCGCTCTCGAAGCTTGTACGCCCTGTTTTCGAAATCCGTGAGCATAGTCTCGAGAAGATCGATGCCCAAGTGTGCCTTTTCGTGGAACGACTCGGCAGCTTCTAGCGTCTCTTGGTATCTCGTTTCCAAGGTCTCTACCATGACCTGCAGTCGTCGTCGCCCCTCGCCAATGACTTCCTCGGAGGCGTGGGAGCACCTTGTGCGGACAGCTTGCAACGTTGCAAAAGCCCGTGCAATACTCGAGTCTTTGCTGAAGTCGCTGTGTGCGTAGCTTTCGATGAGATCCAGTCGACGCTCCAACTCGGAGAGAAAGAGGTCGACCTTGAGGAGTAGCCCCTCCTCGCCTTCCATGATGTGACCTATTATGGACTTGCGCCTCGGAAGGAAGAATGAGTGCCGTCGGAGTTGCGTTGGCCCGCTGCTACCAGGACGGCGTAAGTCGGTGCCAGAAGAGGCGGCTGTTGTGTCGTTCTGCGCTTCATAGGCGCAGGCCGAGGTGAGCGCAGTCGTAACGTCGCCCATATTGTCGGCGGGGTTTCAGCATGGACGCACTTGTGCACGGAGGGTCAGCGTGACTTTGCCGGGGCGATGAGCGAGAGAGGAAAAAAGAATCCGAGGATAGTGGCCAGACGTTGGGTCGCTAAGCAGCACGCGGGGTGGTGGAGGCGTCAATTGGTTGAGTTGGGATGGTAATCAGCGAAAATAGCTGCATGAGACCCAATTCCGGTTCTTGGCGGAAATGCACGGGGGCGAATTCACAAGCACAATAGAGAGTGACCAATAAGGCAGGTAAGTGGCGCGCGGTGTACGGTTATAGGAATAGGATGTTAGGGACGAGAAAGGTGAGTAGGATGAGTTGTGAATCGGGATCATGATCAGGTCACTCGGGTTGTTGTGGCGGGGAAGCGGATCGGGCGCCCAGCTGATGCCAAGCGCGAGGCAGCGAGGGACTTGTTGTTGCCCAGGGCTCAACTGCCCATTCAAGTGTCAAACCAATCTTGCTCAAAAAACCGGACCAATAGAACAACAAGATTCCATGTGATGGGTCGCTTTGGAAGGTCCAAGTGGGCTTCAACTCTCAACATTAACGCATTTAGTTTCCCTTTGCGGTAGACGTCCGCTAGCTCAATGCGAGCGCTTGATGCATTGCGAAGATGCTGGCCAGGTACTGGAAGGACACAGTATTGGAAAGTAATCGGATCTAGGGAGGAGAGAGGAGTCCTTGTGCTAACGATTAAAACCTGGTCAGACAATGGGAAGCTGACTACCTTATGTATAATTAAGTGCGCGAAGTTCATGAAAGCCGAACCTTGGCATCGGTTTTAGACTGTGGAGAGAGTTGTCGTCGTCATCGTTCAAATCTGGCAGTAAGTAAGTAGTGCACGTGATGTCTCTGCCTTGTCGAAAAGCTCATCTTGCTCTTGCCACATCATGACCGGTATCAATCCGCTTGGGGCATCAGCTGACGTGAGGCCGCATTCCCGTCCTAAGCTGACACGCGCAAATAGCTATGCCCGATAAGGCCACCACAGCAGTGACTCGGAATTCGCATCATGTCGCCGCTTCAATGCCGATGGATCAACACTGATGTGACAACGACCAACGTCTGGCTATCGCCACAATGGCCGGGACATACTAGCCAGATATCATACCAATAGACAAATGATGCCTTTGATACAGTTTCGACGCAAAACGGAAACTCAAAGCTTCTGATCCGTACCACCAAAGTCCACCATTTGCGCGGCTGCGAACCCCAGCGAGGCTGCGGCCTATCCGCCTTCCAAGACTGCATTCCTACTTCTCGACTCTCACAATCTTCTCGTTCCTCGTGTTCGGGAAGAAGAGACCAGAAGCAAACTGATCTCATCGGCCAAAGCCTTGTCGAAAGCAGCAAGAGACAACGGCGTGCCGATCATCCACGGACTTATTGGCTTCAAGAGCCTGCCCGCAGAGACGAGCAAGCTCCGCGCCAGATTGGAGGAAGGCATGCAGTCAATGGTCGAACAAGAGCCGCAGCTCGCCGAGGAGTTCGGTGAGTTTGCCCAAGGAGGCGATTCCGACAATGGAATAACAGTCCACCGAACTGGAGCTGTTTCTGCTCTAAGGTCAGAAGGCATTCACTAGGTTTTCAAGAGTGAAGGTGTGCAGAGCCTGATCATCGGTGGGATTTCGACGACGGGCACTGTCCTGAGCACAACAAGGGAAGCAGACTGACTCGGGTTTGTTGTTACGGTTGTGAGAGACGCATGCTGTGATCCAATCGAGGAGAGCCACCGTGTTCTGCTGGATCACGTCCCTCCGGTGACGGGTTGGGTCGCTGGCCTTGATGAGGCCATGAAGCTTCTCGCTGGCTCGTGAGACTCTTCAAAGTTGGACCATGTGAGCTGGGGTTTAGCTCAATGACCTACATTCGCCATATGTACGCGCTCAACACCATCGATGAACGAGACCCCTGATTTGTGAGTCAAAACTCCTCGTCCGCTATGATGGAATCTTTCAGTAACTTGTGTACGCCATATTGTTCAGCTAATAAGAATAAAAATACAAATTTATCAACGGTGCACGATGACAGAGGTGTTTGCTTGAATGCTTGGCCTCTCGAGGCTGCCCCGCTCCGTTCTTGGGTCCGCCCATGTTTCGAATGGTTGCCCCAACCCTCGTTTGCAGGATCATGGATCGCCTAGATGCTACCCAACACAGCCAAGTCGGTGCATTACATGCAAGGATCCGATGGCCGAGAAGAAAATTAACCAGACTCAACACTAGGTTGAGTTTCGGTACCGAATCGGCACATGCGCCAGGTCTCCATCCAACCGGAGTTCAAGTCAACAACCGGCCATACAACATGAACGAGGCGAGAGCCAGCTTGACTGGAATAATTTGCGATAATACATATATAGAGCTTTCACTTCTGTTCGGGAGAATGAAGACCACATGAGCAGGTACATGAGTTGATAGCGACATCACGACAGTCCATGGCTGACCAAGTCCGGAGCAACGACACCGGCGACGAGCGATATGCTGAACATGATAATAAGAATACTCCCGAACCAGGAGAAATGACGCAGCATGCACCAGGAGATACGAATACTCTTCACTCCATCTTCTGTTCTCGGACCAAGACCTTTGTCATTTTGATGACAGCCGTTAGCACCCTCTTCTCCCCATTTTCAGCCTTCATTTACCTGCCCGCCATCACGCCCGTCGTCCAAGACTATCATCGGTCTGTCACACATATCAACCTCACGGTCACCTTTACACCAGATTATGCAAGCGATCGCGCCTCTCTTCTTCGGAGACCTGAGTGATCAGATTGGAAGGCGACCGGTGTACATGATGACCTTCTCGATTTACATCGGTGCAAATGTGGGCCTGGCGCTGCAGAATAACTATGCAGCCCTGATGGTACTGGGAGCCATGCAAAGTACGGGCAGCAGTGCTACCGTGGCCATTGGAAGCGCAGTAATCGGTGACCTGACGACAAGTGCTGATCGTGGACGGTACATGGCAGCTGTGCAAGCCAGCGTACAGTTTGCTCCAGCTCTGGCGCCGGTCATCGGTGGGCTGCTCTCGCAATATCTCAGATGGAGATCCACGTTCGGGTTCCTCGTCATTCTCACAGGCTTGTTCCTGTTGGTCTGTGTCCCTTTCGTGCCGGGGGTTAGGTGCTCCATCCCTGTTCATTGCCCAATACGCTGAACTGACCATCGTCAGACAGCGAGGAAAGTAGTCGGCAACGGCTCCGTACCTCCACCAAGAATGAGCAACTCGCTCATCTCAGCTCGCTTACACCGTAAACGGGCTGCATCAAACACCAACCCAGAATCAAGCCCTCGGCAGCAGACAGCCGGCCCTGCGAAGCTTCCTCGCAAAATCCCCATCCCCAACATCTGGGCCGCGGTTCGCATCGTCTTCGAGAAAGACGTGGGACCACTCATGATCTTCATGTCTCTCTTCGTGATGGCGAATTATGCCATGATTTTCCCTTTGCAGGACGACGTGCGCCGTCGGTACGACTTCAACGATGTCCAAGTCGGACTATGCTTCATTCCGTTCGCCATAGGATCGGTACTCGGCACCCTCGTGATGGGCAGGGTTCTCAGCTGGCATTACAATCGCGTGGCAAAGAGAATTGGGGTGTCGCCTGATCGACGAAAAGGCGACGACGTAAGGAACTTTCCGATTGAGAAGGCTAGGTTGGACATCATATGGCCCTGTCTTGCCCTCATCCTGGCCGCGATCGCGTCTTGGGGTTGGGTTATTGATGCAGGCACGATTCTTGCTGCGCCTCTCGTAGTCTTGTTCTTCGCAGGGTTTGGGCTTGCGGGGCTGATTACTATCCTGTTAACGCTGATGATTGACCTGTATCCGATGAACCCTGGGCGCGTGTCCTCGTGCTTCAACTTGACGAGAGCCTCATACTCTGCCGTCAGCACAGCCGTGGTGCTATACATGATTGACGCGTGGGGCTATGACTGGACATATGTTTCCATGGCATCGATTGTTCTGGCCGCCAGCCCTGTCATTTGGATGGTGAGGACGCGAGGACCGAAATGGCGTGAGGAGAGGTATCAGAGGTTCCAAAGCAGGCAGCAGGAGTGAAAGACCGTGACAACACGGAAGGTTAGTCAGCCAATATAGTCGCGCAAATTAAAAGTGACAGTGAAGAGTCTGGGAACGAAAACCCGCATGTGAAGTATGACGAGGTAGTAATAAAGAGGTTGACTCAAACCTGACATGAACCGTGAGCCTGTGACCACTGACCATTGCCGTTCCCGCACGTAATGAGAAGCGGGAGCTAGCGCAACATTGCTGCAGCCTGCACCAAAATAGATTCGACCTCATTGAACACTCAGAACTTCCACAACTATCTATCATCAACATTTCCAAGCCGCCACAATGAACGTTGATAATCTCATAACGGACCAGAGATTGCATTCCATTCTGCAAACCTCGCACCAGGCTTGCGATCAGGCGCACGCGCTTGTCGACCTCATCGATCAAAACACTTCGGATACGCTCTCCGCGACGCAAAAGGCCGAGATATCAAAACAACAATCACTGCTCCTCGCCACGGTCGCACAGCTGAGGGGCCTCAATCGACATGCGAACCTGGCAGCGAGGGATACCAAAGCTGTGACGCTCGAGGCGCGCCAGACAGTGGATAAGCTGCACCTTCAGCTGCAGAACCTGTATTACGAGCAAAATCACCTACAAGATGAGATTGCCGCGTGCGAAAGCTACGAGTATGCTGGCTCCAGACGCTCTTGTGGTTCGCGGACTATCTAACCAGGATCATAGTCACAAGTACCGCCAGCTACCGCTGATGCCGGTGGACGAATTCCTCGCACAATATCCCGACCAGGCCACAGACGACGAAAATGCTCTGCTCTTTGCGCGAATAGACCACGAACGTGTCGAAAGAGAGACGCTTGAGAACCAGCGCCAAGAGCTGCTCAAGAGGAAGCAGAAACTCATTGCGGACAATAAGCGGCGGAAGGAGGACCTGGCCAACCTAGACAACGATCTAGAGAAGTTCATTGACGTAGGTACAAGCCCGCCCGCTGGTCTTTAGGGTACTAACGAGGCACCTAGGCCGCGAAACCGATCCAGAAGCTGTTCGAGAAGGAGGCCTGAAGCACGAGAGAGAGACAGAAGATTGTGTTAACGTGGTCGTGACTGGAAGCCAACGACTTCGTGTCACTATCGACACCTACATCAGGGCGATATCACTCGTCATTTGGAAACTCGCGTTGATGTGCTTCGTCCAGGACCATATTATGGCACAGAGCACGCGCTCGGCAGACGACGGCTGAATGGTTACAGCTCGGCTGCTCATGTGGTGCTCTTGGCCGTGAGCTGGCGCTCAAAACGGGAAACCAGCAATGTATTTAACGGCGTTTAGGATGATACCCTGTACATTCTTACAAGCACGTCCCAAAGCCGACATCGTCGCTTTGCAGGACTATCACAAACGGCTCTGCTCATCACCAACGAGGCCGCCGATGGCAACATTGAAGGTTAAAACTGCCATGTTCGGACACTCGCATACCGCTCGCTTCTGGTTACGAAGATGCTTCTCACAATCAAAAAGTACACGCCCCTCTGCAACGGTGAGGGACCCGGAACTCTGGACAATTTTTCCTCCACAGCATCCATTGTGTCACTGTCCGGCGTCTCACGCATTCTGCTATCACGGTACTCGTCTTGAACACGAAATTAGGGCTAGTTTCTGAATGGCAGTGACGGTTTGGTTAAACTCTTTCATCGCTGTCGTAGCAGGTCCGGGAAATGGTCCAGCCCCAGCACCGACCGTGCTAGTTGTCTCCTGTGCAGTGAACACTGTAGTAGGATGGTAAAAATTCCATGATTTCCAGGATAGATGATCTGGGTTCCCTGGACCAGTGGATGTAGATCTTGTGGGACTTGAGGTGAAGGTCATGAGAGACCTGCCCTAGACAGTGGGGGGTTGCGAACATGGTTATGCCCATAACGATGTTCGCTTGAGTTGTCAAAAGTAACAAAGTTACAATAATACATTTTCTATTTCATTGAACAAATGATTGGTTCACGTACCTATATAAACATCATATATCCGTACGCTGAGTATGATCTTAATAACGACATAGGCCATATTATTGCAGCTTCGCTTTATGCCACTTTCAATCCCAGTCCCAATCGCAAGTACAACTGTACAAGTACTGCGGGTTCTGTCACGAAATTCATTTCCCGGAACGGGCCAGGGAGCCAATGAGAGTACATTTCACGATTGCAATTACAGCAGCAGGGGCCAATCGGCAACTCTCCCAGGAGCTGAGCTGGTATTAATACTGTGCAAATTTGACAGAGCATGCTTTTCATGAGACAAGAACCCAATGCGGCTCCAGCTCGAGGCATTTTGTCGCTACGGGACTGTTATAATTACGTAGTGGGCATCCAGATACCGGTACGTACATGCACAGTAAGGTCGTACAGATCTCCCGCATCATCAGTTGTGCAGTTTCTTAGACGTGCATAATAAACCCAGTGTCGCATTGACATTTGTTATACCGGCCGCCCTCAAGGAGATGGACACCACGGGGCAGACCGTCGGCTTGATGGACACGTCAGCTGCGAAAAGGTTTAGCTACAGACTCGGTACGTTCAATTACTTACGTACCCTTATTAGCGGCATCCTACTTCGAAGAATACTCAGTCTGAACGTGGCAGCGAACCCTGCGTTCTAGGAGCACACCAACCCCGTGTGAGGCGTCGTCATCGCATGAGAGAACATAGAAACGGCCAACTGCGAGATCGCGGAACACTGATAGAGGCAGAGAGATTTACTAGTGTGTGCTCCCAAGCCTCCCATCACGATGACTTGGATGAGCCGATGAGGGATGCATCATGCGGCTGGCTCCGCGCGTGATCCAAGTTGCCAACAAGTGCACCAGTAACTACTCACCAACAAGGCAATCTCGGATTCTCGTTTATTATACTCGCTACGGTCGGAGGCCTACACGACTGGGACCAAGAAACTCATTAGCTCCGCATATTCGTACAGGTGCTATACCCACAGCCTGCTGCATGTCTAGTGTGACCCTGTGCGAACGAACCTTGTCAAAATGTCAACAAACCTGCTGTGTTCTCTTCAATGCAGGACGGAGATTTCAGGAGGGCCCGTCCCCGTCCAAACATCCAACGCGTTCACGAAGAATTTCTGGCCGTGGGAAGGCCTTTTTGTCTCTATTCCACAGTGCACTTGCGAGGCGTGAAGGTCCGACATCGCCGCATTTATGTACATCTTCCGCACCGAGAATACAAAGCACTTCTCACTGCAACTGTTTGAACGACTGGTGACAGCGGACTACAATAACGTTTGTAAAATGCAGCGCCAGGCTCAGCCTCCAGTGAGTGCAGTGCAGTAAAACACAGATTCGCACAGGGTCGATTGATTCAGATGGCCCCGCGCCAGCGACTAGATCATGCCCCTAGTGCGCATGACAAGCTTTAATCAATGAAGGCGTCGCCTTGTTTTGAAGTAGCTAGGCTGAGGTGAGGGTGGGTTGAGTGGTGCTTGGCCTGTGCTGTGACTGACGGACGGTTGAAGGCCAGCCTCGTCGGGTCCAGATGTTCTTGCCGCCCACATGCCCGCGCTCATCGCACGCTCCCACGCACACACCGGGCCCTGAGGCCCTGACATGACGCGGCACGGAAAAGGCAACTAGGTTTTCTTCCTACGGCGAAATGGAGCAGTGCGTAACCTCCGTTCTTGATATGGGCTGTAAGGCATCAGTATCACTACCGGTACGGATACATGGGAGGAAGCGATTCCGTCGCGATGTGCAGTGCCAAGCGCTTAGCGGTGTCTCCAGTCGCCAGTCTCTTGTTGTCGTCTTCCCTGCACATGGTTGCTCCTGGTGAATCTAAGCTAGCCCGAATACAGCAACCACATGGTGCCCATCTGACCAGTGTGCGCTCATGTCTTATTACCACAGCCCCGGCGCGCGTCACCGTGCTTGAGTCCTGCAGCGTGCTTCGTCGGTTAGAAAGCTCTAGGTCAATGAGCTAGCAACAACATTGCTGGACCTAACGGGCAGATGCACCTGTGATTCTTGTCATTTTCAACTACCCGACGGCAAAACGCACATGGCTTGAGGCCAGCCAGCTCCAGACCCCACGGCTGGCTGTGCCAGTGGTCGTATAGTACTGAAAGGCGCCCAACCCAAATTTCGGTCCCTCATTAACCCCCGGTCAGGGATTATCCATAGGTGGGCTTGGCACTGTGGAGTACGCTACCCCCAAGGGCCAAGGCTGTACCAATTGCCCTGTCCCTCCCGTCAACTTCTCGCTCGTGGTCCAGTCGTGGTTCTGATCCCTGGCCGCGCTGAACCTACAGCCTCTGTCCGTCCGTTCCCTTTTACCGCCTACCTTCCTTCCTTCCTCCTCCTCCAGGCTTCCTTTCCTCTTTCCTCCTCCCCACGCCCTCTCCCACCTCCTCGTCTCGCCCTCCCTCGAACAATAACGAGGTTCCTCTCGGCTTGCTCCGAACGCGTCTCTCCTTAAACCCTCGGCCCCTAAAGCGCGCGACATATTTCGCCCTCGACGTATCACTGTCGCAGATCAGATCTGTTCGCAACTAGACCTAGGACGCGCGGATTTCCTACTCGAAACCAAATACACTTAATCGACACGGCATAGTCCAGCAATCAGGTTACGAGCCGCAAGAATGAGTCTTCTCGCGTGGTGTTCGAGACGGGTGGGAGGCCTGAGCATGATTGCGATCATTGCTCTGAGCTACTGGGTTATCACGTCCGAGTCGGTGATCGAACGACATGGCTACACGTTCGAGCACCCCGAGAGCAAGACCGCTGGCTACACAACGCCCACGACAACGACGGGTGCGGGCATCTGGACAAGGATCTTCGTGTACTACTGCGTTCTGGTCCACTTGGCCATCGCTACTTTTCCCTTGCGCGCGTGCTGGGCGGTCTGGGACATCACACAAACCCTGAGTCGCACTACGCGCAACTCTCTCAGGAGCCTCAAGAGCCGCCCCGCGCACCGTCGCGGATCATATGCCTCGGTTTCGAGCTCGGAAACGCTAATCTCGTCCGAGCCGCAGACGGCCGCTCCTTCGACTGCGACCAGCAGCGAAGCCGGGGATTTTGAGCCAGAGATGTACACCGACGAGGGCGACCTTCCAAAGGGGGCTTCTGTGACACATGCCATCATCATCCCCAATTACAAGGAAGAGCTCGACACGCTTAAGGAGACTCTCGAGGTATTGGCGTCTCACCCCCAGGCTCAGAGTTGCTACGATGTAAGTTCACGCCTCCCTTATCAATTGTAATTTACGAGTTCCACCCACGTGCTGCGAGCGCGGGGCGCTCTCGAACCAGCCATTGCGAGCCAAATTGAGTCTTGCTAGTCAGGTCCAAAATGAAACTAACAGAGCCCCACCAGGTCTACCTTGGCATGGAGCAGCGCGAGCAGAATGGCGAGGCGAAGGCACTCGGTTTGGTGCAGAATTTCGCGAAAAAGTTCCGCTCAATCGATTACGTTGTCCACCCAAGCGACATTCCTGGTGAGGCCGCTGGCAAGGGCAGCAACATTGGCTGGGCCGCACGCAAGCTGAGCGCAAAGTATGGCGAGAACCGCAAGAATGTGATTGTGACGGGAATCGACGCCGACAGTCATCTCGCCTCCAGCTATTTTGCGCAACTCACGGATATGCACCTCAACCACCCTGACACCGCATCGACTACCCTCTACGCCGCTCCCATCATCTTCGATCGCAATGCACACAGCGTTCCCGCCATTGTCCGTATTGCTGACATTCTGTGGAGCGCTGGAGGCATGTCGGGTCTCTACCGCGGCTCTGCCATCGCGCCACCCACGTCGGTTTACTCGCTGTCGCTCGAATTGATCGATCGCGTTGGCGGCTGGGATACCGACGCAGAGGCCATTGGCGAGGATCTTCATATGTACGTCAAGTGCTTCTTTGCGCTCAACGGCAACATCACCAACCGCACAATCTTGAGCCCTGTCAGTCAGAGCAATGTGGCCGGCGGTGGCAAAGGCGGCATCCGTGGTCTCTATGTCGACATGCAGGCGCGTTACAAGCAGGCTCTCCGCCACATGTGGGGTGCCCTTGATAGTGGCTTCGCCCTCCGCAAGACGGTTGAGATGTGGCAGAACCGAAAGCAGACGACACGGGCTTTCCGGCCCCTGCACCAATCTGCTGGCGGCAACTTCGACACATATTTCCCTGAGAGCCAGCTTGGCCCCCAGACGCCCAACTCACCACGCGAGAGCGGCATCTTCTCCGATGTGACACAGGAGGACATGCCCGAACCGCACCTGGAGAACCTCTTCTACATGGCTCATCGTCTGTTCGAGGCTCATATTATGCCTGTCCACATGACTGTTCTCGTCCTGGCGAGCACCATCTTCTTGTGGGCCACTGAAGGAAAGGAAGAGCTTGCCAGCCTACGCTGGGTCATTGGATGGTGTGGGCCCATCCGTGCCGTGGGCTTCATTGCCGTGGCCTGCTACATCCTCATGTACGAGCGCTACCACACCATCTGCGTGACCACACGTGAAAAGGAAATGAGGGAAGCCGGCTTGTCCGAGGGCATGTGCTTCTCATACCGCTCGTTCAAGTCCAACTGGACCGACTACGCCATGATTCCCCTGGTCGCGCCCCTGTACGGCTCGATTCCTTGTATACAAGCGGAGATCACCCATTTCTGGACGATAGACCTGGTGTACACGGTCAGCAAGAAGGTCACGCGGCAGCGTGCGCGGTCCATCCACGACGCAGCGGCCGCCATGGCGTAATGCAGCATGGTCCGACAACTTATCCGGGTTGGGCCCGCGTTTTGCATTTCCGAGAAGAACGGCGTTTGACCAGATCTTTGGTCCATTGAAGCATGATACATGTCTGTATATAGATCGACTGCCTTTGATTTCTTGTTCATATGCTTTGGCTTGGCATGGCATCGGCATTGGCATAATACTTTTAAAGCGGGGGTTTGGCAGCAAAGACCGGAGTTTAGGGGAACACATCAGGTACGATGTGTCTATGACTGGTCATCACATTCGCTTTGACAACGGGACGGTACGGCACGATGAACGACAGCAGGCAAGAGGGCAACGGGGGTGGATTTGGGCTTTTGAGCCGACGAACAGACTCCTCCGAACGAAAGGGGACGAAGCCAGCCGCCGGAGCAAATGCGCGCCGAGGCATAATGAAGTGGGCGGTAGCCGATATGAAGAGCCAGCATCTGGGATGGTCTCAGGCTGGCGGCATACCTAATGATTGCTCCGTAATCCTAATACGATAGAACGCCCGGGCAGTTGACTGCTCAAGGCTCGCTTGAACATAAATTTCCATCATGCTCTGTGACTCTGTTGGTACAATCTATGTGTGTCTAGTCTGTAGTACGACGGTGGTTGACATTCACCTTTTTCATTGTTTGGCGCTGGCGATAAGTTTGGTGTGCCGGATGCAAGAGTGTATGAATTGATACAATGCAGGGCCCACGTTCGTCGGCATGATTGTTGCCCGCCGCATCATCAGTCGCCGAACCCGTCCGGATACAACACGAGGTGTCCGAGCGTGACTCCCAGTATTGGCTACTGGTATATAATGAGACACAACGACGGCTTTATTGGAAGGAGCACAATTCCCCTTGCTCAGTAAAATCACCTCCAAGCTTACAAGTCCAACACCATGTCTGCTTCTATCCACATCGGCGTCTTCATCCCCAATGAGGCCCAGTTCCTCGACGCGGCCACTGTCGATGTCCTGGGAACCATGTCGAAGGAGTATCTGGAACCGCACCCCTTCCCCCAACAGATCATCGACATGGCGCCCAAGACGACCATCTCGTACATCACGTCGCCGCGAAACGGCAAGGACATCCCGATGACTTCAGGCAGCACGCTCAAGGCCACGCATCACTATGGTGACGCCGACGTTGCGCCTGGCAAGTTGAACGTCATTGTGGTTCCGGGCCCGCAGCCACATGGAAGATTCGAGAAGGAGGGCTTGCAGTGGCTCCATGACCACAGTCAGGTCGAGGGCGTGGACATTTTGAGCGTGTGCACCGGTGTCCTTATCTGCGGTGAGGCGGGCATCTTGGACGGCAAGACGGTCAGTGGGCCCAAGATGATGCAGGAGGAGTTGCAGAAGAAGTATCCTACTGCCAAGTTCACCGGCGCAAATCAGAGATGGGCTAGAGATGGCAATCTGTGGTCCAGTGGTGAGTTTTCCTGTCATTCACGTGAAGACAGACGCGCTGACGAATGACTAGGTGGTGTGACCAACGGCAACGATCTGATGGCAGCGTTTGCGAGGGAATCGGGCAGATGGCCTCGACCAGTTGCCGAGTTTGGTCTAGTGATAACAGACGTCGGCGACAGGAAGCAGTTCTACAACGAGTCGTAAGTTCACTCGTTGATGGAAGATATCGTGGAAGAGCCAGTGTCAGTCAGCATGAGTGACTTTGAGTGGGGCGCGGCCGTTGCTGAGACAGTCATCGATTAGAGTCTTATCGCACGTCTTGATTCGCTACAGGCTCACCGCTGTGGGGCTTCCAAAAATTTCTAGAGAAGTTAGCCTGAGGGCGTCAGTTTGCACGAACTGCGTCCTGAACTTTTGCATCCGCCTTTTCTCTCTCTACTACACATTCCTCTGTGCCACAAGTGATTGATCCTTTCCGCACACTCAAGATCGCCAATCCAATACTCTCTCTCTTTCTTGTGTCATTTTAGATCAATCTTCTTCCACGCCTTTCACAATCATGTCTGCCGTTCCCGGTCCTGTGTACGGGCTCGAGATCCCGCCTGGCGAGATCTTGATCCCCGCTGGCACTGACTTCCCTGCCTCTGTAAGTCATCCTCTGCGATTCATCACGCGCGCGCGCAGTCAACATGTGCTCTGCGATGATGCGCGCCCGTTTTCCACTTTCCGCGACTAACAATGGCGCCTGCAGTTCCGCATCACCATGGCTGCTGTCGACCCTACCCAGGAGCCTGAGGCGGACGAGAGTGGCAACATCCCCAGCGTCCCTCGCTCTACCCTTCGCATTGTCAAGCGCACCTTCCCGGGCCTCGACGATGAGGAGGATGAGGAGCTGGACGAGGAGGCCCTGCGCGCCTTGATTGGCGAGAACAGCGATGATGAAGACTCTGATGACGAGCCCAACGGCGGCCCCAGCGACCCCGCCAAGAGCAAGAAGCAGAAGCAGTCTGCCGCCATTAAGGCGCTCCTCGCTGCTACCAACAGCGACGATGATGAGGCGATGGATGATGCCAAGCCCAACGGCGCCTCCAAGTCCTCCAAGGCCAAGGGCAAGGCCCCCGCCAGCGACGACGAAGAGGATGAGGACGACGATGAGGACGACGACAGTGAGGATGGCGGTGACATGGAGGACTTTGTTGTCTGCACTCTCGACACCGAGCGCGTAAGAGGATTGGCCTTTCCGTTACGTATCACTCGCTGATGCTAACTTGACTACAGCACTACCAGCAGCCCCTCGACATTACTGTCTCTCACAGCGAGCAGGTCTTCTTTGTCGTTTCCGGTACCCACTCTATCCACCTGACCGGCAACTATATCATGGCCGATGAGGATGAGGACGACGAGGATGACGAGGACGAGTACGACCTCTCCCCTGATGAGCTCGACTACACCATGGGCGAGGACATGGATGAGGACGAGAGTGACGAGCTCGACGACGTTGACAACCCTCGCGTCACCGAGGTTGACTCCGAGGAGGAGGCCCCCAAGCTGGTCGAGGCCAAGAAGGGCAAGAACAAGCGCGCCGCCGAGGCCGAGTCGCTCGACGAGATCATGGCCGCCGATGAGGCCAAGCTCTCCAAGAAGGACAAGAAGAAGCTCAAGAACAACAAGGGCGAGGCTGTCGCCGCCGCCGCCGAGGAGGCCAAGAAGGACAAGAAGGTCCAGTTCGCCAAGAATCTCGAGCAGGGTCCTACTGGGTCCACTGCTGAGAAGGCCAAGGCCACCAAGGCCACCGTGGGCGTCAAGAATGTCAACGGCGTCACCGTCGACGACCGCACCATTGGCAGCGGTCGCACCGTGAAGAACGGCGACTCGGTCGGCGTTCGCTACATTGGCAAGCTCTCTAACGGCAAGCAGTTTGACGCCAACAAGAAGGGCAAGCCTTTCACCTTCAAGGTCGGCAAGGGTGAGGTCATCAAGGGCTGGGACGTGGGTGTCGTTGGCATGGCCATTGGCGGCGAGCGTCGTCTGACCATCCCTGCTCACCTCGGCTACGGCTCGAGGGGCATGCCCGGCATCCCTGCCAACAGCCAGCTGACCTTTGATGTCAAGCTGCTCGAGATCAAGTGAGCGAATGGCGGTTGTATAGATTCCGGATGGGTCCTGCTCCTGGCTCCCTCAGGTTGAGCAAGACGGAGCGACATGAGGCAGTTCGTCTTGCTGACATGAATGTGTTTCCTTACCACTTTGGCGTTCTGTCATTTTCATTTGGATTTTTGGTGCCCGAGGCAGTGTAGTCTTAGACCTGCGAAAGTGGATTGATTCCAGCGGGAAGGATAGGACGAGGATAAGCATTGAGGGGATTGGTTCCTCGGAGTGCAGGGGAAAGTTGTTTTGTAAGGTATGCTGATATCAACCTGTGAGAACGCCAATGAACCAGATCCTGATATCGACACAATTAAGGAAGACTTAATGAGAAAAGCTGAACCGTATCTTGGGTTTCTTTTGCTTGTGTGCCCTGTGTTCGTGAGCGGCGAGCCACTCCCATGAGGCAAGCGCAGACAGCATGGTAACTACCCCTATCTACCGTACTTGAGCAGGCAGGAACCTTCCACGTCCCTGTGCTCACAGAAAGAGCAGTTGCCAACTTCTCCTCTGTTGTCCGAACGCTTCTGGCCCTAAGGTACTCTGCTCGCGTCTTCCCTCTCCTTTCTTCTGCGTCGTCATCACTGTTACTGACCACCAGGCCGAGTCTTGCTCGCCAACAGTCTTTCTTTAGCAGTGCATTAGAATCCAATACCACTCATCCATTACCATCTATCAAGACTCACCATCCAGGTAATCAGCTTACTCGCATTCTTTCGACCTCTTGGCGCCCATGATGCGCCAAAATTGCGACGGGTGCAGTCGCGTCACCCTCGGACGAATTGCCGACAACCCACAGATGGCTCAGCCAGCTCCGCTACCCCGTGTTGCTCCTTCGCCAACCGTGAGTCAGAAGATCGAGACCCCAGCGCCGCGCGAGGTGCCGAAGCGGCGTCATGCTGGCTCTCGTGTGTGGTCCGAGCTTCGTGGCGCCATCAAGGCTGTTGGCAGGACAAGCCAGGCAGGTACAGCAAGCATGTTCATGCCTGTTCATGTCCGCTATCTTAACAATATAGGCTCTGAGATCTCGACACCCGTGGATCTTGCACCGACCAATACAGAAGCGGTTCAAGACCACACCCTGGTGGGGGAGCCCTTGGTGCGCGCAAAGACAGAGCCGCGGATCGGCTCATCGTCTTCTCGATCACAGGGGAACAAAGGATCAACGACGCGGGATTTCGTTCGAAAACTGAAGCAAATCGGACTTCCGAGCAATGGCACAGCTCTTGCACGTATTCCGCCAGGAAGGCGCGGCAGCTCCGTTTACATTCCTCCCAACGTGCAATCAGCTACAAGCAGTGAACAAGGTAGCACGCCGTTGACAGATCGGAGTGTCACTGAAGGCTACTCTACCGAAAAGACATCCACCGACTCGCGGACTTCTGTCCTCACAAATGGGAAGTCAATGCGCCGACCTAAGCGCCGTCTCCCTTGGACTCAGTCTAGCCCTGACTTCTCCCTCTGCACCATAGCTGAATCTGGCACGGAGCGCTTTGAACCTACAATCGCTACCGTGGAAAGGGCCGCTGCTGCCAAGGTATATCTTGAGGTGCGGCTTAACGAGAAGCTGTACCTCGCAGACTCTCGTGCCAGAAGAATGCGGCACCTAGAGGCCCAGCTTTATTACAGCCCTCACCTGAGGGAAGGGGAAAAGGACATCGTACGGTCCGGTGTGCTTACGCAGGAATCTTGCCACTTGAGAGAGCTGCGAGTGCTCGAAGCAAAGAGTGAGGCCGCCGCCAGGGGCACCATAGACGCCTCGCCCTTTCTGGATCACTACGAACCGGTCAGAGTGCTTGGCAAAGGCAGCTTCGGCGTGGTCAAGCTGGTCCGAGAAAAGAACCAAGACCAGTCTGCAGCTCAGCACAAGCAAGTGTACGCTATGAAGATCATTCGCAAGTCAGAAATGCTGCGGAATAGCCAGGAGGGCCATTTGCGCGCGGAGCGAGACTTCCTTGTGGCTTCTGAACACGCAGAATGGGTTGTTACTCTGATGTGCAGCTTCCAGGACGCTGCCAATCTCTATCTCGTGATGGAGTACATGCCTGGAGGCGACTTTCTCGGACTTCTAGTCCGCGAGAACATCTTGGTCGAGAGCGTGGCTTGCTTTTACATTGCCGAGATGATTCTGGCTGTGGAAGAGACGCATCGGCTCAAATTCATTCACCGTGACATTAAGCCAGACAATTTTCTCATCTCCGCCACGGGACACCTCAAGATCTCCGACTTTGGATTGGCTTTCGATGGTCATTGGTCTCACGATCTGTCATACTATAACTATCACCGATACTCGCTCTGCAAGAAACTGAACTTGGACCTCGCAGGAGACGAGACAGATCGCAAGGAACGTCGCGATACACAGAAGCAGGTTGACAGGAATCGCATGTTCTAGGAAAGTGTCAGTCGCCATGAGGACATCGAACGAAAAGTGATCGACAGACACGGCAGCAATAACGAAGGCCGCAACCTTGGAGACCTCGTCGGAAGCAGGAATAGAAGTGCAATTCGTGCTGCAGCTTGCTCAGTCGTAGGAACCAGCCAATACATGGCGCCAGAAGTCATTGAAGGACAGGCGTATGATGGGAGATGCGACTGGTGGAGCATTGGCATCATTTTGTACGAGTGTCTGTACGGCCACACGCCCTTCCTTGCTGAGGAGGGTCGGCAGGAAACGAAGGAGAATATCACTGTATGTTATGGTTCTGATGTGGAGGATGCGTCATGATAACATCTTGCAGAATTTCCAATCTCGCTTCTTCTTCCCACAACAGCCTCATGTCTCCGACAAAGGTCAGGATTTACTACTGAAGCTGATCCGGCAGAGGAGCGACCGTCTGTGCTCCCGGAGATACGAGCTGAAAGACAACGGTCAGCTGGATGCTGGGATGTCAACAGACTTTTTCGGGCGCCACGTCTTCGCGGATGACGGCGAGGACATCAAGGCTCATCGTTGGTTCAGAAACGTGCCATGGGACGAGCTGCACATGCTGAAAGCTCCCTTTGTCCCTCGAGTGGACGGCCCGGAAGACACGCGGTACTTTGACGAGTCAGACACCGGCGCTGATTTGACCAATGCGCGCGAAAAGCGAGCACTCACACCAGCGGAGGTCAGATGCGTTCTAGAGGAGTGCCATCCCGCAACACGGAACTTGGCGGTCGACTTGGTCTCCAAACCTGCTGGTGAAGCCAACCTTCGCGACGTTGACCAGCAGATTGAGGATGCACTGGATGTTCCTCTTGACGAGAAGTCGCTACTCAAGCGCTTCGTAAGGGAATGTGGTCCGAAAGAACGCAAGAGACCACGCGACAAGATCCTCCGAGACCCTAAAACCAGGGATGTGGCTCTGGACATCAGGAAGAAAACGGCGTTTTCCGGTTACACCTGGAAGCGAATGACGCCGAGGACGTATGTGGGATTGTTGTGAGGGAGTGTAAGCTCCGTTGGACCAGGAGCGGCAGGAGAGAGCATCTCTCCACATCGGCATGTTCGTCACCTACGGGATGTTGTTGGATGGGGGAGATTGCAAGTAGTTCTTATGCTTCTATCGTTATTGTATAGTTATTGTGGAGAGCATGTATATCTCAGGACCATTGCTCAGTGTCACTCCTGGGAAGATTCGTAGGATGTGGTTTGAGAGTTCCCCGAGCCGACTGCCTTTGCATTACGGATCTCCCATTCAAACTCTTTTAGGCTCCGCAGCTCGCTACTGAAGAAGAGCAACGAGAGTAGCCCTTCGATCGTGGACCCAGTCAAGATAAGGCTGGCGACGAGCATGAGGACGAACGCAATGTAGTTGTGCGGCACAAACCATACAGCTACCAAACAGGCGACCCATATGAGAAGCCCTCCATAGAAGCGAGTTCCCCGCCAGAACTTCTGGCTGTGCTCTCGCGTCACGTACCACTGCAGTCTTTCCAGAATCCGGTCGTACATGTCGAGGCTAGATTTGTCTTTCGCCTGCGCCCTCTTCGAAGCTGGTCGAGTGGGTAGCGATGAATCTGCACCAGAACGCGTTAAAGATGTCAAGACGCCAAAGTGATCTGACAGAGATACGTGCAGCTCTGGGTGCCTCTCCGTCATGACCACCCTTGTATCCGTGATGAGCCAGTCTTCCGATCCGGCGACAGATGTCGAGACAAAGACGTAATCCAGGCGCTGACCATGCGGATCCGCTTCATCAGGACGCACGGGCTGGGAATCCCCTTTCAGGAGCTTCTTCTGCGCTTTCTTGGACCAGCGCCATGTGTTGAGTACATTGTTGCTGGTCATGCCATTCTCAACAATGTTGTGCCGCGCCGTAGGAGGGGTCTTGTGATTCGGACCCAGGGCACTCTGGGGATGAAGCGCGCGCCACGAGTCCTGCAGCGCGGACGTGGTCTGATCGAGCAAGAGGCGGTAGGGCATTGTGTCGGGACGCATGTTCCAGTCGCCCGCCGCAATGACCAGGCGTCCCTTGTGCATTGAGTCTCTGATCAGCTTGCCGGCCTGCCACGACTGGGCGAGGCGGTGGGTGATGTAGCTGTCGCGAGGCCCGCTCTCGTACGGCGCGTGCGTGTGCGTGTTGAAGACGTCGACGAGACCCTGGGGTCCTCCTGCGATGCGAATGGTGGCGCGCGCAATGCCCTTGCCCACGAACCAGTCACCCCGCCAGAAGGCCGTGGGACGTCCGTTGAGGGTGTAGGGCGTTAAGGTGCTCTCCTCAATGGGGTACCTGCTCAGTATGGCGAGGCCCCCGCCAAAGGCGCCGGAGAAGTAGTATTTGCCATAGGGGAGGAGATCCGCGGTGGCCTGGCGGATGAGGTGGTAGTCGCTCTGGGTGAAGAGCTCCTGGAGACAGACGATAGCGGGTGCGAGGGTGTTGATGTGCTTGGCGATCTCGGTCATGCGCTGGGGACGGAGGGGAGAGATACGGAGGAGACCCCATACGTTCAGGGTGAGGATTGATAGTTCATCCGGGGGGCTATGCTGGGCGGTGGCCATGATGGTGGTGAATGAGCGTGGTAATGGCTAAGACGAGCCAGTGTCGTCGCTCGGTAAGGTAGTAGGCAGCTAGAAGCACTGCGCGACAGAAGCTTCCTACTTATTCACTATCGCAAGCTCATGGTGGTCAACAGGTGGAGTGTGAGAAGTTGTTGTTTTGTCTTGGTGGAGTTGTGTTGCTATGTATTGTGTGGAAAAGAAGTGGTAGGCGGACGGACAGTACGCCACTATAACCCTACAGCTTCCCACGGCGCTGCACATCGAGATTATTCTTGAGTACGAGACATTCAAACAGCTCTGGAAAAGCAACTTTTGATATATTTGCAATAAGTGATCGAGTGTGGAAGTCAACTTGGGCCGGACGTAGGGTAGCCTGTATGTCTGAGGCCTCTAACTTAGTTAATGATATTGCAGGTGGTAGTATGATCAAGCAGACGAGATCCAACCTCACCATGGACACATTCACGTCAAACAAACTGTCGTTCATTACAAGCTCTACGATAGTCCCTGCACTGCATTCATTCAACCGCCCCCAACAAGCCACGCCAAGATAATCGTTCTTTGCTTTTTGCATACCCTCTGGTAGTAAATCCGATGATGCGCCTCGAAACGTATAAAATGAACAGAAAGAAAATACACGACGGATAGCGACCCCACGCGGTTGTCTCCTGGTCAGTCGTCAAACCGCTTGGGGCAGCAACCTGATCTACACGCGGTGCTTCTCCGATTCTGCGTAGCTCGTTAGTCTCTGTTCGCTCATATCCTGAAGGGCTGGGGAACTCACCAAGACGAGAGTACAGCATGTACAGGGCCATGCGGTTGCACTCCTCCGTTCCGGTCACGGTCACGAGACGCTCATTACTATTGTCTTGCGGGTCGTTGATCTTGATCATGCTGCCGCTCATCTGGCGTATTTCGTTGATCTTCTGGCCGCCCTTTCCGATGATGGCGCCCACCATGTCGTTGGGGATGTAGATTTGCTGCGTGATCGGGCCACCGGGCGCGCCGGCAGGGGCTCCCTGCTGAGGAGGCATAGGCTGGCCTTGCGGCTGCTGCGGCGGGCCGCCCATGTGGGGCTGCGCGTGCGCAGGGGCGCCGTAGCCGGCGTGTGGTCCTCCATACGGCTGAGGCACAGGCTGCTGAGGGTGTCCATGACCGCCGTGCGGAGGATACTGCGGCGGGTACGCCTGGGGAGGCATGTGTCCACCGCGACGGTCGTTCTGGCGGTAGTAGTTCTCGCCCCGTCCAAAGTGGCCGGACGCGGGCTGTGGTGAGTAGGGCACGACCTGCATCCCGCCGGGGATGGAGCCGGCAGGCTGGCCGCTGCGCGTGGCGTAGGCCGAGGCAGCGGGACCTCCGAAACGCTCGTTCAGTTGCTCCAGTAGGGTACTGCCCACATAATACGTAGCAATGTGCACGGCGTCCGCAACACCCATAACGACGAGCGACCTCTCGCTCGACATGGGCAGACAAGAGTCGGAGGCGTTGAGTCGAGCACCCGACGCCTCCTGGATCTCGCGGATGCGAGCACCACCCTTGCCAATGATGGAACCGATCAGGATGTGAGGCACCAGGAGGCGCAGGGGGTAGGTCTTGGACGAGGCCGTGGAGGCCTCGTTCAGGGGCTCGTTGTTCAAGGTGCGGATGATCAGGCCAAAAGCCTTGGCAGCAGCGTCCACTATACCGCTGACTGTCAGGATTCGCTCGACCGCCCCCTTTTGATAGTCGCTGACGGTGCACTTGGCGTTGGAGAGCTTGCGAATGTTGGAGACATTCTCGCCGCCCTTGCCGATAATCGTGGCCGCCTCGGGGCTGGAGATGACAGCGCGGATGTGTATCCAGGCTGTCTCGTCGTGAGCCGATGCCGAGTTGACGGCTGTTTCTGTTGTGGACGCCACGGTCGCCGCCGCCGCCTTGGGGTCAGCTACTTCCGGCATGGGCTCTGCCTCTTCGGCGACAGTGACACTAGCACCGTCCTCATCGCCATCCTCGTGCGCTGCAGATTCGGGCGCGGGTTGCTCCTCGGTGGCGACAGGGGCCGCTTCGTGCTCGACTTCATCGTCGTGCTGCACGACCTTGTCGAGGGCGGGCCGCTTGGCGTCGGGCTGGTCACCCTCGTGCGAAGGTGATGAGGGCGCCTCTAGGGGACGCTTGGCTGAATTGGTCGTCTGGGTTGGCGGGGATGCAGACATTGTGGCGATGGGTAACTTTCTTCACACGCGTATGTAAATTTGATTTTCTTCTCTTTTCTTCTTTTCTTCTTCTAGGCTCGTCTATCTACACTCAGGGGTTTTCAAGGAAAACGTGCTGGTGTAGTGACTGGGCCGGGTGACAAGGTCGAGGCTCCGCAACGCAGGTTGGAAGTGGCTGTGATCGGGAATGTGTCGCGAGAAGGGCGTGCGTAGTTGGGATCAAGCAAGGGCTGGAATTGAAACTGCGCGCGCGCGCTGTGATGTGATCCTCCAGGAACCGTCGAGTGCTTGCGCAGCGTGTCGTGATGCAAGGTTCCCAAGGGCGACGGACGGACTGACGGACGGACGGATGGGAGATTGTGTGAAGCGATCGGCAACGGAGGGCTCAAAAAGCAGAAAGAAGAGGCAGCCGCTCAATTTCAAACCTTATGACCGTTTGATTTCTGATGAAATTAGCCAAGGCAAAGCTATCCTCGAGCTGGCCGTTTGGTCGAGGAGCGTCGGTGTCGGTTCGTTCGTGGCGCTACGTAGGGCGGACGGAGCGTTATAGGCAGACAAGAAATCGCTCGATGCTGTGTGTAGTACCGGCGTTGTCGCTCGGATGCGATCGACTGAGAAGGAGGACCAAGAGTGTTGCGCAACGGCGGAGACACGATTTGATCGACAATGCCAACAGAGACGTTGAGCGTCGCGCGAGATGAAGAAAAGGGACGGACGGGGGGAGGAGTCGAGGCACGGCCAAGATAAATTGGAGCCCTGTTGAGTTCAGTTGGGCCCCGGACTGGGCGCTGGAGCCTAGGGAGAATAGTCACGTGATTCGTTCTCATCTCAAGTTAGCCCACCACCTCAGTCGCATGGGACAGCTGAGCGAAACGAGCACGCGCGCTCAAAGCTCAACTGGTAGTGTTTCACTGCACAGACACAAGGCACAGCGGGGGGACCATGGACGACGACGCGCGCCCTGCAGAGGCCACTGCGTACACTGCCAACCTAGACTTCACGTTGAAGGAGCTCCAGCGCAGGGTCCAAGAACACGAAGACGAGCTGCAACGCGTGAGCCGCCCCAGTCCACGCTACGAGCTGTGAGCTCAGCTGACGCACCGCAGTTGAAGGCAAATGACACAGCCATTGCGCAAACGCCAGTCGGGCAGGCCGAGGTTGTAAAGGCGGCCCTCGAGGAGGTCACAAACACAGAGCCCTTCCTACCACATGCCAGCTCGACGCTGCCGGCCCTGCTGGCTCTCAGAAGGACACACCAAACGATCATCGAGTCAAGAGCCTACTTGGAATCGCAGAAATCAGTCCTGAGCCGCGAGAAGCGGCAGCTGGAAGCTGGCCAGGCTCACCTGAGAGACCAAACACTCCTCAGCGAGGCATTGGATGCCCGTATTGTCGACTTGAAGGCCGAGGTGTCGTCCAGCGCACGGGCACCACCTGGAGACGGAGCTCGCAAGAAGAAGGAAGAGCTACAGAAGAAGAAGGCCCACTACGACGCCGACAGCAAGCGACTGTTCAGAGCCTTGGACAAGTTCATTGACGAGCATCTGGCCGTCATGCTTGCAGCAGAAGAACTAGGCGGACCTGTCGTGGGCGACCTCATGGATGTCGACGGAGCAGATCTGGCCTCTGGCTTCAGCGCGCAGGTCAAACTGAACAAACCCAAGGAGGGCAGGGCCAGCCTCGAGAACAGGGAGGACAAGCGCCAGCGACGACTCGACGAGATCTGGGGCCCTGCAGAGGGTGTTGCGGCGCGGAGAGACGAGGACGAGGTCGCGGCGGCGGGCCGAGAGATGAAGGAGCTGATCCAGGCCTTAATGGGTCAGCTGCAGGATGCTGGCGGGGACTCTTCCTCCTCATACGTGGTGTTGTCGAGGGAGTCTGCCGCCGCGAGGTTCCTCGTGAGGAGCAAGGTGGCCCAATTCCATGCGAAAGATGCGTCGCGACTGCGATTGATTGACTTTGGGAGGGAGTTTGATTGACCTGGGCGCTCAGGGATCGAGTCGTCGATGCTGGAAGCGCTCATCACGAAGCACGCACCCGGACAACGAAGAGGCGGGCAGAACCATACTTGACTATGCAGAAGCATTGCGTAACGAAATCAAGTCTCAATATCAATTGCTATTATTAGTCTAGGACATTGTCCCGTTGATGTTCAGCCAAGAAGCACTTCAAACCCTTGCGCTCCATTGGCCAATTCGCGGCCCACGACGCGTCTCAGCTGGGCCCCGCGTCGCGTCACCGCCTTCTCTCTCTTTGCCCACTCACTACCCATCCCTCGTACTTGAGAACCTCATCAATCAAGTAACAAAAACCCTCGAGCCCCTTCATCCAGACTCCTCTCCCGCCCTGCGCAGAATGACCTCAGCGTCCAACGACGCACCGACATCCCCTCCCGCAAAGCGCGTCAAGACCGACGACACCATGGCCGAACCTAAGCTCCTCGTAAAGAGGCTCTCGGACAAGGGCCGTGTGCCCACCCGCGGCAGCGCCTTCGCCGCGGGCTACGACATTTACGCCGCCAAGGACACAACTGTCCCCGCGAGGGGTAAGGTGCTCGTCGACACGGACATCTCCATCGCCTGCCCCGCTGGTACCTGTACGTGACCTCCCACGGCATGAGATAAATGCACCACCCACCCACATGCAGGTCGGCTGCTGACACGAGTCCAACTAGATGGCCGCATAGCGCCTCGCTCCGGCCTCGCCTCCAAGAACTTCATCGACACGGGCGCGGGCGTCATTGACGCTGACTACCGTGGTCAGGTCAAGGTTCTCCTCTTCAACCACGCCGAGACGGACTACGAGGTCAGGGAGGGCGATCGCGTCGCGCAGCTCGTCCTCGAGAGGATCTACACGCCCGAAGTGGAGGAGGTGCAGGAGCTGGAGGAGAGCGTGCGCGGTGCCGGCGGGTTTGGCTCGACGGGTTGAGGGACGCCGTCGCGATGATGAGACACATGAGATCATGAGAAAGAATAGAGTGACATGGCACCTACAGGCCAAAAAAGTCAAAGAGTCTATAAGCCATCTATGATAGAAGTAGGCGAGACAAGAGACGATCTTCTACATCTCCTTCGCCTGGAACTGCACCTTTGGATCACGCAGACAATCCGGGTTGCGTACCAGCTGCAGCTCGGCCGCCTTGCTCTTGACGAGGTGCATCTTCTTGTCGTCCTTCTTGTCGTCCTCGGTCATGCCACGCGTCGTCTTCTCCACGACCTGGCCCATGCGCGCGCTCGTCCGCGACAGAAGCTCGTGCATACTCGCCAGCGTCTTCTCGGCCGCCTTGGCGAGCGGCAGTTGGAGGGTCGGCACGTCGTCGCCGCTCTGCCAGCTCGTCTTGCCGCCGAGGCCCGGGACGGCCGAGACGGCCTCGCGCATGCGGACCACCATGAGGGCGGCGAACATGTCGCCCGTGCCGCTGAAGTAGCAGTCGATGGCCGGAAAGACGATTTTGAAGAGCCGCGCCCGCCCGGCCGACGTCATGGTCGAGCCCACCACCGACAGATGCTTCCCCGCGGAGGGGGAGGGCAGGTCTTCCGGCGCGTGGGGCAGCGTGACGGACGTGATGACGACGTGGGGGATCTTGTAGGTGTCGTGCAACGCCTGGATGGCCGCTGTGAGACTGGCCATGTCCTTGATCGCGACGCCCGATAGCAGTTCCGCCTCGAACTGATTCGGCAGGATGAGGTCTGCGTACTGAACCAGGCCCCTGTATGCCGGCACAACGTCCTCTGCCACGTACAGCCGCCCGTTGTCCCCCATGACGGGGTCGAGCACCCAGAAGAAGTTGTCGCGGTTCTTCTCCTTGAGAGCCTTGGCGATGGCCCCGACGGCGTTGACGGCTTCGGCGCCCGGTATGTACCCGGAGAGCATCATGTCAAAATCATCGAGGTAGGCGGACTGGAGGCCCTCGTAGAGGGCCGTGATCTCCTGTGCAGTCGATTTGGTGCCCTGCCATTGTCGGTAGCCGGTGTGGTTGCCTTTTTTATTTTGCCAAGTCAGCGGATGGACGGACTCTCAGTATCGGTGCAGCAGGCCGTGGTGTCATTACTGAATTGGACGGTGTTGAGGGCTGCCACGTCGCAGCCTAGAGACTGGAGGGTGAAGACGGCGATCTTGTTGCCGACGTAGCTACAGACTCAGCCTCACGTGCAGACACAAGTACAGGATCGTGTAGGTTTTACCCTGAGACAACCTGTGCGGGCGCGTGGTGAGCTGCTCGTTCTCGGATCCAAGATGGAGGAGTCTTGACATACATGACTGGCCACAGCCAGGACTCTCGTCTCCGGCACGGGGAGCAGCGAGGTCATGATCTTGCGCAGTGTGCTGGGAGCACTGTGACGCACAAAGGACCCGCGAGATGATTATGTGAAGAATGAGGATAGCGTGTGATGTATGACACAGTAAGACGTGAGTGAGCGATCAGTGAGCGAGAGAGTGAGGGAGTGAGTGAGTGAGTGAGTGACTGCGATCTCAGGGACGTGGTTCGCATCAGCGACGATAGTACCACCACGAGGTCGGCGGCAGCAGCTGCAGCATGATGTCTCTTCATCAGATCAAATCCCTCTTCCAGTCTCCGCCAGCTGGGCTTCTCCAGTTTTTCCCATGGAGCCAAAGCCGATGGTGGTTCTGGAATGTCAGAATCGAGCAGCACGCACTTGTTGGACTTGGCCTGCCCCGCTTCTCCTCCAACCATCGCCGCCCCTCCATCTTGTCCTGTTCCGTGGGAGGTCAGGCAGAGATTGTGTGTTTGAAAAGGATATTGCTGTCTAAATCATTCGTCGTTCGTACACGGCCTTGGCTCAGACATGTCCCCCGCGTAGCGCTAATTACAGTCCGTCGACTGAACCCCCCTTCCTTTCCTGTACTTGCTTCGCCCGAATGCATGCATGCAGAATAGAATGGCCACAGCCAACCTAACTAACCCCCTTCGGTCCCCTGTTTTCCTACGAACGCCAGCCCAGCGTAAAGCATTTTCGTCAAAACGGTCGTGATATTGGTCCAGTCCTTACTCTTCATCACCAATCTAGCAGAGGGGTCAGTACATGGGGGTGCAGAGGTCGAGAAAAGAAAAAAAAAAGAAGACATACCTTGGGCGCCAGGTAGAAGCGCAGGTAGCTGCCCGAGCCCAGGTCGTAGGACACGAGCAGCGGCACCTCGTTCGACAGGCTGATTGTGACGGTGGAGGAGACAGAGGTGGCCTTGCAAAAGTTGACGAGGTACTTGAGCGAAAAGGTCAGGCTGACGGGCTCGCTGAGGTTGATCTCGACATTGTCCTTCTTGCTCTTGTCGTCGAGGGCGGTGTTGTTGCGCAGGGTGACGCTGCCGCTGCCAATGTCGCCGTTGGCCGAGAACTTGATGCCGTCCTTGGACGCGTCGATGCTCACGGACTCGGACATGGCCGCCAGGTCGGTGCAGATGCGGCGGAACTCGGTCGAGCTCATCGTAATGGCCGCCGCGTACTCCGTCTCGGGGATGCCCAGGTGCTCCTGATCAATGTCCATGAGCTTGAGGTCGTACTCGCTGATGCGGTCGTTGGTGCTCGTCTCGAACTGCAGGTTGACCACGTCGGGCGTGTCCTCGGCCTTGAGCGTGAGGATGTCGTCGCTCTGCGCCGCGCGCAGCACCTTGGTCAGCGACGTCAGGTTGACGCCCAGCGCAATGTTGCGGTCGCAGCGGTATGGCGAAAAGGCCTCCGCCTTGAGCATCATGGACACGAGCGCCACGTGCGAGTTGTCCATGGCCTGCAGCGCGATACCCGAGTCATTGCAGTCAAAGTTGCAGTCCTGGACGAGGTCTTTGATGGAGTCCACCACCTTCTTTATGAGATCGGCTTGTTCGAGGCGTGCTTCCAACATGGTCTGGTCCCTCGTCAGTTAACTCGGATTCGCACGCACGAACGACTTGACTGGGCGTGAATGCACTGACCGCTGATTGTGTGGTAGGTGTGGATTAGTGAAGAAGAAGACTACAGAGCACAGAGTGGCAACTATGTGTGACAGACGAGTAGAGGCTGATTGAAAGACTGTTGTGGCAGAGTTGAGCTGAGAAAGAGGCAAATCGGGCGGGATGGTGGTGATGGTCACGTCAAGTTTGCTCTCAAGTACTTTACGCGAGGGGGAGCTCCTGGCGGGCGGGCTGGAGACGCGTCGAAACGCCAACCGCACGCGGGGCACGAGATTCGCGTTTGCCTCGAGCTAGTCTAGGACTCTAGGGTGAGTACCAAGGTACCGGGTACCATGGCACTTGATCGTCACCCTGCCCTCTTCCGCACATGATTTGGATTAGCAAACCGGTGGGACAAGTCAAGTGCCCTCGTCCAAGAAGTTCATTGTGCCAATTTTTGCAAATTGATTCGCTGGGAGGCACATTCTGCAGCGACCCAGGTTATATACGTACTATGTACATGTCTGTCCAAATGCCAGACCCAGCAATCCCCGACGCCAGACTATGCATTTTTCAATTCCAACCAGCAAGCAAGCAGAGACAGAAGAAAGAGGAAAGCCTTCCTAAGCCTTTTCTGTGTTCGTGCACCATTGAGCCCGCCATATGCGGTTGGCTACGAAGCCCGTAGTTTGTACAGCGATGAGTGCACCGCCCGGATTATGTTCATGAACAAATAAGTAAAGAAGAAAGGAAGGAAGGGCAGAAAGAGATCGTGGTATCGTGTGCTGCTTCAGCAGCAGCTGTTGTGCGCGGATTTGCGCGACTGGTCGTCAGTGGAAAAGACGGGGGAAAGCCCTTCTTCACATGGACATGACCCTTGTATTCCCAGGAGGCGCGCTCGTCCTGGTGCGAGGGCGGAGGTTGATGACGGTCTCCAACTCCTTCATCATGCCCCTCGTGGCCTCCACGTGTTGTCGTGCCGTGGCTCTCTGCTCTCTTTCCTCCTTCACCTTGGCGATCCGCTCCTCGCGCGTCAACGTGCTGCGTTGTCGGGGCAGCGCCACAGCCTCAAACACCTCGCGCTCCGGCTCGTCCGACGGCAGCGGAGACTCGCCCGTGAGCTTCTTGAGCGCGGCGGCGGCATCGCCCTCCTCGTCCACCGTGGTGAGGCCGCTCAGGGATGTGGTCGGCGAGATGAGCGCGCTCATCGAGGAGAGCCTCTTCTCGTTGCGGTCGATGCCCTGGGCAAGCGCGGCCTTGCCCTCCTCCCACACAGACATGAGCTCCTTGAGGTCGCTGCCGATGGACTCATACTGTGTCAGGAGGTGAGGGGCCAGCTCCGTCAGATCCTGCGAGTCGTTGAGCGCTCTGTCCGACTCCTCGCGCAGCAGTTGCAGTTTAGCCCCCAGGCCACGGATACCCGAGCCCAGCGAGTTGAGCTTGTGCAGCTGTGATCGCCATCGTTCCCTCCCCGGTGTCAGGGGTGTCTTTGGGGCTGAGGGCGGCGGAAATGACTCCTCCTCGTGCAGCAGATCACGCAATTTGACCATGCTCGCCTTGGTGCTCTCATTCAAGCTCCTCAGGGCTTCGACGGCCGTTGTCCAGCGCATCAGGTCCGAACTCTCCCCGTTCGCGTCCAGTGCCAGCAGAGAGCACAAGAACACTTTGCGGATAATGTGGAACCGGCTCACCGCGATCTTGAGGGTGCGCAGCGATTCTGGGTCGTCAAATTCTTCCTCGTCGAAGCCGCGGTTCGCGTCGGAAATGTCAAAGTCGCTTATCTCGTAGATGTCGAGGTACTTCTCCAGATTTGTCTGCTCGGCGAACCCGCGAACAACCGTCGACACCTGGATGTACGTCTTCAGCACGTCTGCAATGGTCGATCGGAGCGCTTTGCGCAGGCGCGCACACTTGCGGTCTTGGACCTTGTCCTCGATGCGCGAGACGGGGGGTAGCGGCGCGGAGCTGGATCGTATGCGTTAGAAACAGCGACAGGGACACACGCGGTCGGGGCCACCTACATCCGGTATCCTCGCGATACGAGGCCGACATCCTGAATCAGCGAGAGTGCCGACCCGACGACCCCGTCTAATTCTTGCGAGGCCGCCACAAAGGCTGCCACCTCTGCAAGCGACTGCTCTCTCCGATATCGTAGCCATTGTCGCTTCATGTAAACCTGGCCAAGGAGCACACCCGCCGCAGCCAGCGCCCCCAGAAACACCAGCCTCTTCTTCGTCACACGGGTCGTTCCCTTGCCCAGTACCCAGCTCAACACCGTCGCGACGGCCAACGCGCCTAGGACAGACGCCGCCATCCCCTCGGTCGAAAACGTCGGCCCGTCCGACCCTGCCATGCCATCGCCCGGGTCGAGGGGGCCCTGCGACGGCCCCGGTATCGAATGCCCGCTGAGCAACTGCGACGCCACAATCACGTATCGGAATTTTTCGAGAAACTTTGCGTTGTCCGCCCGGTCGATGCTTGCCGCCACGGCTGTGCTGTAGTTCCTCTTGAGACCCCTTTGTGCCATAGCGCCCCTCCCCAGGGGTCGAATGTCCAGTCTCGGTAGCGCAGCGCTCTTCTTGGGGCCGCCCCGAATATGCGGTCGTCCCGTTGGCGCGAAGCGAGGACTGGGACTAGGCGATGCGGACATGACACTGCTCTGATCGTGGCCGTCCTCGTTGTCGTCGTTGTCCTCGTCGTGTTGCTGTACGGCGGCGCCCCATTCGCTCTCGTCGCCAGAGCCGGCATCGGCGCGCAGGTATGCGGCGAGAGGCGTTTCTTCGTAGACGACGGGTTCCATGGGCACGGGGCGCGTGACTGCGATGCGTGGAAGAGGGTGTACGGGTGCCGGAAGGAGGGACGTGGTTGAGGGCGCTGGGCGCGGATGCATGTGACTGATTGTCGGTTTCGGCGGGTTCGACGCTCGTCTAGGGTAAGTGAGATTAAGTTGGTGCCGGTCGATCTCTCGTCATGGCTTGCGCAATCGTCTTGCGGTGAGGACAAAGGAGAATATGCCTAGATTTGAAGGAATGTGAAAAAAAAGGGAAAAGACAGTGAGATTGATTGACGTGGCGAAGGTTCAAGCAAGATCAAGGAAATAGGTAGAACGGTTAATTAGCAAGTGACCACCAATGGACAAGGAGATGGACAACGGACGGACAAGTCACAGACATCAGCCGCTAGGACGAATGGGGTCAGTCGGATCGGGCAGGTGGAGAGTGAGTCGGCGAGGCGCGGCGTCCGATTGGCTGTAGCACACCCCAGCTTATGACACGCGGCGAGTACCCTAAATAAAGGTACGTACCGAGCGCTGAAACCGAAGCCTGGTCTTCTGCATCTCTCATTTACAAACTGCTCACGTCTAGGTATTGCAACTCATGTTTGTCTGTGTATCGAAAGAGCAGCCCATCGTGCCCTCTCTTCCCATGCCTCTTCCTGATCAGAGGAGGGCTGTGTGCGTGCGACGCATGAAATTACACAATCTGCCTCCATCTGGGGTCCATAGGCCTTCCAGGGACTCTCCAGGGACCCCCGCCCCCCTAAATAATAATAAAGTCCAGTCCCGCCGAGTGTTTTGGTTTGCTTGCAACAGGGGCTTTATTGTTCATCGCGAAGAATCACAATCACAATCATTCAACGAGAAAACCGACCGCGAAAGCAGTGACCGAAGCCCTACAGTGCTCAGCACTCACCATTTCGACAGGGTTGATTACCATTGTTGCCGTTATTAGCATCTCCACGAAGATCATCAACTCCATCGCTCAAGACATGCATGCCCCCGCCAAGCTGACTAGTATCTGTCTGCCGTACCTCGTCTGCGCAATCCTGCTTCTCTTGCCTTTGTCTTCTTCCTGTCCCTCAAGACTAGTGTCTCCATGGCCGAATCCCAATCCCAAGACCTCAAACCCCTCAACCCACCCCTAGACCTCCGGGATTCCGCCGTCGCTTGAGCCCAGTGCTTGTCACTGTCCACGTGAATGATTCCCTTGGCCACTTTCATGCTGGCCCGATGCGCAAGCATCGCATCGCCATCCCCGGTAAACTCGTCCGTCCAAGCAAATCCACCGCCCATATTTCGTCCTCCCCTCACCCTGCGTGGCCTCACACTGCGCCAGACCCAATCCTGCAACGCCTCGCCCCGGTACGCATATAGTAAAGCGATCAAGACCACCAGAAGTGTGACGGGCAATCCTGTTGCCCAGAAGATCTTCTGCGAGAATTCCGTGTCCCGAATATCAGTGACATTCATGCCCATGAAACTGGTCACAAATGACAGGGGCAAGAATAGCAGTGTGACAAAGGTGAACACTCGGATTGCCTTGCCGTGGTCCTCCTCCAGAATCTCAATTGTCTGCTTGACCTGCTCTTTCAAGAATTGAGACTTTTCGCGCAGAGTGTTGATGGTTTGCGCTTTGGAACGAAGGACCCTCTGTTGACGGCGGCCGAAGTCTCGCTCGATTCTGAATAAGCCCACCCTATCCCCAGTCGTTGGGTGCATGGAGCCCGGATTCAGCAACTTGAGGTAGTTGTCCAAGACTGTCTCCTGCGAGTCGAGCAGGCCATGCAAAGCATCCAGCTCCTCCTCCAGCGCGCGGATATCCAGGAACACTCGTTTCTTCGGTCGGCGGTTGGCTTCAAAACGCAACTCTGACACGTAACGCTGGTACAGCAAGAGAAAGTCCGGCTTCCCAGGATTGGTTGATGAAGCGTGCGGCAGAACGGGTCTGTTTTGTAAATTTGCAACAAGCGCCATGAGCAGGAACTCGGCCCCGACGGACTCGATACCAAGACCGTCGATATGCCGAGTGGTGCCCTTCATCAGGATGATATCCTTCTTCGCGTCTTGTAGGTAGTCATATGCCAGTCCCTTGCTCACTTCCTCCTGTCTGATGAGCCTTTCAATTTTGGCCTTAATGTACGCTTTTTGGCGAAGGGACGCAGACCTTCGGCGATTGTAAAACGAGAGCAGATGGGCTTGGATGACGTACATCGAAAGCACCTCCTGGAACGCGTATACCACCTTGCTGGGGAGTGGTGGGCGCACCTTGGTAGACTGCGGACTGGCACTGGCCACGAGAGTATGCAGTTCCCGGACGTAGCTAGTAACGGGGAGAATTCGGGACAAGAACTCTTCCAGATGTCGCAGATGGCCGGCGCCAGGTTTTGGTGCCGGTTCGTGGTCCGTTCCCCAAACTCGATAGATCCAGACGAAACATGGATCATCAAAGCAATTATCTGACTGGATAGAGCAATCGAAGTGATGCTCGTGTAGATGCAACATCGCGGCATCTGGCGAGGCATACTGCTCCTTGCCCGAACACGCCGAGCATCTGGCCCAGGACTTGCTGTGCTGCACGAACATTTCCTTTGCAGGGTTGTCAAAGTCAGCGACTGCAAATAACTCGCCGGGGTCACCTCTCAAGTCCATGACATCCCAGATGACTTGCTGTAAGATCCATGTCAGTTACCCTAAGCCATGCGAGGTGTTTATTATCATGAACTTACCCGAAAGATCTCGTCGACTGCCCCCCAAAAGCGTACACACACATGGTGATTGACATGGTCACCCGATGCAGGCATGTAGGCTCGAAATACCTCCCTCGAAAGAGTGAACAGCCGTCTCATGAGCGCCTTGTCATGACGGGTGTTCTGGATGGACTGGTTCTGCTTGGCGGACGGGGCCCCCAACCGGGATGGGGGCTGTTCGCTTGCTTGCTCCTGCTGGTCCTTCCCGGCAGCATTCCCACCATCCTGCCTTGCATCATCTTGAGGCACCTGACTGCTGGTTCTGCTATTCTCAACGTTGTCTGAAAGAATTTCTGGACCGGGAGCCGTGTCATTGTCGTCGATTGCTTCCATCGAAGTTTGGTCTGCCCCTGTATCTTTAACTTCTGGCTCAGCTGGCATGTTGTCTCCCGCCTTGTCGCGCGTATCCCTTTTCAAGTGTATTACTGGTGTAGCGGGCTCGTCTCGCAGGAATCTGTGTCGCTGAAGAACATCGTCCAGGGAACAGTTGTATGTACGCGAGTACAGCCTTGAAACAACACTCTTTGAGATAGAATGCTTCATGGTTCCTAGTATGCTCACCAATGACTTCTCGACCTCTTCCTCAGTGCGCTCGTCCTTGCCAGTCTTGAGTCTCCATTGCAAGAACGGCACCAAGCGCATTTTTGGACAAACCTCATCCAGCGGCAAAATGGGCCATTCGTATGTGTCAGTGATTGTCACGCCCAAGTCAGACATGAGAGGACGTATATCCATGACATACTCATCCACCCAGTCAGGCTTCTCGCCAGCCGCGGGGTGCGGCTTCGACCTATAAAACCCACGCAGCTTCTGGGTTTCGAAAATAGAATCGGTCTCGGGATTATAAGCGATGTTTTCACTGTGCATCGAAATTAGTTCGCGCCCGTCGACGTCGAAAGTACGACGGAGAGCGAGCCTGCGGATCACCGGATCACCTTCTCCTCCCAAAGGCGTCCGTTCTATGGTTGACCGCGTAGAGAAGAGGCACGGAACCACATGGGCGTCGAGCACATGTTCAATTCTCTCAATATATTGCCTTTGTTGTCCTTCTCTTCTGACGCCTGTATGTATCGAAGTTACGCCACCTGTAGTAGATATTGAGGAGCTGCCTGACTCGCTGGAGTAGTCAGAACCAATGTCGAGTCCGTGTCCCGGTGATACGTCTTCGCGCGGCTGGAAGATGTCCGGTTCAGCCTTTTGATAGCTATTCGAAGCATTTACAGCATAGCTCGGAATAGAATAAGATCTGCGAGACGTTGGCCTCTCTCGTCTCAAAGCACGTCTTTCACCCCAGGAGATGATTGGCGAGCGGCTACGAAAGCGTAACGAGCTTTTTGATGAAGTGGAGTAACCTGAACGTCTATAACGCAAGGATGGACCAACACTGGGCCGCCTGACAATATCATGCTCAGGAGGAGCAGGAGGAGGTGTGAGGTCTTGGGCGTCCTCCTCCCACTCAACTCTCGTCTTCTTCGGTTGTTGGGGCTGTTTCTGGGTCTGTTCCCCTTTCAAAACTCCAATACGCTGCTGCATCTCAGGGATGGCACCATATTTGAGATCTGCCGCCATACGGAAATCGCGTGCTTGCTCGGCTCTACTAAGTTTGTCCAGGAGCTCAGAGAAACGATTCTCAGCGCGCTCGAGATCAGTAGCTGGTGGCCCGGTGTTATCAAAAGGTCCCCTATGATCTAAAGATGGCTCATGAGAAGAGAGTTGTTTTGAGGGCATTGTAACCATGGGTTGAGCGAGCGCAGGAGAGCTCTGTCGTAACATATTCTCCCAGGGCGCAGAAATGTTGATTGTCCCTTTCGGCTCCGCGGTTGTGCTAGAGTCCGAGAGAATCGGACGAACTATGGTATCTTTGGGACGTATAATGAGCTGCATGCTGCTATAATCGACAGCGTTCTGCTCAGCACTTGGAGCTGCCTTGTTCACGCCGTCACCGTTTGTCGGACGGGCAACTTCGTGCATGCTCCTGGTCGTAGACTTCTCTGAAACAGGCGATAGTTGATACCGCGAGTACTCGCTGGGAGCATCTTCCCTTATTCGAATGCCCCGAGGTGGGATATCGGCACGGCTTTCCTCATCACGCCGGACTAATAATGTAGCGTCCCTCTCAATGGCATGTACTTTGTCATCGCTCGGCCTTGCTTGATGTTCCTTGAACTCTTTGAGCGGAGAGATCGGTCTCGGCCGACTTCTCATGTGTTTGGCTCCGCGCGCGGGCAGTACTTCTGTCTTTGCGGTGCCCAAGTATGCGTCCGCAGAAAGCTTGGAGCCTGGGTGAGGTCGGTCCCGGCTAGGACTGCGGTAAGGGTACGTGAGTCCATGACTCCGGGTCGCTGCGCGGGACTCTCGGTCATCATAGTGTCGCGCATAAATTTGGCTGTCTCGCCGATCATCATCATAGCCTCGAGATCGCGATACAATGACCTTATCCATGTAGTTGGGATGGCGGGATGAGGGCGATTGCTGCCGGCTGGCTGGTTTTGGCCTACCCCTCAGGTAATAACCGTGGCCCATTTCATCCCCCACCTCAGGGTATTGGAGCACAACTGACAATGTGAGGGGTGTAGCGTGATCGCTTTCCAGTATGGCAATCCAGCGACTGGGGGTTAGGATGTCCTCGCCCTCGTATATTGCCCACATAGACGGATCGACGTTGTGACCTGCGACAAGCGCAACAGCGTATTTCAAGAACTCGGCGAAACTGTAGTCAGGTTCAATAACGACAGGATAGGAACGATCATGCTTGTCCACTAGCCGAATGACGAGAGGTTCCTGGGAGCCGGGCGGGCGGTCGTTGACGAGGATCGAGTCACCGCGTATATCAGCTGCCGATTGCTCAGACATGGTTATGAGCACATCTGATCCGATGAGAAGGCACCAGAGCTGGTTGATGTGCAACCCATCTTTGCCCGGCGCTCTGGCGCCCACCTTCTGCACTACCTGCCCACTCTCGCGTTCATTTCCCACATCGTACCCGTACAAGGATTGCAGGAGACTCCGCGGTCGGAATTCCGTGTCGGAGCCTCGGCGGCTGAGGTACTGGCCCAGGACGAGGAAAGGAGACGCCAGGAATAGTACGGGTGCCACCGCATTGTTTTGGCTGTCCCTTCCCTCCGCAGTGTCCCCCGTTCCCACGCAACGCAGAATGCAGCCAAGTTCAAGATGGGGGCCGCATTCCGAGGGCCCAGTGAATTGTTCCTTGACTCTTTCCAGTGTCTCCATGGCAACCGATCTGGCTTCCTCGGTGACAAAGGGACAGTTGAGAACCAATCGCTCCAGTGGCTTGAACCTCAGTGCGGGCTGCTGTACATGCAGCCATCGCATTTGAGCAGAGGCTCCGATATCCAGTGTCCTCGGACCAGAGGGACAAATCAACGTGGTCCTCCCTACTCCAGTCTCAATTGTAGAATACTCCGATGCCTGAACAGTCATGAGCTCCGTCTTCGACACCTTGCCAGTAAGAGATGTGCATGGTTGCCTCCAGGCAGATGCCTCAGGGGTGGCACGTAACTCCTGGCTCGGAGCACTGGTGTGAACTGTCCGGTGTCCCCCGTTAAGACGCAGTTTTATAGAGAGTCCTTCTTTCTCCACCTCTCGTGTCGTATCAGGATAATCCTCAAACGGGCTGTCTTCATATCTCAGATATCTTTGGCTAGCGTCGCTGCAATTCGCTGCATATGGCCCTGGCAACGACGTCGTTTGTGTAACATCGATGCTGACTGGCTGTGGGGAACCCTCCCGCCTCTCAAGGGATCGGAGTTGCTTTTCCACGCCAACTAGTCTCTCCTTCAAATCTGCAAGATTCGTCTTGTGCCCGTGGTCCTTGTTCAGAAAGTCTTCGAGCTGCTCTGAAAGGGAGACGCCCAGTTCATGTTGCATGTTGCTCGCCTCTGCCATCTCTTCGTCTAGCGACGCTATGCGTGCCTCCAACTGGCGCGTTTTGATTTCAAAATCCAGCTGAAGCCGTTCACTTCTCCTTTCGGCCTCCATGCGCTGGTTTAGCAATGTGTCCGCCGATACGTCGAGGGGCAGCTCTTGCAATTGCTGTGTAAGTGCATCTTTGACGGCGTCAAGCCTCAAGTACTCCGAGGGGGCTTCTGCTAGGCCCATTTTGATGCGCTCGAGGTCTACCTGGGCAATTTCAGCTTGCACAACCTCTGCTAGGCTAGCTTGGTTGTGATCGGGCAGCATGCTTAACAGCTTTTGAACGATGTTTTTCCTGGCATTGTGAAAGTGATTATCGAACGAAGAGCGATCTGATCGCAATCTCTGCAGCTCGGTCTGCATCTGTTGTCGTTGCTGCACTCGTAGTTCATTTTCCGTACGTAGATCCAAGCGGCGTTTCACCGTGGCGCTCCTTTTGCGGTCCCAGATTTCTCTCTCATCATTCTCAAGCTTCTTTACCAGCTCGATCTGCTCGTAAAGCTTCCTTGACAGTTTTTCAAGTCTCTCTGCGTCCACGGGCCCTCGCCACGAATCTTGCCGCAAAGGCGAGCGGTGGTAGGAAGGGGACGGCGTTCGGCGGCGTTCGTAGTATCTTCCAAAAGGGTTTTGTGAGCGCGGCCTCATTATGACTGGAGATGGGGATCGCCGTCTGATCCTCACTCCGGACAGAGAGCGTCGCCTCCGTGGTGGCATGTGATATTCTATATCACCATCCTCGCTGAAGCTGTGGCTACGTCCGCTGGGCTGGTCTCGGTCCCGGTGGAAATGTCTACCATGTAGGCCGAATTCTGGTGCTGGGGGCTTGTCGTACTCACGAGGCGGTGATGTATGTCGCCTCCTTAGTCGAAACTCACGCTCATCATATGGCGCCCCGTAGGAGTCGGAGTCGGAGTCGGAGTCGGAGTCGGAGTAGAAGGATGACATGACGAGCGAACCAGCCAGTCTGGAGGGTGACACTACCGGGTCTCACAGCTACTCACAGCGCCGCTCAAGATCCAGAAAAGGGCTCAAGTTATGGAGGGTTGCCACTTTGATTGAGAAAGTTTCCAGCTGAGCGACGAGGCAGGATTAACAGCGGCGACTGCATCGTTGCATCTGCATGTCAGCCCTGCCACCCCTGCTGGCGCCAACGCCCCGAACAAGCCATAGCTGGACGTCATTCATCCATCCATCCATTGGGCTGAATCATGAGGAGCGGCTGGAAAGACCCTGGAAATAAACATCCATGCCCCAAGACACGATGGAAAGCGATAATGCCCGACCAGTGTAAGTCTGCGGGATAGTAGGTGGGGTGACAGTTGCTCATGCGTGATGCAGAAATCGGACCCGAGGAGGGAGTCTCAGAGAACAGCTTGTCGGTGCCTGCCAAGAGACAGTCGACTCTGCTTACATTGAACGGCATCTGTAGGTCCAGTCCTTTGGTGACGAGGGACGATGAGCCTCGGGACGTGTCGTCATCTCCTACAAGGACTAATAACTTACGGCAGGTAGGTAGGTACGTACCTTGAGTAGCGCGAGGAAGTCCGAGCTGGAGGGAAAGAGCGACGCGAGGCTCGGCGAGCGCTGAGTTTAGCACCTTTCCGCAAATTGATGCCTCAGCCGGCACGTGGGCCCCAGCGTGTGGATACTCGGCTGGCTCCTAGTGACCTAGACTGTAGTCTCCTACCCCGGTCCGCGGGTCTTTGTGGTGGGGCTGGAGCTTGTCCACGGAACAGAGTAATGCCGCAAGCCGGCTCCAACAGCAACCACCAATTCGAGTGCAATTGACGTCGTGACACATCTTGCCCGCCAGACTAGAGTCGGCAACCCCTACGAACATAACTGTCACTCACCTCAGCTGTCGCGACTGGACATGCCGACATCATAAGGAACTGAATCCTCCAAGAGCACTCGGACGGCCCAATGGCCACCGCGTCTCGATGTCGTGCCAAAACCCGGCAACCGACGCCGAGCTTCCAAGCTGCCATCTGGGTCACTGATCTGATGCTACGCCAGGCATACGAGCAGTTCCAGCGCCGCACCCTCATCACCAGCAGCCTGACCGGCGCACACAAGAATTCCCCCGAGGCACGACGGCGGCGCCTGGGGCGCAGGCAATTGACGGCCTTTCTCGAACCTCCCTCGCCGTACCAGCAATCGTGGTACTTTGAGCTGCTGGGCAACAAGAACGAGTGGACGTGGCATCCGCCGTCCAATGCCCAGCAGCGGAGGCAGAAGGAAGCCAAGATCACAGTCGAGAGCGTTTTGGAGAAGATCACACGATGGCTTGAGGCGTCGGACCTGGACAAACCCTTTTTAGACCCACCGGTCGATGATGCTCAAAGCCTCGACACAGTACCAAGTGCTGCAGAGCGCGGGTCCCTGCTCACAGAGGTGGATTCACTCTGTCGCGAAGTGGCTTCCTTCCAAAAGATCGATGATGGCCGGTTAAAACACGCACTAAATGCGTGCTGCAAGCAATTACAGTCACGCATCGATCGCCTGGACTTTTCTGCCAACGACGTCGCGGCACTGTTGCTGCCGAGCACGCACACGGACTGGCACCCCGATCTCACGCGAAAACATCACGCCATGATCACGCATCGACTCGCGAAAACAATGTTCGACATGTTGTTCGCCGTGCACAAAAAGGCACCTACGACGCAGACGCTCGAGGCACTGCAGGCTATCGTCACGGGCATCTACGCAATGCCTCCGAGCCACCATCAATTCCGGCTCTTTTCATTTCTCATGCACATCCCACTATCGGGGCGCGATGCCGTTCTCGATGAGGAGGGTCTCAAGTACATCCTAGAAGCCTTTGTCAATATCCATGGCGACTACATTACAGCACTACCGATGCACGAGTGGCATGTGCGAATCGCCAAATTCTCGGAGACTTTCAATAAATTCCCGACATCGGTACTCAAGTCCCTTGTCGACGGTGGCAAGGTATGGAGCAACGAATCATCCCGTCAACGGGACCTGACGTGGCTGCTGCTCCACGCCCTAAGCACAAAGGAAAGCGTCACAGACGTTCTAGCCATGGCCCAGACCTTTCGCGAGCGCCACGGGCGCTCAGAGAATGAGGGCTTCACATCATCCGAGGCACGAGCCCTGGTGATGGCGCGCATGCGCGCAGGCGGATTCGTAAGCAGAGACTGGGTTATCGACATGCACAAGCAGAGCCAACGATACTCGCGTGAGGCATCGCGTTGGACGGCGCTCGCCGCGACATTTGAGGACCCGACGTTCCAGGGTAACAATGCGGCGCTGAAGATACAGGACTTTGTGCAATTCCAGCCTTTCGACAAGATGGTCACGCGCTTCGACGTGCAAAGGTGGCAACTACAGGCTCTGATTCTGTCGTGGATAGATCCCGAAGCCAGCAACTTGGGCCCTGCGGCCCTCCGCATTCTGGAAAGAGTTGCCGTCCTTACGAGTGCGAAGTCCATCAATGTCCGATTATTTGAGGAGCTGGAGCACGTCTTTCACATCCTGCGCACCGGGGGAAAGCTACTTATGCTCGGTAAAGGAAAGGATTACTCGACCTTGTCAATGGATACTGTCCGCATAAGGCTTGAAGAGCTGCTAGTCCGAACGGCCTGTCGGTACATGGAGACCAAGGAGTTGAGCAACCGTCAGGCCTTGAAGGGTGTTTCCCTGTGTCTCCAGGCTAGCGAGACCATCGCAAGGCCTGTGTGCGGCCTCGGGGGCCAACCAGCCGTGGGCTCGCCGGCAGTACTGCGTGTTGTGTCCGAGGTTGTGTTACAAGATCTCGAGGACGGGCAGTATGGGAGAAGTGCGCGTCTACAATGGTTCGTTGGCAAGGTTCGCCAGTACCACGGCGAATGCGAAGCAGATAAGGTCCAGAAGACACTCCACGGCTGGCGTAATTTGCTGGCTGCCCGTAGCGCGCAGGCATGGACTTCGGCGAACGAGGGAGTTAACTCGCGGCCGAAACGGAAGAGACGCGCCGAAAGACAGGGGGCGTCTTCGAGTCCTGTCGAGGCTTCATTGGTGGCGGACGAGTCACTTGCAACGGATACGTCGACATCTTCCCCAGATCCGTTTGCCAACCTCAGTGCTGAGCGCAGGACATCCTGAAGTATGAAGTGTGAGGGGCAACGTTCTGCATGCGGGTTGATATAACATGCGAGAGGACACCTAGATAGAGATGATGAATATACCCAGCTAGTGTTTACAAGCGAGCCGATACCAAGTGTGCCAACATGAATGCCACAGACATCGTTGTGATTGTATCTCATTCTGCGGCACCATGGAGTACTCCAAGCACCACTATAGCGCTCGTTACTACGGATGGCAATATTCGTGTGAGCAAGAGCAGGCTTGCAAAACATGATAAGAGCATAAGTAATAGATTGCATAAGGGACATCATATATAAACATGTCGGCCGTAATACTCTAACAGAGAAGAAATCAAAGAAATGTGAAAAAGAATCAAGAAAGAGAATGAAAGCAAAAAGCACCCGAACCCAACGCAAGTAAAATCCTGGATATCATAACCAACCGACCCAAACGTCTGCAACCCTTTCCCATGCCCATCCGTGTAATCGATCCTGGACCCGGACCTTGCGATTCATTACCCCAACCGATTCTATTCCCATCCCATATCGTGCACAAAGACGTGTTGGTGCACCTACTCGCCCATGTTCTCCGTGACGACACTAATGTGGCTGCGGCCACCGAGCAGCGACGCCCCCCCAGCGTCGCTCGATGCCGCATAGCCCCGGCGCCCCTTGGGCGTCGCGACAACCACCTGGGCGGGGCACACCACAATCTCCTCGTCCCCTACACCATCATCGCCGCCCCTCTTGACCACGAGGGGGAAGAGGACGACGCGGACTACTGCGCCCTCGGCCTCGAGGTCTTCGTTGGACGACGTGTTCTTCCCAGAGCGCTCATTCATCATGCTGGCGTTGAACTGAACCGTGGCCGCCAGTTCGCCTTCCGAGTCATACTCGGGTTGCAGTGGCGGGAGCATCATGTACTCCGCCTTTTGCGTGCGCATCTCAATGGACAGATCCACAGCCTCGCGGAGGACACGCCGCAGCTGGGTCTGAATCTGGCTCTCGAGATTGCCCGGCGGCGGGAGAATCTTGCAGAGCGTCTGGAAAATAGCCTGGACCACGGCCTCGGTATCCTGGTCCTTTTGTTGCTTGAAATTGTCTCGCTTGGCGAGAAGTGTCAGCGTCACGGCGCGCCACTGGCGGACAGCGTGTGGCGGCCCGACCTCTGTGAGGTTCTTCTCGAGCGACTTGAGCTTCTGGCGCTGCTCTCTGTCCATGCCAAAGAGATAGCGCGTAAATACAAACTCCCAGATCATGTTCATCGTCATGGACATGAAAATGTCCCGACGCTTGACACGATCTGCGAGATATCTGTCGACATCGGAGCCGTCCAGCACGGCATTGTCGAGGCGGTCAATGGTCTTCTCATCGTTGATCTCACTGGTCAACCGGCATGCGCGCATGTCGGAGAACTTGGAGAAGCGCAGCACCCACTGCTGGACGTGGGAGCAGAGCTGCTGGCAGCGGTTGTCAAAGTGGTCCTCATCTCTGATGTTGAGAAAGTCGCCGTCGGCAGCCTTGGACTCGAGTATCTTACGCTGCATCTCGCGGATCTGTTCCTTGGCATCCTCGAGCTGCGCGCGCAGTTCGGCAATCTCGGCGTCCTTGTCCGACAGGGACTGCTGGAAGGTGTTGTGGGCGCCCCGCGCCTCGGTGAGCTCTCGCGTGACGCTGGCATGGCGAGACTCGAGATCTTTGTAGCGGCCATGGTCTTGTTTGGCGAGCTCGGCGTTGGCACTGGTGAGGCCGTCGTTGACTTCGGTGAGGCGTGTGACTTCGTTCTGCAGGAACTGCAGGGACGCCTTGAGCGACTCAATCTCGGAGTCGCGGTCGGATAGCGCAGTCGCGGCGCGCTGAGCTTGCGTGAGGTTCTGCTCGGCGTGTGATCGTGCCTCGCTCAGCATGCGGTTCTCTGCGAGGAGCTGGTCGACTCTGGATTCCAGCTCGAGCACCTGCATGCTTTGTCTGCGTCGCATGCTGTGGGGCCGAGTCGGGGATCTGGGCGAGCCGATGCGGCCCTCGCCAAAGCCATCCTGGTCGTCGTCAGTTTGATGGGGATCGAGGGAGGAACGGGGAAGAGGAGGAGGGCAGCGACTCACGTAAACATCGGTCATGTCCTTTTGACGGACACGACCCTCATTGGCGACGGGTGTCGGGGTGTTTTGTTGACGGAGGGCTCTGAGGTCGCCGCTCATGCGCTTGTCGACCCGGCGAAGTGGAGGTGTGGGGGTGTTTCTGGGCGGCAGCTGGGGGGTGCTGCTGCCTGAGCCTCTGCCCATGCCTGGACTTTCAGGCCGCAGCTTGAGTGGCTCAGGCGTGTGTTTACGCACGAGGCTGGTGTTGGACAGGGAACGTCGCGCCTGTGGCTGGGGCCCCACCGTAGCCCCGCCATGACTGTCTTGTGGCTGGGGCTTGCGGCTGGTGCTCGAGTGGTCAGAGACGCTGCGAGATGAATTGGCTGCTGGACCTGGACCAGCTCCAGCTGCCTGCGAGAGCTCGCCATAATTGCGTGACCTGACGCTACGCAGCGACGGTGACTCCCGTATTTCTCTGGATACTCTTGGTGCCGTCCCCGTTGGTGGCATGGCAGCCGCCTCGCGCAAGTCTCCATAGCCCTTTGATTTGCTTGACCTCAGTGATGGCGATTCGCGCAGTTCCCTCGGGCGCACGAACGAGGGCGACTCGATGAGCTCCCTCGGCTTTGGCAGTGTGGGCGTGTCCCTCAAGCCTCGAGTGCGTCCTATTGATGGAGATTCTCGGAGCGTCCGAGGCTGACCTGTCGTTGCGGGCGTCAAAGCCGCAGCTGGGCTGGAGGGCTCGCATTGTTGGACCACCGCTTTCCGTGTGCTTCTTCTCTTCTCGGGCTCCGGAGTCAGCTCAAGCGCGACTGGTTCTTGTAGCACCGGAGTCCCAAAAGCCGTTCCCACCTTTCTGTTCGTAGGCGTCTTTGCTGCCCGCACTTCAGGCTCGTCTCGACGGCGTTGTTGCTCCTGCCCCTCTGCAGCCAGACGAGCACGGCTGCGACGCTGATGGAGTCTCGGTGCCCCGGCCGCAGGACTTATGTCAAGTTCGGCATCAGTTCCTGCTGGCTGCAGTTCTCTGCTCGCGTAGCTCGGCTCAGGTTCTGGCTCGGGTACTTCTTCAACAGCAGGTAGGGATCGCGCCGGCGACAGCCGTGAGCCCCCACAGTCAGAGTTCAGGGGACCAACAAGGGCTGATGCTTGTGTATCTTCCTGCAACAGACCACTCGTAGGCACTTCCACATCCGAAGGGAATCGTAAAAGGCTGGGCGGCGATCTAGACGCCGTTATCATCTCGCCGCGACCCACGACTGGACTCTCTTCCACCTCCTCGTCGTCTAGGGGCGCACCTTGGCGAGGTGTCTCTTTCCACCCGCCTTCGGACCCTGACAAGCTCTCACCTCGAGGGGTCAACAGCGATTCGTTGCCCTCGGTTGTTTCGACATCGAGAAGGGCCTCCGAACGGGGACCCTGGTCAGATTCGACCACTTCAGTCGAGCCAGGAGCCTCGACTGGTTCTGTTAATGCCCTGGCCTCCTTCTCCTCCTTTGGCTCTGGCTTTTCATCCACGGCCCGGAGAACTTTGTCTTCTTTCTCATCCACCACCTTCTCCTTTTTCTCGGTCTTCTTCTCCTTCTTCCCGCTAGTGCTCTTGAACGAGGCTGCCGTTGCGGTGAGTGCTGCGCCTGCTGCAGCCATGGTCAACGACTCCCCACCAGACGTCTCTGCTGAGTCTTGGGGCGCTGTTGCTTCTTTTGACGTAGGTACTGGCTCAGCCGATGCTTCAATATCTTGCAGCCTGGGGCTGGGGTTTGCCGTAACTTCTTGCATCTTGACGTCGTCGTCTTTGCTGGGCCCATGCCTGGCGGAGTCTTTGACATGGATATCTTCAGTAGACCCAGTGATGCCTAGCATCATGACCTCGTCCTCAGTCACTGGCAAAGTTTGAGTGCGGTCTGACGCGGGAGACTCTGCCCCCGGAGTCATGACCGTGTCTCTGTCCACCTTGTCGTCTTTGGGCTGCTGACGGAGGTCCGCTTGACCACTCTGTGGGATTCCTTCCAGAGCTTCAGGGCCGGTAGGTACCGGCAAGGGCTCTTCAGAGGGCGTTGATGTCTGGACTGATTCCTCCAGCATTTCTTGCGCAGACATGCGCTTCTTGTCCTTGTTGTTTTCTGCAATCGGGCTTGCTGGAGTAGCGTCCTCCGCTTTTCCGGTCAAGACGGTTGGTCCAGGTTGGTCAAGTTCCATGGCAGTGACGGATTCGGGTACTCTGTCAACTGGCTCTTCGACGTCTTGAGTGTCCACTTCGGTTTCCGGATGTGCCAGAAGTGTCGTCGATGTCACGTCTTCGACCTGCGGCGAGCTGGACTCCGCAACAGGAGTATCCTCGTGGCGCACGTCTTCGGCTGCATGTCCATCGCCTTGCGTCAAGTCCCTGGCCTCGGATGTAGCGTCCGCTAGGCTCGGAATTGCCCCGTCTTGATGAGTGGTCTCCGTGGCCTCAGGTAGGTTGCCCGTTTGCTCCGCGGGCTCTTCAGTCGCTTCGCCGCCTGACGGTTTTACTGAAGCTGCAGCTTGAGCGAGCTTCTTGGCTTTCTTCTTGTCCTTCTTCGACTTCTTTACAGAACTCCCCTTTTCATCCCTCTTCCCCTCCTCCTCCTCCTCCTCCTTCGTTGCCATGTACTCTAGCGCTTCTTCCAACTCCGTATCTGCGGACCCCATCTCCACCGGTACTGGCGATTCGCCAATCAATGTCTTAGGCACATCAGTTGTGTTATGGCCAACATCGGCTGCCTTTTTCTCCGTCGTCTTCTCATCCTCCTTAGGCAGCTCGTAACTGACTTGGGCACTCCAAACATCCCGATCGTCAGTAGCAGCTTCAGCAGGTTTTGGAGAGGGTTCTGCTGTCGCTGCCGGGGTTGTGTCAGCCTTAGCAGACGTGGCGGGTCTGTCGGTGTCGCCACCGTCGCCGACAAGTGGCTTGGAGTCGCCTGGCTCGGGCACTTTCTCGCTTGCCTCTACAGGCGTGGCTGGTTTCAATGTTGCAGTGGGCGGCACCTCAAAAGGATCAGGGAGCCCCAGAGCCTTGGCTTCCTTCTTACGTCTTTTGATCTCCTTCTTTGACATGCCTTCTGTTGACAGTGGTTGCGCCTTAGGCTCTTGACCTGCAATGTCCTCCATGTCATCGTGGGCAGAACCGGTGACATCGCGAGGTGCCATAACAGTGGCGGCATGGGAGTCGACATCTTGGTTGGAAGTGGGCTCTTCAAATGCCGTGGGCTCGACAGGCTTGATAGGCTCGACGGGCTCTTCGACTACCGCTGGTTGTGCTGCGGGCAGCTGAGCAACGTCAGAGTCAGCCGCGACCTCAGTCACCACTAGGCCTGCGCTCCCAGCCTGTTCAGCAGGCGGCTCCTCCACAGGCTCGGGCTCCTTGGGAGTTTCAAAAGTCGGCTCCCGGTCCGTTGCTGCGGCCTTGGACTTTGCCTTCTTCCGCTTCTTCTTCTCCTTCTTCGACAAGCCGGCAAGGTCTCCATCATTGTCATCGAATGATGGTGTTGCGGGTCCTTCAATGACAATGGCATCTTGTGCACTGTCCTCTGTCGCCTTGGAATCAGGTTCCACCTCCGCCTGCACTTCCTCAGACACCGTAGCGACCGGCGGCTGAGGAGTTTCAATCACGGTGGGTTGGTCACCGGCCATGATGGCAGCATTGTCTTGTGTGTCTTCCTCGGGCTCAGTGATTTCAACAGGCAGCTGTGGTCTTGCCGACACGTTGTCCGGTTCGTCAACCCCCGGCTGGGCCAAAGACTCAGAAGCAGTTCCAACTTCCATTGTTGGCTCAATAGCTTCTGAGGGCTTCTTATCTTGGTCGGCAGCTTCCTGTGCAGTAGATTTCGAGACCTCTGTCGTAGCCTTGGCCTTTGCCAGTTCCTTCTTCCTCTTTTTCTTCTCTTTGCTGGAGAGCCCCTTTGCCCAGTCTTCATCCTCCTTGTCTGCTTCCCCAGTCTCCTCTGCCGGTGCCTCGATCCCGGCTGCCGGCTCCACAACTGAGACTTCCTTAGTTGGTTCGGTCCCCGCAGGCTCAGCGGAAGCTTCGATTTCTTGAGTGGCATCGGCTTGAGCGACCTCGTCAGAAGAAGTTTGTCCTGCTTTGGCTCCTCCCTTAGCCTGATCGCTCGCAACTTCAGTTTCCGGGGCAAGAGCCTGAGCTGCCTCGATTTCCTTCTTCCTACGTTTCTTTTCTTTCTTCGACAGGCCCGCAGCCCAGTTCTCGTCACCCATGGTCTCCTCAGCAGCAGGGCCTGACAGCGAAGTCGCCGCGGCTGCTGGCACTGGCTCCATTTGGTCGCCCTGCTGATCACTGATAGTATTTTCCTCTTCTTCCACAACGGCAGAGGTAGGGAGTTCGGAGCTCTGGGCACCTTCACTTCCAGCCTGCTGTTCTGCGGCATGTTCCTGCTGGGGTTGGTGCTCTTCATGCCGCTCTGCAGCCGTCAGTCCTGAGTTGATAGGAGTAGCGACCTGATCACCCTCGGAAGAACGCTCCAACGAAGCACTGACAGGGCCTGCAGCGGGCTCGAGGGGTTCAAGGGTGACGCGAGTTGCATCAGCAGCCGCTTGCTCGGCCAATTCTTTCTCGCGCTCCTTGAGTTTCTTTTTCTTCTGTTTCTTGGTCAACCCAACGGCCCAGCTTTCATCAACATCTTCGTCCGGGGTAGGCTTCGGTTCGTGAGGCTGAGAAACGGCATCAACTTCACCTACGTTCTCGGCCTCTGCTAAAGGTTTCTCAGTCGAGGCAGGGGGCAAATCCGAGGCAGGGTTTTCCACGACGAGTGCAGAGGTCTGTTGACTGTCGGCATCAACAGTTGGCTCAATAGCTGCTTTCTCTTCTGCAGGCTCTGCCTTTTCCTCCCTTGTTGACTTCTCCTCCTCTTCGATAGGTGCCGCGGGGACGAGAGAACCGTCGGAAGAGTCTTCATGTTTGGCAGGGGTTTCTTCCGAGGCATCTGCCTGGGGCGTCGGGGCGACTTCAGGCTCCTCTGGAGCGGCAGGGGTCACTGAAGCGGCTGCTGCCGCCGCCTCTGCTTCTTTCATTGCTGCAGCCTTGGCCTTCTCACGTCTTTTCCTCTCCTTTTTGGACAATTTGGACCAGTCCTCCTCCTCATAGGCAGTCGGGGCCGCCAGCACATTTACAGTGTCCTTGTCCATGGCTTCAGTAGCTGCTGGATCCTTGTCTGTAAGCGCCTGGGTAGCTTCGACGATCGGCTCGGGCGTAGGCTCAGGTTCACCTGCATGAGCAGCATTTTGATCAGCTGATGACTCGACAGTAGGATGGCCATGATCGACAACAGCTTCTGGCAGAAGGGTCAGAGAAGTATCAGCAGGATCGGCACCAGCCAGCTCGTCAGCAGCTTGTTTTACAACAGGCTCCTGGTGCACCCCCTCAATATCGGCAGCTTGGACGTCGGCATTTACTGCGCTTCGCGTTGTTTCGGACTGTTCAGCCTCCTTGCGTGCCGTGTCTTCCCTCCTTTTCTTGACGCGCTCCTTGAGCGCAGCGTGTCGTTTGCGATCTGCTGCCTTGACAAGTCTCTTCTGCTTCGCCAATTTAGCCTCAAGCACGGAGAACTCTTTCTCTTCCTCGGCTGCGAGCTGTGCTTCTGCTTCGTCTTCTGGCGAAAGGTCGAGTGTGGAATCCACCCCATGTGTCGGCACCTTCTCTGGAGCCAGATCTAGGCTAGACTTGGTCTCTGTCGCCTCTTTGACGGAGTCGGCCTTATCATCAGCACCTTCCGCTGGGGCCTTGCTCATGGTGGTTTGGTCCGGCGCCATGTCTTGAGGCTCGACGTCAGCTACCGGTGTTGCTTCCTGTTGAGCCGAAGCACGCGCAGCGGCCATCTCCTTGAGCTTCTTCTTTTTTTGCTTGACAGATAAGCCGAATGCCCAGCTCTCATCCTCCTCAGGCGGCACTCCCTCAGCAATCGGCGTGGTACTCTGCTGCGTTTCAGTCGCGGCTTCTCCGCTCTGCTCTGTTGCGGGTGCGCAGATCTGGTTGACAATCTCGGCGCTGCCAGCCTCGTTGCCTTCAGTAAGCTCGTTGACTGGTGCCGTGGCAACTGGTTCAGCTTCAGAAGCCTCTCCCTCAGATGTATCCTTGGTAAGGACTTCAGGGACAACCTCCTCTACCTGTTTCTCTGAAGCAGCCTGGGGACTTAGTTCAGCAGTAGCCTGAGTAGTGGTTTCAGCGGTAGTAGTATCATCCACATTTGGAGGAGGCGCCGTTGCCGCAGCTAATCTAGCCTTCTCCATCTCCTTGGCCTTCTTCCTCTTCTCTTTCTTTGTCAAACCAACAACCCAGCTTTCATCATCTTCCACGTTGATTTCTGATGTGTCTGCCTCAGGATCAGGGGAATCATTTTTGGCTGGTGTTGCTTCAGCTTCGGCTGGACCAGCTTCAACACCTCGCTCTGGCGGTTCGCCAGCCGAAGCACCTCCCATCTGCGCGGAGGCCTCCTTGTCTGCTTCAGGATTGTCATCAGGCGGGGGCACAGTGACAAGATCACTAGGCGCGTCAGCCTTGCCTCCCGATGCCGATTCGGGGTTTCTTTGCTCCTCGGTCGCAGCTTTAGCGGCAGCCATCTCCTTGAGCTTCTTCTTTTTCTGCTTGTTGGATAGTTCTACTGCCCAGCTCATGTCGTCTTCAGGCTTCTGCTGGGGTTGATCACCTATCGTGAGGTCCACACCAGAAGGCTTCTCTGTCGGGTAATCAGTGACCTCAGACGGCTCATTTGCGTCCCAAGAGTATTCCTGCAAAGCCTTTTCCTTGGCCATTTCAGACTCTTCGGCAGCTGGTGCTGTAGTATCTGCAACTTCCACTGTAGCTTGGTCTGCGCCAGACTCTTTTGTAAGTTCAACTGGAGTCACTGCCTGCGCATCGGCAGCTAGCGCAGCAGCCTTGGCCATCTCCTTTTTGCGTTTCTTGATCTGGCTCTTTGACAGTCCTTGCATCCAGCTGTCGTCCTCGACAGCGGCGGGAGGGTCATTACTGATATCGGCTTTAGGGTCGTTGAGCGCTTCTGTGGATTGCTGCTCTCGCTGAGGTGAATCCGTTTCCGATTTGTCGACTTGCCCAGATGGAACTGCTTCAGCAGGGTCAAGGGATTCAACTGCAGCTTCAGAAAGCTTTTTCTCGGAAGCAGCCAGGTCAGCTGACTGGGTATCAGCTGAAACCTCCTCAGGGACACTGGGACTGGGCTCGACATCAGCAAATTCGGTTCCTGAAGCGTCGGCTGGTGATTGCTTGGCGGCGTTTGCGACAGTTTCGGCGTCAGCGGCGGCATCAGCGGCAGCTTCACGCTGAGCCGCCTCCTTCTCCATTTCCTTCTTGCGCTTCTTGATCTGGCTCTTCGAGAGACCGATCATCCAGCTGTCATCGTCCAAAGGCATGGGCGCGGCTTCTTCTGCGGGAGCTGCGGCTGCGGTGGGTTCTGTCTCGCCATGTGATGGTTCAACCTCCACGGGGGCAACAGCTTGAGTCGCAACTTGCCCAGACTCGGCGATGCCGGAGTCAGGGATATCGCTAGTCAAGTCTTCAGGCTGCTTCAGGTCGGTCTGCTTGGCCTCTTCAACGAATGTCTCGTGAGGCTGCTCGGCAGCTGCAGCTCCAGCGTCGGCAGGTTCTTGTGCTGTATCCTGAGCCTGGCCCTTGGCATTTGCTGCAGCCTCAGCCTCAGCCTCAGCTTCAGCCATTGCTTTCTTGCGTTTCTTGATCTGGCTCTTTGAAAGGCCTTTCATCCAGTTATCATCCTCAGCCGGAGCACTCTCGACCCGTGATTCAGTCACAGTCTCTTTCACTGGTGCCTCGGGTTCGGTTCTGGTATTCGTCGGCTCGTCATCAACAGCAGAGACCATGCGCTCTGAGGCATCGTTGGCAGCAGGCGTTGGGTTATTGGCCCCGATATCAGTCGTCGAAGGAGCGGGGGCTTGGTCATGGGAGCTAAGGAGGGATTGAGGCTCGTCTAATTCCTGGCTCGGCATGTCTGCAGGCGTATCGCTGACCAGCTCCTCGTTTGCATTCGTCATCTCGGTGGTAGATTCTTGTTGCTGGATAGCTTCTGAATCCATCTCCTTTGTGGATGCGAGCGAAGTCTCAGGATGAGCCTCTGGCTTTTCTGGCATTGAATCATCTGCTGCGGCAGATTTTGCCGCTTCGGCCATCGCCTTCTTCCTTTTCTTGATCTGCGATTTGGACAGCCCGACCATCCACCTCTCGTCCTCTTCGGCTGCAGGTGCGGATATCGGGTGGGATGGGTCGTACTCAGGCTCTTCCAAGCTAGGTTGAGACTCTTGGGCCTCCGGACCTGATGCAGTGACAGACTCACCCATAGTCTCTGGGGGCTCGACTTCTGCAGTTGGGGCCTTCACATCATCCACTTCCAAAACTGTTTTGACAACGGCTGGCTCGGGCTCAGTCGTGGATTCAGAAGGGATAGTGTCGCCGCCAGTGGGAGCGGCCTCTTCAGCACCCTCTTTGGCCGAGGTTTCGGTGGTGATCGTTGCCGGCTCTGCTGTTTCCTTTGACTGGGCTGTGGTTTTCTCCATTTCCTTCTTACGACGCTTGATCTCTTTCTTAGAGAGCCCCTTCATCCAATCATCAGTGCTGTCGGCAGTAAATGGTCGTACTCTATCCTGGGGAGTCTGGTCGACAGTAGCCGCAACGTCAGGCGCAGCAGTATCACCGGGGGAAGGGTCAGCCTCGTCCAGCGTTTCTAGCTTTGCTGCGTCTAAAGCCTCCCCATCGGAGGGTTTGGGAACTTCCTCCGACAGGTCCAATGCAGAAGGAGCAGGTCTAGCATCGCTCTCCGAGGCTGCCACACTGAGAGCAGCGTCGGCTTCTGTGAATGCCACATCTTGGGCGGATTCCGCTGCTGCTTCTGCATCAACAGTGGCATCATCAGTAGCATACTCGACAGGAGCAGCTGCGGCTGGGTCTTCGTCGGTCGCCTTTTCCTGTGCGAGAGCCTTGGCCTTCTCCGTTTCCTTCTTTCGACGCTTGATCTCCTTCTTCGACAGACCCGCCATCCAGGTGTCGTCGTCCTCGATTGCAGCAGTCTCGGCGGTATTGTTGTCAACTTGCGCGGGCGAAACAAGCTTTTCCATGGCAGATTCTGGCTCGTCATGTCCCTGAATCGCAGCAGGCTCAGCACCAGCCGGCTGCTCTGAAGCCAGAGGCTCGACATCATTGTCCCGCACTTCCGCCTCGTCGGGGGCAGTAGATGGCTCAGGCCTACTTGCTGTAGGGACCTCTTCAGCGGGTCTATTGGCAACCACTGTGTCGGTATCAGCGACCAACTGCTCGACGTCAGTTGCGTCTGCTGCGCTGGCAGCGGCTACCGCTGCTGCCTCAGCTTCTTTCGCCTTCTTCAGCTTCTTGATTTGCTTCTTGGACAGGCCTGCGTATTCATCCTCATTGGCTGGGGTCTCCTCCTCTTGTACCTTTTTCTCAGCAGTAGGAGTCTCTAACGCAGGTCGTCCGGTGGCGTCCGGCACTGCAGGGTTATCCAAAGATCGGGAGGGCTCTTCGGTCTCTTGATTCTCAGCTTGCGACTGCTCTCCCGGCGCTTTAGGCTCATCGCTGGGAACTTTGGTCCCTTCAGCAACTGCGTCCACGAAGGTCTCTGCCGGCGCAGATCCAATACCGGTTTGCGTTTTCTCGAGCTCAGATGCGTCAAGCTCAGGGCCAGCAGGCTTGGTTTCGCTGTCAACTTCTAGCGGAGCAGAGTCATCGTTTGAGGACGGCTGCGTATCACTGGCGGTCGCTGAGTCTTTGTCCTCGACTTCGGGATCAAGCGTGGTTGTGACCGAGTCTTGATGGGCTGCAGCAGTTGATGGGATGTTTTCAAGATCTGCTTCCGCAACATTGGGGGCCCTGGTATTGTCGTGATCCTGGGGACCAATGTCTGCTTCCAACGTGGCGCTCGCGGCGGCCGCGGCGGCCGCCCTCTCCTTCTTCATTTTCTTTTTCTGCTTATTGGACAAGCCAACAGCCCAGGACTCATCATCATCAACATCCACTGCAGATGGGAGCTGGGATGGCTCAGGCTTAGCTGCTGACTTGAGATCCTCGTTTGACGCTGTGTTCTCAGGAGCTGGAATCACCTCGATGGTGGCAGGTTCAGCGACACTTTCAGTACCCTCGGTCTCTGTTGGCACATCCACAATTGCGGATTCGCCCCCGGTAGGCTCCTCTACCGCAGGCTCCTCTACCACCGTGGAATACTCGGGTGTCGGGGGTTCTTCGACCGCGGCAGCCTCTTCGGTCACAACAGGCGTATCGGCAATGTCAGTAGGTTCAGATGACTGTCCAGCAGACGCCTCTCGGCTAGAGTCCTCAGCCGGCTCTACACTTGCAGCAGAAGCTGCTGCTGCTGCCCTCTCCTTCTTTAGCTTTTTCTTCTGCTTATTTGAGAGCCCCTTGGCCCAGGACTCATCATCTTCCGGGGTAGTGGCAGTTACTTCTTGCGACGAGACTTCTTCAGGTGTAGCGTCGCGGACCGGAGTGGACGTGTCAGCAGTGGCAAGGGGCTCAGACAAAGGCTTAGCCTCTTCTGTCGACTCATCTAGTTGTAAAGGCGAAGTCTCTTTGTTCTCTGGTTGACTCTTGGGCTCATCGTCATCCTGTGCAATAGCAGTAGGCTCGGTCGACTGCTCAGACATCTCGGGGACAGCAGCGGTCGGCTCGCTTTGTATGCCCGCGTTGTCTTTACTTTCCGAGTCACTTGGCACCGTCGAAGTAGCAGCCAAGGCGGCGGCGGCAGCAGCAGCACGTTCCTTTTTCAGCTTTTTTCTCTGTTTGTTAGACATGCCTGGGGGGAAAGAATCATCATCATTTTCATCAACATTGGCGGATTTGATCGCATCAACAGCAGCCGGCTCCTCAGATAGTTGAGCATCCGTGGCGGGCACTTCGGCAACAGCAACGTCTTGCTGTACGTCAGGCGCCTGTACAGCCGCCGGCACTGCCTCTGAGTCCGCAGGAGCAGGAGGCTCTACCTCGTCCATCGGCTCATGAGATCGGACACCGACAGCGGGTACGTCTTCAGAGATATCTTGCAGGGAAGATCGGCACTCCTTCCCATCGCCAGGAGTAGAGGTAGATTCACCAAGGTCGAATGACACAGACTTCTTTTTGTTCTTCTTGTTGTTGTCTTTGGAAGCAAGGCCAAGGTCCGCTGCTTCTTCTGTTGATAGTACATTGCCTTCATCCCCGTGAATGCCCGTATCCGACAAAGCCAGAGTTCCAGCAACTTGCAAATCCTGCGCGGCGCCCTCAGACACGGACTGGGGGCTGTCAACGACGACAGTCGATGTCGTGAAGGCGGGTTCTCCAGCGGCGTCCAAGTTGGGATCCGGTCTGGTCATCGATTCGGGTTCCTGTGCTTTCTCAGACTCGGGATCTTTAGCTTTCTTGTTCTTCTTGCTCTTCTTGGACTGTTTGGAACTGGACCCACCCCACTTGTCGTCAGGATTCGCGTCGCCGGATATGGACTCTGCAGGTGTGACGAAACCAGATGTGTTGTCTGGGCTGGTATCATCGGTTGGATCTCTGGCGGAGCCGGTCACGGCTTCCTCCCAGGCATCAGTGGTCTCGGACTCGGCATACTCAGCGCGAGGGGTTTGAGCACCCTCGTCGCCAGCTTCATAAAGTGGGTGATCCACTGGCTTTTTCGGTGTCTCGACACCAGGCTCGGCCTCTTCTGTCGTATCCGCTGGGTTGGCCAGCTGTTTCCTTCCTTTCTTGGACTTCTTACCGGTCACCAGGGTGCTCCATTCGTCCTCGGTGCCCTGGGATCCAGGAGTGGAAGACCGTGGCTTGTCCCATCCGAGGTCATCTGTCGGCGTTTCTGGCTGAACAGTAGGCTTCGAGAAAAATTCGTCCTCAATATCCCAGCCTTCGCCAACCGCGGGCGCCTCTTGCTCCTCCTGCTCGCCATAATACTCGTCCCCTTCATCTGCTTGTGGATCAAAGTCCCGCTCGTAGTCAAATTCGGGATTGTAACCACCCCAGCGGGGACGAGAACGCTGAGTCAGCGTCTCCTGTTGTGTGGTGTCGTTGGAGGGCTGATCGTCCTGGCTGAACAGCGGTTCCGATGGCTGTCTTTCAAGACCCGGGGCCTGTTCCGCTATTTCGCTGTCATCAACGTCGCCCTGAGGTACAACAGCTTCATTTTCATCGACACGATGGACTACGGTCGCAGTCTCGTCTGCCCCCCCTGGCGCAGCTGCTGTATCAACGTGCTCAGGGTCAAGTTTCGCTGTAACTGGGATTCCGTCTCTGGTCTCAGGAGCGGTCTGATTATTGGACTTTTCAGCAATTGGCTTGCCCTCTTCAGGAGCATCGAGTTGAAGCGCCAAAGCCTTCTTCTTGTCCTTCTTCTTCTTTTTCTTGGACTTGGTCGCTGTTTCCTCAGCAGGAGCAGGCACATCGTCTTGAACTGTGGTCTGTTCGGGAGCCGGCGCCTCAGGCTCCTCTGGCTTGACATCTGCTTCGGCAGGTTGGTCAAGGGTCTCGGGAACTGGCTCTCGGGTTGGGTCAGCTAGCGGGGAAACGGCTGCCTCATCAGCAGGCGACGCAGACTCTTCTGGCGTGCCCGACTTAATCCACGAGCTGTCGGCCTGGAGTGCTTTCTTGCGTTTCTTTTTCTCCTTCTTCGAGAGCGTCGGGGTGAGCTCTTGTTCGTCGGCAACGTCAACAGGTCCATCTTCCTTGGAATGTTGAGCAAGCTCGCGATCAGCAGGCGCAGTCGCATCAAGAACGACGGTCTGCTCGCTCTCGGTAGCAAGAACACTGTCTCCTTTCCTTTCATCTGCTTTGGAATCCGTTGGGATATCAGCCTCAGCGGCAGCGGGGTCAGCGACAGGCAGCTCGGCTTCAGGTTGCGGCTTGTCGCTGGCAGCAGATTCGTTCTCGGTGGGGAGAGCAATGCCGGCGGCTACGGCGGCTGCCGCAGCTGCCTTCTCCTTCCTCTTTTGCTTCTTACTCGTCTTACTACCGGAATCAACTTCGAGCTCCTCAGGTAGCACTTCGGGTGCTTCGATCTGCCCTTCTGCCGCTGAACTTTCTGGTGGCGCAGCCACTTCGGTGGGAGCCTGGAACCCAGGCGTTGCGGCCGATTCACCCTCAACAGCAGGTTCAGTAGCCGTGGAAACCTCGAGCGGAGCGTCTTCCTTGATTTCCTTTGAAGATGATTCTTCGGGGGGTGCTGACTCATCCGGTTCCAGCGCAGCTGCCTTTGCCTTCTTCTTCTTCTTCTTCTTGCCCTTCTTGCCGCCTGAATCAGCATCCATGGCAGCGGGCTGAACAACAGGCTCGGCGACAGCTTCAGCGACAGGCTTCGCTGCCACCTCCTCACTCTGTGCCACAGAGTTTTCGGGCAAGGCAGAAACAGTCGTCTCGTCAGCCACCTCGAGAGTGCCTTGGTCGATAGCAGCTTCAGCGACTGCAGCATCAGGTTCTGTAGTCTCCTCGGCTGGAGGCGCAAGTTCATCGGGTTGTTCAGCAGGAAGAGGAGTCTGCGAAGCTGTATCGATAACTGCATCGGTCTGCTCGGTTTCAGATGGTTTGCTTTCGCCTGCGTCCGGGGAGCTTGCTTCCACAATCACGAACTTCTTGTTCTTCTTCTTTTTCGACTTTGGCTTAGGCTCCCCATCATCCGTCGCTGCTACCTCAGTGTCCTCGGGTGCTACGACGGCGGCATCCGCGGTAGGTTCGACAGGCGGTTGGGGTTCATCGAAGATCACCTTCTCGATAGACTCGGCAGGGATGGTACTCGCCTCGGTCTGGGGCTCAGTCACGGCGTTGGGCCCGTCACTCTGAACGTCTTTTACATCTGTCGTGGTCTCAAGCTTTGTCCCTGGAGCGTCCAAGTCCAGTGACAATGCCTGCTTCTTCTTAGCAGCCTTTTTAGCTTTCTTCTTCGCTTTGCCCGTGAGGATGCTCAAGTCAATGTCGTCGTCGGCAGTTTGCCCCTCGGAAGCTGGTTCAGGTGCTGGCGAAGCATGTGCAGACAAGTCTCGGGTGCTTGGTGCCGCATCCTCTCGAGCGTCGGAGAGGTTCTCACCGGTCGACATCAAGCCTTCGTCAATGTCTGCAAGGCTGCGGCTGTTTCCAGATTTGGAGGGCGATGAAGCGATGTCGTGCAGCCTCTGCGCCACTGCCTCGTTGTCTACAGTCCTGTTCGACTTGGTGGAGGATGGCTCGGATTGCAGCAAGTACGAGCTTCGATCCTTTGACATGGCTTCAACGGGATCCGGGGTTTGCTGCTCCGCCGATTCGGCGCCTAGTTCGTCCACAACAGGTGGGAACTCGGGCCTGATCTCAGCCTTCGGCGTTGTCTCTTGTGATCCAGCACCATCATGTGGCACAAATGCTGGAATGGCCGTGTCGAGACTGAGTGGCGGTCCTCCACGGTCTGTTTCCGCATATCGGCCTTCAGCATACTCATCAGTCGACTCCCAGGCTTCAGATCCAGGGCCGGGGGAGCTCCTGGACGAGGCCTCGCTGGGAGGAAGAGCAGGCAGATCGGCCTGATCAATATCATCCGGTGCCGCTCCATGACGGTTGTGCTCGAGTAGATAGAGCGGTTTATACTCGCGGCTGTTGTCCCAAGACGTAGGACGAGCAGCGCGACGTGTTGAGCTAGGCGACTCAGGCATCTTTGGAGACCCGGCAGGCGACGGCCTAAGCACATTGGGCGACGATGGTCCAGATCGATTGCCCAATCTGAGTTGTATAGGGATAGCCGTGTTGCTGTGCGTCTTGACTGGTGTCTCCTGGGCGCTCTTACGCCTGGCGTGGGCTTGCTTTGTGTTCCTCTCCTCAGGCGGTGTGTCTGGCCTGCTGTCCGGCAGACTAGGCAGCTCCTCAGGGGCCTTGACGGGGGATCCAGGCTCGCTGGGAGGCAGAGGGAGAAGGTCGCCATATTGAGGGTCGATGGCCGGTTTAATGGCCCTGGCCACGACGTCGGGGTCCAGATCGACGTCGCGTGACCATTCAGTGATCTCTTGAGAAGGGTCCTTCTTCTCAGAGAGCGCATCGTTGGCATTGAGGCGGGAGAGGGTGGACGCAGCGGCATACCCAGCAACACCCGCCAAGCCGACACCCGCGCCAAGGGTGCCGGCATTACCTAAAAAAGACTGACTCTTTGACTTGTCGTCGTCTCTCTTAAAGATACTGGAGAAGAGGCCACCGCTGCTCCTCTTCTTCGAGAGCTCGGCTTTGCGACCACCGGGCGCGGACGCCACGGACTTGGCATCGTCATCGTCCTCATAGCGGTATGAGCGCCTGCTTGACTTCCTGTCATCACCGCGAGATTCGGACACAACGGAGCTAACGTCACGGTCCTCAAACAAATCCCGGGTTCTGTCCTTGTCTGGTGGCCCCTCACCATACTCATAGAAGTCCTCTGCAGTGCCACTGCGTCTCTTCGACTTTCGGCTGCGCCTCGAGGTTTCCGAACCAACTTCAGAGGGCGCTGCTGATCGTGATGGTGAATCGTAAGCGCCGGAATCGCGTCTAGAAGGAGAGTCATAGCCACTTGATTCACGTTTGTGCCTGCGGCGATGCTCCTTGGGCTCTTTCCAGTTATCGCCGCCGCGGCCGGCCTTGCTCAAGTCGTCGACAGAGTAGGAGCGCGAGGACTCATCCAAACCCGATTCGCGTTTCGACTTTTTCTTGTGCTTCTTGAGGTCCTCATCCACGCCATCTCCATTTTTATCCTTGGATAATGACAAGTCATCAACAGAATAGGAGTGGTCAATGGGGGCCGTGGTTGGCGAGTTGTACAAGCTCTTGGACTTTTTCTTGGCTTTTCTCGGCTCGTCCAAGTCATCGGTAGACCTTAGATCCCTGGAAGAAGCAAAATCGGCGAAGGAGTCAATGGGCACGGAAACGCGCGAGCTGTCGAAGTCATCCAAATCGCGGCTCCTACGGTCCATGGACTTTCGGTTCGATGAGTCAGGCCAAGTGCCATTCTCGACCTCAGCTTCGGAAACAGGCTCAGGCTCCGCGTAAACCTCGGTTTCCTTTGCTGATGATGCCGCCGCAGCTGCCTCGTCTTCCGCCTCCCTGGCCTCCTTAGCCTCCTTCTCGCGCTTGCGCCTCTCCTTCTTGCTGAGTTTGACAGGTGGCTCGTCTTCTACCACGGGAGCCGGATCAGGGACTTCGGCAAATGGTTCAGGCTCTTCGGCAGGCACATCACGAGCACTGCTAGACTCAGCAGCTTCATCAGCAAGCTGCTTCTGCAGCTTCTCCCGCCTCTTCTTCTCCTTCTTGCTGAGCTTGCTCGTGGGCGATGTAGCATTTTCAATAGACTCGGTGGGCTTGATCTCGTCCTTGGGAGTCTCGACCTCACCTAGAACAAACCCAGGCTCAGCCGGGCCGGTTTGTGGCTCACGCGAGGCAAGATCAGACACTGTTTCAGCGTACGCAGGCCTATACAGGCCATTGCCATTGATTTCGTTGGTGCCAGGAGGTGAGTCTCGGCGACGATATGTTGGGTCGTCAATGACAATGTTGGGATCGAAACCAGTATCCTTAAGCCCAGCTGCCAAAGTGGCAGCGAATTCAATGTCGTCGGCAAAGGTGCCAGGCATCTGCTCCGGGCTTGGACTGGAAGGCTTGGGTCCGGGGACAGGAGGTGCGCCATGATCATCTTCCACGCGATAAGCGTGGATGGACCGGCTTGAGCTGGGATCAATGTCCTTGGGCGACTCGACAACAATCCGAGGTTCATTGTCGGGCTCGATGCTGCTTCCAGCCATGGCAGCGGCAGCAGCTCCCCAGGCGCTCGTCTTGTCCAGGCTTGGCCTTGACAATCCGCGGTCATCGCCCAATTCGCGGTCATCCCTAGGCTCAGGCGTGACTACTTTGTACTGGTTTTCCCCCCAGCTGACAGACTTTGCAGGGACAGTCATGATCTCGCCGTTTGGTCCGACAACGACGGTAGGCCCAATGTCAGATTGTGCGGTGTCGTCCTCAATGTCCCGAGTTCGTCTCCTGCGGGAGCTGACACCAACCTCGGATTTTGACGATCTATTGTCGTCTCTGTCCTCGTCCTTGCGCCTCTTGCCGATGCTTACGTCTGACTTTGAAGACGAGTCTGTGTAATCGCGGTCGCGTACATCCCGACCCTTGCCATGTTCATTGATGCTGCGGTCGTCAGGTTGGTCCTTCTCTTCCTCCACTTCAATCCCAGGAGTGGTTTTGCGGCTGGATGCCGGGGTTGGGTACACCAGGTTCAAGAGTGGACGCGCTCGCTCAGTGGATTGCTCGTGTCGGTAGTCAGATCCGCCATACTCAGCGCGGAACCGTGCCAGCTCGCTGGGCGAGAAGACATTGTCAATCCTGACATCAGCGTTATGCTCACCGTACTGATCCTGAGTATGCTGCTTCATCTGTGGTGGGGTGACAATTGTCGGAGGATCAGCAATGTCGCCGTCGTCGTCCTTATCCCATTTGTCCATGACCGACTTCTCGAGAGTAACGCTACGGTTGCGGGCCTCATCCGAGGCAATTTTCCGTGCGGTCTCTTGCTCCCGATAGTATTGGTCTGCCTCGTCCTGTACTGTGTCCCTTCCACGCCGACTCCGGCTGCGGGATCTGGATTCGGGAGGTCCCTCACAACGCCTGCGACTCTCAGACCGAGAGGCTTCAGTCATGATGGCACCGGCCATGACGGCGGCCGACACAGGTGCTACAGCATGCGCTGCTTTGCTCGTGACGTAGTCTTTGGCTGCCTGTTGCTCCTCCGGGGTCGAATGCTTCTTGTATTCCTCCACCATCTTTTCGATCTCGAAGGAGTCCCTGCGGCTCAGGCGCCCTCCGTCAATCTCAGGGAAGTCAGGGTCTGAGTCGTCAAAAATTGGCTCCCGGTCAACGACGACAACAGATGGCGTCAAAGGCCTGGCGGATGCACCTAATGGCGGGTCGGTGTCATGGACTTGGTACTGGAAAGGGTCAATAGTCGATTTTTGGGTCGCCCTCTCCGTCTCCGTAGTCTCTTCGGAACCTGCCTTCGTAGGTAGGGGAGTGCCGCGATAGGCGTCGGGCACATTCTCGTCATGTTTTCGGCTTGAGCGCCTCGAGCTACGTGAGACCTCGCTACGACCATCGGCAGGCTCGTACTTGTCACGTCGTCTGTATGACTCGCGCGTCGGATCCTCTTCGACAGCGCGGTCCCGGTGTTTCCTCGAGACGTCGCTACGATCGTCGTGACGTGAGGAACGCTTGCGCTCCTTTTCCTTGTCCTTGTCGTCATATACGGAGGACCGAGAGTCGCGCTTGGATTTGCGTTCCTTGTCATTGCCACGGTCCTTGTCACGGTCCTTTTCGCGTCGCTTTTCCTTTTCGCGCTCCTTCTCGCTCTCCTTTTCGCGCACACGCTCTTTCTCTCGTTTCTCGCCACGCTCTGAGCGCCTTTCACGCTCACGACGATCGACATCAGCAACTTCGCGTGCCTCCTTGCGATCGCTAGGGTCATCTTTGCGGCCACTGACTAGCGCGGTTCCAGCAGCTGCAGCTGCCGCGCCAACTGCAGCAGCGCCAATCCAGTTTTTACTGTCAGAGCTCTCCTTTGGGGGCTTTGCATCACGACTCGTGACATCCTCGAGTTTCTCGGCATCGTACACCTTGGGAGATACCGTTTGCCGAGGGACAGGTTGCTGCAGGGGGACAGGCGCTGGCCTCGACCTCTGCGGGAGCTCGCGCTGCAATGAAGCGTCGAAGCGAGAAGGATCCGACGTCGCCACTGGGTAAACAGTGCGCATAGGGCCCAGGGGCTCGGTGCTAGAGCGTGTGAGAGGCCGCGGGTCACGCTTAAGTGGCTTGCCGTCCTCGCCAAACCCGCAGGGTGTGTTGATCATGCCACGGAGAGAGTTGACGGGGCCGAACAAGTGCGGATCGACAACTGAGCTCTTCCTGTCGGCCATGCGCCCAGCTGCTGCTGTCATTGCTGCGCCTGTCACAGCGCCGGTGGCAGCTGCCAATGTTGGGCGGATAGCCTGCGAAACGACCGTCCCATAGGCCATGGACGAATCGGCGCTATCATCGGACTCGGAATCAGAATCATCGGAGGCGGACTCCCAGTCTGAATCATCTGCGGAAGAGTCGACTCTCATCTTGGATCCCCCGAGTCCTCGGCTCTTGGTCCCCGGCTTTGAGTTCTGATAGTTGCTATACTGGGTGGCAGCAGAAACAAGACCAGATGGACGGGATAGTCCCGCCCTCCGCATGTCATCATCGTTGCTTGCCTTGGCAAGGTCAGAGAGCTGACGCCCAATAGCCATGATCTCGTCATCGGTCTTTCGCCGACGTGGCGTGGGTGCCTTGGGGACGAACTGGTTGTTCACATCATAGTACTCGGCCGCGAGGCCCCCCGCAGCTCCAGCGGCAGCCGTGGCCGCCAAGGGCGCGGCGTAGCTAGTCTCCGCTTCATGCTGTGTCGGGGGATGCGAGAATGATTGCGAATGCCCATGCGACGGCAAATATTGCGAGGGCGCCTGGGGTCGGTGGTGGTGGCTGCTGGAGGCCTGGGTCGCCGCGTAGGCGGCAGTACCCGCCGCCGCTGCCGTCGCTGCTCCTGCTGCTATTCCCGTAGAGGGCCCGGACGCCGAGGGCAGGGAGGATGAGTGGCCATGCTGCGATGGTCTGTCGTGTCTGGCCGTGAAATCGCGACTCGACTTCCTCCGTGGGATATAGCCCGTGCCGTATGCCAGGTCTGAGTTGACAGACGAGCTGGAAGAGTTGCCAAAGTACAGCACGCGTGCCCTTCGCTTCGCCTTGCCGCTCCTCCTCCGCCTTAGACGGCGGTGCTCTGATGGTGTGCGAAAAAAGGTGTTGAAGACACCGCCTAGTCCCCTGGGTTTGGGGACCTCGGGGTATCGTCGCGAGATGTCGAGAAGTGAGGAGGATGTGGAGCTCGAGCCGGACGAGCTGGAGTATGCCCTGTCGCGATGGTAGGATGGAATGTGGTTGTGTCTAGCGGTCTCGGCTGGTGCCGCGCCACCTGGCGCCCTTGTTGATGACTCGCCCGCTGTCTGTGAATAGTATTGTGAGGGTTGACCGCCACGATCATCGTGGGTCGTGCTGTAGTATGATGCCGACTCGTACTGGGGCGTGCCTGTGTTGTAAAATGACCTCGTCGCGGAGGGAGGGACGACACGCTCGGGAGAAGCTTGTCTCTCGGCGCGTCGCCGTCTCCTGGAGCTCTCAGGGCTCCGGCGACGGGAGTCATCCATCGTTGCTGGTTCCAACTGACTGCGTCGTGTGCGCCAACCGTGATGGGTGATCAAGCGGCTGCACTGCGCGGTGGGCAGTCCAGTCGTCGGCAGGTGGTGATTTTTGTTGTTGTTGCTGTTTTGGAAGGCGCTGCCCAGTCGGAGCAGATGCTCTCTCAGCTGCGTCTCCAGCCGTCAGATCTTCCAGTCAGGCCCGACTGGGTCGCTGGGGTGCCGGCTCCAGCCTCCAGTCCCCATCGTCGAAGAAGCGGTGGCTGGGATGGCCCTCTTCTGCCCAATCACATACTTGTCTCGCCGCTGATGGGCCACGGCCAGACCCGCCCGAGCCCAATTGAAGCTGAGATGGGGGGGCCACTGCAAGTGAAAGTCCATGATGTGGCTGACAGAATAAAGAGCAACGATCGCTTCAACTCATGCCATCACCCAGTCAATCGACACCTTGATGGATTGATTATTGCGCATTGTCGCTTCTGCGATGAGTTTCCGCGCACTCAATCTGCGTCTGCGAAAAACACACTGAACTTCCATCGGATAGCAAGTCACCGATGCATCCAGCCCACACTGCTCGAGTACGTATTCATGCGTTTCCCTCTCATCGTCTGCTGAACTGAGCGGCTTATTTTGTCCTCAACTGGAACCACAAAGTGCCAACTGGCAATGCATGTGGGACGGGCCATGACCGCCAAGACGTGCTCATTCGTCGTGAGATCGGGTCTCCTCATCATGCATGTCCGTCCTGGAGTGAGCCCGAGTCGCGCGCCGTGGGCTCTGTTCTTTTGCCTACCCGGTACATTCACATTGTGTGCTTTTCACGTATAATACAACCACAAAGTTGGAAGAGATGTTGAAAGAATTGTCAGCATCCTATCTCTCATGACCAACGCACAAGGACGCATCTATATTCTTGAATCCTATACGCCTCCGAAGAATGCTAAGTCCGACCGATGACGCCAAAACGAAGCCAATCTGGCACACAAACTATTTGTGTGTTGGAGTCTTGTCCACCAAACTCTATTATTCTGTCCCCCAAACCCAATATCCCTATAAACCTACACAAGTGGCCGGAATCATAAGGAATCGGTCAAGTTGCGATGTGGGGGAGTTTCTCAGTCTGTCCCACCCTCCTCCTAGGACGGATTCATGAGATCGTCGCCATGAGAGTATCTTGGGTCACTGCTGGAGCTGGGCTGCGGCATGCCCAAAGTGGTGTAGTAGTTGAGTTGCGTGGCATAGTAGTAGCCCTGCCGTGCTCCCGAAGACAGACCATCCGCCAGGGCACCGGAAGATTCTGTAGTATCTGTACCCAAGACGGCATTGCGTCCTACGTAGCCTTCATATGGCACTCCGGAGGGGAAGAACAAGTCCCCGCGCGGAAGAACAGCCTGGCTCTCATTGGCGTTTGCCGTGTAGATAGAACGAGGAGCGGCCAAGGCATCAGGAATTCCTAGATAGCCTGCGCCCGGCAGTGGGAGCTGGCCATTGACAGAGGCTTGGCCAAGTGGTGCACGGGCTTGTGTAGAGCTACGCTCGAGTTGATACTGCTCTTCGGCCGAAGCAGTCCACAGCCCTGTCTCCGGCGTGGCAGTGTGGTCTTCATGTATGCTGTGGCCTTGGCGTTGTCGAAGTGTGCGCGGGCTTTGAGCGCCACTGGTATTGCCAGGGGTCGTCAAGGGACGCTGCTGAGCTGAACTCGCCTGGTATGGCCCGGACAAGGTGATTCTTCGACGCGAAGATGGTCGGTTCTCGTTCAGCACGGCCTCCCTCGCGCGTCTAGCCCGTATTGACTCGTTAACCAATCGTCGCGATACTCCTTCATCTGCCTCTTCGCGTCTGTCCAAGCTGGGCATGACAGTCAGCAGCTCGCATTTGGCCTGCTCGGGAAAGGTTTACGTACAGCTGCCGTCTGACTGACTGGATCTCGCGGAGGTATTGCGCCATGTTTCGTAGCCAGGTCGTGGCGATGCAAGGCCCGTGGACTTGCACAGACGGAACCAGCCGAGCTCGACAATACGGGCATTCCATTTGCTTGGATCCCGCAAGCCATCTTTGCATGCATTTGTCGCCAAAAATATGCTTGCACGGGAGCTGCAGGGCCACCTCGCTGATCCCTTCGGGTATCTGGACGCCGTAGGTTTCGAAGCACATCTGGCACTCTGGTGTTGAGGTCAATAGAATGTTCCTAATACCACGTCGATACCAGCTTACCAGTCGAATCCGCAGTTACCTGGGCTTGCTGGAATTCTAGCAAGGGCTTTGTCACCTTAAACGCCCACTTTCTCAACGGCGTCTCTATAGCCTCCCTTTCATGGTCTTCCACGTTTGCGCTGCCGAACTCCGAACGCAGACGATTCCTAGCTGCGCGCACAGTCTTGTCCACTTGTGCAATACTGGCGTCCGTAGGCCGTGCCGCCTCTGCATCTACCTGGTCAAGCCAGATGTCGTACTCTTCGTCCGAGTCGTCTTCGTAATGAGGGTGCGTTGTGAGACTGGCATGCCTCGGGGAGGGTTGTCTGACGCCAACTTGCGTGCTATTCGGCAGTATGGCCAGTGGCGGCATGATGTTTCTGCCTGAGAACAGGGTCAGCATTCTGACAAGCACACAGACGACTTGATTGCGTAGCGCAGGATTCAGTGCTTAATCTTGGTTCTTGCTATGCATGGTCAAGGTGTTATTGGGGGATAATATCTTACCTGAAAGGATGGTACTCCTATTCTCTGCATTTGTGGATGATGCGCGTTCAGTCTGGTGGGCGGAAGAGCGCACAGCATGTCGAAAGGCAATATCAGCTCTGGACGACAAGGTTGACATGCGATTCCGGTGACCATTTTCATAATTTGGCGCTGTGTTCCATGATGCGCGGCTAGACCTTGCTCTAGGGCTGGACGCCGTGTGTGGCCTTGAAGAATTTAGACTCGACGCCTGGGCCCTGCGCCTGTTGATCGCTGTTAACCGGGGGACTTGAGTTACCGGATCTCTCACAGCTTGTCGATTGATAAAAGATCCCGGTAAGGGCGGCAGTGGAGCGGGCAGAGGTGGCTGAGATTGTCCAAATGCGAAGTTCGGTCGCGGAAAGTCGGAGTCGTGAGATGCTGAACGCGCATGTGTTGATGGTCTGTCACTCGCCGGAGCTGGGGTCAAACCTTCCATCAGATTATGATTCCCGGGTCTGTCAGACTTTCTCTGAGCCCCCGGCTCTCCAGAGAAATCATAGATATCCATGGCGAGTTAATCCCTGTGCAGCTGTCCTGAGAGGCGACAACATGCGCCTGCGTTCGCCGTCGCGGCCCAATCCTTTACGCAGGTGATGTCTGTACACGTATAGGAGAGAGTCGCTGAATGCAATTCGCGTACGAATATGTCTGATGGATGTAGTGCGCGCTTCGGTTGACAGAATGCGCTCGAAGCACCGTCTCTCTGCACAAATGCAAGTCCAGATACCGGCGTGAGGTGAGAGTCGAAAAGGGCCGACGGCTGCGCTGGTCCGCAGATATAGGCGAGTGCCAGGATTTCACCAGGGCCCGGTGAGTCAACTCCAAGATGTCGATCAAGATGAGACGAAGGAGGTGACCGAGCAATGCGATGGGCCAAGTGTTTGCTCGCTCGTGTGCGCAGCGGTGTACGGTGATGCTGCCTGGCCTTTGGCACGTCCAGTCAATGACCTCCTCTCCCCGCCCGCTTATTGAATGCCACTGTGAGGTGAATGACCAGCCAGCGCAGCCCAGTCAGTCTGCCCAAGCCAGAGCGCGCACGTGCTTCTAACCAATCGACTCGAGTATTCGAGGGTAGCGAGTGAGCGAGTTGGTTGCCCTCGCTTTTCAAGTGCAACAGGCGACTGGAGCGAGCGGAGATGCTGGCGCTGGGGTATCAAGGTGGAATGGGTACGCAGCTGTCGGCGACACAATGTGGCCGGTTACTGGGCGAGGCGTGATGAGGAGATGTTGGGCAAAAAGTCATACGACAGCGAGGGCAGGAAGAGGAGAAGGAGAATCAAATTGAGGTCCCAGAAGTGTGGCCTGTCGGCGACGTAACCTGCGGGAGGAGGCTCGACTGCGAGTCAGCTGAGACTTGTCCCAAGGCAGAGAGCGTCCTCGACTGGAGTCTGTTTCTGGAGGCGCAACTCCAACGGGCCATTACGGGGCAGAGAAGGTCACAGCACGACGGAGCGACGGTGATCACCGGTACCTTTGGTAAGTAGTAGGTAGACAGTGAGAGCAAGGGGCGGTGGGCACACTGGTTGCGAGCGAAAGCGAGTCGGGTGCGTGTAATGCGTTGCGTTTGCGGGAGCGTATAAGCGTGTGCCCGCCCGCCAAAGCCGTGATAGCGAAAGGTTAATCAGTGACGGGGTACGTACATGCAACAGGCCAAGATGGAATGTGCGTGATAACCGAAACCAACAAACGGGCTGGGCAAATGGGTCCTGTGCAGATCAAATTAGCCCCAATGGCTCGCTCCTGACCTGCGTGTCTGCAAATTAGCAGATGTTGCAATGATGCGGCGGCCTGGGACGGCCTGGCCTTGCCGCATGAATCAAATGCAGATGAAAAGTTGCCCACGGAACGTGACGACCAGCAAGGTGGTGAAGATGACGACGGGAGGGAATCAGCCGACCATGGGCTGCACTAATAACTTTTAGTAAGGTAGTTGATGACCCTCCGGAGCGTGCCAGTCACAATTATGCCGAATGACCCCCAACAGGGCGGTCGTGGCAGCATATGATCAATGGCCAAGGCAGCGCGCTCAGTCAATCATCAGCAATCGCCTGCTGGTCTGGCCTGGCCTCGCCTGGTCTGGCCTCGCCTCGCTACGCCTCATGTCGCCTTGCCAGGACTCCAGTCACCTCCAGTGCTTGTAGCACATGTGGAGGGCGGTATATCTGGTTCGGTGGCAGCCACTTTGGCTCCATTTCAAGTTCCAGTCGCTGTTATCAAGCAACGACAAACAGTGACGCCAAGGTCACATTGCTGTCATCGACACGTCGATAATAATGCGGCACCGTCTGGTGGCTGCAAGGAGGGGTTAATGGCTTGAATTCTTGGGAGAAGCGCCATGCCGCTCCATGTCCCAGTCGACTCGCCCGCATTGTCTGCTAAGAAGAAGCTAGAGCACTACGTCCTCCGAGTGCCTTGGCATTTCGTGTTGCAGTGGTGACCGCACACGGCGATGAACCAAAAAAAGCAGTTTCGTTGCTTTGAGAATGGTGAGCGCGGGCGTTGCAGGGAAAGACTTGCCATTGCTTCTGCTACCGCCTTCCGCTTTGGGCTGCTGCTTGCGGCACAATCAAAGAACCACTAACGTCGTAGACGGTAGCGACCACATTTCGCAATGATGAACTAACTACTTATTGGATTCATTGAACCATCACCGCGGCGATGTATCCGGGAACTGACTGTGCATGATCTTTGCCGGTAGCCTGAGGACTGAAAGCAACATGCATTCAGAGCTCTCGGCGCTGCTCTGCAATGATAGTCCATTAATAATAAACCCTTCCCTGGGTAGCCTCCATGGGTATCTAATCACTTCATGGGTCGTTCATGCTGTCTCTACTAACCGCTCACTTCTTAGGGATGCGGTACTTTCCGCCCACGAGCTCAATATTGCCCTCAGAAACCTTTTCGTTCATAAACTGCTGCAACTCCTCGCTTGACCACGTGCATCCACCCGGAATCAGCATCTTCATCATGGTGAGAATACCGGCCAACGGCTTGGGCCCGCCGTTGGTCAGCATGCCAACGACAAATTGCCAGTAGACCGCCTGGCGCTGCTGTTCCTGCGCACTGACACCCTTAGCCTTGTGCGCCGAAGTAGGCTGCCGACTGCCATCGAAAGTCGTGTCGGGATCATCGCCTGGGCTCTCGTCATCGAGGCGTTCCATGACAATGTAGGTTCTATCGCCAATGTCCTTGAGAACCTTTTGTGCCTGCCAAAACGTGAGAGCAGCGTCGAGCAGATCTTCGTCAATGGTGAGTTGCAGCCATATCTCATCGAATGTTTTCTGTACCGGAGCCGGCTCGCTCCCTTGGTCAAAGGCAAAGATGACGGCTGCCTCGAATGTTCTGCATTCCATGTCGATGGTGCGGTCCTCCAGCTCGAGATGTACAGTAGCCAGGCCCAGATGATCGAGCCAGTTGAGCTTCCGAGCGTTCTTGACTCGTTCAAAACCAGCCGCATACTGCTCCTGCAGCGCTGCGACAGGCTTTGGCACGGCAAATGATTCCTTTGGCATACTGGGCCAGAACAGCCTGGATAGGATCTTGGAGTGGAAGCCAAGCGAATGACCATCTGCATCCAAGGTTGGCTCAAGGCGCTGAGCGAGAATCGCATCCAAGCGACGCGAGTCTTGGACGTCCTTCATCATGACATCGCAATTTTGCAGTGCAGGCTCGCCGAACCTCCTTTTGAGCAGGCCCAGCACTCTGAGCTCCTGTTGATAACTCGTCTGGTTCGACAGGAGGCGTTCGGCAATAATGGCCTGGAACTCCTTGATGAAGATTTCCTGAGACCCCAGGGCACTGATCAGTGTGCCGATGACGTCTTCGTTCTTGGGTCGCTTGTAGTTGACTCCTGCGTCCACGGGATCGGGTATCCAGGACATGTCGTTCCAGTCAGCATCGTCGCCCTCGATCTGGCGGCGCTGTTGCTGGGCTGGGTCATTCAGAATAGTAGCCAGTTCCACCAGTCTCTTCTCGCTCTCCTCCTCGCTGAGATCCTTGGGATTAGAAAGAAGACCCGTAACGACAATGCGGATCGCGTCGTCTCGCTGGCACAGATAGAGCTGCAAGGCCTGGACCACCCGATCGAGAAGCACCTTGGAGGGATCTAGTGCATGGAATGTCCGGATCATAGAAATGTACGTCTGTAAGATCGACAGCGTCGAGCGGCCCGGGTTCAGCAGTCTCTTTTGTAGAGTCGCAGAGAAAACGTCTGTCAGTTGCAGACGGCGCTCGGGTGTCGTCACCGCCGCGCGCAAGTCATTGGCACCTCCTTTGCTGTGAGGCCAGCGCAGGACAATGTCAAAGAGCTCCTGTATGCGGAGCGAGACTAGACGTCCGATTCCAATCTCCTTCCAGCACTCGACATCGCCATACGCGACCTGGAGTCCGAGTCTGTTGAAGACGAGTACAGCAAGTTGGCCGTATCTATTTTCGATCCATTCGCGCAAGTCAGCCATACACCCGGTGAGCATCGCAGCGGCCGGCACGGCGGTCAGAACTTCTCCTCGGGGCTCAGACCATACACCGTGATAAGTCTTGTAGATGTGACTCTGCATACAAGAATCCATGATCTCGGCCAGCAGAGCTTGGAACTTCTCCCCCGCCAGGCCCACATTCTGAAGTGAGCCTACAAGCCCCAAGAGCTCATTCCTGGGCCTAGCTGTCCGCTCATTTTGATCTAAGTCTGTGGACGAACCTGGGCCCGCACCGTCGACACACACAATGCTGACTATGAGCCTACTCAGGACCTGGCGCAGGGCATTCTGGAGGCCTGAAGTCCAAGAGCTACCTATGATGGCATGGAGATCCCGTCTAAAGCGCAGCATTGCATGGTGAGCACATGATTCGCTGGCGTAGCCACGCACGATCAGCGACAGTCCGTAGAGGTACTGGCGATGAGCCGCCTCGAGGGTGCGAATGCTCGCCAGCAGCGCCTGGTCATGACTTCCCTGGCTGGAGCATGCCGAGAGCAGGGGCAGGACATGGTTGACAAAGTGTTGTCGGACTTGATGAGTATGCCAGGAGAGTATGTCCTCCGTATGAGGCGCGAGAGGCACGGTCGAGCGGGGGTCGACGAGCAGAGCAACAGCTGAGTTGAAGACGTCATCGTGTTCCTGCGACTCGGGCGCGAGTGTCCCGAAGGAGTCTTCAATGGCCACCGATGAGGGCAGCTGTATGCGAGACGTGACTACATGCCATGCGCGGTCCCATTGCACCTGGTCGCTCATGAGCCCCTCATGAAGCCTGGGGGCGGCAGCATCAGTGGCAAGCGCAGAGGGGGGTGGTGGTGGTCCACCAAAGGGCTCGCCTGGCTCAGTCGACGGGAGCAAGGGCGTGGGTTGCGAGATCTCAGCGTCGAACACTGAGTGCAGCACCTTGTGCTTTCGCGCGCGGAACTTGGACACGGCCATGGTGACCTATTCCGGGATGAATTGCCGCTGCAGCCGCGGATGGCGCATGCTGCTGGCAAGGTCTCTGCGCCTGGTCAAAATGCGTTTAGCACTGCGACGCCAGGCGGCTTTGACGGCTGCTTTCGAGAGGGGGTGGTTTGGCGTTGTGGTCTTGAATCCTTGATTGTTGTTCACTAGGGTCGAGCGCGGTTGCCCGCCATTGTTGTTGTGGACCGGACCCGCGGCAAGCAAGGGGCCAGACTTCTTAGTAATAAGCGACGGGGCCTACCAAGAACCAACAAGCGAGGGCGCTTGGGGCGCTTATCTGCGGCGCAGCAGCCTCTAGTAGTACTTTGGGCACTGCAGGCTAAGACAGCTACATGTAGGCAAGCACACCGCGTCATCTCCAGCAGCAAGGGCAGCAGCAAGAGTGTCGAGCTGCCACTCCAGTCTCTTCTGCTGCCGATACTGTACAGCCGCGTGAAGGCGGCAATTTGTCATTTCGTCCGCTGACCCTAGCCATGTCGACGCTGAGGCGTGGGGCCTGCGACGCACATGTAGGTTGCGTATCTGGCCGCTGAAGCGGCAGGGCCCAGGCTCAACAGTCAGCAGTGCAGCACCCGAAACCTCCCAAAGCCTAGAAACTGGGAGAATTATCCCTACGTAGTTCCCTTTCCATTGAATTATAAATGGCGCATCTGTTATAGGTCATTTTAAAGTCGCATGCTTCGCCTTTCTGGACAACGTGCAGCCATTTGATGGCATTATTTGTGGCGACCAACATCTGAGTGCCTGGCACGTCCGTACCGCTCGTCACTGGTGTCACAAACAACTCGAGAGGACGCTAACGGATAATAGTGATGGCACTTTGTCGCGTGCAAGCTGTTGGGCGTACTTCGCACGGTGGCCAACAGGAGAATATGCGTCTCTCGAAGCTGTTCGCCCTCGGCCGAGTCAAATGGCTGTCGTATGGACCAGAAGTACCAACCATGTCGGTGAGAGCCTGTCTGCTGGCGCTTGTTATCTGGCCCGGCACATGACGGTTGAGTTCTGAAGCGAGCAAAGAAAGAACCAACTGCAATCGTTTAACTAATACCGGCAGTGATATCTTTCCTGGCGATGTGAGCACCAACATCCGGCAGGTCGGAAAGCAATGCGAGCTGCCAGTCACCCGTCGCGCCTTACGTTGCAATGAGAGAATTGTGAAGGGCCAATGAGGCTCGCACTTCAGCTCACAACCCCGGGGCCGAGCCGCCGAACTTTGAAGACTGACTCGCTATCGTGGGGAACCTGTCGGACTCGGAACCGCGAGGGCGAGCCCTGGTCCGGCCCCGGCTATCAAATCTGTGGCCCACGGGTACTCTAAGCAGCGTCGCACTTGGGAGCAGTCCACTGTCCAGGAGATCATCCAGCTTGGCGACCGAGCGAATGGCACACACCCATCGTGGCAGCGTCGCAGTGTGCTCTTCAAGTTCCCACGTCAAGTGGATATTAGCAGACGCACTGCTTCGTAGTAGCGTGGCTGGTGGGTTACGTAGGCCGGTCAGATGCAGGTCGAATGCAACACTGCCAGGGAGCCACGAAGGCAAGATGAAGTTATTTGCAATGAAGCCCTGCTTATGCAGAATCCAGAGTAGGAATTATCATCAGCTCGAATACGCATATCTATGTAGGTGAGGACGATTCGATCAGTGCCGAATCCTTCGTTTTGCACTGGGAGAAGAAAATTTGATAATAGCAAAGAGCCGACTTGTGAGGGCTCGGCAATTGAGACGTAGGGGTTCAAACCGCAAGAGGTGATTGCTCCGTAGTGATTGCTCCGTAGAAGCAGTGAAGAACAACTGGTGGAAGATATTACAGTACTTGGCGGTTGCCTTGGGGGCGGCGCCAACCCGGCTGAACTGCTACTTGAGGTAAGGTGACAAAAATGACCTGACCGTCAATTTGCAATGAACTGATTGCCTCGCCCCCAACTGCCTACTGCCAAGAGCACGACTGCAGATCTGGAACGATGCCTGTTAACACAACCACGACACTAAACACCCCGGAGATACACGGTACTCGGGCATTCTGGCGACGAATTTCCAAAGAGGCGGTCACTGCTCGGCGATCACCACCATTTTTAGGGTTTACTCCTTAAGTGACGATCCGGTCAGTGACGGAGGGGTTTGGCGGGTCCAGCCACAGTCCAGCCAGCGTTAGACCACAAGGCTAGCCTGCAGCAGAGCGGCTACAACTCATGTTTCCGGGGCGCAAGCCGCAGCCGTGTGGAATGGAGTGAAGGCATGAGACTGGGTCAAGATGAGACCCAGCAAAGACACTGGAGACATCCTGTAAGCGACGGATCTCGAGACGACAGTTGCCACTTTCTCATTTCCTAGCTACGTACATGCAAGGTGCGATGGCAATGTCCCAAGAGGCAGCAAGACTGCTATGCACGTTGCAGTGATGGAAATGGTACGGATTTGCTACTTTCCCGTTTTCGACTAGATTACGAAGGGCGGGTGACCTAAATAAACACAGGTGGCTGACGTCTAATAAAAGTACGGCTCATGACTTGTTGTGCCTCATCTTGTCTCGCAGGCGAGAAGCATGGCAGGCTCCCCGTCCCAGGGTGCTGCCGGACGTCTGCACACTCTACCACCACCTCCTCCACTCGCCCAGCAGGCAAGGCGAGGCCCGGATCTCGCTAGACGAGCAGCGAGCGACAGATTGCGCACAGACCATCAGGACATCCCGCGCCAGCGACAGACAGGGGTTTCGGGGCAGTCAATCTATCCTGGTCCTTGTCAGCCTCTACCGCCTCTAGCCTGATTCACGCACGACTTAGCCCCCATCTGAGCGAACCCAATTGAACTTGAAGCTTTAATAGTGGAACACGCCACGGGTACCCTCAAGCGCGGATTGGCTTGTTCGGGACTTGTCCGCTCACACACACCCCTCCCTGGACCTGTCAAGTGCGGTACGATATCTGGATGGTTGGATTGGGAAGAACTTCCCCATCTCGGTTGCGACCTTTGCAAAGTAATTCCATTACTACCTGACGTTGAAGACATCCTGTCTATCCGTACATGCTGAGACCTTTCAGAATTCATCCATCAGCGCTAGCGCAGCCGGTGCCGCGACAGACAGGCAAACCTTCACCTGTCTGAGGGGCTAGCGCGCAAGGCCTCTGAATGCGATGCACCTCGGGGAAAAGGCATACTGAACTGGTGTCGAAGTTAGCCGTGCGGGAGGGCACCTTTGTCTGAAGCGTGCGCTTAATTAATAATTAGCACGTGCCCTGTCCAGTCTCTCGTGCTCCCAAGTCATGTCCCCTCTTGTCTCCACATGCGGCGGCCGCTTGGCTTCACTGTGACATTGGGACTGAATGAGTCCTTTGAAAAAACACAGGTGAATAAATGCTTTTGGGGGCCGGTTGGTTAAAGGTAGCTGAGGCATAGATCTGGCCTAGCACTGACAACAACCAACACATTGACGCACGCTGCCAGGCGAAAGGATTGACAGCTGACGACCCCGGTGCGTGTGCGCGCTGAAGCCTTACCGAATTGCCGCGATGAGTGGGGGAAAGAGGGTGCCATACGCATACGGCGGCCAACAGTACCCGCAACTTATGTCGTCTCGCTAGTATATTCCCGAAGTAGAGTTGTGTGCAAAAGAGCAAATGTGTGGCCAGTCCTGTCAGCTGTGCAATGATGCATCTCTGCTTCTGAAGAATATGGGCACCCTGGGTATTCATCTTTACGTGCTCGTGCGTGTTGAAAACGTACGAATAAGCAAGTGCGGCGGTCTCTGTACGCAGTACGCCACTGGCCAATAAGCGCGGCAGACACTTCAGTGCTATTGACGTCACTCTCGCTTGATGAGACCAGTCAATCACTTCAAACCCATCCATCAGTCGACTTAACGAGAGCTGCATTCTCACCATGCATGGACAAGTCTAAGAATGGCATCACATGGCGTCACCACATAAGATAGATACTTACCAGGGAGCAGTACACCTTGTGCGCTTGTTTTCTTGTTATTGCGTCCATGATGTGTTCTGAAGACTGGGTATTTGACTATCTACTTATCTAAGTGCTGCTGTACGTGAAGTTGCGTTGAACAAACATGTATGCGTTGGTAAACGGAAGAAAAATAAAGGCAAGCCCGATATAGAACGCCAGTGGTTCCATGTCATGTCCCATCCCATCATATCCTACTCATACAGAGTCTGGATTGCCTTGCGTCGCCGTCGTGGTCACATTGCGAGGACCTCGTAATCCACAATGCAAGCATGCTTCTCCAATTCCAAATAGCGCCCCCTCCACTAGGCAGGGGATCGCAAGCGCCATCCCATTTCCGTCCAAAACCCATGCCACTGAAAACGCCGGTCTCTCTCTTGTTTAAGTGAGACAAAGTCAGGCAGGTAACATCTGACCGCTTCCCTGTTGCAGAAAGGTCGATCAAATACACCACCGTCCTGAAAGAAGAAAGATTCCAAGAGGGCCCTTTGAAGAAGAACAAGAAGAAGCGCGCTGCCTCAAAGGGCGGGGACTTGGGCCACAGTAGTCACTGCTCGAATAAATATAAAAAATAGGTTCCGTTGGGCTGATTCCCCGAGTCCCGACTCGTTGCATCCGATGCAGAGATGGGTGTGGAGGGGGAGGCCTATGAGCTCAGCCCTAGCAGCATCGCAAGGCGACGGCTGTGAAACCGAGGCCAACGCGGGAGACCGTGGAACCTGGATGCTGGTATGGGTGTTTGGTTGCTTTATTCTTGGCCCCCAAATGATCGATGGATGACTGAGAACATGGTGCCACCAACATCCGAGAATAGACGACGGTGCGTCTCGCATCGAGCCGGTCAGGCCGCGTTCTTCACGAGTTTCTCCTCTGCTTGCACTTGTCATGCAGCATGTGCCCATTACGTGCCGTCGTCCGAGTGAACTCGGCACCGCAGTTGGGACACGATGCCTTGTTGGCTTGCCCCGACTTTTCACGCTGGTGTCGCAACAGGTTGCTGAATGTGGAAAATTGGCGCCCGTTGCAGCCATGGTCCCAGCATTTGGGCTTGGGCCTGCTCTGCACGACCCGGACGTGGCTACCCTCTGGCGAGGTGGCCGTGGACGTGTGGCTCGCAGCGCCGCCAGAAGTCATGGCTGCCGGGACCTGATACACCATGCCACTCTCTTGTCCGATGGACAGTGATGAGGAACGGCTACTGCGGATGTCATGTCAGCTTACCGTTACATGCAGATTGTCGGCCCAGTGGCCTTGCGGGGCTCAAAACGTACCTGTAGCCTCCCGATGGTGGGTACGGGCTGGCTGAGTATTCAATGGGCATGCCGTAGCTCTGCGGTAACGAGTGTGCGTATGATGTAGGGAACATTTGCGCCTGGCTGGGGTCTTGCAGTGGTGGGCTGTATGAAGGCATGTAGGGTTGTGGCGCGATGGGCGCGGATTCGGAGAGAAGAGACACGGGGGCGGTCGAGGCAGAGTAGCTGGGCATCTCCATGGAGGTGGTGACGTCTGGGATGGGTGACATGCTGGGGGACTCCATGTACGATGTTTGGCTGCTCACGCGGCGGAGCCGTGAGGCCAGTCGCGAGTCTCGCCGTGCGCGGTCTTGTTGGCGCTTGAATTCGCGATGCTGTGGGGTGAAGCTGTGGTGTCGTGGCGGGCTCGATGTCAACGAGCTGGTCACGCTGGGAGGAGTGAGGCTGGGTTCGGATCCGTGGTGGTATGTCGCTGGAAACTCCTGAGCGATAACACCTTCTGGCGATGCGCTGGGCTCGAGGGGACCAGCTGAGGAGGTGCTGTAAGCTTCGAGGTCGTATGCTGATCGCGGCTGATTCCACTCACCAGGCCAAGTGAAAGGTGCAGGTCGAGGACCAAGACCCATGGCTGAGTCGAAGGGTAGGGCGACGGCGCTCATTGTTGTGTGGTGTTGTCGCGAGACGCAAGAGGTTAGGGAAGAGGATCTGGTACGAGGCCCCAATGGGGAACGGTACAATGCGAGAAACAGCAGCAGCTTAAGCACACAGAGTGTCTGATACACTTCAGGTGCAAGGTCGAGCTAGGACAAAGCCGTTGACTCTTTCAAATTTTGGGATGGCGATGTGGGCGATGATCCAGACCAGAGTGGTACAAGATGGACAGTGTTGTTGCAAGGTAGCGGATGTTGATCAGACGTTGGAGAGGTCGGGTAAGACGAAGTAAGGCGAGCAGGGCTGACTGAGGCCCTGGCAAGTGTAGACTAGATGACTTCTTGGGCTGAGACGAGGCAGGATGTATATATCAGTATCGCTTGGTGTCGAGTGAGGTTAGAGTCAGTCGTTGGACAGATCAACTCGTGCTTGAGCCAAGTATCGGACGTATCGAGGGCTTATATGGATACAGCACGTCCAGTTCGAGGTGGAACTCTTCATTACAACCAGCGAGCAGCCTTGATGGATAGTACTCGGGGCCATGATGACGGGGGGCAGCCCACGATGGGCGGCTTGTGGCCCTCCCCTGTCGGTACATGGTACTGGGCCCCCTGTGCTAGACGTGCCATGGGGGGCCAGGGGCCCTGGGGCCCGTGCCAAGTGAGCTTGACCATGGGGCAACGCAGGACAAGGCTCAAGCATAAGCAAGGTCAAAATAGCAGGGGAAAGTCGAGGGGGGGTCGCAGTCGAGGAGACTGGACATGGAAGACATGGCACGGAGCAGCGAAACTCCACCACAGGCGGTACGTATCTTCTGCCCTGTCGCGGCAGCAGAAGTGCGCTGCATGAAAGAGGTTAGAGGGTGGGCTACCCGACGTCTGGCTGTTCCAGTGACAGTCCATGTCGTTCGCTCAGGCGTTCTCCGTACGTACCCACTGGCGATTCCCGGAGTGCCCTAAAGTTCCAAACGTATACGTACCCAGTTTTAGACAGTGAGGAACGTGAGGACTGGAGGCTGAGGTGTGCGCTTTTTCCGCTGGTTTGGCAAAGGCAGTAGAGTTTTTCCGAATTTCACTGTTCTCCGGTTATACAAAGTCGTGCTTTTAAGTGCTGTCTAGCACCAATTCTTCTAGAAGAAGAGAAAATGAAGGCGAGCCTGGACGTGGCTGCGTGTCTGTGCGGGATTGGACGGAGGGTGGGTGTGTGTGAGCTGTAGGGGCGTGGACCTCATTGTCCGCAACAAGTGGGTTCGGCTCAGTGGCATAGATTGTGGAGAGAAACGTGCTCCAGTCGCTTCTCGCGAACCCTCGGTCACTCAATGCTCACATCGTGCTCGCAAGTGCGTGACCTTCGTCCCCCTCCTCTGTCTCTGTCCCAAGCATTGCAGGAATTCCCCGAAAAAATCAGTGGCTTGGAGAGGAGGGCTTGCTGCGTCATTATACCAAACGTTGAGAGGTGCGTTGTTGCCGAGGTGCACTCCGGGCCACATTGTCCAAATGTTCGCACGTTTTCGCGTCTGTCTGTAGGCCAGCCAAGGAATGCATGCCAAGACACTCAAGTTAATTACCGTACGTAGTAGTGCTTGCCACTTGGGCGGGTCGTAAGCGGGAAAGGATACGTACCTTACTTGTCTAGATCCGTACATGTATCGTACGCTTGTTGATCGCTTGCAGAAGCGCGCGCTCAGGGTCGGCAGCCAACACACACTTCGTCCTCGCCTACTAGCAGCTTTCTTTGGCCTCTGCCGCCATGACTTGTTATGGACGTCTCCTGGCCGAGTCTGTCCCACTCACCCACGGTTCTTGCTGGTCTCGCTGGTCTTTCTGCTCTGCCGGGAGGGTATTGGAGGAAGACTATCTAGTGCAATATTCCAGGCGGTCATGCATTCTATGCTTTTGCGGAGGGCCAAAATGATAGCCATTCGCCATGTAATTTTGGTGTATGCTAGCGTTGTATCACATGGACTCTTAGCTGTGTTTGAAGTGCGACAGGCGGTCTAAGCAGCGACATGGACATGGACTGTCCGTGCCTTCACGGCGTTTGGGGGGCTTCCCAGATGTCACGCTCACCCTTCGCTGGCACGCGTGCGATTCTACAGCGCGGCAGTGGTGAAAGGCGACAGGGGTCTTTTTTTCTGGCAGACCGTATGTTGCGCTGACAAGTGACAACAGATTTCAGGGCCTGTGGAGTTCTCTTCGTTGTGAGGTGTTGTTACATTCCCATGTCGACGTTCTAATCTTGTTTGCGTGAGATGACGACAGCCGGCAATATGCCGACTTTGGCTTGGCGTGGAGCTGGCGCCACCAGTCCTCGATCTCGTCGAAGACTCGAGGTCTTGTCTTCATGTTGTCTTGGCGAGGGAGCGGTATCTGGCAGGTGTTTGAATCTCATCGAGATGGGCTGGCCTGATCTGGATTGAGCTGGCTGCCCGCCGCGCTTGCCCTGCCACGCCTTACCTCGCCTTGTCGCGCCTCGCTGGAGCCTGGCCCATTCATATTCGCGAAGCCTTTCTATAATAATAGGTAGTGACTGATGTATTAGTGAGTGACCCGTCCGTCCGTCGATATCAAGGCGGGCACCCCGATCCACTCATCTCAGGGAGGGTCTCCCGAATCAGGGTCCTGGCATTTCATGTTTTCTGGGAGGCATGCTTCCCTTGAACATGAATATGAAAGAAGCGCAAGCTGACATGATCCGATGGAGATGCCCTTTGTGCTTGGGAGTCCTAGACCATAGTCCCCGAACCTACACGTAGACTGGTTCTCCGCGCGGTTTAGGGCCTAGACTACGGACTGTCCAGCAATGCTACTAACGCAACCCCGCGGTATCCCGCATTTCCAGTATTTGTTGTTATCCGTAGCAATGATCCACCTTGTCCTGTCACTGACCGATACACGCGCCAACGTGGTGCCAACACCCAATTGAGAAGCACTGACTGATCGCAAACAACACCCAAATCTAATTTTCTAAACGTTATCATGCGGCACATAGTGTTGAAGGATTGTCAATACCCGTCGAGCACATGGGTGGAGGATGAGGATCCCAGGGCGTGTCGGGCATGTGCAGCCAAGCAGCGGCTGCAATCTGCATAGTAGTACGGCCCACGGGTGCTGATATCGCTGGGGTTGTTAGGAGCCGGCCACAGCTTGTCCTACAGGGAAGTCTGTGGTGAAGGTTTGGCTGAAAGGTTTCGCCAGTGACAGCCGTGATCGACCTTGTCTAGCCCAGTGAACATAAGCCAGACATTGAGACCATCTGCACGATATTCAACGGTTTGCTGCTAGCCCCTGTTCTAGTCCTACAACCTCCTTCTGCCACAAGAAGCAGAATCTCAACCCCATACTAATGGCTGTGACCGGGAATGGCGATGTTGCTCGGCATCTCCCAGTGGACATAAAATTAGACTCCTGGCTTGGAATCAATTAGCCGGTTCTTGTAGCATCGGTAGGGGGATAGGCAAGCTAGACGGGTCCACCCCGTGGCCACTGAGAACATTTATTAGCACATTTACCTTGGTAAACAGAGATCTGTAAAGAAGGAGATGTGCCGTGTTTGGGACCTTTTGTCTTCCATACTACTGCATGATGGCAAATTTGGGGACCCATCTTCCAAGTTCGAACCTCCGTAACAATCCATCCGCGTGCATTCCAGCGGGCAGCACATATAGTTCCGCGGACCAGACGCATGTTAATAGGTCTTCTAGCATGGCACACAGTAATGCTTTGACGCTCCCTCAATTAGCAATGGCTTAATTTGTTCGGTTATCAGACAGAAAGCAACAATATTCAAGAGTTGCTCTGGTCGCGGGACACGGGAGTCGGGACGGCCCTCCACGGTCTCGTTGGTGCTCGGGATTTTTGCATGCGACAAGCGTTGAGCCAGGAAGAACAAATGGGGATAGCGGTAGACAAGGGGCGTGAACAATCGCTTTGATGCCACACGTACGTACTCAGTGCGTACGTGCCTGACGACTTCATGTTGGCTTGGCGCCAATGGCGTCAGTCTGGCCAATGGGATGGGTCTCGTAGCGGCAGTAGACACAGGCCCGAAACCCTGGTCCGAGATCGACGGGGGCCAAGCGGGACTAGACGCAGCCAGTGAGCGTTGCATGGGTGATCAATAGCGGGTGCTGTGGCGTCTATTCCCGGCCTATCAGACCGCGAAGTATTTGGCTGCCTAAAAGTCGCGACCAGGGCGGGGGTGGGGGGTTGAGGTGCAATTAACACCTGCTGAAGATGGTCCTCGACGACTCGGAGTTGAGGAACCGCGAACAACATGCTGAGTAGATGAGTAATGATGTATTCTTTTGCGGTTTATAAGCATAATATATATCAGACGCGTTTGTCGTTTTCAATACACATTGACCCATACTCCTAGGTCATGGCGAATTGGGACGAGCATGAGAGACAGATTCGATATGGCCCTGCCGTTGAAGTCGGTGTATATTCGTTGGGTGCATAGGCATGAGGCTGCTGATCTTTGCTGTTTCTATGGAAGTCGCTCGACAGTCACGTCGCGGTGCTTTGCGCCAATCTTTGCCTCTATGGTTCGAATAACCACATGGCAGCAAACCCTAATGACGTCGATCATGATGCCTTGGGACAGGACGGGAGACGACGGACACCGTTAGGTACTCCTGAGCGTGCTGCGACGCAGGTCAGCACAGTGACGACCCCTCGCGCTAGCCTCATTGAGTCGCAGCTTGCTAAGCCCGGGCCTCCATTTGATCAAATGTCTGTCCGAGTCTCATGAGCATCTTGTTCACCGTTTAGGCAGATGATTGAAAACAACTAGACATCATCTTGCCTACCAGCTTTTCAATGCACCCCTATTTCTTCAGACCAGCGTCGCACCCGGGCGGCCGATTGAATGTCTGTAACGACAGGCGTGGAGCGAAACAAGCGCGAGCCACGCAGGCAGCAGGCCGATCCCTGCCGCGTCCATCCAAACTACAGTAGCGACCCTGTCTGCGATATGCACACGCGCTACGCAGTACAGTATGCATGAAATTGAGCAATGCTCCATAATAAATGTCTACACTGTGAGCCAGGACTGGAGATCGGAGGACTGGCCTGCCTTTGCCTAGCGCGCCACCCCCCGGCTCTGGAATTCTGGAAGATGAGGGCCCCTAGCGAATTGCCCAATCTGGGAATTCGACTATTAGCGCCTTTGAGCCGGGCATCGCTGCTTCAGCGGTCTGCTCTCGAGTCTACGTCGTACTGCACCTACACTTCAAGAGTCGGGCCTTTGTTGCTTTCAAGAGCTAAGTATAATCAACATCCATGCCATTGAGGTTTCACAGGGGCTGGTGTCAACTTGGGGTATTGTGCGGGCACTGGTCTGAATCCTAATCGAGTTGTTTCCCAATCATTCCCACGGACGTGCACGCCAACAGCCCGGCACTTGGAAGACAACATTGCACGTCTCTCCGGTCTTGAGTGCCTGCAGCATCCATCATTCTCTATCGACCCTACTGCTGGATACCTACGTGTCTTGCTGCTTCCTGGGCTGCTTGGAACCTTGTAAGGTTCGTGAAACACAACAGGTCTTGTTCGAATGCATACATGATCTGGTTCATGAGTGTCATGCAGAGCGGATCGCGCTGTGGCGTCAGGGCTAATTTCTTAAGGTCCAGCCTAGCGCAGCCTTACATTGGCGGGCCCAGTCCAGTGGCTGGCGGCCAGACAGCGATCGTACCCGAAGCTCTGCCGTCTCGCGCGCGCGCGCCCGATCTGAATCTTGATTCCGACTAGCAACGTTTAGAGACAAGCTGAAAGCCCGAAACCCATCCTTTTCGGCTTCATGGTACGCCAGTACTTGGTAAGTGAGGCGTCGCGCCCGGTTCGGCCCCGGCCAATTGCGAGCACCCTCCCGAACACAGCTCCGAGAGCGCGCTGCTGCAGTACCAACTACCAAGTGCAACCCAGCGCGCGCAACCTGCATGTGCGATTTGGCACTGGATAATTTTATTGAAATACAAGTAAACCAGTCCGGGAGTTTGCGGTTCCTGGCAGTTGAGTCTTGACGCCAGGCTCCCAGACACCGGCGCCCGCTGCTGCTCGGGTTGCAGTACCTTCATGCTACGTAGGAGTTGTCGTCTGGACTCTAGACACGCAATGCTGACTGCGTCCAAGTCATCACCACGCTCCGCTCCTAATTATGCTAATTATGGACAGAAAGCGCAGTTCTCTTTCTGTGGAAGTAGCCGGATCGCCAGGACATGGGGCTCGGGAGTATGGGCTGTGCTGATTGACATCAACGAGTGCCAGGGTCGCAGGGTTGTATCTTGTCGATCGACATGTTCCACGTATTATGAAACAGTGAAACACGCCTGGCAGACCATCGCGATATTCTAAATACGCACATGAATCACAGGCATCTCGGGTGGCGCCTGGATGACGGCAGCTGGACGAACCGGGGTCGCCTTACCACCCAGCTCGTGGCATGGTGGCCCGCGAAATGAGGGTGTCTTCATGATGCCGCATGCACATCACGCAACAAGTACGTACTTTGCTACTCCTTGATGGTGTGGCGGGCTCTGGGGTCTCTAACCCAGACCCCGGACGTCACATCACAACAACCTCGAGGCCTTGACAGCCTTTGTCGACCTTGAGATTTCCGGTCAGGATTGCGATCCTCTGACAGTAGCCGGCCCTTGTCCTGGCTGGTACACAACCGCGTTTGGAGGAAACCCAGTTCACGCCCCGGTCTCAACTGGTGAGCATGCAAGAGGTGATTTGGGCGAGTTTCGGCGCCCATTTTGGATTCTTGAAGCTGTCAACCTGTACCTTAAATTACCTATACCCTGTTCCCTCATGACAGTCCCAAGCTGGTAATTCAGCCTGTCCTTGTTCGGGTTTGACAGTATGCTAAGCTACTTCTTGATCAGACACAGCATCAACTAAGTACACACTGCATTGATCCATTGTCTTGCGAAACAAACGTGGAAATTGGCCTCAGCAAAGGTCACTGCCACGCATGCTGTGCCTTATCAGGAGCCCAGCGTTTCACTCCAGCTCGCTGACCTGGAGACCCGCGCACGTGGACTTGCTCTTGCGAGTGGAGATGTTCGCCACTGTACACTGACTCCAGTGTCGCATGATTGATCGTCGCAATGGATCAATGTTGGTCTCGGATCGTCCGTCAACCCCCAGTCTGCGCCCCCCCCGCGGCTGTCGCACGCTGTGCTAGCACAAACTCACAGACGTCATTTCTGCACAACCAAAGTGAACCACATGGACGCGCACGCGGTCCCTCTGGACGCATAGACGATCACGAGTCAGAACTTCTGTCAGTGACTGATCCCACATCTGTGTTTCAGAATCCTGGTGAGTTGGTGTGGTGGCCAATCTTCATGTTACTTCGGAGACTATTCGGCTCTCGTCCACGGATACTTCGCTCTGACCGCCGCCACGATCCAAGGCGGTGCAGTAGTCATGTTCGATTCTGTTCACGGTGAGCTCCGAACCCCTGCAGTATCTGGATGCAAGATACCCAAACGGTCAGTACCATAACACGCCTTTCAGCGAGACATTGTTATGTATGTGAGCCGGACCGTGGCGCAATTCATCGCATGCATAGGTTCACGGGAATCGACTTGTTGACCAGGACCTCGCCCTGGCCGTGGCCTTGGCGTACAGCTGACAAACGCTTTCGATCAGCTGCGTCCCTGGTGACTACCGCAGGTCGGCGAATTGATTTATCGAGGAGGTACTTTACGTTCGGAGAGGTTGGTGCAGAGAGGTCTCGCGGTTTCAGAACTGGCTGAGACGACGCTGAAAGATGGCGTGATGAAATTCGTCCGTGAGCTATACTCGACAGGCCGAATAGAAGCACCGGTGGTTTGTCTCGCCCATACGCACCGACTGTGCGATCAATGTCTCCTTGTGCGTGTGCTGTCGTTGAGTGACAAAGGGAGTCGCCGAGCTAGTACGGAGTAGGGATTGGATGCCTCTTCAGTGCCGTGTCGTTGAGCATGCATACCAGGAATACCATCCCAGGCAGTTCCATTCTTGGAGATTGGCGTTCGATGGCCGCAGGGGCGCACTGACACACGAAATTTGGCCCTGTCCTTATGCTGAGAAGCTCAGACCACGACCCTTTCTTGCTCTCATACTCCCCCACGTCCATCATGCACGGACGGCACAGCGAGGCGTCTAGACAAGTCATTGGCATCGTGCAAGAGTCATTGTCGCGCGTGCTGCGTAACGTAGTATCGTCAGAGACTAGTTCAGTGTACACCTAAGCCTTGCCCTGACTGTCTGCCTACCTGTAGCGTGCGCGATAGCGGGGCGAGTGCGAGACTGGCTATCAACCAGGCAGCCGCGAATACTGAACCCAAGCCTTGCGCGCAGTCCTGGCTGTCTGGAGGCTGCCTTTGTCAAGACGACGAATTGAGACAGAGCCGGAGAGGGGGCTAGCTCTCCGAGTCGTCTTCTAAGTGTCTTAGCTTGGATAAGCCAGTATGGCATTCCATTGCGTTCTTGGAGTCTGTGATACACATCTACATACACCTTTCAACGATATAAGATACTCCGGGATGTTCAGTTGTCGTCGGTAGTGACGAAAAACGGAGGAAACTTCCAGTCTTCTCGGTGATAGTTGGTTTGCACGACTATCGCACCATGTTTTCGACTATACAGGCCCAATAGCGATCAAACATGAAGTGTCCGTGATACTTGACGTTGGCTCATGCCTCGTGATACGTGACACGATGGAATAAGGCATGCTCAAGCACGTTTTTCCTCCTCTGTCATAAACTTCCATGTCAAAGCGGCCAGACATTGGCTATAGAGCCAGCCTACAGAGGGCTTTTTCTGTCCTCCCTGTTGTCAACCGGTCCCTTTCGACTGGCTGATCGATCCAATGCTGGCGCTCATGGAGCCATGCGACTTGTGGCTTCACTGCATAGCGCGATCTAGTTCTTCCTCGCGGCCACATTATTACCCTCAGATTCACAAATAGTCTCTCAATGCAAATTCTACTCGTCGTCGTGTCGTATGTCGACGTGTGGGCCACTTGCTCAACTTTGTCCCAACACCTCTTTACAGATATTGTCCGATCCGTTGCAACGGTGACATTCTGTGTCAAAGCTCTACGTGATTGCGGATGTTACTGATGAATAGATGGCATAATAAGGCTCAGCACATTGATTTCTACGAAATTGTACATCTCGGACGTCGGCGAAGACTGGGAACGAAGCCTACGACGCAGCAGGGAGTGCGCATAGGGTATGCAGAAACCAACTGGACCTGCTTCGTTGTGTGTTCCCCCTCATCCCCACTTCCGCTAAAACGGACTCGAACTGCTGATCGGGAATGCTGAGCTTCACCACGGATCCAGCATCGTCCGGCGCGTCCGTTTCGGCCAGTCTGTTCTCCTCCTCTACGCCCATACAGTCATCGCGAGCACAGAGACACGCCGTCGGCCTCCCAAATCGCGCAGCACACGTGTCCAGTCGGCAGTCACCATTAGGCACCAAGGGACGTGCATGCCTCGTCGATAATCTTGGCCAACCGCGCCCAACGAACCGCGACGACCATCAGCGACTTTTTCCCATTCCCGCAAGACACCACACGTTCCTGTACATTATCCGAGACCCTGCCCAGGACAACAACAGAATGGCGAGCTTTGTCACCGACCTCTGGGAGTCCATCTTCACCCCAGGTCCCACGCCGACCCTACTGCGCGCGGCCAACGCCACTTTTCTCGCTCTGCAGCTCACCCTCGCCGGCCTGCTCTTTGCCACCTACTCGATCCACTGCGTCATTCTCTCCATCATCTGCGCAGGTCTCTGGTGTAGCGTCAACTGGTTTGCCGCCGAGCTCGCCATCGTCCAACGGGAGCAGGCGGCCAAGGACAAGGCCGAGGAGGAGAAGCGGAGGACGAGGAGGGACGACGGCAGCGATACGGAAGTGGAAGAGGAGAGCAAGCTCATTCCTGAGAAAGATACAGAGGGCGTGAGCGCCTCGAAGGAGGTCGAGGTGCAGCCGGCGACGCAGGGCCTGTCGCAGAGGAAGGGCCTCGAAGTGGAGTCGGCGAAGGAGAAGGATGCGCAGGTATCGCAGTCGAGCGTGAGTACGGAGGATGAGTGGGAAAAGGTCTCTGAGGGTAGCAAGGAGAAGGACCAGTAGTAGCTCATGGGGAGCTGGACAAGAGCTATGCCAGTGTTCAAAATTGGAACTACCCAAGCCTGACTGACGACCGATCAACTCGTACCCACTGAGGCGTGCCACAAGAGTCTAGCCTGGAGATTGCGGATGCAACCTCAGTGGCATTGGTGCAAGTATCACGACAGTGCGCACATGGATAGCCTCGATGACTGATGAACGCCTTGTTTCCGCGTACCCCATTACATGTCCCAAAACGCCAAACCCCCAAGAACATCTACAGATATCTCAGCTTCCTGGTAGCCCAAGCCGCGTAGACCGTGCTCATCGCGCCAATGAACAGGCTGATTGCGATGGCATTTGGCCCATCTCTAGTGAGTTCAGCCGAATCCTCGGGAGCAGACTCGTCGCCGCTACCAGCACCAACACCGACACCCGCACCAGCGCCTCCGTGGCCCACGCCCACGTCGAGGCTCTTCCCAGGCTCGAGGATGGCAAAAACAATCATGTTGATAAAGGTGCCAACAAACTGAGGCAAGGTGGTGAATATGTTGAGGATGCCAAAGTAGATCCCCGACAACTCACCCGATGCCTTGACCTCGGGCGCGTGCATAGGATCCTCAGCTGACAGCATCTCAATGTCGTCCTCGTCCTCACCGTCGATGCTGCCGTCATTGTGGGATACACGGCGATACTGAGGTGGCGTGGAAGTGTCACCGGCGCTCATGCGGTTGACCTCGACCCCCAGGAGGGCCACAGGCGCCCATATGGCAATCGTCCATGGCCTGGATGGAAGGTTAGCATCTGCACGTGGCAGGGCAGAGAGGGTGAGCTGACTTACAGCCCACAGAGACAGACGAGGAATGTGGCAAAGCGATAGCTCGTCGCAAAGGGCGCCATGGACATGGCCGCAGAGAACACCAGATGCCCAAAGATCCATGTCGTTAAAATGTTCGGCCTGTACTTGCCCAGCCTCGCTACGAACCCAGACATGGACTGTGGCATCCACGGCGTCGCGCTCTTCCTGTCCGGAGACTCCACCAGCAGCGGCAAGACGAACGCCGCCGTGAGCGTAATAATCGACGTGATGACCATGGATGTGCTCCCGATGCGACCCATGTCACCGAGCATGTCGCCGGACGCAACCGCGTCCTTGGGCACGTCGTAGCGAAAGTACGTCTCGCCAATCCAGGTCGTCCCGTAGAACATGTAGGGAAACCAGCCCAGCCACGACCAGAACTGCGCCCTGCAGATGGCCTGGACGCGGGGCGGCATGTTCAGAATGGTGGACCAGATCTGTCGGAAGATCTGAAAATGCCCCTTGGCATCGCTGGGCGCCGCCGCCACGAGCACGCGCTCCGTGACAGCCCAGCACGTGATGCCGTTGGTGACCACCATAAAGACCATGGCGATGATTGTGAGCTGCTTGAACTGCGTGTCGCCCATCCACTTGCCAAAGATACCGACGAGATCGGCAGCGCCGAGGCCGTACCCAACGACATGGCCCACCGACGACATCCTACTAACTGCCTCCTGTTAGCACCGCAACACCTGACTGAAGGGCACTACTCACACCAAGCGGCCCCTGTCTGCTGCTTGTCCACTGTCAAGGTGTCCACGATGAGGCTCCTCGAGCAGCTCATCACAGCGTTGATCGCAAAGTCCACCGCGTAGATGGCCAGCACGGCCAGGGCAATCGTCGGTCGCTTGGCCTTCTCTTCGTCTGCCTGCACCAGGCCCACAATCTCCTTTGTGAAGCCCAGCACAAGCAGACACACCGCGACCAGGGCGGTGCCGAGGAGCATGAGGGGTCGTCGCCGGCCGTATTTCGAGGTAGAGGCGTCGGCGAGCGCGCCGACAACAGGCTGCACAATGAGCCCGGAGAGCGGACCGGCGATCCACACGAGAGATGTGTTTGACTTTGTGAGGCCGAGATCGAGGAGGTAGGGCGTGCAGTCTGTGATCACTGGTTAGCAAGGCGGCAGCATGCTGTCCGCGGTCGACGGTACCGTACATGTCATCTCGATACCCCATGTGAACCTGCATTGCTGTCGTTAGCCGTCGCAGTCGCCGCGTGGTGATTGTGTGTGTGTGAGTACCTACGTTATCCCAATAGCACCAAAGGTGAGCAACGCCATCTGCGCCGCCTCTGAGCCTCCCCTCACACCCGGTGTTCCCGTCCACGTCGCCATCGCGCGGGCGTCAGAGGCTCTGCGTAGCGAGGTGGCGCATGGCTTGCCTCGGGGAGATCGCTTGTGACTTGGCAGTATGCGCAATGCAAGAGAAAAGGGGCGATTCTCTGCGAGTATGGCGGCGCGTAATGATCGCGTATGTATGTAGCAATGATGCCAATGTGGAACTTGGGAAGTGTGTAAATGACTAGGCTAGACTAGAGATGCCAATGCGCCAGAGATCTTGGCCAAGCACCCCTACCTAGTCTAGTCTAGTCTAGACTACACTAGTGGGTGGGTCTGTTTCGATTGGGGAACCTGGGGTAAATGACTACCTTACGTACAAGCACACGCCTGCGAATGCCCTTCAACAAAGTAGTATCTACTAATAGTAGCTAGAGAGGTTACAACCATCCGGACATCATCTTCCATAATTGAGATTCATTGTTACTGTGGCATGTATTGGTATCTTATTTCGGAAATCAGGTTCATCAACGTCCGTCACGCCATCCCTGCATCGCCTGCTACCAGGGCTGAGCACATCTTGTGCACGAACCGAGCCATGACGTACTGTACCATGCACTGCCTATCAAACGCCCCGGCGCCCGAGCCTCCTCTGTCCGTGCAATGACGGCGACTGGACCTCATGCGCCCCTTTGCATACCTGATGCCAGTGTGTACAACTGCTGCCTTGTCATGGGGCCATCTGCTCGCTCCGCAACGCCTGACGAAGAAAATGAGAAGAAAAATATCAGGAGTAACATCAAGAGGCTTGAATATGTCTGGAGAGCCGTAAAAGCTGTGCAGTGAGCTTGTGAGGCGCGGTACATCGCTGCGTGAGAGAATATGGTGAGGAATGGTATCGTGGACATGCGCGCTCGCTGTTGGTCAAGTATGTTCATTCATGAGTCTGCCAACTTGGCAAAGTGCTTGGACCAGATCCAGCCGACCTGTTCACTGGCATCGTCCTGGTTCTTGGCAAGCCAGAGCTCGCCCTTTTCGGCAATCACGTCGAAAATCTGGACATGTCAGCTTCGCAAGCAGTAGGTGCTTCGGAACACAACTCACCTCCCCTGCCTGGTAGATTAGATAGGGATAGCCGGCTTCGTGCTTCGTTGTCGCAATGTTGAACTCAAATAGGGATGCGGCGAGCCACAGTACGTTATACCCATCATGAGCCGCACCGCGATCCATGGAGGATGCTCGCGAAGACGATCGCTTGTTTTCCTCCGGCCCATCGGGGAGAGGCAAGGCCGAGTGGAAGAGCCCAGAGAATCGGCGACCCTCTTGTGGCACTGTGGACGAGTTGTATGTTGCGCTCGAGTCGCGTCGATACTGCGATTGCGACTCCATGCTCTGCCTTGGAATCGCACCCGAGTCGAAGCTGCGTCCTGTGCTTGGTCGAGTCGAGGTCCCGCCGAGAACGGATCGCGAGCTGCCAGATACTTCCGGCGTGACTCCAGCCGATGAGCCTGCCGTGGCCGGAGGAAATCCGGCGTAGTAGTCCCGGTAATTGTACTGGTGGGGGCTTGCGACGTTCTTGGGTGCGATCGGAGACACCGAAGACGTACTGCTTTCACCCTTCATAAAGTCAGGTGTCGGGAGCGAAGGTGCCGAGTCTGTGGTTGTGGACAGGCCCCGGCTTCGCATGGTATCAACATCCGACGGCCTGGGCGACCTCGTCTTCCGCGACAACGCATCGTCTGTGCTTGCAAAGGTCGACATGGATGGTCTGCTCCATGTGGTTGGGTTGAGGATGCCAATGCTGGCTAGTTGCTCCTCCACATAAGGGAATTCTCGTTGGAACGTGTTGACAATTCCGTCGAGGTCGGGCATGTCCTCATTGTCCTTGAGCACTGCCTTCATCTTCTCCTTCCAAATGCGAAACCACTTGGTCTGTATGTCCACAAACCGTAGCAGACACAGATTCCCAATCTCCACCGTACTCTGGGACAGCACTGGCAGTTCTTTCTTGAGGGTGTCATTGAGAGCTTCGTATTCTTCCACCAAATCTTTCAACCTCGAATCTGGGCTTTTGCCCGCGCGCTTCAGTTGCTCATGGCGTTCGTAGTCGAGACGTCGCTTTTGCCGCTTCTTCATGGCAAGTGAGGGGTTGCCGTAGGCCTTGATGACCAGCTCAAAGGGCTCAATGACTTGCTTGCGAACCTGTGCCAGGTGCTCCTCGAGTGCTAGCTTTTCAATATCGCGTATCGAAATGTTAAATTGCACCCATTTGCTCTCCAGCTCAGGATGCCCGCCCGGCTGAATCCGCATGACAAGCTCAACTGAAGAGAGATACTGCAGGAACTCCCTTACGTAGGTAGAGATCTGGCGAGTGTAGAATTCAACGTCTCTGAGGACCACCTGCAGGCGCAAGTAGTCATCGCCAAATTTCTCATGAAGCTTGGCATATTCCGAATCCTCAGGTGGTCTCGCGCCTGGGGCTTGTAGCTTGTCCACACGCTTTCCAAATGCCCTGGCGAGGCCACTCTTGCCGTCGGACTCCTTGCGCTTCCTACCAACGATCTGGCCAACCAGCTCGAAATTCTTCTTCGTCTTGTTAATCTCGATGATGGCGTTTTCGATAACGTCTTTCGCTGCCGCCAGTCCTTCTCGATCGGGATGGCCCTGCGGGGTGTGTTGCAGGATCGTTATGATCAGGTTCGGATACTTGGTGATACGCTGCATGGGCTTGATCAATAGCGAATCCAGGTCCCACGCCGCTGTCAAGTCCTTGGCGACCTCATTACACTCGTTGAGCCACACCTTGACGGTTGGGTCCTGCTGGATTTGTATGAGACGTTTCGCAGCCTGGTCACTGCTTCGCAGGAAGCCCTCATGGGCCGTCTTCATCCGCTGAATGTTGTTCTTGAACAAGGGCCCGAGGAGCACAGTGCGATCCTGCGCATCGCTGGTCTCAACCTTGCTTGAACTCTCGTTCCCGTTGTCTTGCAACGATGATGAGCGCCCCGACTTCATCACGTAGACATTGGCAGCCGCTTCTTTGACTTGTGCCAAGAAATGAGTGTGGAACGAAATGATCTCATCGGTGTTTCGGAAGATCTGCTTGACAGTCTTGTCGTCAAGCTTAGGACATGCTTCGGCCGTGCCTTTGTAAATCTCCTCCACAATGTTCATATCGCGCACAAAGACCGCCTCCGTGTCCACAAGTTCCTTGATAACGTTGCGGCGCTGAACAAGTCGATGCCGCTCCTTTTCTGTCAACTCGTCGCCATTTGCTACAATGACCTTTGTCGCTGCACTGTCACATGAGGGGGCGCCAAAGTACTGGTCCGGTGTGCCAACCGAGTTGGTGTCAATTGTGCGTGGCGTTTCAAGCTGTGACATGTATTCTTCGCTTCCACGGCCTGAGGCGAGTCTTGTACTCCCGTATTGTGACTGATCATCGTAACCGCTGGACCGACTGGATGTTAGAAGCGAGCCTGAAGTAGGGTGGGGAACAGGCGGCGGCTCATGATCAGGCGAGGCGATATTTGGTGCGCTGTGCGCCGGGTTTTCTGAAAGATACGGTATCCTTAAGTCGTCACCAACATCAACGTTCGGCAATTGCTGTGTGTTGGATCTCTGAGGCTCGGTCGTCATGTGAAATTGTTGCGCACGGGGCGAATCGTGTTCTGATCCGCGCGTTCCAGGGTCGCTGCCGCGGCCTATGACTTCTGATCCGAAGATGGTAACATGCCCATACGTCGGTGATTCTTGTGGATCGTCCAGTTTGGGTGATTGATCAAAACTCGAAGGGTTGGGGCTTTCTACTGTAAGATCTGTCCATTGAGAATGCTGGCTGATCCGGTTGGACCACGAGGGGGGAACCAAGAGGGTCGTGGGCTCTGTCGCGTTGGGCTCGTACCCAGCATCACCAGCGTCTGAAGTGGCGCAAGACGACATGATCTGCGATGAACGACGATCGTCACACTGTGACTCCGATTGACAGTCGTCTAGAGGTAGGCGGTCATCAGCGTCCTCGGTGCATGTGTCATTGACGTTGTCGTAACCATACGCTGAACTACGCGCAGGATCCGCTGTGTCGTCGAGGTCTGTGTGACAGTCCGAATCGTCTTGCATGTCGAGTCGAGGGAAAGGTACAGTCTCGCTATCAGCAGCATGCTGGGGAGGCAGTATCGTGACAGTCGTGCTAAACGAGCTTGCCATTCGCGGTGGCTGGTCGCGATTCATCCTGAACCTCTCCTCGTACGCGTCCACTGGGGACATTCTGTTCTCATCATCGTAGCCTGATGAGACTGTTGAATCCCGAGAGGGCTGTACAGGTTCGTGACTTTCGCTATCGACGGACGGGGAATGAGAATCGTCTTCGAACGGAGAGTAGTATTCAGCGCGAAAAGGAACAGGAGCCAGCTGCTGGGGGCTTGGTGGTTTGACTGTAAAGGGCACTGCGTCGGATTGTGGTGTAGCAGACATAGAAGGTTCGTCCTGCGGATCAACGTCGAATTCGGTAGTCTCTGTGGTCGCTGATACAGCTGAAAGCGGTGGCTCGTCTCTATCAGTTTGTGGGCTGAAGGCCGGAAAGCTACCGGGCACGTCCATCGGGGGCGTTTCGAGAACTGGGTATCTCTGAGGCGCGACAGACGACTCCTCTGGATGAATCGTTTCCTCAGAAGGAGCGGCCATCGTCTCTTGACGGGTGAAATCCATATCTACCGGCGACTCAGCAAGGATTACCGCATCCAACGCAGCCTGGACGTGCGGCCGGTGCTCGACTGGCATATCACCACTTGGGGATTCCGGCTCAGCAGTCGACGGCTCGCGTGCTAATGGAGAAGGGGCTGCCGATGAAGACTCGGTTGCTGCTTGCGCTTGTGTGGCCGCCTCGAGCTCCCGCCGCCTCCTCTCCGCTGCCCGTTTACGACTTTCGAGAGCTTGGCTCTCGCGCACAGACTTACTGTACGCGAGACGTATGTGCTCTCGTCGTTGTTCAAAGTCTATTGGTCCTATCGACATCTTTCGACGGCGGCTTCCTGGCTCCTGCGCCGCTGTCGATGAAGATCTTGAGGTTACAACAGTCGTCCGCGGCGGTCTATCCACCGCTTTCGACCGTGAGCTTGCTGTGGTCGCCATAGACACTGGCTGTCTGGGTCTCGAGCTTCGTAGTGGTGGTGACAGTTTCGGTGGAGGGGAAGCAATATACGCCTGGAGTCGTGTATTGCTGTTGGGCGTTGGCAATCTGGGCGGTGCCCCCCTCCTCCCGCTACCAGCCGGTTGAGTGGGCGTTTTCGCTCGCGTGGCTGGTGCCTTAGATCGTGCCGTCGGTGTCGTTGCCCTCGAAGCCCTTCCATTCGCATAAGGTCGTCTGCTCGTGGCAGGGGAATTGGACCTGGTAGAGTCTGCACTAGAAGAGTCGCCCGGTGTACTTAGTTGCCTCACAGACAACGGAAGTCTCGAGGTTGTTGTAATATTCTGGTTTTGTGATGTAGATGTTGGTATTCGAGTGGCGCCTTTTCTGGAAGGAGGCTGCGGAGCTGTCTGCGACGCGACATCGCTGAGGGACCGCCCGTGACTCTTTGACGCTAGTGGTGGAGACGCTTCGTGGTGGCGCGTGCCCTTGACTGGGCTTATCTGTTCGTACCAGGCGTCTGTGGATGGCAGTTCGACATCGGGATCTGATAAGCTTCGTTGATGGGGCCACGAGCCGCGTGTGTCAGGGCCAGAGCCACGCCGGGGACGGATGCTCTCGATACCAAACCCTAGTGCCGATGTATCGTATTGATCCGGGAGAATCTCGCCAAATAGTAGGCCCTGCGGCGGTAATGTAGTGGGTGTCAAAGCCGGAGGTGGCTGCGTCGGATGCGATGGGGTCTGAGGAGATAGTTGAGCCATTGCTGGCGAAGCATTTGAGTTGGCGCCATTGCCGGAAGCTCGAGGCTTGGCCACGCGGCTGGCAAATGATTGAGCATTGCTGGAGATATGATCTTCCGCAAAATACTTAGGTCGTTGGCTTCGCGTTTTCGAATCGCTCGAGTTTGGCTCTGATCCTCCGCTTCGTACGCTCGCATATGAGTTGGCACCGTCACCACCTTTCCACGTCGTCTGCACCCGTGGCCCTGACGCATTGTCGGTGCGAGTCCCTGGGGTACGAGGGATCGAAGAGCCATTTCCACTCTGATCGAATCGCTTCTTGAGGTCCTTGACGCTCGGCTTGCCATTAGGGTTCGGGCGGACTTTGGGATTCGTTGTCGCTGCCACTGGATTTGACGCTGATCGAACATTGTTTGGCCTGGGTAGACTTCGATTCGGTGAGACGACTGGATGCCTCGGGGTCGTTCCGTCGCCATTCGAGCGCAACGACGGACGTGGAACCGAAGACGAGGCCATTTGGTCGTGGAAGTAGCGATCGTCCGGATCTATACTGGACGCATGATGGTCATGAGTGTCCGTCGAAGCGAAGTTGTGGTCGTGTGCGTATCCCGAGTGGGAGCTCGTGTCGTGATCGAATGTCAGGTCGTGGTGAAAATGCTGTAATCGGCGCTGATGGCGGAGGTCAAGATCTTGGCGGGCCTCATCGTATTCGAGGTCCCAATGATCCATGTCGCTGCCAGTGCTGTCCATGGTAGGCTGCTGGGTGGCGCGCCCTACCAGGATCTTCACGGTTGACTGGGCTCCAGCTCACTCTGGGGGACAACGTATCAAGCATTCATTCGGCCACAACAGCAGGCCCAGCTCGACAGGGCGGCAGAACGCATCGATGCGCTGTCGACGATGTCGAGAAATGATTGGAGACGCAGATCCAGGATCCCAAACTCACAATAGGAAGATCCAGACTGGAGCGTCAGGTCGTTGTTTCGCTCAGTCGAGGCAGCGTGGAGGGAATGGCGTGTAGAGGAGGGTCGTGATTGGCGTAGCGTGGCTGAGAAGCACTGCAGGAGCGGTCATTGCAATAGCCACCCGCGGACGAGTCCCGCTGCGAAACTCCCACAGCCCGCTGTAAGCTTCCTGCTTCCATTGCTTACAGGTCATCCTTGGCGGGCGGGCGGGCACTGGGACATCTTTCCCCTTGCGCTAGCGACGCTATCTATTTTAACCGTCTTTGTCCACAAACTCGATTTGGGTCTACAAGTGCGAGACCCGAGGCGCAAATGGCTGGAGTACGGCAATATGCTATCTCAACTAATAAACTCTAACCAAAACTCGTCTACCGACAGGCTGCGACAATTGGTCAGTAGAGCTTGGAGCGGGACGTTGAGGCCTGTCCCTCAGGGCCATGAGCCAACCACCGTCTTCCGAATCTGTCAAAATGCCCCGTTTGTCACATCAAAGCCAGACCCGTCCGTTACTCTCATGGAGTCGTGCAATCACTCGCTTGCCGGCAGCTGCTAGCCTCCGTTATTAACATGTTTCTCCTGCTTTTTCAACTGGCATGAAACGTCATGTAAGGGACAAGCTGCAGCGGGATGGTGTGGTGCGCGCTGCCGACGCGACACGTTGGGGTCGTCACTGGAGGAGAACAATTGCCCATTCAATTCTGAAGCGAAGGAAACAACAATCACGGCGATTGCTGACTGGAGGTGTCTTCATTAATAATACTTGGTACCTATCTGCCTTGGTTACGGCCCACACACTGCGCCCGCAAGGGCCGCAACCCACCCAGGTGAAGTGACCCTGGACTCCTGGGTCCTGGCAAGGATGGTCTCGAGACCTCGACTGCGATAACCCCAGTTGAACAAAGGACATTCGTAGACCATTGGGCGGATTCAAGGTCTATGTGGGCGGCGATAGGTGCCGCGTTTGTTTGTTGGCCCTGATCCTAGTCTGTGCTGGATCGACGTTGTTCATGCTCTGGAGCAGTCATTGTGTTTGCGGGAGATCGGGCTTGGACGTCTGCTTCCCGACCACATCAATAAGAAAAAGTTGGCCTCAACGAAATAGTGATAGCCAGTGTCTCAGTTCGTTGTTGGAACACTCATTGTCCGTTGAGACTGGAATATGGACTCCAACTTGGAGTCTGGACGGTGACAATGAATCTCAATTAATAGACGGACATGCGAGCGGGTACGGTGGCACTGCACTGGCACAGCGGCGGGTGGGGCGGGTGGGGTATTTCGGCCACCGTTCCGGGACACCAAGCCACATTCAAGCCACTTCCTCTCGTTAGCTTCGTTAACGCATCGCGAGACTGACGCGTCCGGGACTAGAGATAACGACGCGGTTCTTGCTACAGCTCGCCACCCGACGACATTACTCTGTACACCAGGATGGATCATGGCGATCGGGACCAAGAGGAAGCGGGGACCCGACGGATCCACGAACAACACAGCCAAGTCTGAGTGTCCTGTGAAGAAGGATCTATTGGTTCAATGCTACAACAGAGTGCAGACCTTGCGGCAGTATCTACAAGCGAAGCTGCCGTCGTCTTCAAGACTGAGGAGGAAAAAGGTTGCGAATATCGGCCTGGGCGAAGAGGAGCCCACCGAGCTCGAGGCGTCTGTGTGTCACCTGCTGGATACGACTTTGGTTTGTTCGTCACAGGAAACACCAAAGCAAGCTGAGATTCAAGCTGTACGATGGCAGCAATGGCTCTCCTTTTCCCAGAAGGGTGATGAGTCGTACGTGACTATATCAGGCAGTCCCCAAGCCATGTCCTTTGCGCAGTCCGAAGTAAGTGCGCATCTAGCTTCCTAACTCCATGCCCTAATTTTGTAGATAATCGACTTTGTGATCTGGATGTTGTTTGCGCGAGAGAAGGCGCTTTCTTCTCGACCAAAGCACTTGCTATGTGATGGTTTCCGCAAAGGTGCTCCTGGCAGTGAACAAGCCGCTTCCAGCATCCCAGGGGTCTATATCCGTTTTCCGAACCCACAGGTGAAGACGCTGAAATCGGCCCCTTGGCCACAAGTTCTTGCACTACTGGGCCAATCTGGCGAAGGGATCATAATCGACTTGCTGGTTGACTCTTCCATCTTCATAGCTGTCGATGCCGGCTATGGCAACTACTTCCAGGTCAGCGGTGGGTCTACCTGCTCGCTTTCGCCAACGCGTACTGACTTTGCAAGGATTCCCCCTTTCCGAAATGCGTTTCACCACAGACGAGGCGGCAATCTTTACTCGGAAACCATCAGACATAAGTCTGGTCAGGAGCAGGATCTTTTACGCAAAACCTGCCTTGACGGCAAAGGGGCTCGTGCAAGCAGGCTTCAAACACATACGTGAGCTCACCGGTCTGGAATCGAATGGTTCTGCCTGCTGACGTTACAGATGTTTTGAATAGATGTCCTAGGATTAGGTTGCAGCAGACTGGCTTGCTTCAGTCGCCGCCAGAGCAATCGCCACCTGAGGAGACCGACGCTGCCAAACGTCAGAATTATGTCAACGCGCTCAAGATTGCAATGTATGTGTTTCCGAGACAATTCAGGCTGCACAACGCGTTCACGTCGCACGTCGATTGGAAAACTACTGCCCAGAAGTTCCAGGACTACACGCTGCGGGAAGCTGAGGTTGGTCCCCTCTTGAAGGGGGAGCATCTTCCAAGAATACCAAAACGCTTGCAAGGCGACGCGCTTCACTTGATAGAGCATTTGCAGATATTACACGAGAGATGCTCCTACTTTGAGCTTCTGGCGCATTACTGTCCATCTGTGCTGGATCAGGTGCGCCTCGCAAAGGCTCCCATGGCGAAGGATGTCGCCTTGCCGCAGGCACAGACCAGAAAGCGCTCAAAGAAAGCTGGACGAAGCACTCAGCCTGCGTTGACCCAACTTGATTATAAGTCGATTACAGACCTGGCCTCGCCGACTGCGCATGTGTCTGCCTTCTGCCAAGCTGCTCTGTCCAAAGTAGTACCGGATGGTTTCTGGGGTGCAAACGAGACCCTGAAGCACAACAAAAGAACGTTCCTTCGCAAAGTGGATCATTTCATCAAGCTGAGGCGTTTCGAGACGATGTCGCTGCATGAGATAGTGCAGGACTTCAAGGTAAGGATTCATATGTGTAGGGAGCCGATGCGGTCTAACGGTTGATAGGTCGTGGACATTGCCTGGTTACACCAGCGACATCTGGGTGCGCAAAAGACCAGCCAGACAGATATCAACAAGCGGTACGAGATCTTTCATGAGTTCTTGTACTATGTCTTTGATTCACTGCTCATCCCTCTCATACGAAGCAACTTTTACGTGACAGAATCGAGCACGCACAGATATCGCGTGTTCTACTACCGGCATGATGTATGGAGGCGGGTCGCTGAGCCTGCCACGGCAGCACTCAAAGAGAATATGCTGGAGGAAGTCAAGACGGCTGACGCGAGCCGTGTCCTCAGCTCACGTGGTCTCGGATTCAGCCACTTGAGACTGCTGCCGAAAGGGCAAGGGGTGCGACCCATCATGAACTTGAGGAGGAGGCAGATGCAAGCAAACGGAGGAGCCCTGAGGCCCAGTATCAATACTGTGCTGGGACCGGTGCATACGCTGCTCAAGTTGGAAAAAGTGAGTGTCCCAACATTCGGATATTATTGCCCTGTTTAATCCTCATCAGCGAGTCAACCCCGGTCGGCTTGGATCGACACTTTTCTCTCCCAAAGACATGTACACCAAGATCAAGGGGTTCAAACAAACCTTGAAACCTGGCCATGGAATGCTGTACTTTGCCAAGTTGGACGTTCACGCAGCATTTGATACCATCCCTCAGGAGGCCGTCATTCGCCTCATGGCAACTGTCCCCCAAAAGGCGTCTTACAATGTGGCCAAACATGCCGAAATCAAGCCGGGGGAACGTGCAATTGCCGAAGCCAACAAGACTGCCACGAAACCCATCCGTCGGTGGCATGCTACCGCCCTTCGGAACGGCGAATTCAAAACCTTTCATGAACGCCTGGAGGAGGATCTAGGCCAGCGAAAGAAAAACACCGTTTTCGTCGCCAGCGCAGCACATCAACAGCACAACAGGAGCGACCTCCTGTCTCTCTTGGCAGAGCACGTCTCCCAGCACCTCGTCAAGATTGGGAAGAAGTACTACCGCCAGAAGACGGGGATTCCGCAGGGGTCTGTGCTCTCGTCCTTTCTGTGTAACTATCTATACGCTGATCTCGAGATCCACCACCTCGACTTTCTTGGTGGCGAAGATTGCCTGCTCCTCAGACTCATCGACGACTTCCTCCTCATCACCCTGGACAGGTCCAAGGCGGAGAGGTTTGTCGAGACGATGCACAGAGGGCTGCCAGACTATGGGGTGCAGGTCTCTGCCGCCAAGACGCTGGTAAACTTTGAGATGGCCCTCGGCGGAGAGGTTGTCAGTCAAGTAGGCAAGGGGGCAGGTTTCCCGTACTGTGGGGTGAGGATCGACACCAAGACACTCGAGATCTCCAAGGATATTGAGAGAGAGAAGAAGACTGGTACGCCGAGAAATGGTCACACATCTCGTTCGACCGCTGACAAACTGAAATCAGCTATTGGAAACTCGCTGACGGTGGAATACGGGAGGTCACCTGGACAGAACTTTGAGAGGAAGGTCTTGGGCAAGTTTCCCGGCAATCAGATTCACGGTGAAGATCGTGTGCTTATATGGTCCAACAGCCGCATTCACGATCCAGTCCCATCTCATGTTTTTCGACACCGAGCACAATTCTGCTCATACCGTGCTTGCCACCTTGCGTGCAGCATTCGAAGAAACCGCGCGCAAGATGTGGGCCTACACTAGATGCCTGCCCAGGGGCAAGAAGCCAGCAAGTAAAATCATCATTAGTACGAACGATGCTGTCGTCGCCTAGACACGTGCTGACTCTGCAGGGACTATCATCAAGCTGTCAGGCCTTGCGTTAAGGCTCTTGACTGGGAGGTCGAGGAAATTGCGAAACCCAGAATACCAGTGCGACATCCGCAGGGGTCAGGTTGCCATGTGAGTGGATCTTTCAACAACCAAGAGAATCTGGCTAACAAGATCAGGGCGGCATACGAAGCATTCGCTGCATTTCTCCGCCGGAAACAGACAAAGTACACGAGTGTTTTGGCTTGGCTCGATGAGGAAGCAGGTCGTCTGCGAGGCAAAACCTGGTTCAGCCCCTGAGTCCGCCAACTGCGTCTATGCGCTCCTAAATAGTCTACAGAGAAATCCCGCTTTGCCACCAATGTCTACCCGTATACCAGCCAGGTCTATGCCACTCGTCCCACCGCCACCATCGATCACTCTCGCGTCCAAAGCCTAGCATCCTGAAGAACGAGAACGGCACTGGTTCGAGGAGCCAGATGCCAGAGCCTGCCAAATCGTGACAGAGGAAATCGGAAGTCCAATGCAGCCATGCCATGGTGAAAAGGAGGCGCGTCCCCTGTGCCGCTTGCCTGGGCACGCGGATGCCCGTGCGTCGTTGCAAGCCAATCTCGACAGCGTACTGTACGAGGACACCGACAATTTGCAATGAGAAGAAAGCAGGAGCTCTCCAGACTTTTGTGTCTCCTGGTATGGAAGAAATACTGCCCATGGCATGCAGCAGACCACTCTGCGCAAAGCTCACCACAAAGGCCACGACGACAGCAGCCAGGGATCCGTGTCGGAGGTAGCCTTCTCGGACGAGGAACCGCGCAGGTGCTGAGAACTGCGATCGGAACGTCTGATGCCACCAACCACCCCACCAGCCCGCGAGACCTCTCTCCAAGACTTGCGAAAAGGAGCCAAAAGTCGAGGGATATTGCCATAGTTCGCCCCTTGCGGGAAATAGATGACCCATAATGTAGTACTGCATCAGGTCGTTGAGATTGAAGGCTCCAGAGATTGCAGAGATAATGCCGGCTAAGGAGAATATTTGTCGGTAGATGCGCAGACCCCACACAGGCAAGCCATCCAAGTACAATGGCAACGGCAGGATAGATGCGGCAGGGTGGTCGGGGCCAAGGATGAAATAGGGGTCCTTTGTCATGTGGACGGCCAGGAAGTCAAGAATGAGGTACATGATGCCCGCTGTGAGTAGTCGTGACCTGACGAAGCTGGACTCGGTCAGACGGCGACGGTAGCCTGTGGGCGTGACCACTGGCAAGGAAGACAGATCCGCAGGCGTGTTAGGCTCAATCGAGCCATGAGAGGGAATCTTTGGGCGAGGTATGGCTGAAATAGACCAGTTCCAGCCTGTGAAGTGTCAGTCATACGCGTGTCCGAAACTTTTTGGAACTGCGTACCTGCAAACCGGAAGTTGGTGGTCATGTCCAGAGCCCAGTTGAGGCGCTCGCCAAACGTACCCTCCTCTGGGAATGGCTGCCACACATATTGCACCGGCTTTTCATAATCTATTTGATCAGACCTCTCATGACCCTTCCTTTGCCGGATGCCATTCTCTACTGGCTGTTTTTCCGCCTGCCTGGTGGGAGGCCTGGGCTGGACTCTGACGACCCGTGCGGCGTCCCTCTGTGCGTTTCGCCAGATCAGCACGTTCATGGTGCTGATGACACCCCAGAAAGCCATCAGTCCATTCGCATAGCCCACGGCCATGTTGCCACTTTTGGTCGTCCTGATGATGTTTGCATCCAACCAGATCACCCAAGCCACGACAAGCCACCTCGCCCTCCATCGCCAGGGATGGCGCACTGCAGAGTGCGGGATCGCCAGAAAGAGCGTCGGCACAATGAAGGGGCCCAGGAGGGAGTACGGCAAGATGAGAGGGTGGTGTGTCTGTGAAGCCAAAGCGAGCTTGTAGGAGGCTCTGTACAGTGCACGCACTGCGTCGGCGAGGCTGCCAGCAGGAACGTCAACAAGCGACATGATGGGTGCAGAAGCAGTGAGTGTCGCCTATCTTATGGCGTTCGTCATGATGGTGACGGGCGTAGGTAACTTATATGCATAGCGAAGAGAGCAACTAAGGACAGTGGGCGGGTGACTGGTGAGAATTGTACATGTCTTACTATGGGCCACAGTAAACCTAAGTGTGGCCCCTGACTCATGTGACGTCAAGACTTGATCTGATCATGATGTTGGATGGCAGAATGAAATTATTTTTCATTACGATTGCTTTGCCTGTGAAGTTGCAGGCCATAACAGTATGAAATGGTGTATGCGGAATGTGGCAAAGAGCACATGGACTACGACCTGGCGTGGCTTGACAGTGTGACGCGGTGAAGTCACGGGTGAGGTTCCAGTAGGTGTTGACTTGTCACTTGAGGCGTGCGTCTACGTGGCTATAGGGTAACTCGCTGTCTGCTGAGCTTATCCTTTTTGGGTGCCTGGAAGCCGCAAAACGTCATGAACATGAACAAGTGAAGTAAGTTTATACTTTGCACACCACAAAAGACGATCGCGATCATGATTCATACCCTTGATCCAGTTGCAGACTGCGTCGCTTCCCCGGATTACGCTCCGTGCCGCGATTGTTGCAGGGCTGAAGTGGGTAATTATGGAATGTTTCTGGGCCCTGGATCTGTAGTACGTAGATTTACGCACAGGGCTTTGGCGAAACAATGTGCCTTCAGTTCAAATTGAGCAAGCTTCTCTCCTAAGCAAGTTTTCGGACTGCCAGCCATGCTTGGAGGTGGTAGTATGGTATGGTCAAAGGTGTTGGTGATTCGAGATGGGGGGTGGTCAGATTGCTGCTGCTTTTCAGATACATACCTGGTACTCCGTAATTAATGGTCAATTCCAGCTCCCGTGTCCGTAGCTCACATCTGCATGTATCCAGCGACTCCCAACTTCTTCTTCTTCCATCCCTCAACTTCATCTGGCTAGCATTCACCTTGTAATCGATTAGCCCAAGAAGCATCTCATCGCAGCAAAGCACACGAACGACTAAGCCTTGCGGCCAGGCCCTCTCTCAAGAGTCTCAATACCTCACCCGGAGACTTTTTATACGCACGCACTCCCGCGCGACTCGGACTCACACCCATCATTCACCGCCGTCCCAGCCACGAAGTCCTCTCAAAATCGGCGCGCCTATCCTCGCCTAACTCGAGGCACTATGTCTTTTAAGACTGCCCCCAACGCACCGCAAAAACGTCGGGCTTGCGACGAGTGCCGTACGCACAAGACCCCCCCGCTCACAACATCCTCTCGGAGACTTATTGACACGTGCAGGGACTCGCAAACTGGCATGTTCCAAAGAGCCCGCTGGTTGCGCCCGATGCTGCCGCGAGGGTATCAAATGTCATTACTCTCCACAGAAGCCCATGGGCCGGCCTCGCAAGCGGCGCCTGTTCGAGGACGCCAGCCTGGACGACGCAGCACCCCTACCCGTAGAAAACGTGCCCATATCAACCGCATTTCCCGAGATCGATACCTCTACCCAACCGGACTTCTTCGCTCAAGATCATGCTTTTGACTTTCTGGACCCTGCGCACACCAGTCTGGATTATCTAAACCTCCTACCGTACGACCTGAGTGACACGACAGCCTTGGATCCGCAGCTCCTTCTACCCCATAATGGCTGCGACCAAGCGCAACAACCCCTGAATCTAGGTGATGTCGACCTACTGGACAGCATCAACTTTGATGACGAACAAGAGCCCGATCCTCTTAGTGCAGCCGCGCCCTCAACGCACGGCGAGCGGGTGCTGCGCTTCTGGCAGAGTCAGTTGCAGCCGCAGAGCCAGATACACAACGAAACATCCGACAGATCGTCTTCTCCATCAAGCGGACCATCCAACTCTGCCTCAACGCCTCCATCGCAGCACTACACCACGTCGGTCGAAACCTCGCCCTCGCCGGGGTTCAAGCCCGTACGCTCCATCGAGTGCGGCTGCCTATCCGTGCTGTACCGCACCCTCGAGTCGCTGTCGCGCCTGCCATCGGACATACCCAGCGCCGTCCGCATCGCGCGACGAGCCACCGAGGTGGCCCATCAGACCATCCGATGCCCCGTCTGCGGCGACTTCCAGTCTCACGATCCGCTGGAGGCGCCGCCGATCCAGTGCTACCAGAACATGATGCTCGTCGTCACCCTCATACCCTCCGCCTGCAACGCCTACGCCATGATCCTGGACATGATCGACAAGGAGACGGACGGCGCGCGGCGAGACGGGCGGCAGATGTGGTTCAGTTTCCAGGAGCTGGGCGGCCTCATGGGCAGCGTGGGCGAGCATGACGGGTGCGCGAGCATGCGGCCCCTGAACAACCGGCCGATGGAGCCGGGCATGTGGAGGACGACGATGCGGGCCATCCTGCGGCTGGACGTGTACGGGCACCACCCGACGCCGGGCGAGGCGGACGATTTCGGGTTCCAGTCGCAAGGTCTCAAGGACGTGGTGACGGCGATGGAGGACCGGAGTCGAAAACGGCATGCCCTCATGGACAAGCTGTTGGCCGACGGCAAGACGCCGCACGACACCGTGTTTTTTCGACATGATGCGAAAACCGCACAGAAACTGGTGCCCGAGGAGGAGCGCAGCTGCATGAGGGTGCTGGACTCGGCGCGCCTGGCACTGGAGCATTTGGTCATTGCGTGACGCACGGATGGCGGGATACCAAACCATGTTACAGACTTTGAATCTTCTGGTATGGACATAATATGCTATTATGCGGGATCACGCGTCCTCCATCATGGACAGTACCTCTAGCTCTCTTCGCACAAGCGACTCAAACTCGTCCCGCTCAATGCCCGCCGCACAGCCCAGCTGGTAGAGACTCCGTATGCTCCTCGAAATGTGCTGCTTGACGCCAAACTCGCCCGTGTCCCGCCGCCCGGCCTCCTCCTCCAGCTTGGCCACCAGCCGCTCACTGGTTGAGCTGCTGGCACTCGACTCTGGCCTGGGCTGCAGGATGCCCTCATTCCGGGCCGCCGGCATGTGGTGCTGCTGCTGCTGCAGCGACGGTGGCTGCCGACCGAGCCCCAGGGGCGGCGACACGTGGGGGACCTCTTCGTCCGGGTCGTGGTTGTCCATGGCGGGCTGGATATTCTCGTACTGCGCAAAATACTCCCTCTCCGCCGTCGCCGCGTCCTTGGTGCTAGTTGGCGCGGGGGATTTGGTGGCGGGTGTCCGTCCGCGACCAGGGGTAGCATCGTATTGCGCCCAGTAGTCGTCATCGTCGTCGTCGTCTTCCCCCGCAGCCTCTGCTAATGTGATGTCCGGCTTGGGACTGCTGTTTTGTGCTTTGCCTCCCGATTGGAAGCTCTCCTCTGCTTCGTCCATGGTTGGCGATCCACCGAATTCGCGAAACGTGTCCGGCTCCAGAGGTAGAACCTCGCCTATGCGCCAGCCGTCAGGTCCATCAGGGTCATTGACGCACCAGACGATCCGTACGACCAACCCTTGCTCTTGCAGCTTCACCAGCCCCTGGAGTGTTTCGCCGTCGATGCGCTTATATGCCACTTCGGTGTCGTGCTCCCAGTCCACCTCGACCTCGCCGCTCAGAGGATGAGGCTCTAGTACGCTTGCCGTCGACTTCAACTTTTCAATCGCACTGGTGTTGTAGCACAGTAGACGGAGCCAAGGCTCAGAAGATGTTGCGGAGAGGAATTGGACGCGCTGTCGCAGGATGGGGGACAGGCTGGGTAGGAGGGGTGTCGGCGGGGTTGGCGAGGCCGTGGCTGCGATGAGGGCTGGCAAGAGGGGACTTAGAAGTTCTCGCAGGTTCGGTCTCGTGGTTGGTTTTGTGCTCGGAACAGCCATGGTGGTTCTGTGGTCGGTCAAGTGGTTGTGGAGGAGGATTCGATCAGGGGTTGGTCGAGGACATGGACAGAGTTGTAGCTCCAGTCGATCACATGCAGCTTCTGTGAAGGTGGGGGAGTGATCAGATGGATGAGATCGCTGGACTTTGGTGCAATTACGCTCTTTGGGGACGCAGATGTTTGGTGTTTCGAGTGATGTACAGGCTGGTAAATTTTTGAAGATCAGAAAGTGTGGCGCGACGAGGTAAGAACAAGACTTGATATGGGGAGAGGAAGAGTGAGCATGTCGCGGAAAATGTGCTGCGATGTTAGCTTAGGCGGGTCCGACGATGCGTCTGGCAGTGCTTGTGACGCTGTCGGTGGAGTCCGATCCGGAGGAAAGGAAGTGTCCTGATCGGGACAGTTGGATATGCCCGTGCTACCTGAACTCACGAACATGCACACAATGAGGAAACAGATTTATAAATAACCATTAAGTCAACGTACTACACTTCTGCCGCAGAGGTCACGAATATAAAGTGATGGCACCTCATACTCATACTGACATTGGGGTGGGCGCCAGAACATATCCGACGACTGGACCTTCCTACGGTTCATCCTACCCGGGCCGCAGCACTGACCTGCAGCAGCCCTGGCAGATGCGTGCATCGTTACCTTCGGGTTTGTTGCGGGTCAAGTTATAATTACCTAGCAACATTGGTAGACTGGATGCCGATGAGTCAAAACTCGCAAGGGATCCGGCCTCACATAATCATTATACATAGTACAAGCGCTACCTCGCCCACAGCACATCAAGAGCAACTACACAATCCAAGTCCAGAGCTGGTCGGCTGCTAGATGTGGATGCCGAGACAAGCCGACGCTAAGCTCGAGCTGCTGCCGCTGCGACCTCAATCGGCGCCTTGTCGCGTGTGCAGCAGTTCACGGAGCTATCAGCTTGTCAGATCGACATTGTTCTCCAAATGCTGCGAGATGGGGCATCTTGATGGCCAAGTTTACTCACCACAGCACACACGTGGACTCAGTTCCATTGCCGTTGTCCTCGACGAGCCCTGGAAGCGAGGTACTTCGGACGGCACCCTGAAAAACCGCTGGTTCAGGTACCTTACTTATTGCGCCCGCCCTGGACTGGAAATTTCAACATTCCATCGACACCAACACCACCACCATCGCCACCACCATCGCCTCATGTCCTGAACAGCACGCCTCGCACTACGCCAGTTGTTCTCAGCTGCGCAAAGTCCTGCATGTCCCCCAAAACCGACCGCCTCAAAGATGAGGGCTCGCGCACGCAGGTCGTCGCGGCCGGCGCCATAGCCGGCCTGACAGCACGGTCCGTCCATATCCTCGCGCCCCTTTCTCGTCGTCCCAGCGCTGACCAGCACCCAGATTCGTCATCGCGCCCCTCGACGTCCTCAAGATCCGTCTCCAGCTGCAGACGCACTCGCTGTCCGACCCCCTCTCCCAGGCCCCCCGGGGCACGCTCCCCACTCTACGTCACATCATCAAGAATGAGGGCGTCCGCGCCCTCTGGAAGGGCAACGTCCCCGCCGAGCTCCTCTACGTCTGCTACGCCGGCATACAGTTTGGCACGTACCGTTCTGTCACACTACTCCTGAAGAATATCGGCGGCATGCCCGACACCGTGGAGAGCTTTGTCGCGGGCGCAAGTGCTGGTGCTCTCGCCACGGGCTGCACGTACCCCCTCGACCTGCTCCGAACACGGTTCGCCGCACAGGGCCGGAGAAAAGTGTATGGCAGTCTGGCCGGCGCCGTGCGGGACATTTATCGCCACGAAGGACCCGGTGGATTCTTCCGTGGGGTCGCCCCCGGGCTGGCCCAGATTGTTCCGTACATGGGCATCTTCTTCGTGACGTGCGAGGCCCTGCGCCTCCAGCTCGCGGGTCTCAACATGCCCTTTGGCTCAGCCGACGCGACAGCCGGCATGATCGGTGGCATCATCGCTAAGACGGCCGTGTTCCCGCTCGACCTGATCCGCAAGAGGATACAGCTCCAGGGGCCCACGCGGAAACGATACATCTACGGCGACATACCAGAGTACAAATCGGCCACCCGCGCTCTGGGCATGGTAGTCCGAGCAGAGGGCGTGCGAGGGCTTTTTAGAGGGCTGCCCGTTGCCCTGGTGAAGAATGCGCCCACCAGCGCGGTCATGGTGTGGACGTACGAGCGTGTCTTGAGTGTAATGATAGCGTCCAACGAGAAGGTGGAAAAAGTGATACCCTGATAGAGAAAGAGAGAAAATCAAAAGTCTAAATGAAGGCTGTATGCCCTGTCTATTTTTGCTGAGTGGAATTGAGGGCGTCTGCGCGCTCGATGCACTCCTCTATCACGTCCCAGAATTTTTGTGTATCACAGCCCCTGGGTATTCTGACACCGGCCGAGCCAGGCGGCAGCACTTTGGCCACGGTTCGTCCCGTCTGCGTCTTGCCACTGGCAGCGTCCTCCAGCGTGCCCTCTGTCACCACCGTGACCCCGAAGCGTTCCTCGTGCCTTGGGTGGGCGCTCTTCTTCTCATCCCAATCGTAAAAGGGGATCCCATCGGGCGTTCCAGACAGGGCCAATGCTACAGCCAGAGGATCGTGTAATGGCGGGCCAGCAGTGATGCCAAATGTGGTCCTGTTCCGAATGAATTAGCGCAGCACAGCAGGCAGAGAGGGATTCACGAACGCATATGTCTGTGCGAAAAAGTACAGCAGCTCCACGAGCATCTGCCGGAGAACCGTCTTGCCCTTGCCATCATCCCTCTTGGTGCCGTCTCGCCCACACAGCAGAAGCTGCCTCACATCGTCCGTGGCGAGCACCTGATGGCTGAGGTCCAACGGCACGACGCTAATCTTGCCCTTGAGCGCCTCATTCGAAAAAATCTCAGACGCCGCCTCGGGATCGATGAGTACATTGAACTCGGCCCACGGGGTGTAGTTTCCTATCCTCGGCTTGCCGTCGACCTCGCCCATGGGCGCGTCCGTGAACCCATTGCCAATGGAACCCCCCATGAGACTGACGCCCTTGACATGAGACGCCAGCTCTGGATGCGCGCGGAAGAGCTGCCCAACATTTGTCAGAGAGCCCGTCGCCACGATCCACGCCGTGTTTGGCGGTTGGGCCTTGAGAGCCTTGACCATGGCTTCGACAGCCGGCACATCACTGGGGGCTCTGGCCGGCTTGGGTAGGAGTTCAGTCCCGTCGAGACCCGATTCACCGTGGATCTCCGTCGCAGGGTGATGCGCTGGTCGTTCCAGGGGCTTGGCCGCGCCCACGTGGAGGGGGATCTCATCATGTTTCCCTATCGCTGTGAGAAGTGCGCCTGCATTGAGGGTGGTCTTGGACAGAGGCGCATTGCCAAACACAGTGGACACGCCCAAGAGATTGACGCGCGGGTGGTGAGCGGCGAGGAGAAGCGCAAAAGCATCCTGCATGGTCAGCCATGGGTTCAATGTACACAAGTACACGGACGTGTTTCTCAACGTACATCATGGCCTGGATCGCAGTCCAGCCACACGGGCACCTTGTCGTCGGCCATCTTGATCGTATAGCACGCAATATGTAAAGAGGAAGTGATAAGTAGGTGTTGCAGGCACTGTGATAGGACTGGGTATGTGAATTCCAAGGTGCAGTGCCAGGCTGCCAGCGGTTTGTCGTGGTGTACAGACGGCGTAGCGTAGTACCGCCCGCATTTCCTTTTCCCCCTACGTTGTGGGGGACTGTTCTGCGGCCTGCCCCTCACGATAACCCTCCACTTCGACAAACAGCGGCTCGCCGGTGTCTTGGCTCACCAGTAGGGATTATCTCCAGAATGTTCGACTCGCCGTCCCTGGTACGCTAATTTCCTCGCAAACGGGCTTGGCCATACGTAACACGTTTGTCTGCCGGGCGCAGTTGGCCGGCTCGGAGGCGGAGACCTCCGCTGTGTGGGCGGGAGCAAAGGTACCAGGTACTAACTACTACCTTAGCCTCATTGAGACTTCTTCCTCGACTCCATCACACGCAGGACGTCTGCGGCATTGTTCGCGTCGCCTTTCCTCTTCTTCGGCCCTCGCTTTCTCTTTACGCCGCCTTTATCCTGGCCTTCACCGTCCTCGTCGTCGGCGCCCCACTTGGAGATTTTGACCTTGGTCTCGTCAAAGTCCTCTTCGTCTTCGAACCGACTGGTGCCAAAGCCCATGTCCAAGTCATCGTCATCCCTGGCAGCACTCTCGAGCAGCTTGCGGTGCCGCTCCTCGCGGGCTTTGCGAGCGTGCGCTTCCTCGTCGTCTTCGTCGGAGTCCTCCGTCTCCTGCCCCTGCCGGCGTCTGTTCTGTTCGAGAGCTGCAGCACGTTTGAAAGCGGCTTGAATCTCAGGATCAGACATGGATGGTGCCTTGATCTGCTGTTCTGACACTAGCCCAGTCTTTGAGTTTTCAAAGTAGTTTCTCTTTGGTCGGGGAGGGGGCGGCATGGCCAGCTGATCCTGTGCTGATGCCCTGGTCTCCTCCGTCGTTTTGGCGTCGTCGTTCTTTAGGGAAGTTTCTGGCTGCTCATCAGAGTCAGAATCCGAACCGTCTAGCCCAGCCAACGGATCGTAGTCGTCCCCGACGTCATCGAAAATGTCCACGTCCAAGCCCTCTTCTGGTTCAGGCGCCTTCTTGTACTGCTCGGGAACCTCCATTCCCAGTGGCTTCGCACTCTTGTCTGGCATGGGGAGCTCGCTCGCTTCGGCTTCGGCTTCCGGCTGACTAGGCTGCACCTTGCGCACCTTTCTCTTCTCGTGCCCGTCTTCGTCGACGACAATCAGAACTTCCCGACCTTTACTGTCGATTTCGATCCTAGATCCGGCCTTTTGCACGGCCCCGATTCGGCGAAAGCGGTCGCCCAAAGCCGGTTCCGCCGCTGCCTTTGCTGCTGCTCGCGAGGCTTTCAATTCCGCCAGTATTTGGTCGCGACTCCGCTTCTTCGCTGCATTGAGCGACACTGTTGACAGCTGCCCCTTCTTTTTCTTCTCCTGCTTTTCCTTGGCTGCGGCTGTAACTTCTTGCTTCTCCAGTTCTTCAAAGGCCTCGTCCACGTCTTCTGCAACGTCTTCCTGCCCCTGCTTCTCGGGCTCTTTCTCCCCGTACACGTCCTCGCCTCTCCGTATTCGCTCTAGTAGCTTGAAATCAAGGCCTTTGACGAGATGTGTGCTCCCCAGGTCGCCTCCCGCGATCTCAAATCGTAGCTTTTCGTAGGTGTCCTGGTCAATCTCCTCCTTCTTCAAGGACTCCTCGAGCGCTTTCAGCCTGGTCGCGCGATCATCATCCGCATCTCCTGCTTCGCGTTCCCGCGCGCGATCAGTGTAGCCGTCGGCGAGGCGAGCGCCTTTCGGTGCGGATGTCCGGAAATGCTTCTGGGGTTTGGTGGCGCGGTTGCGGTCGGAAAGCTGTCGGGCGAAATCTGCTTGCGATCCTCCGAGTGAACGACTGCGAGCTGTTAGATGGAATCCGCGTAGAGGGAGGAAAGGGGGGACGAACGGAGTCATGGGAATGCTGCTGCGCTGTCGCGAACCGAGTGCTGACCCTCCGGGTGTCGCGGAGGGTGGAGAGGATGCATCTTTGGATTTTGACGCATTGTTCGCAAGAATCAACTTGCGGAACTGATCGTTGTTCATGCTTGACTCAGTTGACGGTCAGGTGTCTTTGGGTACCTGCTGTGCTTGTGCTGAAGATCAGTAAACTTTCTTATCAATCGTCATGTGTGGCTGGTGCGAAACCCAGCAGCTCAACAAGCCACTCTCCAACAGTGCACCAACACCTAGCCTTAATGACGTCGAGGCGGTCTAGAGGTTAGACATTCTGATTCATCATTACAAACATAAAGCTACGGTCAAATAAGTTTCATGGTATCCCGGTGATCGAACAGTCTGTTCTAGAACCACGCTACAAAGGTGTGGCTGAGCGGTGCAGAAGGTCACGGGACAACGTGTTGTAAGCGCGCCACACCGTGATACTCTTTACGCGGGTTGCTCTCTTGATGTCGACCCTGCATCATCACGAAAATGCACGCCCGTTTCACCTTCTTGGACATGTTTACTTTGCTACCGTTTCCTATTGAGCCTTCGGGATGAAGTGATGAATCTCTGTCAGCACGAATCCGATAAAGGCGCCGACGACGATAGGCTCGATTACGTGAATCACCACCACCACTATGGGCAGCGTCTTGGACAAGAACTCGGCGCAAGTCCGCAAGCGCATCGAGAGGCATACTTTCGAGGGCGAGGATGGCGAGGAGTATGAACAGTCCGAATTCCATGGGTTTGGAGGCTACTTTCGCCGCAAGAAGATCAAATTGCAGAATCTCGACGCGGAGTTGCGCACTGCGTCTGGAAAGCCCCAGATCTTCAAGGGTATTGTGGCGCACGTCACTGGATATACGCAACCGCCTTTACACGTTCTACATCGCGAGATTGTGCAGCACGGCGGCGGGTTCCTGCAGTATCTCGATTCGAAAACCATGGCTACTCACATCATCGCTTCTACATTGCCGCCGAAAAAGTCAGTGGACTTTAGTCGCTATCGCATTGTCAAGCCAGGATGGATCATGGACTCAATCGTGGCCGGAAAGCTGCTTCCGTGGAACGAATACCGTGTGCTGGATGAGGGCCCTCGTCAGAAGGTGCTGAAGTTTGACGGAAGCAAAGGCATCACACAACAAAGTCCGCAGACGAAGCATGGCTATCGTGACCAAATCGACGACAGCTTTTATACTAGCCAATTCAAATCCAGCAAAAACGGAACTCAGGCTTGGAGCCAACTGGTGGAGAGGACGAGCACACCAAGCTCTTCCAAAGTTTCACCCTTCCCTCAAGGCAACAGCGGCGACGGTAGCTTGGACACCCCGTCCAAAGCATCCAGGCCTGACTCTCCAATGCCTGGGACTGAGCAGCCGTCTATGCCTCCTCCACGAGCACCAGCTATATCACCTCGAAAACAAGAAAGCCATAGAGGCCCCGAACCCCCCAAAGACGCCACGTCGGAGGAACACAATGCTTGGCTTCTTGCTGACCCACGAATGCGGAAATCATCCACGGCTAATCCTGAGTTTCTGAAACAATACTACTCTGAAAGTCGCCTTCACCATCTCTCTACATGGAAAGCAGAGTTAAAGTCAGAGATGCAGCGCATGGCGACCGAAAAAGGCATGACTGGCAGACCGTCCAAGCGTAGACCAGGCTCAAGGCGGTATATCATGCATGTCGATTTCGACAGTTTCTTCTGTGCCATATCGCTAAAGAAGCATCCCGAACACATCGACAAGCCAGCTGCTGTCGCGCATGGAAACGGCAATGGCTCCGAAATCGCTAGCTGCAATTATCCTGCGAGAGCCTTTGGTGTCAAGAATGGCATGTGGATGAAGAAGGCCCTGGAACTATGCAGCGATCTCAAGATACTGCCATATGACTTTCCAGCCTATGAGGACGCAAGCCGGCTGTTCTACGAATCGATTCTGCAAGTTGGTGGGACCGTGCAAAGTGTCAGCATCGACGAGGCACTAGTCGATGTTTCGTCTATTGTGCTCGATGCCGCTGGCTCGCAGGGCGTGGGGGTCGACGAAGGCAGCATATGGCGCGAACAAGAGAAGGTCGATGCTATGGCTCGAGTTCTGCGAGACCGCATAAAGCAGAAGACGGGCTGCCACGTTTCCATCGGAATCGGTGGCAACATTCTTCAGGCCAAGGTGGCGCTCAGGAAAGCTAAGCCTGCTGGACAATATCACTTGAAGCCCGAGGAGGTACTTGAATTTATTGGTCAGCTACAAGTCGAGAACTTGCCTGGTGTCGCCTATAGCATCGGCAACAAGCTCGAGGAATTGGGTGTGAAGCTGGTCAAAGACTTGCGGGAGCTCTCACGAGAGCGCCTTTCTTCGGTCCTAGGACCAAAAACAGGACAGAAGCTATTCGAGTATGCTCGCGGAATTGACAAGGCTGAAGTTGGGGAACAATCCCCACGCAAGTCTGTCTCGGCTGAGGTCAACTGGGGAATCCGCTTCATCAGCCAGGAAGAGGCTGAGGAATTCGTGCGCAATCTTTGCAAGGAGCTCGAACGTAGGCTGCTCAATGAGCAGGTTCGGGGCAAGCAACTCACCATGAAGATCATGAGGCGCTCTCTGGATGCGCCGCTGGATCCTGCCAAACATCTAGGTCATGGCAAGTGCGATGTGTTCAACAAGAGCATCGCGTTTGGCGTCGGTACGAACAGTCACGAGGCTATCGGCCTAGAGGCTGTGAATATACTCCGCTCCTTCAAGTTCAGCCCGGGAGACCTCCGAGGACTAGGCGTGCAGATGACCAAACTCGAGCCCATCAGGACCAAGTCATCGGGGCCTGAAGGTAGCCAGCGGAAATTGTTGTTCAACGCAGCAAGCGGACCAACAGCAAGGCGCAAGTCGGTGGAAGCTGAAGCGATTGATGTGGATGACACACCCGTCAAGAAGAAGGATGTGCCGACGCCCAGTATTGAACACGATCCAATTGCAGATGATCCAATGACTCCTAAAAAGCAAAAGGTCCATCCTGCTGCTGCTCTGGCTCGTGTCGCGGCCAGTGATCCCAAGGCGAAGACGCCGTTGAACGTTGCCGGCACGCAGTTCCTGATACCCAGCAATGTCGACCCAGCAATACTCGCAGAGCTGCCAAATGACATTCGGAGCAAGCTCATGGCCCAGGCAGCGCCCGCGATTCATCAAGCCTCAAAGCCGCGCTCGGAGAGCCCGCTGGCCGATGTGTTGTTGCCTTCGCAGGTCGACGCTGAAGTGTTCGCTGCGCTACCGGAGGACATGAAAGCGGAAGTCCTTGCCACGTACGCAAAGCCTCAGGTTATACATCGATCACCACAAAAGGAGAAAGTTGTACAACTCAAGAGACAGACAACACCTACCAAAAGAGGTGGCATCCGCGGCGCCTTCAGTAAAGCAACGCGGCAAAGGGACGCACAGGCTGGTCTATACCAGACCAATTTTCGTAGCCTCCGCACAGGAAGTGAGCCTGTCGTGGAGCAGCCTGTCGAAGACATTGATCCTGCTTTCTTGGCGGAGCTTCCCGAGGATGTTCGCAAAGAGGTCATTGCTGACCATCGTCGACGCCGGCTGGCCGCAAGATCTGGTCTCGATGCTCCGAGCCGCCGGCAGCCTCTGATCTCTGAACCATCGGCAGGTCAGAAACGGATAACCTTCCCAGCGCCACCGCCCAAAATTGCATTCGCGCAGTCGGGTATGTCCAGCACGCAAGAGATCAAGGACATGGTCGATGCGTGGCACACCGAGACGCGTGCTGTCGGTCCTCACCGAGGGGATGTGGAGGTGCTGTCCAGATACCTACAGCGGGTCATACTCGAGGAGCGAGATATGGAGAAAGTAAGCAAGGTGTTCAAGTGGCTCGTTCTCATTGTTGAACAGGACGGAATCGAAGGCAAGGGGCTCGAGTCGTGGAGGAGAGCCGTCGAGGACGTTAAGGATGGTATCCAGGCGGCCACCAGGGAGAGAGGGCTGGGCATGTTGGATATATGAATCATGAATCACGACCGTCAGCAAGATGGCTGGAAGCCTGACCCATTAACACATTATGACAATGACTGAAAAAAAGGGCAGCGCTGCTAGATGACGTGAAGCAAGAGTACGCTCGCAAGGCCCAGACTAGCTACAGTCCTCAATCCTTCCGCGGCATTCTCGCCCGTCTCACCCGTCTCACCCGTCTCGTACACGCTCAGTTTGAGGTTGCCGCCGCACGCAAACTCCTCGTCGCCTTCGCAGGCCATGTCGCATTCCTCATCGTCGACCTTCTCGGCAATACCAGCCAACGTGCTTGCACACCAACATTCCCTAGACAGTCAGTGTCGTTCTTCTTCAAGATGTGGCCCTGACTACAATGAAATGGCTTCAAAGATTGCAGTGGCCAAGTCAGGAGAATCACAGAGCACATACCTTGCCCATTGTAGCCCAGCAAAGCGGTATTCTGTGCCGCCATCTCCGCAGATTTCGAGACACAACTCGACGGTCATCTCATCCTCCCTCACTTCTGTGATTCCACCGTCTAGCGCACGGACCCCAGACGAGTCTTCCTGATCGGTGGTTTCGTTGTAGCATCCCCGGTAGACGTAGGTATTTGAGTCGTCGTAAATGGATAGACCCTTGGCGTGGGCGCATGTCGCGACGCTGAGCAAAGCTGCGACGGTGGTAGTAAAAGGACGCATGGTGAATGGATTGCAAGTAATGATCGAATGAAGAAAACAAGTTTGAGCAGACGCTGAGGAAGGGAAAGACGATTAAAGAGGACAAAGGCTTCTAGGACAAGTGAAGCTTTTCATGATGATAATTTCCCAAGAATCTTATGTGCATGAGTTGCCGGCTGGGCAGCTCTCTCTTGGGGCTAGCTCTTACTACAGGCAAGAAGGGACTGGACATACATGGCCAGGGAGGATGGGTAGGTTGATGTCACGGCGTGGAACTACACAGAGCGGAATGGTTGATTCATCCACATGAGAGAGACGCGAACACTCACGATATTTGTAGCATCCGGTGATGTACCATTCATTGCTGGTGTAACTTGAGCACTTAGCGATGGTGGATCTGTCAACTGTTATCTACAGCAGCGCCTAGCGTCGCTTATCAGGTAAGGTACCTAGACCAGCGGACAGCGGCAGGCTCTAGCTCCACAGAATGCACCCTCTTGGTTTAATCGGCTGGCCCGCATCTGCGCGCGGCGACATTCTGTCTTCTTCACGAACCTACTTCATCCTCCTCCAGATTGACTTTGCGCTTCTCTCCGACACCACCGACTTTCGCGCGAACACACTCATACGACCAAACCCACGAGCGACGCCTTCGCGACCGCTGCACCCACATCTCCGCCGCCATGTCAAGCAACTACATTGACTGGACGAAAACGACAAAGTCCAAGAACTACCATGGCGCAGGGTCCTTTGCTACATTCATGATCATTGGTCGTACGTCGCGTGCCGCACGTCTCTGCAGAGAACGGAAGAAATGCTGACAAGATCCTCTAGCGACATGCTTCTTTCTGGGCATCCTCTTCGCCTCGTTCCCCTACGACTTCCCCCTCCTCTGGTCCAAGGAGCCCGTGGCCGAGGGCTTCTTTGACCAACTCGAGAACCACCTGCGCTTCATGCACCAATCGCCCCCGCTGATCGCGCGCATGCTCAACATCATCCTCGCGACCGTCTTCATCGGCTTCATCATCAAGATGTACCGCCCCTCCGAGGCCAACTTCCTCTTCGACGGCGCCTCGGGCATCCTCTACCTGATCGGCGTCGCCGTGTACTCCTCCAACACCATCAAGGGCCTGCGCGCCGTCAGCGAGGGCGTCTGGGACACGGAGGAATACCAGGCCACGCGCGAGGGCCGCTACCAGGGCGAGGTCATCCTCGGCAAGGAGGACAGCCTCCGCGTCCTGGCGGCAAGCAACACCATCCTGGCCCTAATCCTGATCGGTGTCCTGGTGCTCCAGGCTGGTCAGTGGTACGCGGAGAAGAAGGATCGGGAGGAGGAGCAAGAGCAGCAGCAGCCCCAAGCGGGCGTAGAGGACAAGAAGGGCGAGGCGAGCAAGACTGCCAACAAGAAGAAGCAGTGAGTTTGTTATGGGAGCGAGGCTGTCCTGGACACGGCACGTTCATAGAGGGGAAAATGTACATCTAGTCGGGAGACAGTTATTTACCATCTTGTGGGCGTGTTTGACGCCGCAATGGATGCAATTGTGCCTTGGGGTCCGTATTTTGCTTGTTGGCTGCTCAAGCCCTCTGCACGTAGCTCCAGGCCCAGCACGCGAAGCCCAGCGCAACGTGCCTATGAAGCCACTTCCGCTAGTATGCTGAGCTATGTCGTCTAGGAGGACTCATTACGATTTGTTTCACTCGGTGATCAATGCGATACAGCATCAGTCTGCAACGGCTCATAATCAGCGCTAACCAACCAACCCTTTCACGTGACCGGCGTTCAGCAGCGGCATCGCGCTCCGACGTCGGATTTTGGCCCATCGTCACCAAGCCTTGCAAGCCTTGCACATTCCCTCACTACCTTCGTGGCACGCACCCGGGATCATGTTCTCTGCCACCTCTGGGGCTGTGCGCGCAGGCGCCCGTCGCTTTGCCCGCTACCCAGCGTCCATTGGCATCGCTGTTCCGAGTTCAAACCATGGCCTCTTCATCTCCACCTCGACGACCAAGGCCGCCTCGCTCCGCCCTGCCACCCCTGGTAGCCAGCGTGTTGGCCAGCAGCAGCGTCACAGCTACGCCACGACGACCAACCCGAACCCCCCGCTCGGCAAGAAGAATGCCTCCAACGATGTGCCGTCTCGCATTGGCTTGATTGGCGCCCGAGGGTACACCGGCCAAGCCCTGATCGACCTGCTCAACGACCACCCCTTCATGGACCTCCGCTATGTGTCTTCGCGAGAGCTTGCTGGCCAGAAGCTCGACTCCTACACCAAGCGCGACATCACATACGCAAACCTCGCCGTGGAAGAGGTGGCCCAGCTGGACAAGGATGGCAAGGTTGACTGCTGGGTGATGGCTCTGCCCAATGGCGTATGCAAACCATACATTGAAGCCCTCAACCAGGTTCGGGAAGAAACCGGCAAGAAGACCCTCATTGTTGATCTCTCTGCCGACTACCGATTCGACGACACATGGACATACGGTCTCCCTGAGCTTACCAAGCGCTCCGCGATTGCCCAATCCAAGAACATTTCCAACCCGGGATGTTTCGCGACTGGTGCCCAGCTGGCTCTCGCGCCCCTCAGCGGTCATTGCCTCGATGCCCACGTCTTCGGAGTGAGTGGCTATTCGGGTGCTGGAACCAAGCCATCTCCCAAGAATGACCTCAACAACCTAAGGTAGCTTGCCGCTCTTGAACCCGATTTCTCATTCATCTGCTCACATTCCTAGGGGCGGCATCATCCCATACAGTCTTACGGGCCATATCCATGAGAAGGAGATTAGCCATCATCTGAACATCAAGACTGCGTTTCTGCCTCATGTGAGTTTCCTTCTTTTCTATTGCTTGGAGGCCCAGTCACTCCCTTCTGCCGCCTTCTTTTACTTGAGAGGTGCATTAACAACTTTTGATGCTGATATTTTCCCAGGTGGCCGAATGGTTCCGTGGCATTCAACTGACTGTCTCGATTGACTTGAACCAACAAATGACATCACGCGACATCCGCCAGATCTACCAGGACCGTTATGCTGGGGAGAAACTTGTCAAGGTCTCGGGAGAGGCTCCTCTGGTGAGGAAAATCTCTGGCCAGCATGGCTGTGAGCTCGGTGCCTTTTCCGTCGACAGCACCGGCAAGCGCGTGGTTGTGTAAGTCTTCCACGACCCCCAGAGATACGAGCCATACTAACTATACCAAGTTGCGCTACGATAGACAACCTCAACAAGGGAGCCAGTACCCAGTGTTTGCGTAGGGCCCTCTCTTCCACTGATTGAGCTTTCTGGATTGCTGACAGTTTCTTTCAGAAAACATGAACCTTGCGCTGGGATACGATGAATTCCAGGGCATTCCCACGGCACAATGATATCGGGTTGATTGAATTGTATGTTGATACGGGTGGTAGTGAAGATACCTGGAATATACTTTCGAACCATGTTTGCTTAGGTCGATGTTACATGTGAGATGCGTGACTTGGCTTCACTGTGCGCTTGTAGAGCAGAGCCAGCGTGAACATTTCCGCTCAATGATGAGACAGACGTGTGTATTCACTGGGCTGCAGTCCTTCTGTGATGTTCAATATTACCCTGGCCACATCAGAAAAGCCGGGGGGGGGGGGGTCTGTCCATGTGCCGGCCTGGCAGTCAGACAACCGAGGCTCGCCACTTCACGCAATGACGGTGTTAGAGCATTCGAGGCCGGAACCCTCAATCCCACTTGTGACTAATGAAAACCTGAGATCCAGGATCGGCATGGTGTCGATGCAGAACTAAGGCACGCAAATAATCCCTCGACGCCAACATGGTACGATACCCACCATCACGGCAGTCACAGGCCAGTAGCAGTGTAGATCCTCTGCGGGCTCATCTTATCAATCTGATCTTCTGTCTCGTCATCTCACCAGTCCCGCAATGCCGTGCTTTCAGCAGATAGGCAGAATTTTTAGGGTAACGACTTGGCGCGTCCTCCGTACCTTACCAGGTAGCTTTCTGGTGACGTTTGTTCGTGGTGGGTCGATAAGGCCGCGATAAGCACCTAATGTCTGCTGCAGCGCCGCGCGCCTTTCCAATTAATTCTTCACCGCACAAAACCCATGACAATGTGAAAAGCCTTTCCATCCTACCTGACCCTCCTCTCGTCCATCCTTAATAGATTCTACCCCTCTCGAGCCATTTCAGCTTTTCGTACAATGTGCTGAGATCCTCAAGGGACATCCTGCAGACTCCCAACACCGGTTTCGCGTAACGATGCACTGCCAGTTGCCCCGCGGCATCGACCACCGGCTCTAGGATCTGCAGGCAGAACAGACACAGACACAGACACAGACACAGACACAGACGAACAGACGAACAGCAGCAACAGCCTCTTGCGTGAAGGTTCGACGCTTCATTCTTTTCGTACCTGCATGACGACGTGCAGCGGGCAAGGGGGTGTAACGGTCATGGAGCCTAGCCCCGTCGCCATTCAGACGAAGGATCTCGCAAACAGGTCCGCTAACCGGACCGCCCTGCTCGATGCGGTCGAGGATGTCCTCTTTGGCTCTGTAAGTTCCCCTATTCTCAGTCCAATGCCGGCCAGAGGGCTAACACAAACGCCAGATAGCGGGCGTGGTCGGCAAATACATTGAGTACCCCTTTGACACCGTAAAAGTCCGTCTCCAGTCCCAACCAGACGGCGTACCACTACGATACACCGGCCCTATTGACTGCTTCAAACAATCGCTCGCTTCTTCGGGCATTCGCGGTCTCTATGCCGGAATCTCCGCGCCACTTGTTGGGGCGGCGGCCGAGACATCCTCGCTCTTCTTCTTTGAGAGTCTAGGCCGGGAAGCCCTCTTCAAGCTAGGATGGGCGGACAGGGAGAAAGGCCTGAGCCTGCCTGCGCTGTGGGCTACCGGCGCCTTTTCCGGCGCATGGACGAGCCTCGTGCTCACACCCATTGAGCTGGTCAAATGTCGGATCCAGGCGCCCGGCGTGGGGAGCGGCGGCGTGCCATTGAAGCCCTTTGGCGTGATCCGGGATGTCTACCGCCATGAGGGTATCCGGGGCTTCTGGCACGGGCAGCTCGGGACGCTGATCCGCGAGGGCGGTGGCTCAGCCGCCTGGTTCGGCGCGAAGGAGACTACCACCGCTGCCTTCTATCGGATGGCCGCCAAGAATACATCATCCGAGGCGGAAAGGCGAGATATTCTACTGAAGCCGCTCCCACTCTGGCAGCAAGCAGTGGCGGGCGCGTCCGCGGGCGTCTCGTACAACTTCCTCTTCTTTCCCGCCGATACCATCAAGTCGCGGATGCAGACTTCGCCTGTGGGCGGCACGCAGAGCAGAAAGACTTTTGTGCAAGAGGGCGCGGCGATATGGCGCCAGTATGGACTCCGCGGATTGTATCGCGGTTGTGGAATCACGTGTGCGCGCTCTGCGCCGAGCTCGGCGTTTATTTTCATGGTTTATGATGGGCTGAAAAGGCGTTTTCCACTGCAATGAGCCTTTTATCAGGATAGATAGACCCAACGATCCAAGGTTGGATATACACAGATACATACCAAATAGATAACTAAACTACCAAAGGGCAGACGAATACTCCCGGAATGAAACAAGCCGCGTCTTCTTCAAACAGCGCTCGTTGACGCCTCTGCCTACTCCCTCTTGACCTCCTTGTCCCGCAGATCCCAGTTGTTAAGGACACCAGCGCCGACGCACAGGTACGTCGCAAAGCTCATCCATCCCAGGTAAGGCAGCTGCAACCATGCGCTCGTCTCATCGACTCCGCTCCACAGATAGGTGAGGTAACCATTCACGCCGAGCAGGGCCAGGATGTCAGCGGTGGCGTACGCTGGGCGCTTGAGGCCGAAGAAGAGAGGTGTCCAGACCAGGTTGAGGAGGAGCTGGACGGAGTAGAGGGTGAGCGAGTGCCGGGTCGTGGCGACAGTAGAAGGCGAGGCGAGGGCGGAGAGGCCAGTCTTCGCGGCGCGGTGAGCGGCATAGCCCATTGTGCTGGCCAAGGGGTTAGTTTGTGTGTCTCAAGCAAAAGGTAGGATTCATGAGACGCACGCGTAGAGAGCAGTCCAGACAGGACCAAAGACCCATGGCGGGGGACGCAGAGGGGGCTGCTTCATGTTGAAGTACGTCTTCTTGGTCTCGGATGCTTCAAATTCGTCAGTCACTGTACTGTGGTTGGGTCTTGGTCGATCTATGGTGTACGTACGGCTGGTGCCATAGCCTACCGCTGTTCCGAGCGCGATGGGCAGGAGAATAGAGGCGGCTGGGTTGAGGAACACTGCCTCGGGGATAGTGATGGATGGCATGTATGTTGTCATTGTGGTGATGTTTGAGCAATCGACACGCTTGGCTTGTTTCGCGGGAAGGTGTTGCTGTTTGTTGAAGATGGGTTATTATGGTGAGGTCTGAACTGAAGTGGTTCGACTACGGACTTCAGTGACGTAACCTCGGAACTCATGGATGTCCGAGGGTCATGCTCAATACGTACCTTGCGATATTTCGACGCGCAAAAAGAAATATTCGGCATTACGTGATCTTGACTTTCCCATTGCTCTCCAGTTACAGCATCCCGCGAATTCCTGAAGCGACATTCATTCACGCATGGAGTCCATGTCATGGACTGTCTCCATGTGATCGTTGCGCTGAGGGGCCGGTGCTCTACAACGGCATCATCTCACCCAATCGAACAACAGCAAACGCCTCCATCGCGATCAAATCGGGTAATTGACTGACTCGAGGCGCTATGTATGCTTCTTTGTTCCTTGTTCACCGTAAGCATACGTACTCACCTATGCTTATTTCGCATATCCTGATGGATCATCCCTCCACTTCAAGTTACATCCTCGCCTTGGGCCTCCACTTGGCGTACGGGTGCTCATCCCCAGCAACAACCAAGTGGTCGACATCAGACGTGTTCACAAGGCCAGGGTGTACTTCACTCAGGTCCTTGATGCCAAGGAGTTTCATCACGCTCTCCATTTCCTCCTTGAGTACTGTGCCGTGTCAGCCAAGGGCACTCGACCCGTCCATCAAACCACGGACTCACATTCGACGAGATGCTCCGCTCCCTCGGTGCCATAATGCATCGAGTATAGGAAAGATCTTCCGAGGCCGACAGCCTTGGCTCCCAGGCACAGCGCCTTGATGATGTCGCCTCCCCTTCTATACCCGCCGTCAACGTACACCTCCACCTTGTCGAACACCTCTGGGCAGTTCCTGTGCATCTCCAGGAGGAGCAGGATGCTGGGCGGCGCAAAGTCCAAATTTCGACCTCCATGGTTGCTCAACATGATGCCTTCGACGCCGTGCTCCACAGCCAGTCTGGCATCGGCAGCGGTTGTGATGCCCTTGAGGACAATGGGAAGATCGGTGACACTCCTGATCCAAGCAATGTCCTTCCACGTCATGCCTTGATCAATGTAGCTCCCCATCATCTGCGTCAGCCCACCACGCTTCTTCTGGTCCACCGGGGCTCTTTCGCCGGTGATAGGGTTGACGATGACCTCGTCGACCTTGAGACGCTCGTCAGACTCGCGCTTCCCACGTCCGGCAGCGTCAACCGTGAGAAAGACAGCGCGGATGCCCAGCTCCTGGGCGTGGCGGAGCGCCGCAGCAGATTTTGACTTGTCCTTGTTCAGGTACAGCTGGAAGAAGAAGGGATAGCCCGGGGCTTCGGCGACAACATCTCGGAGCGGATGACTCGACGCAGACGAGACCTACGCCTGTCGTGAGCAATCTCCTCACCCATCTCGTTGACACTCTGACTCACGATTTCGAGGATGCCAGTTGATTCCGCCGCGCGTGCCAACCCTTTCTCGCCATCCGGGTGAATCAGCTTGGCCAGACCGGTGGGACATATGAACAGCGGCATCTTCATGGGAATCCCCATGACACTCGTCGACGTGTCTACCTGCGCCACATTTTTCATCACCCGCGGTCGAAACCAGATCCGTTTGATCATCTGCTCATTTGCGTCTCGTGTGCAGCAGTCTGTCGCGGCCGTCGAGTAGAACGCGTATGCCTTCGTCGAACCCGTCCTGGCAACAGACTCCGCAAAGTCATAGAGACTGATGATGTTGTGAAGGGGGATTTTCTTTTCCGTCTCTCCTGGTGCCTGCGCTTTTGGTGACTCTGGCTTGTCTTGTGCTCGAGTCCATGCCTCAGTGATTGTTGATCTGTCTAGGTTTCCCTTGAAAAAGTCCGGACTCAGGTGCTCGCGTACAATAGATCGAGTGTGAATCTCGGAGTATGCTTCTGTCGCATCACGACCGGCATACTTGACAATGACTTTCAACTTGTCAGCGTCACCTCGACGAGGAAACAAATCAGACCATCCATACCTGATGCGCCGCCTGGATGCTGAGGTGCAAACTTGGTCACATCCCAGACTTCATCGTCGATGACTATCCAGCAGTCATGGGGGGTGCCATGTTGGAGCACGGTCTGGGCCGGTATTAATTGCGTCGCTTCCATGGCAAGGTGAGTATTCTCATCCAAGCGAATTCATCAAGAGCAAGGGCTTGTCAGAGACCAAATTGGCGGTCGCCCGACATGTTTTGAAGGATTCATGTTAGCAAACCCCGGACTTGAACAACTCCAAACGTCTTTCGGGCCATGGCCGATTGTGGGGAGGCATTCTGTCGCCTCTGTTCCAGTCCAACATTAGCTTCTATGCCGGACTTTGTCAAATACGTACCATCGCAGTTTGGGTCCGATTACAGGTCCACTCAAGAGGCCGAGTAGCCGACCTTGGAAACGTACGTACGTAGTGAGTTGACTCTGTGTGGGCGACCCACGTCGGACTCACTCGGCCACGGGTGGCTGGCGGCTGGCACCGAGTGCCGCGCTACGGAGGACACATCACGTGAGTCCATACTTCGAACGGATTCGAACAGAGCGTCATTTCGCGCGTGTCCATACTTTACCAAGGAATTGACTCTAAGCATTCCTCAAAGCCAATTTGTGCCCAGAATTTTGAGCCAAGTCTCACAGTCCCAACCGCTCTGAGCAGCCACAGCCAATCATGGCGAGGTTCATCGCAAAATGTCCCACGCACGGGCCGCGACACACGATACAGCGGCTCCACCTACGCGGTAGCGGAGGTCGCGTCACAACGCGTCTTTGATGGACAGGGATACAAATTGAATTGGTGGCGCGCTTGGCTGAACAGACCTCTTCATATCATCCTGCGGGACTGTGCTGCATCTTCCTTGATCTTCATGTTCACCATTTGCAACCTGTACTTGTGCACGACGTTTGTTCTTGGGCCTTCTTGCTAAGTTTACGCATTGCACTTGCCTCGATCTTCATCGCTCCTTCTCTATTCTTCGCCTCCAGCATCATGAGCCCAACATTGGGAAAGAGATCGCGGGCTGTGCTCGAGGACGGTACGTGACACATGCGGAGCCAATTTACCAGTCGTTCCTTCCGCTGACATTTACGCAGTCAGCCCACAGACACCTCGACGAACAACCAGAACAATCAAGCCAGTTATCTACGACGCGGAGAACATTGATCCCGAGGTGCTTGACGATGAAGTCCTCGACATCCTCGAGGATCTTCCCTCCACCAAGCGTCAGCGCACTGCAAGTAAGAGGGTTCCCGTGACACCAACGACGCCAAGGCACCGCCATGTGCTGTCCGACTCCCCATCTTCCCCGAGACATGTGGTCATGTCCGCTGGCAGACTTTTCAAGCGCATGACGCCCTCATCGCCTTTGACGCCTTCGGCGGTACAGACTGTGTATCACTCAGCCCGTCAAGTGTTCACGCACGGCGCTGAGCCGGGTACCCTGGTCGGGCGGGAAGAGGAGCGGGCAACATTGACAACCTTTTTGGCGAAGTGCGACGGCAAAGACGCGAACGGTTGTCTGTATGTGAGCGGGCCTCCCGGCACAGGCAAGAGTGCCATGATCACCGAGCTTCTGCAGCCTTACTCTACCCGAAAGGATGTCAAGTCCGTCTACATCAACTGCATGAGCTTTAAGTCGTCAAAGGACCTCTACAACAGTTTGCTTGATGCCCTGGGCGAGGGCGAGGACAGAAATGAGGCAGACGCCATGTCAGCTCTGCAGGCGGTCTTGTGCCAAAAGAAGCAAGGGTCAGCATTGACATGTCTCGTCACATTGGATGAGATTGATCACATCCTCACCCTGGGCCTGGAGAGTCTCTATCGCCTGTTTGAGTGGTCCCTCCAGAGCCCCTCGCGTCTTCTCCTCATCGGCATCGCCAACGCTCTCGACCTGACGGATCGTTTCCTGCCTCGTCTCAAGTCGCAAAACCTGAAGCCCGAGGTCCTCCCATTCTTGCCGTACAGCGCCCCACAAGTCAAGAACATCATCACCACACGACTCAAGTCTTTATTGCCAGCGGGCGCCAAGGAAGGGTTCGTTCCCTTCATCCATCCCGCGGCCATTGAGCTTTGCTCGAGGAAGGTGGCGAGCCAGACGGGTGATCTGCGCAAGGCATTCGAGATCTGCCGCCGAGCGCTGGACCTCATCGAGCAGGAAGTTCGCTCCAAGCACGAAGACGAGGCGAGGGAGGAGCTCCTACAGATGACACCATCAAAGAAGCCACTTGGCGAGAATATCAACGGAGCCTCATCCGAGCGCCGAAGCATTGTGCAGATCATGGCCAAGTCTCTGAAGGAGCTCGCGGCGGAGAAAGCGCCAAGGGCGTCCATTGGCCACCTGAACAAAGTCACAGCAGCGGCTTTCAGCAACGGCACAACGCAGCGGCTCAAGGCCCTGAACCTGCAACAGAAAGCAGCCCTCTGCGCTCTCGTGGCTTACGAGCGTCGCGCACGGGAGAAGGTCAAGGCATCCGCCGAGGGCACGCCCTCCAAGTCACGCACCCTCGCGCCTACTGTCAGGATCCTCTTTGATACATACAGCACATGCTGCACGCGCGACGCCGTGCTCCACCCGCTCTCCAGCTCCGAGTTCCGCGAGGTGGTCGGCAGCCTGGAGACATTGGGCCTGGTAAATGCAGTGGATGGCAAGAACGGGAGCTTTGTTACGCCCCAGACACCGAGTCGCAAGGGTCGCAAGCCCACAGCAGCCAGTGGCGATGATAGGAGGGTGGCATGTGCAGCGGGCGATAAGGATATGGAGAGCATGGCGGAGGGGATCGGCGCGGGCATACTCAAGGCCATTTTGAGTGGAGAGGCATTGGACTGAACATTGTTCTACGGACAGTTGGATACAGTGACGAGAAGCCGTGGCGGGTGCACTTGATTTCTGGGTTTCATGGCGAGGCGCACACGGCATAGCATGATAGCATACTGGGTTGGCGTCCAAATTTTCAGCATAGCATCCAAAGACACGAGCTTTGTTTTTTTTGTTTTTTTTGTTTTTTTTTTTTCACGCACACACGAGAATGCCCTAAAAATATGATCTTCAACGTAATGCCTCTTCCGTGCGACGATCACGCCGCGTTTGTAGCATCGTGGCGAAGGAACCACATCTCCTGGACAAGGGTGCTGCGAATAGGGGTTTCGGGGAGGGCGAAGCCCCTCTCGCATTCTCGTATTAGGAGGTATGCAACAGCATTGACTTGTCCAAAAGTTGTCCCCAGCTAGCTTTCGACGTCGTTTGGCTTACAAAACAATCGACACTGTCACTCTTGTCGAGATCGATTTGAACTAACGACGACATTCTAAATCAGGCGCTAATTGACTTACGTGCGCCAGTCACACCCAATCGTTCGGAGTTCGGATCGCGGCGCAGGTGCCCCAAGGACCCTCCGGACCAAGCTTTCCTTGGCAGGACTGGCGAGCTCTTGGCGCTGCATCGACCTCAGCCTTGGACGTCTTGGGCTCGGTTGATTCGTATTGATAGCGGAAAGGGAGGTAGGAGACGAGCGAATCGAGGAGCCATGTCTGTCGGGAGACCAAGGCCAGAGGGGAGAGGCAGCACACGAGCAATGCTGCACGGTCGTGACCGCGCTGAAGAGCCACGAGTCGGACAAAAGTCCCCCACTCCCACCACCGCCAGAACCAGCACCACCACCACTGGCACTGGCACTGGCACCGTTGGCACAACCACCGCCAACTCTAGACCAGGCACCGCTGCCACACCACCATCACCACCAGCATCACCAACAAAGAACGTTAGATCCGGCTCTACGTCGACCAAGATCTGTACGAGACACGCTTGGTTACGACCCCTCACCCCACCGATTGACTCTTGGCCTCCGACTCCTCATCCCGAGTCCTCTCCAGCCTCAACACCAGCCTCACCTCCAGCCTCCGCCACGCCTGTCCCCTCCAAACACCACCACGGGACCCGTCACAACTCGACCGTGAACGCGCTCGCTCCGTCTGGCTCGTCCGCCTCCTCGGTCTCGTCGTTGCGCGTCGCGCCCAAGTCACCGGGGATGACCAGCAACAACACCACGCCTTCCTCACAGCAACCGCCTCAGCAAGACCCCAGCTCGCCCAGCAGCGCCAGCGCGCGACAACCCGCAGATACCGCGCACCCCGCGCGGCGCGCATCCAGCTCCTCCTCCACAACAGCGCCGTCGACAACGACAGCATCATCAGCCAAGAGCGGTTCGTTTCTCTCCCGGTTCAGCCTGCCCCTGCCCAGGTCGGCGCGGATTCGAAACATTGTCGACTTTTACGTCCACACGCGCGAGCCACACAAGATTTATACTGCAGGCGACCATGTACGCGGGTCTGTATGTCTCACCGTCGTCAAGACAGTGAGGATCACACACCTGACAGTGGCCTTGAGCGGCTATGTCCACGTCGTGAAAGACCCGAGAACGCGGTCGCGCGCCGCCCTGGCCAACGCGGTGAGCTTACTGCCCAACGGTGTCTCCGAGCGGCCGGTGTATCATGGCAATGGATTCGCGAGCATATTCCAGGACGAGCAGGTGCTGAGCGGGGACGGCAAGCTCGAGCCGGGGAAGTACGAGTTTGGATTTGACCTGGTGTTTCCTTCCAAAGGGTTGCCGAGCAGCATCGATGTAAGTGGGATCTGGCGTCGCGAGGCACTCGTGGGGCCCATACTGACCGCCGACAGTTCGAGCGCGGGACCATTTCGTACGTGGTTTCGTCGACGTTGACGCGACCCATTGCAATCGCACCGACGACCACCTGCGAAACAAAGATCATGCTCAACAACAAGGTGGACATTGGGCATTGCGCCCCTCCCCAGCCAAGAGTCATCTATATCGAGCCTCAGGCCAAGAAGAAGCGCAGGAAACAGTCGACTGGCTTGGACAAGTCGGTAGCCCCTAGCGCTGATCTGAGCGACATATCCGCGGAGTCTGGCCACGAGTCTGCGGTGCTCGATGGCATGACTGTGCGGGAGCGGTCCATCGACAACGACATGCGCAGCGAGATCAGTGGGGAGAGTGAACGCAGCGTCAGCACCGGGGGCCTCAGCCGGGCTCACCTGGCGCAGGTAGCGTCGGCCAAGCAGCAGGTCGTCGATGATAAGACCATCACGGCCAAGATTGGTTTGACGAGAGGTGGCTATCTGCCGGGCGACACCGTGACTGTGCGTGTGGATATCCAGCACATCAAGTATATCAAGAGCATGAATGGTGTTATTGTCACGCTGTTCCGGCAAGGAAAGATCGACTCGAGCCCGAACCCGGACATGTTCAACAACACATTGAGCAAACAGGAAAGGCGGCGCATGCAGAGGGAAGACGTCCCCAAGTCGAAGACGAGGCTTGGGGGCCTCACACTGTCCTCCGCCAACTCGACCAGCATGTTTCGGAAGGACCTAGATCAAGCCACTGCGCCGATCATCATCAATCCCGCGACCCTGCAGGCCTCGATACCCGTCTCCGTCAAACTGCCAGGGGAGTGCTTCCCGACCATCAAGGGCGTCCCCGGAGACATGATGCGTTTCAGCTATCAGGTCGAAGTGGTGGTCGACCTGGGTGGGAAGCTCTCCAATCAGTTCAAAGGGAGTCAAGAGTCAAGTCACGGCCACGGACACGGTATTGGCCAGGAAGGGTCCATGATGTACGACAATTCGAGTTTCAGCTCCCGGAGGCCAGCTACAGGCATCACCGACACATCGGCCATCAAGCGAGAAAGCGGCGTGATCAATGTGACGCTCGAGACGCAGATTGGGACTGATGACAGCACCCGCGGCCGCGCACGACAACGGGTGTCGCCGTCCTCTAGGACGGTACGGACGACGGCAAGCGAAGACGACGACTATCATCGGAATGCTGAGTTCAGCCACGTTGATGATAGCCACTGGGCGACAACGCCCCATGCCAACTCAGACGGATACTTTCCCATACAAAGGGGGCAGCAGGGTGTGCCTTCCTATTCAACGCCAGCAACACCGTCGGGACCATCGCAGCCATATCCATACGCGGTGCACGGCGAGTCGAGCAGCAGTGTGCCAGCGTACGAGGCACCGCCACCTCAGCTGCCGGACCAGCGTGGACTCTCAGAAAAGGAGCGCGTTCGCGAGGCAGAAACTAGGCTCCTCCCGAGCGCCCCGCCAGCTGGCCCCTCAGCTGTGGGTCCCTCAGCTCCTCCGGCGGACGACGATGAGGACGACATATACGATGCCGACGACACACCTCGGATGCCCCATGCAGGACCGTCGTCGCCATTGTCCGAGATTGGACCTTCGGCGCCGACAGAGGACGATCTCACAGCCCTTCCCGTCCACCCACCCACAGAGGACAAGCAAGAGCTGGAGCGAAGACGTCTCCTGAACGAGGCTAGCGCGCCACCCGAGATGCCAGACGAGCTCACTCGCACCTCGAGTCGGGACACGGCGACCGTCGCGGGGCCAAGTGCGCCCGTCCTGAACGAAGAAGATGAGCACGATGCGCAGCCTGGGCTGCCGAGCCAGGGCCATCAAGAACAATTACCAGCGTATGAACGCTGAGTCACGACATGTGTGGTTGTGCACCATCTGTTACGAAGATCTACGAGGGACAGGTTCATGCACGGCGTTGGGCGATTTTCAAAATATGGATACGTTGTGTGTGTGTGTGTGTGTGTGTGTGTGTTCTACATTGTGATTTACATCTAGAGACAGCAGCCGTCTTCTATATAACCAACTTAGTGCTCAAGTACGACGGGCTTGCCTTGCTCCCAGTTGTCAAGGCTGTCCTGGATGTTGACCCAGTACCGCAATCGCACGGCCTCCTCCTTGGCGGCTTGAATGTCATCGGTCCCAAACGCCCTGTCCAGCTCCTCCTCGCTGTTTCTAATGCGCTCCTCGTTCACAGTGCGTAGGTCAACGAGGTCGTCCTCGGCCTCGGCCTCCTCGATGCTCTCGCGCGCCTCGAGGACCTCCATCAGCAGCTCTTGGTTCTCCGTCTTGAGCGTCTCGTCGTTGGCGACGTCGACGCCCCGAAGACCGAGGAGGTACTGCGCGCGGTAGAGGGGGTTGGCGAGGGTGCGGTAGGCCTCGTTGATGACGGAGGAGATCTGCTCGGCCTGGGGCCGCGTCGCAGGCGGGTGCAGGTCGGGGTGGTGCTTGGCCTGGAGCGAGAGGAATTCCTTGCGGAGCGTGCGCAGAGGGATGGGGAAGGGGCCTGCCGGCGGAGGACCGTCGGGGAGCGTCTGCGGGAAGAGAGAGTAGTGTGTGGGCTGCTGGGCGGACTGAGGCTGTGAACGCTGCGGCTCTTCGGACGAGAGGCTGCGCGGTGTCGTGGAGAAGGCGAAGGCGGTGCCGCCTGTGAGGACTGAAAGTGGTGAGCTAACTCTTGTCGAGGTAGCTGCTGTCACGGCTGGGAGGATGGAGGCGCGCGGTGCGCTGTTGCAGCGGGTGCAGACGCGGCCCGCTATCCTTGTCGCCGTCGGTCGCATTGTGTGTTGTATTTCGTGGCTGTTTGTCAGGAGTAATGAATGACTGACAGGATCTAGAGAGGAGTGACAACTTGAATGTTGTTGTTCCTCGGATGTCTACATCGTAACGCTTAGTCGGTCTCCGAGCGGCGAGGAACCACGAAATTTATTGATGACGTAACAACACTGGCAGAGTGTCTCTACAGGGTAGTCAGATCAAATGTTTGATCTGAAATCCCGGCATTTCTGCACTCCGACTTGCCGAAGACCCTTGTGCTGGCTGACTGTCCAACTTGAGAGAGGGCGGCCAATTGCGGCTCATTCAATTGATTTGGTCGGTATTATTAGCCTTCTCCATGTTTCCCCAGCTTCGAAATCGCCCGTTCTGCCCAGCGTTGGACCGACGACTCCTCACCCTCAGATTGAGGACGAAGGCTGCTTCAGTCCTCAGTACCTACACAGCCAGACAGTGCACAACACTGCAACTATCAGACTGGGCCATAGCTCAGACTGTGAATGAGAATTCAGAAAGCCCATCGACCTCGCTTCGCAAAGAAGTAGAGAACGGCGGGAATTGCCGCATTCGGGCGTCTGTGGAGCTCCACACCTCGTCACCACAAAAGACGAAGTAAAACTCCCGCCGGGTCAATGGACGCCGAAGGGCCAAGGAAGGGCTCAGCAATATTAGTCCCGGACATCATTTTGGGGTAGAACATCCCCCATCGTTGGAGTTCACCGATCCCATTCCAAGTCTCCCCATCAACTTCCAGGTCACAATGGCAAAGGTATTCGACGCGGCTGAGGGTAAGTCGACGGTCCCTGCTGTCCAGGCTCAGTGACTTGAACGACATGAGCTAACTGGCGGCTCCAGTGGCCAAACACAACACCAGCGAGTCCTGCTGGGTCATCCTCTACGGCAACGTCTACGATGTGACCAATTTCCTCCCAGAGCACCCTGGCGGCGCCAAGATCATTCTCTCGCTCGCTGGCAAGGATGCGACCGAGGAGTACGACCCCGTGCACCCACCCGGTACATTGGAGAGTGAGCTCCCGCCCGAGGCCAAGCTCGGCCGCGTGAACCCAGATTCCCTCGTCAAGGAGAAGGACGAGAGCGTGCAGCGGGACCTGGAGGAGCCGCCGCAGGCGCTGCCCATGGAGGCGCTGCTGAACATGGGCGACATTGAGGAGCAGGCGACCCGGCTCATCTCCAAGAAGGCGCACGCGTACTACTTCTCGGCTGGCGATGACATGCAGTCCAAAAGGTTCAACAACACAGTCTACCGGGACATCCTCCTGCGACCGCGCGTCTTTGTCGACTGCACAGCCTGCGACATGCGCACCACGCTCCTCGGCCACAAGGTGGGACTGCCCATCTTCGTGGCACCGGCGGCCATGGCACGCCTCGCGCATCCCGATGGGGAGAACGGCATCGCAAAGGCGGCCGCCCGCTTCAACGCCATGCAGATTGTGTCGAACAATGCGTCCATGACGCCGGAGCAGATCATCGAGGGGGCGCCGCCCGGGCAGATGTTTGGCTGGCAGATCTACGTCCAGAACCAGCGCGGAAAGTCAGAGGCCATGCTGCGGCGCATCAACGCGATGGGGGACCACTACAAGTTCATCGTCCTCACGCTGGACGCACCCGTCCCCGGGAAGCGCGAGCTGGACGAGAGGGGCAACCTCACCAACGGCATGAGCGTGCAGAGCGGGAGCAACGAGAAGGGCGAGGGCGAGAAGCGGCCTGGGGGCGGCGGTGTCGGGCAGCAGCTCTTCTTCGGCACCGCGAGCGACCTGACGTGGCAGACCACCCTGCCCTGGCTCGCCAAGCACACCGACCTGCCCATTGTGCTCAAGGGCGTGCAGACGCACGAGGACGCGTACCTGGCGGCCAAGTACGCGCCCCAGGTGAAGGCTGTCATCCTCTCCAACCACGGAGGGCGCGCCCTCGACACGGCGCCGCCCGCCGTGCACACGCTGCTCGAAATCAGGAAATACTGCCCCGAGGTTTTTGGTCAGATCGAGGTCTGGGTAGACGGCGGCATCAAGCGCGGCACAGACGTGGTCAAGGCACTGTGTCTCGGCGCAAAGGCGGTCGGCGTCGGACGCAACGCTCTGTTTGGCCTCGGCGCGGGCGGCCAGGCGGGCGTCGAGAGAATGTTTGAAAGTACGTATTCCTCGTCCATGGCATTGTGGGAGGACAATATGCTGACAGCTGGTGTGATTTAGTTTTGGAGGCGGAGACGGCCACGTGCATGCGTCTGCTGGGCGCGAAGAATATCTCGGAGCTGGGACCCAAGTTTGTAAGTTCTCTGCCTTTGGCTTTGCAAATTCTTTGTTTGCCATGTTTCACGATCAGGTGCTGACAGATGTCTCCTTCTCAGATCAACACCCGCAAGGTCGAGCGCGACATATACGATGGCGAGCCGGGGCTGGACAAGCAGGGTCTGTGGGAACGCGCCAAGCTCTAGTCGAGTTGAGGTTGGTGGTATATAGAAATGCATGTTTGAATACACGAGCGATGGATGGTACACGGCATTGTTGTCACCAGGTTCACCTGTGTTTGAGGAAGCGAATGGGACCTGATGCAGCGCATAATTCGCATCTCACCGACTCACCGCTGACAACTCCACCATCCCGACGCCGCCAGTCTATCCATATACAGATAACAATGAGACTAGTCTAGTAAGCCGTATCAGACTCCAGAGCACAATTTTTCTTATTTTATTTTATTTTAAAAGTTTATTCTTTTTAAAAAAAAAAAAAAAAAATTAAACGTTCAGAAGGCTGCTGCCACCAATGAAAAAAACAAACCAGGCATCACGTGTGTAGCCAGCTATTGAAGCCGAGTGTGGTGCGCTGGGTGGCGGCACCAGCCGGCCAAGACCCCAGTCTAAAGCCTCGACCGCAGGATCCCCTCAAACCTGCACCAACAATCTTGGAGAGCTGGTGCTCGAGCAGGGTTCATGCATCGATGGCTGATCGTCCGGCGGGCTGCCGAGGACAGCGGCGGCTTGGCGCGTGAAGGCGTCGACGTGACATATGAATTTCTCTGACGTGTATCCGTAAATGCTGATATTTGACGCCTGAGGACGTGATCCTGATACTCGTACTCATTACAGCAGCGAGCACAGTGGGAGTCGAGAATTATTATACTCGCATCTCTAGTCTAGCCTAGCCGCCCACCCCGGCTGGGACAAGGCGGCGTTTCTTCTTCCAACATGGATTGATCCACTTGGACTCGATCGAGTTCATTCTCCGTGCCGGCCTTCCGTCCGTCTGAGAGTCGTCTGAAGAGTTTCGCACAGCCTGATCAAGTCAAGTGGTGATTCCCAGATCTGAAGATGGCAGCAAGGTGCCTTCTCGGCGACGAATGTCGTGAGAGCTGTGTCATGGCAAGTCCACGAGCGACGCCGTCCATACGCGAACGTGGACGGTGCACTCCCCGGTCGAACTCTGGACCAGATGGTGTGGGGAGCAGCAGAGATCGAGCAAGAGAAGGAGAAAAATGAGACATCACCTCGGCTACGGAGTGACCGTACCTATGAATAACAAAGTCGCCTGCTCGCCTGGACCTGGTCATTTGGGTGGGTGGCGCGGACGAATTGTCCTGTTGGGTTGGGGGATGGATGGACGGACGGGTACGTACAAAGTCAAATAAGCTTAAGCCGTTGCATCTTGATCGCACAGCCTTCTCTGCCCTCACTCGACCACTCGCCTCGCCCCTCTATACGTAATACCATTCGTACCTAACTCCATACTTAGCTCTGCAATCATATGCACAGTTCTATCACAAGCTACCGAGGAAGCAGGGCAGCTGAAAGCCTCAAGTTGCTCCCACATTGGCAGAGACAGGGATCCTCACCCTCACCCGCACCCTCCATCTGCCTTCCCCAGATACATGGACGGCGGCTGTGGAGTCGAGGCAAAATGTCCTTGGCCTTTTGGGAAAAAGCTGGGGGAGGGCCGATTCCTCTCCTGCAGAGTCGCACAGGGGTGTCAGCTTGGCGCCGGCCACTTGCCTCCTTTGGTGCCACACTCCCCCTTCTAGTTCCATCCTCGGGGTCCTCTCTTCGACTCTTCGTGGCCCAGGCCGGCCCACTCGGCCGCCTCTCGCTGCTGCTGCTTGCAGGGATCCGAGAAAGCCAGGGGCGAAACAGAGGACTCGAACATGGTGAAGTTGCTGCATGGTACGCTCGGCCAGTTGGCCATTCGAATATCAGCTCCTAGAGGGCCATCCTGCACACAACGAATAAGTACGTAACCCTGTCCACTCTACAATCGATCATCTCTGTGTCTGCGTCTGGCTGGTCTTCTCTCCCTCTCGCTTTCGTTTCTTGCCCTCGTGCCACCGTCTATTCTTCTTAGACAAGGCATCATCAGGTTGGGATCTCTATCTGTGAGGTGAACCATCATCGCAGACCATATCGCCATCATGTCACTCAAGGACGAAACACAGACCCATCAGACCGCCGGTGGCGATGTCGTTCGCAAGAGGTCCAAGAGACGCAGGTGCGGCGCTCACTGCAAGCGCTTCTGGTGGGCGTACCTCATCGCGTTTGCCTGTGTTGTCGTCCTGGTTGTGTGCCTCGTGTAAGTCACCCGCCCCTCGCTACTCTCCATATATTGTTGGCCACCGGGGAACGGTTCGCTGATGGCAGATGCTCAGGATCTTTGTCGGCGTGCCCAACATCGCGCAGGACAAGCTCAACGAGGCCGAGCTGGACATTCAGGGCGTCAACATCCTCAACACGGAGCCCAACAAGTTCCTCATGGAGGTCAACTCCACCATCACCACCGACGGCTCCATCCACGCCGACGTCGACGCCTTCACCGGGCGCATGTACCTCGAGGACCACGAGCCTCACGTGGCCTTTGCCACGCTCGACTTCCCCGAGACGTCGGCCGACAAGATGCAAGTCGTCAACATCAGCCAGGAGGTCACCGTGGCCGACATGGACGCCTTTGTGCGCTTCAACGAGTGGTTCGTCGAGCGCGAGACACTGCGTCTCACCATTGAGGGCGAGACCAAGGTCAAGCCCGCCGGCCTCGACCGCAAGTACGGCGTCACCTTTAAGAAGACGCTCGACGTCAAGGGACTGAACCTCCTCAAGGGCACAGAGGTCTTGGTTGACTCGGCTGAGCTCTTTCTGTCGGTCGACGACAACAACAGGAACTTTTATGGCGAGGCCGATATTCCCAACCCCTCGCACTTTACCCTCGAAGTGGTACGTGATCTTGTCTCCTGGCCTAGCCTAGCCGGCGCTTCCTCCTCATGGTTTATGCTAACGCAGCTACAGGGCAATGTCGCCTTCCACCAGTACATTGGCGATGAGGACCTTGGCCACCTGTTCATCGAAGACCTCATCCTGTACCCCGGCAGCAACACTGTCAACGTGTCGGCCAATCTCAACCAGCCTCGCGTGTTGGCCCTCCTGCGCACAACACCCGACTACTGCAAGGACGGCATCATCCCCTTCAAGCTGCTCGCCGAGAACGTCACGCGCGACGGAAATGACATTGAGTACTTTGCCAAGGGCCTCGCTGTGGCCAACCAGACTGTCGACATTGACATTGGTGCCATTATCAAGAACAACCTCGGCACCACCATTGAGTGCGCGGATGAGGAGGATTGATGAACGAATGACAGACGGACGGGCGGGCGCGTAGCTTTAGGGGGAAACTGGGTGTTGTGGGTGTTTGATTTTCCTCCCTCACTTCTCGTTGGGACCATGATACCTCGTCAAGCTTGCGGCATGTACAAGTCCGTTGATGGACTGCTGGAATATACTCTTAATGATCTTCATCTCGAACAAAAACAGGATGTCTTTCTTCTCTTTCTTACCTGGGTATGCACACATCAATCCCACCCACGCTTCCGTCCTGGGCCCTTGGTCATAGTCCCGCCCACATTGGAGACGTTGCCCTCCGTAGTTGTCGAGGGCACAAAGTCGACGCTCGTTCTGTTCCCTGCTGCTTTGTCTGCCTCGCGCTCCCTCGTCATCTTGTCTTGGTTCTTCCGGAGTGCGAGCCTGTAGGCTTCCCGGGGAAATGCCTTGGGGTCCCACCACCCATCATCACGCAACGTCGTCTCGTACTGTTCCTTTCCCTCCACCCCGGCGAAGCCCAGCAGCTTGTCCATCAGGCTTGGGTTTCTCAACGCCTCAGAGTTCTCCAGTTTCGCGTTGAAGTGCACACCCTGCTTCTTCAACAGGATGAACTGCTCGAGTTTCTTGTTCGCGCCAGGGGGCGGCGAGCCTGGCGGGGATGGCGGGATGTTGACATTGGGTATGGATGGGAGGGTGAGGTCATGAATGATTGTGCGACTGGTGGTGTATGGGGAGCCAGGAGCTTGTGACATGTCAATGGTCGGTTCCGGGGGTGATGGATCATCGGCAGGAGGGAGAGATGGGCCGGGAGCAGCTGAAGGTCCAGGTGCAGGACCAGCTAGTGGTATTTCTTTGGCGTCGTCAACTTTGCGTGATGATTCTTGAGATTCCGCCCCAAAATTGTGAGTGGCATGGCTTGAGGGTTCTGGCTCTGGCTGCTCATGATCAATTCAGGCCACTTGCCATCGCGAGGAGCGTCTTTCTCACCTGCGTCACTAGCGTTTCATCTCCATCATCGCTGCTCGCATATGCGACCAGTCCAGACATGTTTGATTTGACTAATGCGATAGAATTGATGAGTGAGCAGTCTGTCAGTGAGCTCACCCTTCATGGCTTGAGAGTTGAGACTGGACGTACCAAAGTTGGGGGCTGAATTGGGACTAGCGTCAGATCGACGCGGGTCAACCTCGGCCTTCCGAGAAGTTCCTCCTGCGTCGCTTGAATCCATCACGAGCCGCGTGGAAAGCTTCACCATTCTGCTGCATCTCAAGTCAAGTGTGTCATCCAACTGTCCATCGGTCTCGTCTACGCGCCGTATTACAATCGCTCTCGCCTTCTTGTGTGCAGGCTTCCACTGCAGCCAGGGGAATTGCAACCGCCGCCAGCGCTGTTGCGCATCGCTCCGAGGAGCTATCAAGAAAGTGTACTGCTCACACTCAGCCAAAGCCGCGAGGTCCCATCACCAACCTGACGACCATGGCTAGGCCAAGAGACTCGCGCTCACCAAGTCCTGCAGGCAGCCACCAAAGCTCCTCCCGCCATCGTCACTCTCACCGCAGAGACGATGATCGACGTCGCCCACCACGCTCGCGCAGCCCAGATGTGAGTCTCCGACCCCTTCAACACTCTTGGCGGATGCAGTCTGACCTTGTCATGCAGCATCGACACCGTGACCGCGAGCGAGACCGAGACCGCGACCGCAGGGATGATCGAGGGTTGCGGGACAGCCGGAGGCCGGAGCGAGGTATAGATGGTAGGGGAGACGATGACTACTACCGCCGACGAGACAGGGACCGCGATCGTCGCAGGTCGAGAGACAGATTCACCGATGGCAGGTTAAGGTCACCGGACCGGGGACCCGATCGCAGTCGCGACGATGGCAGAGATTACCGCAGACGTCCCGACTCACCACCGCGAAGACGTGAGGAACCTGGCCGCGCGAGGCCACCAGCGGGAGAGAATGGGAGGTCTGACGCTTCTCAGGTATTTTCCCAGCAACGCGTCTCGTCTGCGAACACTCTTAACCGCTTGCAGGCTCCCAAACCCGCGGCCCCAGCGCCCAAGACCGATGCCGACAAGAAAGCTGAACGACTGGCTAAGCTTGAGGCGTGGAAAAAGAAGAAAGAGAGTGAGGCGCAACAGCCAAAGGATGTGAACCCCAGCCAGACACGGAATCTTCTGGCTGAGATGGACAAGAAGGCCACCGGCTCTCCATCTTCGTCAGCGGCAGCCTCCCCTGGTCCCGAATCAGCCACTGCGTCTCCTTCGACACCTGCGACCCCGTACGCCGGCAAATTCGACCCCAAGGCTATCGCGAAGCGCGCAGCGGCGCGATCAAATGAGGTCTCGCAAAATGTCCTCGGTTCTGTCGAGGGCCAACCAACAGCGCCCACCACAGCCGCCATGCCTGCGAAGAAGCCCAATACGGCATCGGTCTTGCCGGCGAATCGCGCCAAGACTGGTGGTTTCGGCTTCGGAAAGGCATCGGCCGACGACAAGCTCCCTGCCAAACGGAAACTGGATCTGGACGAGGAGGAGACGTCGAAACGGAAGCTTACGAAACTTCCCGCGCTCCCGGTCGAAACAGACGATACCCCGTACGCAGACCAGGACGAGGACGATGAGTCGGATGGCGATGCCTTTGCTGAGAACGAGGAGGAAGCTGCTGCCGCCGCGCGCGCGGCGCATGAGAAGCGCATGCAGGAGGCCGAGGCGCAAGCGGGGGAGAAGATGGATACAGGGGGCGGCGAGCCAGCCGAGGGCGACTTGCAAATGAACGGTGTAATTACGCAAGAAACCAAGCCACCGGAGCTCACGCCTGAGCCCAAGGCTGCCGCAGCGCCCGCTGAGAAGATGGAGGTGGACGAGGCGGACGATGTGGATCCTCTCGACGCTTTCATGGCGGACCTCACCGAGCCCGATGTCAGGAAGCCAGCTCAGAACCAGAGCAAGCTGCAAGAGCCAGAAGCATACTTCAGTGACGATGAGTACGTCCCCCAAGCGGAGGAGGATGGTAGCGCGAAGAACTTTCTCGACAAGGTCAACAAGCGCAAGAAGAAGGAGATTCCTGTCACGGACTTTAGCAAGGTCGACATGAAGCCCATACGGAAGAACTTCTGGGTCGAGCCGTCCGAGCTCAGTGCCATGACAGAGGCCGAGGTTGACGACCTGCGTCTCGAGCTGGATGGAATCAAGGTCAATGGCAAGGACGTACCGAAGCCCGTGCAAAAGTGGGCGCAATGTGGTCTCACGCAGCAGACGCTCGATGTCATCAGTGATCTGGGCTACGAGAAGCCCACGGCCATTCAGATGCAGGCCCTGCCGGCCATCATGTCCGGTCGGGACGTCATTGGTGTCGCAAAGACGGGTTCTGGAAAGACGGTGGCCTTCTTACTGCCCATGTTCCGCCATATCAAGGACCAGCCCCCTATCAAGGACACGGATGGTCCCATTGGCCTGATCATGACCCCGACGCGCGAATTGGCCGTGCAGATCCACAGAGAGTGCAAGCCGTTCCTGAAGATCATGGGCCTCCGTGCCGTCTGCGCCTACGGTGGTGCCCCCATCAGGGACCAGATTGCTGAGCTCAAGCGCGGCGCTGAGATTGTCGTGTGCACGCCTGGCCGGATGATCGATCTCCTGGCTGCCAACCAAGGGCGAGTCACAAACTTGCGGAGGGTATCGTACGTCGTCCTGGACGAAGCCGATCGCATGTTCGACATGGGTTTCGAGCCTCAGGTGATGAAGATCTTTGCCAACATGCGCCCCGACAAGCAGACGATCCTGTTCTCGGCCACCATGCCTCGCATTGTGGACACGCTGACAAAGAAGGTGCTGAAAAGCCCTGTGGAGATCACGGTGGGTGGGCGCAGTGTCGTCGCCAAGGAGATTGAGCAGATTGTCGAGGTCCGCGAGGAGTCCACCAAATTTCATCGCGTCCTCGAGCTGCTGGGCCAGCTGTACGAGAACGACGAGGATGCGCGGACGCTCATCTTCGTGGAGCGTCAGGAAAAGGCCGATGATCTGCTCAAGGAGTGCATGCAAAAGGGGTACCCCTGCATGTCCATCCACGGAGGCAAGGACCAAATCGACCGTGACTCGACCATTTCCGATTTCAAAAAGGGCGTCGTGCCCCTTCTGATCGCTACGTCCGTCGCAGCGCGCGGTCTGGATGTGAAGCAGCTCAAGTTGGTCATCAACTACGACGCGCCGAATCACTTGGAGGACTACGTACATCGTGCTGGGCGCACGGGCCGTGCCGGCAATACTGGTGTGGCCGTCACATTCGTCACCCCTGAGCAGGAGAACTGCGCGCCCGGCATCGCCAAGGCGCTGGAGCAGAGCGGCCAGCCCGTTCCCAAAGACCTCGAGGAGATGCGCAAGACGCACCGCGAGAAGGTCAAGTCTGGCAAGGCCAAGGACACCTCGGGCTTTGGTGGCAAGGGTCTCGACCGCCTGGACCAGGAGCGCGAGGCCGCTCGCATGCGCGAGCGCAAGACGCACAAGGCGGACGGTGACGACGTGGTGGAGGAGGAGAAGGACGACAGCAAGAAGAAGGAGGAGGATGACGCCAAGGTGGAAAAGGCACTCGACGCGATCAAGAACGCGACGTCTACTGTCACGGCCCGCACCATTGAGGAAGACAACATGCCGACGCCCGTAATCCACAAGGGCCCTGCGCCGGGCAGCGACAAGGCCAAGAATCCCCTCGACAAGGTCAGCTCCGCCGTCAGCGCCATCAACTCCCGTCTCGGCAAGGCAGGGCAGCTTCGCGCCGGCCAGCCGATTGACAACAAGGGACCTGACGCGGGCGCCTTCCACGCCACCCTGGAGATCAACGACTTTCCACAGAAAGCCCGTTGGGCCGTCACCAACCGCACCAACGTGGCTAAGATCCTCGAGGCTACAGGGACGAGCATCACGACCAAGGGTAATTTCTACCCGCCCGGAAAGGAAGTGCCGGCTGGCGCCGAGCCCAAGCTGTACATTCTCATTGAGGGTGACACCGAGGTGGTGGTGAGCTCCGCCCTCAGCGAACTGACCAGACTGCTCCGCGAGGGCACTATCGCGGCAGCTGACGCGGAGGGCCGGACTGGCGCCACGGGAAGATACACAGTTACGTAGAGGACAATGTCTAAAGGTCTAGGCTTGATGTTCGTATTGCAGTCGTCGTGTACACATACTTTATCCTAGGGCGTTTGTGGAAAGGCTCAAGGCAAAGTCCATGTCGAGCTTACTTGGTGTTGAGATCGAGCTACAAGGATTCTTGTTGAAATTAATGCCTCTATTTATCCTTTGCATCGCCAAAGTTACGTGCATCCGTCACGGGAGAGGAAAGAATCTACGGAGCTATGGACTCGCGAAGATGTCAGTTCGTGTCGTGCAATTCGAACTGATGACATGTATTCAAGCAGCTTCATCGTCGGGATCCTCCGGTGGAGGCCACGCAACCAGGTCCCCCGGTCGTCGTGTTGCACACTGTAACACACTGTGCCACATCGAGACGTAAGCGCAGTGTCACCACGTTGGAGACGAGTGTCGAGACAGTGCGACCCAAACGGCCTCGCCCAGACCTCCAACCTCATCTCATCACGACCAACACGGACGGCATCGTAGGAATCGGCTCCGACCCTCTCACTGCATTGCACAATATTAATCTGCCTGTTATCCATCACCATGGGAAACATCTGTGGTAAGGAGAAGTCCGACAACTTCACCAGTCCTGGTCGGACAGTAGGCACAGCTCCTCCTCAGAACGCCGCGCCCAAGGCGTCTGTGCCCAAGAAGACGGCCAAAGTCGCCGGCCCAGGCAGAACGCTGGGTGGAAGCGTCGGCAGCGGGAGCACGCCTTCTACAGGGGAACAGCAACAACAGACGCCAGACGAGGCGCGACGGCGAGCGGCAGAAGCTGCAGAGGTATGTACTTGAACTTCCGACCCCTCCCGGGTCCCCACGCTACGTTTGCCCTCCCCTAGTCGGCCAGAAGAGCTGATTTGAGTTTTTTTTTTTCTACTAGGCACGTGCTGTTGGCGCGAGCAGGGGCGGTAAGCTTCAGGCACAGCTCGACGCACAGAAGAAGCAGTCGAGGAGTGACGCCTTGAAGGAGGCCAGCAAGCAGGAACTTGCTCGTCGGGAGGCAGATGATGCGACTCAAGCGAAGAACTGGGACTGATGGGGCATCGACCTGGGACCTAGAGAGCTTGAATCAGTGAGATCGATGGACAGGAGGTCTCATCAACAGCAAGGCGTTCGGAGCGTATGGGTTTTCAGTTTGACAGGACTCTGGTTAGTAAGATGCCACGCGACAGTTCGAAACTATAGGGCGCTATAGAAGTAGCACCGCTTCGTGTGCCTTGGACAGGACTGCACTACTAGCACTTACTATTACGTTTACCTACCGCATCTTATATATTTGTTATGATTCGAAAACTAATTGTAACGCCGTTGCGCGTCTTTCAATGCTAGACACGAACGACTTCAGACTACTCATGTGAAGTGGGACGCTTGCGTCTGAGTATTGCAACGCGACATATCCTTGACAGTCTCTGAACTTGCTTTGCGATAACACCTTGCGTGATTTGTTGGCATGTACCAGGGTTTGCTAATTTCTCACCTTTTGGACAGCGTAGCCTTGGTAGTCAAGTCCACTAATTATGCCGCGCATTACACTTAGGGACGGGCTCTGGGACCTTTGGTAGACAGGCAATGCAAGCACGCGCACTCACCTGCACCGGCTACAGCCGTATAGCTGTTGCTACGGCGAGAATGCACCGGAATTCGCTGCGCAGCTAGGAAGATCTACCGTCATCAACAAGACCCTGCTTGGCCTGGCACTGTCGTATTTGCGTGTATGATCTTGCGTGTGTAGGGTAAATAGGCGCAGACGATCTGCTCAGCCTAGTCCACCAGACATCCCACCACCCGCGGCGCTGCGATATCAAGATGTCCATCAAGGTTCACGATCAAGCCCCACGCAGAACCCGATGCAGGTTTCCTCTCTGCCAAAATTGCCTTGGGTGGTACTTCCTTCGAGCGGTGCCGCGCCGCCAGGCACCTCAAAGTCACAGTCACTAGCCCTGGACCTACCAGTCCAGTCGTTCTGGTGATTCTTACATATACATCAGAGTATTAGCGGCCCTGGGAAAGAACAAAGCCTGCCAGTCGCCCGGTTCGTTTTCACCACCGGATGTTCCGCGATCAAGTCGGCCTTCCTCACGACCATGTCCCGCACCTCTTCGCCATAATTACACCCGACACATCCATTGCGCGGCCCCAATTGGGATCTTGAGACAGAGGCTACATGTCCATCCAAAGCGCCTCACCACCGCGAGCCCCTCATCACCGGGTTCGACAGGTGCCAACCGCAATACAAGCCCGGGTCGACACGCGACAATGGCTTACCAGCACAACCATGGTCCTGACTGGGATGCGCTGCCATATGCAGCCGATGAATGGTCCCAGTTCATGGATATGCCACCGCGGTCGCCGTCACAAGAAGTCCCAGCGCTACAGTCCTTCTCGGCCGACCTCTTAGCACAATGGGCGGATGGCGAGTTCGAGTTGCCAACCGCAACGGCTTCCGCGGTGACGACCCAGCCACCGAGTCGGAAACGCTCTGCAGACAGTTCAAACGATCATTGTCCTTTGTCACCGAGACCTGGGAAGCGGCGCGGCTTCCCAAGTCAGCAACAGCCAAAGAAAAGATTCGGCCATCAAGCGAAAGCCTCTACAAGCTCATCAGCTGCTGATACCCATATGACCTTCGGGTCGGGCGACAACGGGGACCTTGACAAGGCTGACGTAGCCTCACAATGCTCGTCGTGCCCTTCTTGCGCGGTCCCGTGCGATGACGCCTGCGATGCCCAACCCTGCGACGAAACCTGCGAGACGGAGCCGTGTACGGACACTTGCTTCGTTGAGCCCTGCCCTCCCGACTGTGCCGTGCCGTCGCCGCCTTGCAACAGTCCTGATTGTGACAAGGACGATGTCTGTGCAGATCAAGCGTGTCTCCAGAGTGCTCTTCCTCCGCGGTGTGTCCCCGAGGCCGCCGCCGCCGCTGAGGCCTTGACGTCCTTTGCCGACATGGATGCATTGAGTTTCGACCTGACAGCTGGCGCAGGGGCTTATCCAAACTATCAAAACGCGCAAGAATACGATTGGAGTATGGGGCCACAGCAACAGGCCCATATGCAATTGCCGCCACCTCAGCACCAGCAGCAGCAACAACAACAGGGGCCTGGCCCCTCCATGATCACCACCAACAACGCACTTTTCGACTTCAACGCCCTCCTCAACTCCGCCCCCAACCTTCCACAGGCATATGACCATGGATTCTTCAATCACTTGCACGAATTTCATTGGGATCACCAGAACCATAGCCACCAGCATGGCCACGGCGGCGGCCAGCACCAAAACCACCCTTGCCCTATCGACAGCTCGACCACCGTCGAGTCGACCTGCAGATTACCTGTTACAGCCAACACCTACATGTCTATGCCAGGAGGGTTGGGTCAACAGCCACCATTTCAGTACTGCGGCTACGCGTCGCATAACCCTGCCGCGTACGCTGACCACGTCCTGACTGCTCATACAGACCTGCTTCGCCAGTGGCCATTGTTCAGCCAGCAGAACCCCCCCAGTAGCACGTATATCAACAACTACCATTATATGCAGAACCAGAACAACATCATAGGGAGCCAGCAAGACATTAATCAGGAGCAATGGCAGCAGCCTCTGGCACCACAAGAGCCACGCATGGATTCCGCGCCCGTGTCTTCATCCACAGCCGCGTCCGTTCCTCAAAGCCCCCAACGGAAGCAGAGTACTCCGGGCACGCCACTATCGCAGGAGATGACCGACGCTGCGAGCGATAGCGCTGCGGCGCAAGTAAAGCAGCCCAAGGAGTCACAGCTTCTTGACTGTTCCAATGCATACAAATGCTTCTGGAGAGACCCTAGGACCGGGCATCACTGTCAGCAGAACTTTGACTCTGCGGATGATCTGGATGCGCACAGCAGGTCGGAACATGTCAAGTTCCTGGAGCGCTGCGACTCTGCCAACCCAAAGGACGTTGACAAACATGGACAGCCCAAGCGTGGCTACAAGTGCATGTGGCTTGGCTGCAAGCGGGAAGGCGACATCTTTTCCACAAGGGCGAAGCTCTCCCGACATTTGCAGACCCATACAGGATGTGAGTCAACGTCGAGGTATATCTATCTGCACGACGTGCGGCTAACCATGGAGTAGTCAAACCTATGGAATGTCCATATTGCGGAATGCGCCTTTCTGCTAAGCAGGCACTTGACCAGCATGTCCGCACCCACACCAACGAGCATCCATACAAATGCCATTTCCCAAAATGCTCCAAAGCATTCAAGCAGCACAGTGCCCTGAGTACATTTCTACCCCAGAGACCATGTCCCTCTTCCAGATACTGATACTCGCTAGCGATGCACTTGCGTACTCATACTGGTGTAAAGCCCCTACAATGTGATATCTGTCTCGCCACGTTCACCGAATCGTCCAATCTCAGCAAACACAGGCGAACACACAATGAGCATGGTGACTTTATGTGCAAGATCTGCGGCAAGGGGTTTCATCGCCTGGATCAACTGCGACGTCATCTGAATGCGAACCATAAAGACCAGCCAGAGATTGTCAAGCAGAATTTGGACGAAGTGATACACTTGAAGAGGAAGCCTCCTCAATTCGGCTCGCAAACGCCGACCTCGATAAAGTCTGAAGCGGCCCCTGACGCGGAGCTTTCAGCGTGAGCAAGGAAAGGTCCACGGACGGTGCACGCGACGCCCATTTCAAAAGTTTTATGTCTTTACTGATTTGCATGAGGGACAAGTGAGTTGAGCAGTGGTGTTGCGGAGTTCGAGAAGTAAAGAAGGGTCGCTTGTGGCGTGGCGGACGAGGCTGTAATGAAGAGCCTTCTGGGGGAGGCTTTGAGCCTCTTGCCACAATTATAACACTCTATCTGGCATGAGGCATGAATGGACTCGAGCAGTCACAGGCGGCAGCTAATGATAAGACGGATGAGATACCATAGACGAAATCATTCTCACGGCGCAATAAGAAGCAGCATGTATCACGAGCAATGGGCACGCAATGGTGATCGTGACCTCATTTATTTTTTTCTTTCGGTGAAAGCAGACCATGCTCTTGGGGTCCACCCACCGTGGACGCAACCTATCCCGACCCAACGAGGCGCAAGGCCGGGACTGGACAACGTACAAGCCGAATCAAGAGCGAGGAACTCCTCTGCTAGTCTCCAACCTGCCTCGAGATTGCGTCCGCCAGATCAAAAGAGAATAAAAAGCACGCGCCATGCCAGACCCCATGCCGGTAAATAAACCCTTTTCTACCCGATTTCGTTTGATCGTCCAGCCGTCACTCCAGGAACTGCAAATGATGTGTGGGATATTTAGGCGGCCTGAGAGAAAAGAAGGTCAGAGAAGGGGGAACCCAGATATATAAGGGATGGTGTGGACAAACCTTGACGGCGAACTTGCGCTGGGGGAAGTGCGACTGGCGCTTCTTGGTCTTTGCAAGCACGCGGGCCTTGTCCTCGGGTGATAGCCTCCTGCGGATGGCGCGGGTCTGCTTGGGGCGGAGGTCCAGGGGCGCGTACTTCTTGTTCTTGTAGAACAGGCGGAGCTGGGACCTTTGCTTGGCGTTGATGACGGTCAGGACACGGGCGATCGACTTGCGGATGTCGTGGCTGAGGCCAATGTCAGTACGTCTCCAAGAAAAAACCTTTTGTATGGCCATGTGGGGAGGGGCACTCACATCTTGCTGAACTTGCTGCCAGACGAAGCGACCTGCTGGACGCGGAGCTGACCGAGCTCAGTCTTGAGCTCGCCGAGCTGCTTGAGCAGGTCGTCCTTGGACTTGTCCCAGAGCTGGGTAGACTTGACCTTGCCAGACGACTATCCAACTGTCAGCATTTCCCGTCTTAGAAACCACGAGTCCTGCGAACACGCGACACGAAAGCCACTGGGAGACGAATCAATCTTGGAGTCCAACACAGGGATTTCACCCTTCCTCCCTATCGATCCTGGCCGTGTCGATGGTTGATCCCGCAACTGTGCACGCCATCCCTCCTCTATCCCATGACATCTCCAATCGATCGACCGCCTCCAGCGACAGGGGAAAAAAGAATATCGTCTTGTTCGCAGGCGAGGAATTAAAGGGCCGTTACTCACCATCTTGAATACCTTCGATGGGGAGTTGCGAAGTGTGTCGACGTGGGGTGTAGAATGGATTGGGCGTATCGTGATGTTGGCAACGTCGAGCCTTTCGGGAGGTGAAGGGGCACACGGAAAAGTTGCCCAACCCTAAGTGTGCGGGCGAATTTTGCAGTGGATTTTGATTGGACGGCCCCATTTGTGTGTTGGCAGAAAAACGGTATCCGCTGTGGCTGGTGCCCCAGGACGTGGCGCAGGGCATGACGGGTGGGTACTCCCGGGTGGGTAAAGGCGCAGGCGCAGGTTGACGCCGGGCCCTTTGTCGTCGGATATGATACAATGTACGTACCACCAGGGTGAAGCCGAACCAGATACTATCCCATCAACACAGAACAACCGCCACCGTCACCATGTCTGCGCCGACGGGCAACGCGGGCTGGACGCAGCTGCGGCAGCAAGCGCGGAACCTAGAGACTCAGGTTTGTGAAGCGGCCTCTTGCCCGACCTGCTGAGCTCCTGACTCTGACCGGGACAGACACAAAGCCACTTCCATACGTATTCGCAGTTCGCCAGCACGGCCGACATCCCGAAGAAACCATCGCCAGAGGAGATTGAGACCGAGAATAAGATTGAGGAACTGCTAGAAAAGGTGCGCCTCCCCACAGCCGGTCGACCCCCGTACGGTTGCTCGCGCCAAGCCCTCGGTAACTGACCATGGACCAGCGCGACGGAATCATCACCCAGCTCGCTCGCCTTCTGGACTCGGAAGCCGCCCTCACCTCCTCTGCCGTCAAGCAGAACAACCTCTCCCTCCTCAGAGAGAACCTCGCCAACCACCGCCGCGATCTTACCCGCTTGCGCTCCAACCTAAAGGAGGCGCGCGACCGATCGAATCTGCTCGGCAGCGTACGCGATGATATCAAGGAGTACCGCGCCAACAACCCCGAGGCGGCTGAGGCGGAGTACATGGCGGACGAGGGGCGCCACATTGACCGCAGCCACGAGATGACGGACAACATTATCAGCCAGGCGTATGCTATCCAGGATAGCTTCCTGTCGCAGGGCGAGACCATGGCCAGCATCAATAGGAGGATCAACATGGCTGCCAGCAAGATCCCAGGCCTCAACACCCTCATGACGAGGATCTCGGCCAAAAAACGGAGAGACGGGATCATCATGGGCACGTTTATCGCGTTCTGTTTCATCTTGTTCTTTTTCCTCTCGTGATGGGGGAAATGCGTTACAGGGTCTCTATTATCTTGCATGGGCGAAGGCGTTCAGGGACGGGGGTATCAGCGTTTTTCAATTGTACAATAATAATATCTCACAGTCAGAGCTGGGGGGCCAGGTGTCCACAAAGCCGGTCTTCTCCATCGTCTGCTTGCGTCCATTATCACAGATCCAGCGTTCCCGATCGCAAGTGCTGCCTGCTGTGGGCCTCCCGCGCTGTCGCTGGCTTGTAGTTTGCCCGCCTGACTTCTTCTGCCATCCTGACCAAGCCCCTGTTGAGCCCTTCGAGCTCATCTGGATGGGCCGTTCCGCTACCTGCCCAGCGTATGCGGCAGTTCTGGTCGACGAGGAATGTGTAGCCGACCTTGCTATTCAGGAGACCAATGTGCTCCCTGATGGTGTCTGACAAGCCCCTCTGCACGAGGAAGTACTTGTTCCAATCACGCTCAGGGAACTTTTTCCGCAGGGAGCCCATGAACCACTTGACCAGCATGGCCTTGGCTCGATTGTCCTCGTAATTGAGATAGACCATTTGCGCCACGTCCTGGTTGTGCGTGACGGCCTCGTGCAGCCCGGGGTTGGCGTCCGATGACACGAAGCTTTCTATTTGTGTCTCGGCCCACTGGCTGCTGAAGACGGACACGACAGAGGCCTTGCCCGTCAGGACAGGGGTCGTGTCTGTCGGCTGGGAGCCTTTGACAAGCGTTTGTCCGTAGAAGTTGGGAAAGTAGAGCGAGAGCTCGGCTTTGAAGAGTCTCGGCGGCGAGATGAAGGATTTGCCCTCGTGGAATTTCAAGTTGCCCCAGTCGCGAAAGTACGGTTTCGACATTTGCGCCGTGCTAGACATGTTCAGTCCCACCATTGCAGCAGTAAATGCGCGCAGAGGTTGTATTGACTTACAGCTCCTTTCTTCGCGCTAGATGCTTGTCATAATCTACAAAGTCGTCTCTCTTTTGGCTCATCGACCGGCTGTCCACGCCCGTGTTCTCGCCTGCTTGCGGCGGGTTGGGCAGCCCTATCGGCCGAGGGAGCGGCTTGGGCGTGAAGCCTTCATCGATGCGTTTGCCATAGCTTCGGGGCGCGACAATCTCGGGACCCTTGATCTGCTCCTTGGGGTTGGGGTCGGCGCCGGCAGCTGGTTTGACTGCTCGAGGAGCGGTGGATGTGAATTGTCGAGACCGGCAGACTGAACACGGAAGAGGCTTTTGGCGGGGCAGACGACCAAGCGCCCGAGCCAAAGGACGGGCGGACATGATGCTGGATATGGCTGATGGCTGACCGTCGCGAGCAAGTCCAGCCAAGGAGGTGGTCGACATTGAAAATCTTGGGCTGGCTTGACGCGCCTCCAGACTGGACTGGGGTAAGTCCTAAATCGGCCTAGCTTCACTGTGGTGGGGGGGTCTCCAGTGACGCTTCGGTTAGACGCGGGGCTGGGCATCATTAGTCTCAATGCCGACTCAACCCTTCGGCTCAAGAGGAACCACGTCTGCCCGCCTCTTCGCATGTAATTGTTGGGTTTGTTTCTGTACCAATGCTTTGATTCTCTTCTTTCTTCTTCCCAGCACCTCAAATTCTATACAGCCCCCCTGCAGAGAGCTCACCATGTTTCTGCAACGAGGATCACGAGCGCTGTCGCGGCAATGGCAGACGTCCAAGGCCCTAGGAAAGGTCATGGCGGGACATCAGCAATTATACCCCGCCAGGTGGTTCCACGAGTCGAATAGGGTGATGGCCATCAAGGCGGTGCCTCTGGCGGACATTGGAGAAGGTGAGTCTGTCGTTTCTCTTGTCACGCTTGAACCTAGCTAACACGTCCTAGGCATCGTCGAATGTGAGGTCATCCAGTGGTTTGTTGAGCCTGGCGCTACTGTCGAGGAGTTTTCTCCTTTGTGCGAAGTACAAAGCGACAAGGCGTCGGTCGAAATCACAAGTCGTTTCCCGGGCACAGTCAAGAAGCTGTACTACGAGGCTGGCGACATGGCCAAGGTGGGCAAGCCCTTCATCGAGATTGATACGGCCGACGATGCAGCACCCGAAGCTGTCGAGCCTGCCACGACACCGGACGAGGGCGCAGAGGAAGTCGAAGTACCATCAGCGCCAGCACCACCAAAGCCTGTCGAGAAGAAATCCCCAGAAGTCCCACAAGTCGATGATCCGCCGGCGCAGACAAAACCCAAGGTTAAGGGCAAGTGTGCAGCCCTAGCCACGCCCGCAGTCCGACATCTCAGCAAGGAGTTGAAGATCGACATCGCTGATATTGACGGCACTGGCAAAGACGGGAGGGTACTTAAGGAAGATATCTACAAGTTCGTCAAGGCCAGAGACAGTGAGCCCCCTGTTGCGCCTGCACAGTCGGCGACCCAACCAACACCTTCATCATCAGATACATCGGTGCAGACCGAAACATCAGTACCTCTCACCAACATCCAGAATCAAATGTTCAAGAGCATGACTCGCTCGCTGAACATTCCTCATTTCCTGTACACGGATGAGATCGACTTCTCGTCCCTGGTCGAGCTGCGCGCTCGCCTGAACAAGGTCCTGGCCAAGTCGCCAGCTGTCGAGGGTCAACCCGGCAAGCTCTCATACCTCCCCTTCATCATCAAAGCCGTGTCACTGGCGCTCTACCAATTCCCCATCCTCAACGCCCGGGTGGACGTGGATGCGACGACCGGGAAACCCAGCCTCATCCACCGCTCGCAGCACAATATTGGCGTCGCCATGGACACGCCCCAGGGACTGCTCGTGCCCGTCATCAAGAACGTGGCCTCGATGAACATTCTCTCCATCGCTGCCGAGCTCACCCGACTGCAGACCCTGGCACAACAGGGCAAGCTTTCCCCCAAGGATCTTACAGGCGGCACCATCACCGTCTCGAACATTGGCAATATTGGTGGAACCTACCTGAGCCCTGTGATTGTGGACAAGGAGGTGGCCATAGTGGGCATTGGACGGATGAGGACGGTGCCGGCCTTTGACGAGAACGACAATGTGGTCAAGAAGCAAATGACAAACTTCAGCTGGAGCGCGGATCACAGGGTCGTGGATGGGGCGACGATGGCTAGGGCGGCCGATGTAGTGAAGAGCGTGGTGGAGGAACCTGATGTTATGGTGATGCATCTTAGATGAACAGCTTTGACGTTAGATGTGCACTAGACAACTTGCATAGCAATCAGGTGGTACAACAGTATCAGTCAAATTCCCCAAGTTCTCAGAAATCGGTGCTATGCGGTGGTGCCCTTCCAAATGGTGATCCAATAAACGCCTGATTCGGTGAAGACGTTCCCTTCCAGTGGATGTCCTGTTCCTATTCCTGCCCTAAGGGGGACATGTCCAACGACGTCCTACAATCAAAACGCTAAACGCCTCATGCTAAATACTTATTGTGTCGAAACGTGCCAGGTCATTGTTGCTTATCCTCAACCTCGTCGTCGCGCATCAGCTTGACGACTTTGTGGAGCGAGTCCCCCTTGACCTCCTCGAGCGTCCGGCTAACATCCACTTTGATGACATCCTTCTCATCCTCCCCCGGTCTTTCGAGGATGTCGAACTGGCTGTGCACCATGTTGACGCCCATGTAATGACCCTTGCGCTGGGCTACGCGCTGCAAGAGAGTCTCTTCTGACGCATCGAGGTAGATGAAATGGATGAGAAGGGACGGGTCGTAGTAGGCGGCTACGCGGATGACGTCGCGGTACTTGCGCTTCAGGGCTGAGCAGGTGAGGACAACACCTTCTGAGCCCGAGGAGATGAGGCGGGTCGACTCTTCGCGCAACACGGTCAGCCAGTCCCAGCGGTCGGCGTCAGTGAGTGGTGTGCCGTTGGCCATCTTCTCAATGTTGGCAGGCGGGTGAAACTGAATTGCAGTCATTAGAAAGGAGATTTTGAATAAGAGTAGAACGGTAAACTTACAGAGTCGCCTTCTATGTAGGGTAGGCTAAGCGACTGGGAGAGATGCTCGGCTACCGTCGACTTGCCGCACCCTGCAGGGCCAGTGACGAGCCAAATGTGGTGATGGTTGTAAGTCTGAGCGCGGCCGCCGGCAGTCATTGGCGCAGCGGTCTGGCCGGAAAGCGTGGCCAAGGCCGCAGTGTCCTTTTGGCCCTGAGCAGCGGGCATCGGAGCGTCGTAGGAGAGCATGGTTGATCTTGGCGTTTCAATCGAAGCCGGGCTGGGCGTAAAAGTACCTTATGTACAATGCGAGGGAGAAGGTGAGGTGCGGCGCATGTATGTACAACACCAGGCAGGTGTCGTGTGAGCGATGACGCTATTGTACGTCTGGAATCACAGCTGGCTGCCTGCGCAAGTTACAGTAGCACCACTGACCACAAAGTTGCCAAGTCGGATCTGAATGGAGGATAAAATCGGTTTTGTGTTTGCAACCTGCCTGTGTCGCGCGAGTATTGCGGAAGGATGATGTCAGGTGTAGTAGAGTTATGGACGAGGCAGTGTCTGTCTGGTTGTTGAGGTGTGAGAAGGAAAGTCCAGGGTCGAATTCAAGCGGGTCAGCGAAGCAATAATTACAAGTCACAAGACTAATGGCAATGAGTCGAGACGGAGAACAGCGGGCAAGGCCTCTTAAATATAGTAAACCCAAGTGCCTTTTTAGTCCGTCGGCAGCGTGGGACTGGACTGGAGCGTGGCTCGGCGGACATGGCCGGGCCCCCATCGTCATAGGTACAGTACTGGTTATCCGCCAGAAGGGGGGGATGGGTACCGTAAAGTTTGAAGCGAAAATCAGGGCGGATGCTCACCGACTCGCACCCCTAATTCGGCGCTTCTAGAAAAGAAAAAATGTCATGGCGCCGCCAGACTCCAGTCCGTCGGTCTCAATTGCGGGGCGCTGAAATAAGGGGAACGTCAATGGGGGTACGTAGTCAGTACGTACTGTTTCGCACGCCAACTCTTGATCATCGCGACTGTGCCGATCTTCTCGATACATCAGTATTCTGACGAGATTTCCGACTGGCAGTGTTGTCTGTGCATAGACTGGCGCTTGAAGCAGGCGACTTCAGCCTCAACAAACGGTGCCTGGCTCACACAGTTCACTCGCTTGCGCGCCAGCCAGACGTGGCTTTCCCCAGACGGACCACGAGGGATGCACGACGTGCTCCGCACCACTGCAGGTCAACCTCGCCAAAATGCAGCGGCCCGCCAGGGTAAGTAGGTCGTCACGATCATCATGATTTGCCGCGAGACCCAGGCCATTGGGACGACAAGGTATTTAGAACCAGCAGGCAATTGTATTGAGCCTCGCGTCAAATGTTGCCAGGCAGTGGATCTTTTGACATCAACGTGGAAACGGCCACCAGGTGACCAAACAATCCAGTCGTCAAACGTCGGGGTGTCAGACAGACACCCACGGGCCCCTGCTGCTGCAGTAATTTAGGCGCATGTGCCCCGCGGCCCATCGACACTTGGGATTGGGTCACACTGGGCTCTCTCTTCAGGCATGACCACTGCTCATACCTCATGCAGTGATACATTCCAGCCAGCACACGAACTGCAGGTTGTATCGCTTCCGGTTTGCAATATTACCCTCTTGTGCTTGAGCTTGTATAACCGGTGTGATAAAGCGCGCACAGGCGGTCGAGCGGACGATTGGGACATGGCGGAGATTCCTGTTGCTGTTAGTGGCCTTTTTGTCATCCCACGCTCAGCGTGGGGGTTCGCTGATCGCCTGAGCTACGGCAGGGACGCTAGCCGCAGCGGTGGGCGCCTTCTCGCTCGATTCGGTAAGCGCCGGCGAAGTTGGCCTGTGGAAGACGGCTTCCATGAGTACGATTCCATTTCAGCAACTGAATAAGAACCACGTAAACCTAGTAAAGAATGCCCTGAGAGACGTCTATCCGCGACGCATCTCTCCTGGTTTCAGGCTTGTAGAACTGTCAGATCTTTTCGAGTCCAGTTCGATCTTTGCACCGTAGCTGAAAGTATCCCCCGGAAAGCCATCCGGCATCCAGGCTGAAGGTACGTAACCACCCAATTACCGTCCGTCGGGGAGGTTCCCCGATGCCCCGCAAGATTTTCAGCGTGACGCTGAGATTTTTTTATCACGAGCGCTCAAAAGGCAATTGGTGAACAATGTCTTCTAATTAACTACCCTGATGCATTGAGCACATTTCAAGATATTAACCAGAGGTGGCTGCACATGACTATGGCACTGTCAGCTCCCGCAAAAGTCTGAACTTTTGCTTCCGGTAGATGATGAGTGGTAGATCGTCACAACCCACACCTACATTGACAGCTTCTGGTTATATGATAATAAATGCCCATGCTTTTTTGGCTCAATCTGATTCAGCCTATTATTGATCATCCTTCTCTTGTGACTTTCAAGAATCCTCATACGACTGGACGCAACACGTCACTGATGAATCTCATCTGCGCCAGTTGCAAGCTGGATCGTATCAGGGATTCGCATCCCGCTTAAGTGCAACGTATGCTCTGCCCAAGTGGCTTTGTGAGTAAGACTGCTTTACTCAAAAGAACACCCAGTACGCCGCTTGAAGAAGAATGTACTTCGTCCTATGCAAGATCGTACATGGCCTTGTCTGACTGCTGACTGCATTTGGTCAGTCAAATCGGGGGTCGACATGGAGGCACATGACCTATTCGTTGTGCAGAGCTCCGGAGCCTGTTGACACCAGCTTCACTCACGATTCTTCCCAACAATCTTGAACAATATCATTTGCCAACAGACCTCACGTGAGGGATTGCCTGCACGCACCGAACAAAAGGCCTTTGGAGCTCCAGCTCCTAGGAGCCGTTTTGAGCCGTCTCCGGGTGCTTAGTGGCCGCTGCTCTCAAAGGTTCCGGTCCCCGCCTCAGGCAGACAGATGGCCAAGCTGTTAGTGATTCCGCCCGTTGCCTGCAGTCGACACTAACAGCCCGCTGTAGGTCTAGGCATCGGGGGAAGCCACCTAGCTGCAGCTAATGGGGCGTCGTTTGCCAGCCTCCAGTTGCTGACTGCTGGCGATGAGGTGGTGCTGCATTCATCGGATCTCAAACCGGCCTCATGTCGCTCCTTTCGTCCCCTTCGTTACTCCTCAGGAGACTGCCCATCTCAATCAGACAAGCGGCATTCCGACCCTCATTACAACCACGCCGCGTTACCCCTAGGTTCTCCAAACCTATTCTCACTCAGCATCAAAGATTTTCATCCACGATGGAGGCCCAAGAACTCACCCACTATCTCGCCGATCAGCCACCCACTGTCGTGAGGCTCGAGATTGAGAAGCACTTTGAGGCTCTCAACGACAAGCAGAAGCGATACGCTCACTTCATCAGCAAGTATGTACAGCTGAGCTGCCTTCTCTCATGATTCTCACCCACAATCATGACGCTAACATACCTGCCCGCAGAGCTTCCTTTGCAGGCACGAGGATCGTCCTGCGACAGCTCTCCCCCGAGTCGGAGCCCATCTACGACCTCATCGTCTCCCTGCACAAGAGCTGCAATGGCGACTGGAAGGCGTTGCAGAGCAAGGCCGGCATTGAAGAGTCGGAGCTCACCCACTTCCTCGAGTACGCTGCCATGTTCCTCGGCAACACAGGCAACTACAAGAGCTTTGGTGATTCCAAGTTCATCCCCCGCTGCAAGCCCGAGAGTGTCGCGGCTCTGGCGTCGACCAGTCCCGAAGCCTCCAAGTTCTTTGAGGCCACCAATGGAGCGATTTTCAGCGCCGACAATCCCGCCATGCTGCACCTAGGTTTTCCTGACGCTGGCCACATGACCACCTACTACCCCGACTCACCCCACATCAAGCAGGCCGAGATTGAGGCCGTGTCTTCATGGATGGAGAAGAAAGGTCTACTGCCCGAGAACAACCGTCTGCGCAAGACCAAGGACGGCAATTTCGAAATCCTCATTGCCTCGGCCATCGTCGAGGCGCCGGCTGAGGGAGGCGACATTGGCAAGGAAACCGTCTTCACCGTGGAGGATGGCTTGCTCAAGGGCAAGACCATCACCCTCGTGTACGGTGACTATGCGGACGAGATGAAGAACATCACAGCGTACATCAAGCAGGCCGGCCAGAACGCCGACAACGAGACCCAGGAGAACATGCATGCCGCTTACGCCAAGTCCTTTGAGACCGGCTCGCTGGAGGCCTTCAAGGACAGCCAGCGCTACTGGATCAAGGACAAGGGTCCCATGGTGGAAAGCAACATTGGCTTCATCGAGACGTACCGTGATCCCGCTGGCGTTCGCGGCGAATGGGAGGGCTTCGCGTCCATGGTCAACCTCGAACGCACGCGCGCTTTTGGCGCTTTGGTCGATGCAGCGCCCTCGCTCATTCCCCTTCTCCCTTGGGGCGCGGAGTTTGAAAAAGACAAGTTCCTTTCTCCCGATTTTACCTCGCTCGAGGTGCTGACGTTTGGTGGGTCCGGCATCCCCGCTGGTATCAACATGTACGTTGTCCTCCGCCACACACTGTGAACCACGATGCTGACCTACTAGTCCTAACTACGACGATATTCGCCAGACTGAAGGGTTCAAGAATGTTTCCCTCGGTAACGTCATGAGCGCCAAGGCGCCGAATGAGAAGATTCCCTTCATTCGTGAAGAGGATCTCGAGGTTTACCAGAAGTATCGTGATGCGTCTTTCGAGGTTCAGGTCGGCCTCCACGAGCTCACTGGCCACGGCTGCGGTAAGCTTCTCCAGGAGACGTCTCCTGGCGTCTTCAATTTTGACAAGGAGAACCCTCCCGTGAGCCCGGTCACCAACAAACCCATCACAACTTGGTACAAGCCCGGCCAGACGTGGGGCTCTGTGTTCGGCAGCATTGCCGCCTCATATGAGGAGTGCCGCGCTGAACTGGTCGCTATGCACCTCAGCTGCGAGTTCCCTGTGCTCAAGATCTTCGGCTTTGGCGACGGCAGCGTTGACATCAGCGGTGAAGCGGGCGACATTCTGTACGCATCCTATCTCTCCATGGCGCGCGCTGGTCTTGCCTCTCTGGAGATGTGGGATCCCAAGAGCCAGAAGTGGGGACAGGCGCACAGCCAGGCTCGCTTCTCCATCCTCAAGTGCTTCCTCGAGGCCGAGGATGACTTCTGCAAGCTGGATTACAAGGAGGCTGATATGTCGGACCTGACCATCAAGCTGGACCGCTCCAAGATTCTGACCGCCGGCCGTGATGCTGTCGGCAAGTATCTCCAGAAGCTCCACGTCTACAAGTCCACCGCCGATGTAGAGACGGGCAACAAGTTCTACGTCGACATGACAACTGTCAGACTCGACTTCTGGGGCACCAAAGTCCGTGACCTGGTCCTCGCCAACAAGCAGCCCCGCAAGGTGTTTGTGCAGGCCAACACGACTCTTGATGAGAGCACTGGCAAGGTCTCGCTCAAGCACTATGATGCTTCGCTGATCGGCATCGTCGAGAGCTGGGCGGACAGGAATCTGTAAATTAGTAGCATATTCGGCATTTGCATGAGTGGCATAGTATGGGCTGCGGTAGAGAAGAAGAGTAGACTATATATATGTGTGGCCTACACTCTCGGAGTAGATCCCACTCAAGTCCTATGCGATTGTACACTGCACGTTGCGAGAGCGCCATGTCATGGCCCCGGGGAAGAGGGAAAAGAGGTCTTGGTTTGTTCATGCTCGTTGTGTTTTTTGACTGTAAAACCTGATTACAGACGCCAGAATGTGACCGATGCCGTCGACTTCCAAATGCAATGGGCCAAACCAGCCCCCAGCCGGGAGACCCTGCCCGTTCTACGACACCATTGTTTCGTAGCGCAACCAGGAGTCTGTTCGCCTACGCCTTTCCGCCCCGCAATGTTTGTTTCCGTCGTGAAAATGATTGCCCTTGTCCTCACAGTCCCCCAATTCTCCGTCTACCACTTCATCTCGTGGGGCTTGTCGCCCTTTCGCAGGCTGAAGCTGCTGCCGAGGTAGCTGGAGAGGAACTGGACCTTCTTGATGTTGCTGAGCAGAGGCTTGTCGATGGCCTTCTGGTCCGCCGCGCGGGAGCTGTTAACCTCCTTCTTCTGTGGTATATCGTTAGCCCTCAGTCCCCAGAACCTTGATTGACAGGGGCCCTGTCTCAGGATTGGTCGTACCTTGGGCTCCTCGCCCTGCTTGAAGAAAGCCTCCTCACCAGCCTTCTCCTTGGCCTTCTCGGCGGTGAAGTACTTTGGTTGGGAGATCTCGTCAATCTTCTTGGAGTCGAGACCGTTGACGTCGACCTTCATGGAGGTGGCGATGACGTAGCGGGAGTTAACCCGACGCAGAGGGACGCCGTTGATCTTGAAGGGACCGGTGACGAGGAGAACACCCTGATCAAGCGTCTTGAGGAGGACGACACGCTTACCGCGGAAGCGACCAGCGAGCAGGATCAGGACAGTGCCGGGCTGGAGGGTCTGGCGGGGGGCCCAGGGACGGACCGTCTTGCGGACCTGTGAGACAATCGTCAGCATTTGTTCTTATCCCAATCAATGTGTTCATGCTGGTGGCATGCTCGGAAGGTCGAATCGATCGCTGTCATGCGCCCCCATGTGCGGTGTTGAACTTCGCGGCCGCAGGGTCCCCATGTGTGCGGGACGGCCGATTCATAACCATGTCCTCCGATGATTCGCATTCCAAATTCCGGCGCGCCGTCGCTGACAGTGTTCTCTCGAGTGTCGCAATTCCTCCTCGCATGCCATCAATGTGTGTATCGCGATCCGACTCACCTTCTTAGGCTGGGCATCGTCCTCGGCAGGGTACCACTTCTGAGCCTTCTGCCCAGCAGCGGGGACCTCCCGAGTCGACTTGCCGAAGGTCTTCTTCTGATTCTCGACGGCCATTGTTGACAAACTCTTCGCACGCGAGCACTGGGTGGTGAAGGGTTAGTAGGGTTGGGTGGTTGTTGAGAAGTTGGTGATGATGGGCTGGCAACCGTAAAAGTGGAAGGGGATTTCCGGTGGTTCGCGCCCTACAATCCGTCCAGGTTGTGCGTGGAAAATTGGTGCCCTCTGACGCTAGGCTTTTTTGGGGGCTGGTGGGAAAGTGGGTTGAGTCAGCGCGTCTTGGGGCTGCACGTGATATGGAGCAAAGAGCTGGGCGGACTACGGCATTGGACAAATTCCGATTGCCGTACAGAAGGTCCGTTTTAGCTTTTGGACATGCCATCATTTCCATGCCAGCTCGCCCGGCCGTCGGAAGTTACCAGAAGATGCTATGCTCGACTGGGCGTCATTCGAATGAAGAGGAAGCTTTGCACCATCGCAGCTATTAAGTACACGCGCACCGCACCAGGTGGCTTTTAGCTTCGAATTTACTTCTTTTCTAGTTGATCTCCTTTACTCTGTGAAACTTTGTCACGTCTTATGTACTGAGCGCGGCTGCGCAGCGGCCTGTATTCAAGATGCAAGCTCGACGACAAGTACTATCTTCAGCCCAGCGACTTGCTGGCGCTACACGACCACGGACCCAGATCACTCGAGCAGCGGGGTTACAGATTCTGCGACCAGCTACAGCCCGATTACTGCCTATCATCACTACTCGCAACTATGCAAACGGACGACCGCACCCTCCTGGTGGCACACACCGCATGGATATGGGTGGCGGTGAGGAGAAGCCAGCGCTGGAACAATACGGTGTTGACCTCACAACGAGAGCGAAAGACGGCAAGCTTGATCCTGTGATAGGTCGCGACAGCGAAATCCAGCGTACGATTCAAATTCTTTCGAGACGAACGAAGAACAACCCCGTCATCATCGGTAATGCCGGTACGGGCAAGACAGCCATCCTTGAGGGCCTAGCACTGCGCATTGTACAAGGGGATGTGCCCGAGAGCATCAAGAACAAACGGGTCGTCAGTCTCGACCTGGGCTCCTTGATTGCTGGTGCCAAGTTTCGAGGCGATTTCGAAGAGAGACTGAAGAAAGTCTTGGATGAGGTGCAGAAGGCCGAGGGTCAGGTCATTCTCTTCATTGACGAGCTACACACACTCCTTGGCCTGGGCAAGGCTGAGGGCTCAATCGATGCTTCGAACCTCCTCAAGCCAGCATTGGCCCGAGGTGAGCTCCAATGCTGTGGCGCTACCACGCTTGCGGAGTACCGGCAGATTGAGAAAGACGTGGCGCTGGCACGACGTTTCCAGCCCATTATAGTGAACGAGCCATCGGTGGAAGATACCGTCAGTATTTTGCGAGGTATCAAAGAAAAGTACGAGGTTCATCACGGAGTGCGCATCACCGACGGAGCGCTCGTCGCAGCGGCCACGCTCTCGAACCGTTACATTACAGATCGCTTCCTGCCCGACAAAGCCATCGACTTGATGGACGAGGCTTCGAGTCATCTCAAGCTACAACATGAGTCGAAACCCGAAGACATTATGCGCTTGGATCACAAAATTATGACCATCCAGATTGAATTGGAAAGTCTTCGGAAGGAGAAGGATGTGGCCAGCAAGGAGCGCCGCGAGAAGCTTGAGGATGAGTTGAAGAGACACCAGGAAGAGCTCAAGGCCCTCAACGAGCGCTGGGAGAAAGAGCGTGCAGAAATTGAGGGCGTCAAGAAAGTTCAAGAGGACCTCGACAAGGCCAGGTTCGAACTGGAACAGGCCCAGCGCGAAGGCAACTTTGGCCGAGCATCCGAGCTGCGCTTTGGCGTCATTCCCACGCTGGAACAAAAGCTACCCAAGGAGAACGAGACTGAAAGCCCAGGCACGCCGCAGGCTGATCAGCTGGTCCACGACTCTGTGACCGCGGATGACATTGCCAATGTTGTCTCGAGAATCACCAGCATCCCAGTCACAAAACTGACTTCTGGTCATATCGAGAAGCTGGTCCACATGGAGGATAGTCTGCGCGAGTCTGTCAAAGGGCAAGACGAGGCTATCAAGGCTGTGTCAGACGCTGTCCGTCTGCAACGTGCAGGTCTGAGCGGCGACAACAAGCCAACAGCGTCCTTCTTTTTCCTCGGCCCTACCGGTGTGGGAAAGACTGAGCTTTGCAAGAAGCTTGCCGGGTTCCTCTTCTCGACAGAGTCGGCGGTTGTCCGTTTCGACATGTCCGAGTTCCAGGAAAAACACACGATTTCAAGACTTATCGGTGCGCCCTCTGGCTATGTCGGATACGACGACGCGGGTCAGCTTACAGAGGCTGTCCGCCGCAAGCCGTACGCAGTGCTGCTCTTCGATGAGTTTGAAAAGGCTCACCGCGACATCTCTGCCCTCTTGCTCCAGGTCCTCGACGAAGGCTACCTGACCGATGCACAGGGTCACAAGGTGGACTTCCGCAACACCATCATTGTGTTAACGTCGAATCTTGGCGCCGACATTCTAGTCGGCCACGACCCTACACACCCTTACAGAGAGACCAAGGATGGAGACATTGACCCTTCCGTGCGCGAAGCCGTCATGGACGTGGTGTCCTCCGCCTATCCACCCGAGTTCCTCAACCGTATCGACTCATTTATCATCTTCAAGCGCCTCGCACAGAGCGCTATTCGTGAAATTGTCGACATTCGTCTGCGCGAACTACAACAGCGCCTGGACGACCGACGTATCACACTGCACACGCCCAGTGAAGTCAAAGATTGGCTCGCTGAGAGGGGCTACGATCCTAAGTTTGGTGCGCGACCTTTGAACAGACTCATCACCAACGAGATTGGCAATGCTCTCGCTGCAAAGATCATCAAGGGCGAGCTCAAGGGTGGAGAAACGGCCGAGGTGAAGATCCGAGATGATCAGCAAGGGCTGGAGATCAGTAATGTTGCCACTGCAGCGCCTTGAGATGTTGTAACACTAGGTTGTATGACTTGTACATTGTTGGAGTTCTGTTTTCATACACTATATATTGTACAATAAGTATCTAATGAATGTCTTTTAAGAACACTGTTTATTTGTGGTGCGAGATCGATAGTACAGAGCATCCTGTCTTGTGTTGGTGCGAGTGACATGCCAAAACCAAATGCACTGCTGCTGTTTTGAATATTCTTTCATGCACTTAATTGAGCTTTGGTAACTGTCATGGCTATCATGATAATCTTGTTCATTGCGGAAATATTCATAGACGAAACATGATCATAACGTCCACCCTTACGAGGAAGCAAACAATCGACACGCGAGAAACTGAAAGAGTTTAACCTCAAACTCCTCAATGTACAAAACCCTTTTTTCGTTGCCGAAACTGCTGCACCCCAAGAGCCTACCAGAAGACGCCTTCCTGACCTCCCATCCAATGCAGCTTGACGTGAATCCATTTCCCCCCAGTACAGTCACAATGGCGACGACACCCACATCGAAAAGCATGTGAGGTTGAGGACCCCATGTTGGTGGATGGCGAGACGAGCCAGACGTGGAGTTATCAACAAAGTTCGATTGGTTTGCCCGAATGAAGAGAGTGCGAATTACAACCGAAGCCCCGGCGAGGGATGAAGATAGGACGTAGCAGCGAAAAAGCAGGAAGGTGGTGTCGTCCAGTAAAGACCTCTATTGTTCTCTCTACTGGTGGCCAGCCTTGCGCAGGGTGGTGGCAAGCCACTCGAGACCCTCATACAGGCCGTCTCCCGAGGTAGCGCAGGTGGACTGGATGTACTGTGACGATTGTTAGCGGGGCGAAGGAAAAACGAGACGGCGGGCGGGACATACCCAAGCGCGTTGACGCAGGCTGTGGAGACCAAGCTTGTCGGTGATCTCGGCAGCGTTCATGGCGTTCTAATAACTGTCAGCGATTGCCATCATCAAGTCCGACGGAAAAACGTACGGGCAGATCCTGCTTGTTGGCGAAGACCAGAAGGATAGCATCCCTGAGCTCGTCCTCGTTCAACATGCGCTGCAGCTCCTCGCGGGCTTCAACAATACGGTCGCGATCGTTGCTGTCGACGACGAAGATGATACCCTGAGTGTTCTGGAAATAGTGCCTCCACAGAGGACGGATCTTGTCCTGACCTCCGACATCCCACACGGTGAACTGAATGTTCTTGTACTCAACGGTCTCAACGTTGAAACCTGGCATGCGCGTTAGAGGAGGTACTCGGCCGCCCGCCACTCGATGCGGTCTACGAGGGCGGAGATAAGGATAGGGGTCGTACCGATGGTGGGGATTGTGGTGACAATCTCGCCGAGCTTGAGCTTGTAGAGAATGGTGGTTTTACCGGCAGCATCGAGACCGACCATCAGAATGCGCATCTCCTTCTTCCCCCACAGCTTGTCGAAAATCTTCGAGAAAGCGAGACCCATGGTTGCGACGTGCGGCTAAGCCGTAGAATTGACGGGAAAGGGGTATTGCGATGAGAACGAGTTCGTTCCTGGTCGCCACGTTGTCAGTCAGCACGTTTATGAGGAGGGGTTTTTTTCGGGCTGTGTAGTAGCAGTGGCGGACGGGCGAAGGCGCAAGCGTGCAGGGCGTTGGAGAAACGAGGTGATGTCGCAATTGACTTTTGACATATCTCTTGCCAACAGAGCGACTCTCATGTGCCTTTTAAGCCTGGCAATGCAACTTGCAAAGGACACCTGTAGTCGGTGGCGTGGCGTTGGCAGGCGACTTTGCCTACTAGGCTGCGACCCAGATCAAGGACGGGGGGAAGCATATGGGCGTTGTGTCCTTAATCATGGTCGCCAACTCTCGCTTGTCCAGTCCAGGCAGCCGCGAAAGAACGCATGTGTTGTGCTCGTGGGTACGGTGGTGCAAACTCACGATTCGTCAGGGTCGGTTCCTCCTGATATGACAGAAGGCGACGGTGGAATGGGATGGAGGCCGTTGACGGGTTGATGAAAGGTTGTCGGTGTAGACGTAAGCCAGGGATCCAAAGGTCAAAATATGGGATGCTCAGGCGGGCTGGGGAGGGAGGGGTGAGGTATGCTGGATGGCTGGTGCTTGCTGAATTTTGGGGCCACCTCAGCGCCTTCTACGGAGTACGGTATTGATCCATTCATTGACATGTGGCGCCGCCCAGTCAGAGGCTGGGATCCATTCCAGTGATAAAGGACGGACTGGGACACCGCCACAGCGCGCAATGGACCGTATCCACCCGAGCTCCAGCCAGTCCTTCCCCTGAAGCCTGCTGTGCATGACTGATTGATCGACCGATCGCCCAGAGGGACGAGCGCGAAATCATCATCACAACTGTGCTTGTTAGCAAATACGAAGTCGCAAATAATCACAATGGCTTCTGCAATCTTTGCCTGACCCATTGACCGACAATATCGTCTGGATCTGGTTGATGTACCGAGGTCACAAGCCTGTCACGTTCCGAGTTCATTCTAGCCACTGTTTTTGTCTGCCCCTGAGCAGGCTGAGAGCTTGGCTGGCTGGAGCGCCACATGTTCGGAGCCCCCATTTCTCCCAGCGCCGGCCAACCGCCCAGGCCCCTGTAATAGCATCTAACCGCAAAGGTGTCAATTCGAGAGACGCCCTAGTCGAAGCTCATCGTCCACGACCTCGGAGCTGCGCACCGCCCATCTCTCCCCTCCAACGACTGCGACCGATTCCAACCATGCGTTTCTTCACGGCTGCAAAGGCCCTCGTGGTCGCCGCTGTGGCTGCCTCGGCGCACAACATCGTCCTACCCGCCCACGGCGTCGAATGTTACTACGAGACCCTCCACAAGGATGATACCATGACCGTGACGTTCCAGGTTGGCGACAGGGAGTTTGGGTCAGCAGGCAACCTCGAGATTGACTTTTGGGTATGTGGTCGCGCATGATGGCTGGCAGGCGGCAGCACGCTGAGACTAAGGACAGATCATCAACCCCAGCACAGCATACGAGTATAACGTAAAGTCCGTGACCTCGGGCGACTATACTTTTACGGCGAAACATGACGGTCGATTCTCCTACTGCTTTGGAAACCAGCACTGGGGGGCCAACACCAAAGAGGTCTCCTTCAACGTGCATGGAGTGGTCTATGTGAACGAGGCCGACATGCCCTCTGATCCCCTCGAGAAAGAAGGTAAGTGCGGCCAAGTGTCATATGAAGACGAAGCTGACCAGGACGCCAGTCCGCACCCTCTCCGATCTCCTTGCCCAGGTCAAAGACGAGCAGCAGTACATTGTCATCCGTGAGCGCACCCACCGCAACACCGCCGAGAGCACCAACTCCCGCGTCAAGTGGTGGAACCTGTTCATTGTTGGTGTTGTTGTTGGCGAGTCTATGTTTCAGGTTTGGTGGCTCAAGCGCTTTTTCGAGGTCAAGCGTACTGTATAAAGGAGCTGCGTGTGGGATGTATGGGCGAACAAAAGAGGGAGGCTGGCTGGCTGGCTGGCTGGCTGCGTGTGCATGGTATTTGATCTCTTCATCACCTCGGCATGGCGCACAGGGTGTACGCTTTTTTCAATGCAAGTTATCATGAATGTTTCGAAGAAAAATACCAAGCGATTTCTCATTTCCAATGTCAACCTTTGAAAGGGCCGTGTCTAGTTGATTGAACTCCCCGTACCCGAGGCTCCCAAGCCATGCTATACCCAAACGCCGACATGTAATCATCTCAAAATAGACACAACATAACGCTCATGATCCTGGGTCAAACTCAGGGGCTTGTGCTCCCTCCTCTGCTGGCTCCTCCACAGGCAACTCGACTTCTTTCACAGGATGCAGCAGCATAGGAGGCAGACACATCCGACCTTCACCTCCGGGCATAGAACCAACAGAGCCACCCTCTTTGCTCGCATCGGCTGTCTTTTCAAACTCCTCACCTCCGTCGTTGTTGACCTTGAGACCTAGCCAGCGCCTATACAGGTTCGGCCCAAACCCAGAATTGTAAAACCACGACAAACCACGAAGATTGTGCTCGCGATCGCCGTAGACGCTGTTTCGTGCTCCACCACTTGAGCCGTCACGGCCGCCGTTGAAGATTGAGGCCATGTATTCAAGGGGCCACTTGCGGTCCACGTACACTGGGTGGGGCGCATAAACAGCCTTGTAACCGTGCTGCAAAGCAACCGTGGCCGGCCACATTTCAGGGAAAGCAAATTGTTTCTTGTAGGCGGTCATCTTGTGCATTGTCAGCAGCAGTCGGCGCGACATGCGAGAGGTCGTAATGATGTTGGCGCGGCGCGGCGGGTTCCCATGGGTACGGTTGAACCCAGTGATGTCGTCCTTTAGCAACCACGTAGTGCCATCTGGGTCAAAGATGGGGTTCAAAGAGATGTAGTCGGCCTCTTCTCCAACGCCCCATACATTGCGATCCTTCTCAGGACCACCATGAGGGGGTTTCGGGTCATCGCCAGGCATGTACCAGTCGTTATTGTCCTCAGGACGTTGAGGGCCCCAAACCATCTTGCGAGGTTTCGAAGCCTTGTCGGGGTCGTCCTTGAGACCAGGTGCCTTATTCCAGAGGGTGTCGGGATTCAAGGTGCCCATTTCGTTCTGGATGCGAGCCATCTGCGAGAAGTCCTCCCATGAACCATGAACTTCAGGTATATAGAAGCGGGCGTTTCTTTCCCAAAGGTTCTTACGGGGTTGGGTTTTGGACCACTGTTCAATCTTGCTGAAGAGATCATAGTAGTGTCCGGTGTAGCGGACATCCATTTCCCATTGCCAAAAGTACTCGTATTCCGGATGTTGGTAGGCAAAATGTTGCATCGCCATGGTCAGGCCACGATACACACCGTGTACTGGCAGGTCGGGGCCACGGGTGTATAGGTCATAAATGCCTTGGTAAAGCGACAGCATCTGGGTTTCGGTCCACAGAGTGACCAGCCCGCGAAATTCCTGTGGAATGGTGTCCTGGATTCGTTTCTCATAGGCGTCGTGGTCGGCCCAGATCGGATGCTGAGCATCGTTCTTCACCTGTACAAGGAGGTGAACGTCATAACGGCCTCCCGATGCGAGCGAGAGCTCTGTGATCATAGAGCGCAGGGAGGCCATGTCATCCTCCCGAAACAAATATTCGTCGTAGCACCTGATCACGACTGCCGTCCTTGCCTTCTTGGCCACTTTCGTTTTTGGCTCATCGGCCTTGACAATGGCGTCCGCTGCGTCTGTGCCATCGGTTTCTCCGACGAGTTCTCCGGTCTCATTGAGACTCCGTTTAGCAAGACTGGCAACTGGCGCCGCTGAATCTTGTATGTAGAAGCCGTGGGCCGAAGAAGTCTTCTCTGAAACATCCACGAAGCGGTCAACATTGGCATAGTAGCAGCGCCTCTGAGCCTCGGCCCAATCGACGTCTCGGAAGTCCACGCGATGAGTGTCTTTCCAGACATCTGCGGAACCAGTGTTTTCTCCTCCCTCGCCAGTCCCCAAGCCGCCGTTCTTCAATGAATACCCAAAACCGTAGGGTCCAAAACGGCCAAATCTTTCAAAGCATACGTCTTCCGGGAGGTCGAAGAGTTCATACGACCCGACGACATTGCGTGGAAACCCTTTCGGTCGGCCTTCAAAATACCGTACGGAGGGGATGCGAATCTTTCCAGCAGCATCCAAGAAGCATTCGGTCATTTCAGACTCCTGCGCACGTGCAGGGTACTCATTCCAGGAAAGGCTGGTAGATGCATCTCTTTGCGCTTGTGGGGATTCTCCCGACAGTATCGGATCATTCGACTTTGGGTACTCAGGTTTGCTTTGATGGAAAGGCAGGAGAGTTCTGATACCGCCATAGTACCTCTCCAGGAATGGGAATCGCTCCCATATCGGAGGTGGCGGAGCAGGTCTGTGATCTGATGCGCCGCTTGCAACCTTCCAATTCTCCACCTGACTTGCCCTGATCAAGCTGAAAATCATGAGGAACAGGAGCGCTCCAATGCCAAAGCACAGATAGCGAGTAACTTTGGTTGGTAATCGGTACGGGTAGACGCTGGCTATCTTGGTGGCTTGCCCCCTTTTCGGGAGCATGGGCATCCCGCTGCCCAGCGAGCCCGATGTGTTTCTTGAGGACCCATTTGAGCGAACTGGGTATGCATCGTACTCGTCGGAGGAGGCGTAATAGTCTTCGTCGTCTGAGTATCGTTCTTTCGATGGAGACCCTGCTCGTGCTCGTTCGTAAACAGGCAGCCGCTCTTCGCGATTGCGGAAAAGACCCATGACGGATGGATGGGCTGTTGTACGAGACAGTCAAAAATGCTGCAGCGGAAGAAAGGGAGCGAGCAGCATACCAGGCCTTTGCAGGCGGAGGTGGTGTCTCAAGTGCGCACGGATGTCGCGGTCGGTAGATGTTGACGTCGATCTTGATATTGATTGGACGAGTCTCTGTTTGCTTCGATTTGAGTTTGACAGACGCAGAATGTCACAATTGCTTCTGCCTACCTACATCAATGTTGGGTTTGAGAACGCTAGATTGATACCAGGTAAGTTGGAGACTGAAGCAAATGCATATTTGCTTTCCGGAAGGCTCAGAATGAAGCCAATGTTGTGGCAGGGGTTCTTTGCTTCCCGTTGCCGAGCAACGCGCATGTGCCGCGAAGGGTGTGGATGGCGGCTTGTTATCGATAAGTGACAGGACGTCAGTTTCTCTCCAAGGCATCTTACTGCAGCCAGCAGCGTAGACAGAATTTCAATGTTGGATTGCATGTCCTTCAACTTGGCCGAACCACATTACAGGCATTGCAACGCACAGTGCTTGTCTTAAATCTCGGGAATTTTCGTGTAAACTCCTGTGAACATCAATCGGGATCCGAGGCTGTGGTATCGAATTCCGACCATACCCACAGAGCGCAAAGACGACTGCCGCGCAGCCACTGCCCAACTTTTAGACGCGCGATCTCCTTTCGCTAGATATCACCACCCACTGTTCACCATGAGTCGATTGTCGCCGACAGATGCTCCAGACCTAGAACCCTCGGCTGCGCCTAGGAGACGCAGGCATGACGATGAGGATGGGCCAGACGAGCCCACGCCTGCGCGCCCGAACAAGAAGCAAAAACCTCCGCCTCAACCGAGGCAAAATACCGCCGTCTACGTAACAGGACTTCCCCTCGACGCCACGGTAGATGAGGTGCACGAAGTGTTCTCGAGAAAGTGTGGAGTTATAGCGGAAGAGATTGATAGTGGTGCACCTCGGATCAAGATGTACACAAATCCAGACGGGTCCTTCAAAGGCGATGCGCTTGTCGTATTCTTCAAAGCTCCGAGTGTGCAGATGGCGATTCAGCTGCTCGATGATAGCTACTTTCGCTACACAACAAACGGGACTACCACTGGGCGAATTCGCGTGCAAGAGGCAGACTCGAGCTTCAAAAAGGTCCATTATGACCAGGAGAGCGCAGCAGACGAAAAGACGCAGGCCAAGAAACCGCAGAAGAGCAGCAAGGACAGGCAAAAGATCATTAAGAAAACTCAGAAGCTTGAAGCGAAGCTGGCAGACTGGGACGACGATGACCCCTACACAGCGCCTGGCCAGGCCGTGAGCAAGTGGGACAAGGTCGTCATCCTCAAGCACATGTTCACGCTGCAAGAACTCGAGGAAGACCCCACGGCGCTCCTGGATATCAAAGAAGATGTACGCGACGAATGCGAAAAGCTGGGCACCGTCACCAATGTTGTGCTGTTCGACGAGGAAGAGGACGGCATCGTCACGGTCAAGTTCAAGGAAGTCGAGGCAGTGGACGCATGCATCAAAATGATGCATGGCAGAGCATTTGATGGGCGCACAGTTGAGGCCTATCGGGCAACGGGCAAGGAGAAGTTCAAAATGTCCAAGCAGGAGCAAAATGGGGATGAGTCCGATTAAAGCAGATCGACTGAGCACGGCACGTTATCCAAGCCATTGCCACCATAAACCCTCATGGGCGTGGGCATGCCATTCTTCGCGGTACAAATGTGATCTCTGGTTCAGGAACGGCGATGGACAGATGTCTATTGTCTAGCGATATGGCACTGCAAACAAGTTTGGTTCCACTTCACCACCTGGGATACGCGTCAATTTCTACCTCCTCTGGCAGTCCATGTCGTACGGCCCCTTTGATGATCGTATACGATACATCAGCTTCATGACCCAGGAGCAGGCGGCATCAGCGCGTTGGCTGCCGCACATCCCGTCCACATGCCACGTGCAGCAGGCGGCGGCGGTCATGTTGATGGCGAATCACCACCTCCATACAGCGGATGCCGCTGGGTTCATGCCTACGTACGGTTATCATCATTTTCCGAGTGCAAAGCCATCTGCATGGCGTGGCCAGTGTCACAAAAGCGACAGACTCCCTTGTTTGCACCCACGTCCTCAGCAACGCCTCTGCTGCTCGTCACAACGACCGTTGCAGAGAGCTGATGGATATGATGTTTCAATGCGACATCAACCATTTGAGATTTTGGGCTTCTCCAGTATGGCAACGGGATCTCGGGGTCTGTGCCAGATGACCGTTATATCAGGGTTAGGTTTGCCGGTGGTCACATAAGTGCAGGCATACGGTCTATAAGTCTCTTCCAAAGTTCGGAGGTACTCCTCTGGACATTTGACGGGGTGTTTTAGATACCTGTAATTAGAACGATACCTGATGATACCGGAAACGGTGGCCTTTGTTGCGATATCACGTGATTAAATCGCCAGCTCCCGCCCGGCCAAAACATGACACTTGCATCTCCTTGATAGACACATGACTTCATTCTCCAATGCTATCGCTGTGACTGTCGAAGAGATAAGGTGGTACCTTGACTAATTCATATAAGACTACATCCGGATCCAGCACGATTGCTCCAAGCCGTTTATTTCGCCCCTCCTGCGGCATATGATGCTACAGGAATCGACTGTCCCCAACGACGTGCTGCCCATTTTGTGATCGCGGTCAGAATCTCGTTGCCCAGGGTCATGGTCATGGCGCCGGTGCGCACGTCCCTCGTACCTGGAGAGGTTGCTCCGAATCCGCTGCGCCAGCTCAGCCCGAAAAGCGCCAAGTTTGTGACTTGTCCAGGCTGCCACCATGGAGCCACCACGGTGATAGCAAAGGAATGGCTATCTCGACGGACGTGAGTCCCTTGCCCGCGATCATGCTTCACGCCACTCAGCCCCTACCTAATCCCACCTCGTGCCATAGGCACGCTGAGCTCACCACGGTTGCAGGTATGTAGCATGCATGGCCGTTGTTGCTGTCTTTACACCCATCACGCTTGGCATGATACTGTTCGTATTGCCGCTAGTGTTCCATGCACAAGCTGTCACGCACTCGTGTCGTCGCTGCGGTCTGCGCCTGGCCATCGCCACGGGCGCCGCAGGCGAACTCGGATATACCGTCCCTATGGACGTCGATGACGAACACTTTATCCCCGCGCCCGGTGACTGGCGGCCCCATCTCGCGCGCCTCCCTGGTGGCATGCGCGTCGCCAGATCGCCGCTCGGTGCGCCCCCCGAGATTTCCGAACGCGAGATGAAGGCATGCGACACGCGCTTCGTCAAGAGTCGGCCCCTCAGGCGGCTAAGGCTCCTCGCGGACAACACGATGGACCACATCGTGCGTTGCATCTTGGACGACGACAACAACGGTGGCGATGGCGGCGGAGGTGATGCCGAGGTGCTATATGAGATACACGCCAGCGGCGTCCGCGCTCTCAACTCGCCTGGCAGCACCCCCGATGCGCACATTAAGGTCCACATGCGGTCGCCGCCAGCAGAAGACGTTGCGGCGGTTGGGCTGTCACCTTACACCAAGGAGCCCACCGACAATCCCCACGAGCCATCCGCATCGTCACGTGCCCACGTCTTTACGCAAGCATGCCGCTATCAACTCTTCGCTAACGAGAAGCGCAAGTATTCATCCGTCATGTTCATTTCGGGTGCGTCGGGGCACGGTGAGACTGCCTACATCAATCCGGTGCACGCCCGCTACCGCGCCTTTTTCTGGGCCGCCAAGCCTATCTGGCGCTGGCATTCGTCCCAGGGCGCTCTCCTCTGGATGTCGCGCCGCTACCGCGACGCCGCAATGGCTGCTATTGATACGCGGCTCTGCCTGATCGACGACTATGACCGATTGCTGGCCGTTGTCGACGGATGGGACGGGCTGTCCTTGCTCTGTGCCGTCGACGATGGCTTCACACAGTATACACAGCGGCCAAGTATCCCAGGCTTGAAAAGTAGTACCATCACACTGTACGCAGATCTCGACGCGCAATTGTTAGGCGAGGTCCTAGGGAGCCTATGTGTTTTGGCGGTGCAGGTGAGGCGTGTCACGGCCGAGTTCAAGAAAGAAAATGAGGAAAGGAAACGCAATACCAGACAGATATACTAGATAGTATGTCAAGATTTGATTTGTAGTTATATGCTCCACCGCATTAGGTCTTCTTGTTTGCTGTCAGTAAGCTTTATTTTCAGTGATAGCCTACTAGCATTACTAGCTGTTCACTTAAACTATCTTACAGGTCCTGATATGAACCCTCGTCTGTTTATGTGAGACACTGTAGGATAGGATCAAGATAGTCATAACATCGTCCCGACCACAGGCATAGTCAAGAAAGTCTGGTCGGGTTCAATACCTGTTAGCTTTTGCTCATGGAGACTCGGTATCATTAGGTTTAGCCTCACGCGCAGCTTCAGTATGCTCAAGTAGCGCTCACTCGACGTGCCCAGAGATTTTAGACACGGTCTATTCATGGGATCAATATTTGCCCTATCTCGACATTATATATCAACAGTTTATATATGCTGTCGTGGCTTTCTAGGCTTATCAGAGCTGTAGCTGTAGCAGTCTCTAAGCGCTCAAATTTTGCGAGGATGTAGTCTACTCGGCGAATAGAGGTCCATTCAGGGAAGGAATTAACGAGTAGAATCCTCGATCTTGGCCACAGGCTCTTGAAATCGTGCCTAGCGGTTCATGGGCTGATGGACAGTTCGAGAACGCCAGTCGACGAGATGGGTTCCAAATCTATGAAAAGGCCGCTACAGGCTGGACTTCGAGGCGCTATGAGGTTCGTGTTTAACCCTCTTCTATAGTGTGGGTACAGACTTTCCAGCAGGGACTCATGAGTTAATCCCACGGGCTTCAGCAAGAAATCCGGAGGAAACCCCGGAAAACACGTCAAGTGCCGTTCTCTCCCCTCTACCGGAAACCACTCCTTCGAACTTATATGCAAGGAACTTGGACAACTTTGGAGAGCCGACTGACTGTCCATTGGCTCACCCCTTGACACTCAGGAGTGGGCTTTGTCGAACGATCCTCGGGCTATTATTTACCGGGGTCAACGTTGAATGTAACAAACCCTTGACACCCCTGCTATTAGCATGAGTTCGACTTCATACGTAGTATACAGAGTACTGGGCCTTCTATTCGAATTTGGAACTCTAGAACGTCCTTCGCAGTGACAATTGCTGCAAAGTAAACTTAATCCTATGCCGCCCACAATGCGGTAAGGGGTCTTCGTCCACAACGTTGTCTCATAGCCTCGGGCCTGCCCATGGACGCGCAGCACAGTACCTACCTACATAGAACGAGGAACGACGATGGTATCGCGAGGACGCATAGAAGGGGGTAGTATAGAAAATTACAAAAGGTGAAGTCATCCGCATTCTCCTTCATCGTCCAACCTCTCAGCAACCCGGTCCTCTTACAACTTCTTCTCAGCTCTTTGCTTCAATTCTACAATTTAAAGCCTCATCTAGAGTCATTGATTTCCAACCTATTCCTCCAAGATGCCTTCTTTCACTACCGTTGTCGCCGCCCTCGCCGGTTGCTCTGCCATCGTTGACGGTGCTGCCCTCCCCGCCAATATTCAGAATGGTCTTACTACCACCACCCTCCAGACCCGGGACAACATCCTCAGCAAGCGTGAGCCCGTCACTGTTGCTATTCTGACCGCGGCTGGTACCGCGGCAGTCAGTGCCATCGTCAGTCAGGCCGTTACCGCCGCCGCCTCCTTCATCGGTGACATCGCCAGCTTCGACTCTGGTCGTGAGGCCTTCACCAAGCAGACCACCGACGAGATGATGGCCAGGAACCTTGACCCTGAGCGTTTCCAGGCTGCTGCTTGCTACAACAGGGGCTTCTCTGTCGCCGATACTGCCAATATTGATGGGCAGTCTTCGATTAAGTTCAGTCAGGGAATCCTCAACACTGACTACGAGTGCATGTACATTGCCGCTCCTAACCAGTTCTTCACTGAGGGCGACGGTGGCTTTATCAACGTGAGTGTCGAAATAAGTCACAAGCAGAAGCTGCCTCGGCTAGCAAAGTCCACAGCTTTCTTTCACTCACACTGATCGATGCACTTTCGACCAGGAGACCGCAGATCTCACTTGCCTCTAAGGAAGACGCTTGAGCGGAAGTACCAAGGGCAAGAGGTGCAATTGTGTCTGTCTCATGATGGACACTCGTGAGTGAGATCTCTGGGAGGAGGAGGTAGTGACCAGAGCACGAGTTGTGATTGAAAGTAACAGCAAGGTACTTCGCTGTTTTACCCCAATATTCATCTATAATGCAGTGTACTTGCTGCAGGGAAATTCATCAAGTATATACCACTCAGCTCAAAGCAGATTTCCAAGCATATATCAGCATCCTGAAGCCGATTGCACTACGCCTATTCAAAGCCCATGCCCAGCCATTTGATGCTTAGGAAACTCCTGCGACCGTCACCACGAGAACGTCGTCTGCTTTCGTCTTAGCCTTATTTCATTTCAAAAGGCTCAATTGTTCGTCATCCGAGTCTGTTAGAGCTGTGTTAGTGCATGTATCTGGTCGGTCGGAGTTGATCTATTCTGCTCCAATGAGTTGCGTACGCCCTCGTCAGTTGGCTTACACAGCTATACGGATCACAATTATCCATGCAGGCCTCAAAAGTCTTTAGCGTCTGTTCTGACAGGTGTTTCGTTACCATAGGGGGACTGTTATGGCAAGGTTATCATTGTAGGTGCGTCTGGCGAACTGAACCGAGCGGGTTTAATTGAGCTGCCTACCCTATGACAGTTTTGATATCTCTTAACTTCAAGGAGTGCTTGGTTGAGTGGACTGTTGATGCAGCTTCTATGTTTTTTAAATAATAGCAAGTGAATTTTTTTGTCACCCAGGTCGATGTGTCCCTGTAGTGTACTCACTGTGGCGGATGGACCTGAGGTGACTTGTATGTTGAATCATTTTCAACTCAGGGTTCTAAGAAACAGTAGGCACCAAATTGTCGTTGACTACTGCCCACCAACTGTCTTCTTCACACCTTCAACGAAAGCCTCGATAGCCTGGCCGCCACCCAATGGCATAGTCCCATTTGGCAGATAACCTCCATTTTCCACCCGGATGCCCAGAGCATCTGCGACTCCAGGAAGTCCACCATCCCTGAGAGCCTGAGTCAGCACACCCAAGGCCTGGAAGAACTGCGGACTACGAAGAACTTTCTTCAGAAGCGCCTTCTTGTCATTGTGGGACATTGCTGCTTTTGCCTTCTCGACCTCAGCAGCAGCCGGTTCGTCATTGCCGCTGGACGCCTCTGGGTTGGGTCCGGAGAGCACTAGCACAGACGGCGGGAGGAAGCTGAGAAAGCTGTCCAAGCGGGCGGGATCGTTCGCTGCGATGTAGTCGACCATTGCTACAGTGATAAATGTCGGTAGGAGGTGGCTCAAATGAGGGTACGGCTTGTCCTGCGTCTGACTCTGGCCGCCGGACAGTCCTGGCTGCTCGGCGAGGGAGCTCAAAAGATTCCTCACCGCCTCAGAAGCATCCGAGTCTCCAGCCGGTCCCCTATCACCAACTGTTAGCCCAGCGTCCTTACATAGCGCGCGCGCCAAGATCCGAACGAGCCATCACGTGGGCATGGAATTGTCTGATGTACTGTGATGCATCTATTGACGTACAGTCGTAGTTATGATTTCATCAAAGACGACATGCTCGTCCATGCAAATTGACCTCAAAGGCTGCGTGGGGTTGACCTACGCTCGTGCTCCGTCGGCTCCTCCCTCTCTTGAGCTCTCGCCCTCTTCGCGCACGTCACCGCCTGTGGCGTCCGCGCCCGCACCACCGCCTCCGCTGGCACGGTGCCCAAGAGACGGTTCAGCATCTTCCATGTCCTCATCGTCATCATCGTCGTCAGGTTGGTTGTTTGACCCTCGCACGTTGGCCAGCTCCCGTGTGACGTCCACTTCCTCACCCTGCAGTAATGAGTTGACAATCTCACCAATCTTGCGGTCCCGAGGGCTGAACCAGCTCTCATCCCCATTCTGGCTCTGCGGCTTTGATTGCAACCAGAAGAGGTGGCGTTGCGAAGAGGAAGCGAATTTGAGAGCGAATATGCGACCATTCGTCTTCGCGGTGGGCTGGGGAGATGTCTTGTGCTCGTAGGGGACGAAGGAGCCATCGGTCGGGACCATGACAAGGTCTAGCTCTGGATCGGTGAGAGAGGCATCGCGTCTCCGCCAGCAGAAGTGGATGAGGTCTAGACAGTGTTAGACGCGTGAACGATGGGGTGTTTGCAGAGCATACCATCTTCAGAATATAGGTAGATGTAGCCGGGCTGAGCTTGTGGCTTGACCTTGAATGGCTTCGATGAGGTCTATCTCGGGATACATTAGTTTTGGAGCCAGCTGAGCGCATGATGTTCGAAGCTCACGTCGAGATCACATTGACCAGCTTTGAAGGTGATGATCGGTGCGGTGGCCATGTTGAAGCGATGACCTTACTTTAGTAACACCAAGGAAGACGAGGTTGTGATACAGGGCGTTGAAATGCGGGTTTGTTGCTCTGAGGTGAAGGGTCGTGTGTTCGCGACGTTGTATTCCCGCGCTGGACCTTTATTGGTAGCAATGGAAGGTTCGAAGCTTCAAGGCTCCAATGGCTCTTACGTCGGTCAAGCTTCGGCGGCGCGCATCAGTGACGGAGTGCTAGCGTCAAGGTGGGCTGTTGGAGCTGCCGGGCCGGTATTCTTCCGTCACGGGACTATGCTGGACCCTGCCCCTCACTTTGCGCTGCAGCGCAGCGGCGGTTCAAGCCAAAGGTGGCCAAGGCTAGGCTGCTGGAGTGGACGCTGGTAGCAAGGGTGCTTGGGCCGCAAATTTGGTGTAAAAAATCTCAACCCCACCTCGAATCGATTGACCAGACAACCACCGCACCCTTTTTTCCTCCTCATTTCCCATCCCCTCCTCTTGCGAAACTTCAATTTCGATTCCCTGTCCTTCATCAAACGTACTCTCCATCTCCCTTCCGCTTCTCACATACAAAATGGGCTTCACCGACCTCGTTTCCAACGCTGGAGCTACCAGTACGTTTCGCCATTGCTGTCGTGGCTAATGCGACGCTCCTTGCCTCTCAGCACCCAGACACTGACCGTTGAACTCAGTGCTCAACAGCTGGTTGACCACCCGCTCCTACATCAATGGGTAAGTCCGCAGACCAGCTCCCGGACGAGCGCAGCGCCTTTGTACGATCAACGACCTGAATGATGAGAAAAATTGGTCCGTGTTTCAGAGGCGGCTTAAGACCCCGCCAACTGACGAAGCAACAAGCACTTTGTGCATCTCTGATATTGATCATGGCATGCGCTTGCTCTGGAGGAGACGAAATTGTCAGAGCACTGCTGACACTTCTCCCAGCTATGCCCCCTCGCAGGCCGATGTTGCCGTCTTCAAGGCCCTGAGCTCGGCTCCCGATTCTGAGAAGTTCCCCCACGCTTCGCGTTGGTACAACCACATCGCTACCTTCGAGAGCGAGTTCGCCACCCTCCCTGGCGATGCCTCCAAGTCTTTCGAGGCCTACGGCCCTGAGGCTGGCGACCTGACCCTCAACCCCGCCAAGGCCCCCGAGAAGGCGGAGGATGACGACGACGTCGACCTGTTCGGCAGCGACGACGAGGAGGAGGACGCTGAGGCTGTCCGTATCCGTGAGGAGCGCCTGGCTGCGTACCGCGAGAAGAAGGCCGCCAAGCCCAAGACCATTGCCAAGTCTGTTGTCACCATGGACGTCAAGCCCTGGGGTAAGTTGGCACCAGAACACAAAATTGGACCTGTAGACATGCTGACTATTACCAGATGACGAGACCGACATGGCCGCCCTGGAGTCGGCTGTCCGTGGTATCGAGAAGGACGGTCTTGTCTGGGGCGCCTCCAAGCTGGCTGCCGTCGGTTTCGGTATCAAGAAGCTCCAGATCAACTTGGTTGTCGAGGATGAGAAGATCTCCACCTCTGACCTCCAGGAGGAGATTGAGGGTTTCGAGGATTACGTCCAGTCCACCGACGTTGTTGCCATGCAGAAGTTGTAAGGTCATCAGCAGTAATGTTTGCACGTTTTGATTTATGAGGCATGATGGGATGGAGGATATGATGACGCCACGAAAAGACATGGGCGTTCTGTTGAGAGCTTAAGAGGGATGTCATCATGAAAAAATATTCCGTATGACCTCGCTATGATAGACCGGCAGCTTTTGATTGAAACAAAACAAATCAGTAAAAAACAATCGCGTATCCAGAAAAACACCCTGTTCAACATGTTTGCAATGAATGGACTCGTTCGCAGAGACAGCTTGCACAAAATTCTATTGGTACGAGATGGTATTACGTGAGGAGGGGCACAGGCGGTCATGGCGGGGTAATTCTGTCTTTGGGTACCTAGGCTAGGTACCTTACGAGCACTTGCCATTCAATTTGTCTCGACGCGTCTGGCAACGCGACCGGCGACGCGATCGCCCTGCACCGGTATCTGTCTGCAACTCGCTGGTACGCAGCATTCTCACAATCGCCACAATGTATGGAGACACAGGCATGAAGCTTGTATGCTGAACGGATCATGCTTTGTTGACGCCGCTGACTTGCTTCCAGGTGCAACACGCCAAGCGAACACAGAGTCTTGCCCATCTGCCACCCTACCAGACCGAGCTCGTTCGTGCGGTCACCCGCGAAGTTCGCGATCTGGACAAGGATGTCTCCGAGCTCCTTGAGCCGTTCCAAGGCTCCTTCGACCCTTCCGCCGATCAAGCCGTCGCGACGACGCTCCTCGTGAACCACCTCTCCATGCGGCGCAACAAGCGCTGCCTCTTGGCCTACCACCGCACCCGAACAGACAAACTGGAGGAACTGGTATGGAATGGTGCAGACGTCGTCGACCTGTCTGGGCAGCAAGTGCGAGGCGACGGCGCGACGACGACGAGTAGCCTGAGCCCACAGGAAGAGGAGTACGTCAGGCAGTATAGCGATCTTCTGGCAGCGTACAAGGGACAGTGGACAGATATCGATCTCACGGGTAGTCTGGAGCCGCCTCGGGATCTGTTCATTGACGTGAGAGTACTTAAGGATGCGGGCGAGATCCAGACCGAGTACGGGTAAGTCTCGTCGTCAACGCTGTCCTCCAGCGTCTAGCTGACGATATCCAGGGCGATCACCTTGACCAAGAACAGCCAATTCTACGTTAGACAGGGAGACGTGGAGCGGCTCATAGCCCAAGGCTACCTGCAAAAGCTAAGCGGATGAGCCTATCTGGCGTGCACACCACCAGTTGCGACGTTATAACCATGAACCTTCGACTTCGCTGCCACACGAGGCATTTGGTAAATGCTCAGTTGGCTTGGACGAGATATTTGGCAGAGCCTAGAGGGGGCGATCGCCACTTTATTATGCCGCAACGGACCGAGACCGCAACGGCCATGCCGAACGGAGTGCGGCTAAAAAGGCCAAGCGTACCTGCTGCGACCCGTGTTTGCGTGCCTAGTGTCTCGATCATCAACATGCCGCTTCACACCCGTTGTCGGGGTGGACAGATTGACACTAATAGGAAGCGATGGTATTGCTCATCATTTGAAGAACTTGTAGTCACGATGGCGCAAGACCAATGGTCAAGCAGTGAGGGCCACCCCACACTAGGACTCGGCGCGGCTCAAGGTACTTGTCAGACCTGTGAGACCTGCAGAGCATGGCGAGAAAAAATGCAAGGATGGCGTTAATGGCCTGCATGAGCCACATGAGGCCCGATTCCGAAGCGAGCGCTATTGGAAGTAATGAGGTAGAGCCAGCAAGAATAACACCTCCAAACAAACAATGATACAATGAATGAAGGCTTCGTTAATCGTGAGGAACGTTAGCTTGCTAGCAATCAGGATGGGCAACAACTACTTGGGCAGACTGGAGTTCTAGCCCCCTCGCAAATGCACGTTGGACGTTCGTCATGCCCTCCGCTTCACAAATCCCGGTTTGTATGTATGCGACGCTTCTAGCCGGGCAGCCCGATACCCAAGTCAACACCTGTAATTATTATCTTTTCCCTCGCTGTCTTTGCTCTCCGTCTTGTCCAGCTTTTGTCACCCGACTATCAAGTCTAATCCCACTCCAAGGGAAGATTGCACCGGGGCTAGATTGGCGGGTCCTGTCCAATGTTTATTAGTGCCACACGTTATCGCGCGCTTGCTCTTCTACCAGCGATTGACCCGAGCAGACGACCAATTCTCATGCGTCCTTGACTGACTCCCCATCTTCCGCTCCAATCTGGCTGGCGAGAAACAGAAGTACCGCGCGTGCGGTATCTGATAACGGACGACAATGTCTTCCCCGATGCCTGGGTTCACCCATTGGCGGACGCGAGCCTCGAGCGTTTCCACAGCACCTGGCGGCGATCGACGGCGACATGATTCTACAGAGTTTGGTAGTTCGCCCCCGCCAGGCTCGGTCATAGGGATTGACCACCCGAGCCGGTTATCTTCCTCATTTTCCGGCCAAAGAGAGCCGATCAGATCGTTCATCCACGGCGCTGGGAGGGAATACCTAGGTACGTATGCAAAAACCTTGCGCCAGGCGCAGATGCTAACCTTGAAAAGCTCCTAAAGACAGCAACCACACCGCACGAACTGTTCGCGAAGACACGGCCGATTTAGCCACCTACGTCCTCACGGATGGCAAGGACGAAGGGAGCCGTTCTTTCCTCCACCGCTCGCGACCCTCGGTGTCAGACGCCTTCTCCTCAGAACCAGTCGAGTCCGATTCAGGCGAAGACCGAAATCAGGACGTTATTCTCGAAGTCTCCGAACCCCCGAGTCCCAATGATGGGGAGCAGGAACAGGAAGACGAGGGCCCCTCGGCGCTCGCGAATCTGTTGAGAAAGTCACCGCCGCAGTCTATTGCGCCGGATAGGTCACGACCCAGGAAGGCCCTGGGACACGAAAGGTCTTCTGACGAGCCTCAAGACCTGAGATCGCGGCGGCCGACCAGAGGGGAAGATGCATCGGACGACGAGGAGCACACCGAGAACACGCCTCTACTCAGCGGAACCACGTCGCGAAGCCGCACACCCGACGAGGACTTGGAGGGCATGAGGCCAGAGCCACGCAAAAGTTGGATTGGAGGCCTGAAGTCCCGTGCGCAGGGTGCAGGGCGTCATGCTGTTCGTACCTTTGCCGTGGCAGCGAACCCAAAGCAGTGGGATGGAAAAGTCATCTGGCAGACGTGCTGCGTTGCGCCGGCTTCGTGCTTGCCTGCCGTGTGTGTTGGACTTCTGCTCAATATCCTGGATGCGCTGTCTTATGGCATGATCTTGTTTCCTCTGGGCAAGCCCATCTTCTCGCATCTGGGACCCGCTGGAATATCGATTTTCTACGTCAGTACAATTGTTTCGCAGTTGACATTCTCGACCGGGAGTATCTTCAAGGGGTCCGTCGGGTCTGAACTGGTAAGCTTCCCATTGGCATGGGCGTCATCTGGTGGTCGACTGACACAACACAGATCGAGGTAGTCCCATTCTTCCATAACATGGCACAGAAGATCACCGACATTGTAGGCGTGGAGAACCCTGACGCAGTAATTGCTACGACGATTGTGTCGTACTCAATGAGCTCCATGATAACGGGGCTTGTCTTCTACCTGATGGGCAAGTTCAAGTTCGGCTTCATGGTGGGCTTCATCCCTCGACACATTCTCATTGGCTGCATTGGCGGTGTTGGCTGGTTCCTCATTGCGACTGGCTTCGAGGTGTCTGCCCGCTTGGAGGGTAGTCTGGAGTATGACCTGGACACGCTACACAAGCTGACACGTCCTGAGACGCTCCCGCAGTGGATTGTGCCTCTGGTGTTGGCCATTGTGCTGTTCTGGGGACAGGCGAGGGTCAAGTCCAAGTACTTCCTGCCACTGTTCATTTTGGCGATTCCCCTGATTTTCTACATCTTTGTCCTGTCATTAAATGCGCTTGAGATCGACAACTTGCGCGACAAGGGCTGGATCTTTGAGGGTCCTCCGGCTGGCGAGCCCTGGTGGTATTTCTATACCTTGTTCAGTAAGTCACATCGCGGAACGTTTGGAGATTTGGCGGCTCATAATGGACAGAATTCACACTGGTTCGCTGGGATGCCGTGGCGGAGTGTATTCCTGCCATGTTTGCCCTCACCTTCTTCGGCATCCTCCACGTCCCGATCAACGTGCCCGCCTTGGCTCTTCAGTGCGGCGAGGACAATGCAGATCTGGACAAGGAGCTACGCCTGCACGGCTACTCCAACTTCGTGTCAGGATGCTTCGGTAGTATCCAAAACTACCTCGTCTACGCCAACACGCTGTTCTTCATGCGCTCTGGCGGAGACTCTAGGCTTGGAGGATACATGCTTGCCGCTTTGACTTTTGGCGTTATGACCGCGGGCCCATCGATAATTGGCTTCATTCCTGTCATGATGGTCGGCTGTCTCATCTTCGACCTAGGGTTCGAACTACTACTGGAAGCTGTCTGGCTTCCGCGGAAGAAGCTGAAGCTGGCAGAGTTTCTGACCGTGATTGCCATCGTGCTCGTGATGGGCATTTACGACTTTGTCATTGGCATTGGTGTAGGTATTGTACTTGCCTTCGTGTCGCTCATTGTGCAGACATCGAGAGTCTCCGCAGTGCGCAGCACATTTGCCGGCGACACCGTCACGTCGACTGTGCGCCGCAATCCATCGCAGCACCACTATCTCCAGCGTGTGGGCGGGCAGATCTTCGTCATGAGACTCACTGGCTACTTGTTCTTTGGCACCATTGTCAGCGTGGAGAACAAGATTCGCAGCCTCCTCGAACACAAGGCATTCTCGGAGAAGCCAATCAAGTTTCTCGTACTTGACTTGTGGCATGTCACGGGACTGGACTACTCAGCTGGCGAGGGCTTCAACACGATCAGCCGACTCTTGGAGAAGAAGGACGTGGTCTTGGTGCTCAGTGGTGTGGAAGACGACAGCCAGCTTGGCCGAAACTTGCGCGCGGTTGGTCTTGGTACTAACGGCATCGAGGTCACGATGCTTCCAGATCTGAACTCAGCTCTCGAGAGCTGCGAGAACGAGCTGCTGAAGACCCTCTACGCGAGGCAGGCAGAAATGAACTCGACCAAACGAGTGGCAACAGCTAGCCTGGATGTTCCCAAGCAGACAGAGTCGAGCTTCTCCTCGTTCGACCCACCCTTCAACTCGCCCCGGCAGACGCATCTAGCGGAGGCTGCAAGCGACGCCATCAGGTCGGACGAAGTGCAACAGCCGCAGAAATGGCAATCCTTCAAGGAGCCGCTGCGTCTCATGCTGCAGATCTTCCAGGGTCTGAGCGACAAGAATGAGGACTTCTGGTTCCAGCTTACGCACTACTTCAAGCGCCGCGAGCTTGGCGCAGGTACAGTCTTGTTTCGCCGGGGCGAGGAAGCCAACGGCTTCTACCTCGTGGAGCGCGGCATCCTGCGGGCCGAATACGACCTGCCACAGGGGTGGCTCTGCGAGAGCATCATGCCCGGGACTACCTGCGGTGAGCTGCCCTTCTTCAGCGAGACGAATCGGACGGCGACGGCGCAGGTGGAAATGGATTGTGTGGTGTGGCAGATGGACCGGGAGGGCTGGAGAAAGCTTCAACAGGAAGAGCCCGAGGTAGCGCGGGAGTTGCTCAGAGTGTCACTCAAGTTGACGAGCGAGAGGATGAGCTCGATTACTTCGTACATACTCACTCTGGCCGGCTAGGAGGGTCAAATGTGCGGCATCAATATAGCGGTCGATTTCAGGCATGACGTCAAACATATTTATCGCACAAAGATATAATGTACCGACTTACAGAGTACCCAGGTCGTTACTCCGTGACTATGCGTTTAGTATCTTAGTCAGCATCGCCGACATGCAATGAATGTGGCGACTTTTGGCAGTCTCACGGTGCTATACAGGTAATCATTCTTTGAATCTTCACGACCACTCCGTGCACTGGACGACTAATTATCATCATTTACCCGCTCTCAAACTAGACACACTGCTCCCGCCCAAATCGTTCCCAAGAGCCTCATCACGACAGGAGCCACAGGCAGGCGCCGCTTATACAAGCAGAGCGCTGCCTTACCAGTGCCTACAGTACACCCGCCCAAGTGCCTCACAGCCATGCCATCAAGTCTCAGATCCATACTTGGAAAATCAAATCGCATCTCCAAGTCATCGCCCACCTCCAAGTCGCCATCTCAAAGTCCACAAAAAAGGTCATCACCTCAAAAACGACCCAACGCTAGGCCAAAGTCACAGAAGGAGGAAGATGACGAACTCATATCACCACTCGAAGACTGTGGCGTCACAAAGCTCCTATCGGAGCACGATCTGGTCCTGCGAGACGTTGTACAGGCAATGCGCTACATAAAGAACCACATGTTCTCCCCTGTTCCTGATCGTGGGCTCCATTCCACGAGGACAGCAGAGCTGCTGAACTTTAGGCGCTGCATCCCCGGCATAGTCACCATGGGACATTTGCACGCGGTCTTGGACTCACCCACCGGTACGGAGAGGGAGGTCATCGAGCTGATCAGCAAGGGCGTCCTGCGAAAGATACGAATCGAGAGACGAGGCGGGATGGGCGAAGCCCTCATTGAGACGGCGGACTATCACATGATGATTGAAGAATCGCCGTTGGACGAAGAACTCAAAACCATGTACAGGAAGTACCTGAAGGAGAATCCGTCTGTACAGGTCATCCCCGCCGGGAGCCTTTCGCCCTCCCACGCCGATGCCCTCATCCGCTTGGGGTTTCTGACCGGGTCCGGGCCGAGTGGTAACCCTTTCACGACCCTCTCCGTCCGCCCCGAGGATCGGACAACAGTCACCTCCATCGAGCGAATATCGAGATATGCGTCTGGGAGCGTCTCCGCGGTGGGGGGCCACATGGCCGTGCACCTCGCTGGTGGAACACCGGGGCTTTCCAGGTCCAACTCGTCCTCTTTCGGGGACTTGAGGATTGCGGTTCCCGGCAACGGGGCGTACCTGAAGCTCGCGGCTGGAGGCGTGGATTGGATCAAAGATGCGCTGGCACGGACAAAGTGGGGGGAGGCCCCTGAGAGCAACTTGAAAGACCGGTTCCATGGCGGAGGTCTCTATGGGCCGAGATGGAAGGACCTGTGGGGATTGGAGTGGGACTGGGCGTTGGGCGAGGCCATTGGGTTGGGTGTTGTCGAGATATTTGACACGGGAAGTGTTGGCAGAGGTGTCAGAGCCATTGGAGGTTGAGAGCAGTTATCGAAGCAGAAACGTCTCTATGGTAATGTGATGCCCGCCTGAGACGAGCATGAGGTTGTGTACCTATTAGTCTCGGCGCGAGACTGTCCACTGCCTCAGTGTGACGGTTATGAGAACTTCCGGTCAGAGGAGTCCTGAGGAGTCGAATGCTCACGGTGCGTCGTCCTCACTATAGGTCTAGTAAGACGTGTCGTTCATGCGTCTGCAGGAGGACTTGGTACGGTAGAAACCGGTTCTTCACGGTCCAAATCCTGATACGAATGGTCATTTGTGGCATTGTGAAGGAAGGCAATGATTGTAACACTCATTAAAGTGCTCGTTACATACCATCACAGTTGTCATGCTCGCAAACCACATCAGGAAAGGTGAGAAATGGAGGCGAGAAAATTGGAGATGGTATGGGAGCATCCGCATTTATGCAGCCTGCCGTCATCTGCATATTCCCACGCTCGCATAAGGCATTGTACATTCTGTGACTCGTGAGTTGTTATTGATGCCTTCACATCACACGGTAGCAGTGGGCAAGTGTTCGGTGCAGTCTACGGATACCTGATAAGTCAATGGCGGCGGACTCTGCAGGAGCGATGTTAATGCTGACCAACCCGCCACAAGACGAGGGCGGTGTGCAGCGCAAAGCCATTGGATCCAGGTAGATGTGAAATGTGTGACAGCGTTGGCTTCGGGCATATAGCATGGAGCACCGAGGTCCAGTTGTAACCTGTGAAGGAGATGACTAGCGTCAATGTCTGCCGCGATCAGGGCGGCCCCTGAAATCGTTGATCAAGGGCCCTCGGCGCTCATTTTTTGTGTCCTCGAATCGGCTGACGCTGTCAAGGAGCTCAGAGCCCAGGGCGACGACATACCACCAGCGAGCCTTGAACTCTGCGCAAGTCAGCTGGCGTTGGCAAACAGGAACGAACCCCCCCCCACTCCATCAACCGACAAACAGAGGCAAAGCGTGGCGGCAGGTTGCTCGAACTGAGCGCCATCGACCATTATGTATGGATAGGGGAACCCCTAGCTCAAAGATTGCAATCTGAGGTGTGAGCCCGTGTCCTGGCACCAGGGGTAATGGTTTTCAACCCCGGCAGAGAGTACTGTTGATTGAGAATTTGAGGTGGAGGCCGCGCGATTGATTGCCTTGGGAGCCAGCATCTCACCTTTGAGTGCCCAGGTTAGCACTCACATTCAACAACAACAACAACAACAATACAACGACTCGACTATGGCACAGCCAAAAAAAAAAAAAAAGCACAGCTGCCGATGAGATGGACGTTCAGAAGAAGCACTCGGTAGATGTCTTAGATGAGGACTGGACGCGAAGGCTCAGCTCGCCAGGCGCAGTGGGGGTTCTTTCCCCAGCTCCACTGCTGCTCCAGGGGTTGGGTGCCTAATACCACAGTATTGGCCCAACTGATGGGCACGCCACTGCTGTTGGTCGCACATGCTCATTTTGCGTGCAGCTGGCCTGGCTTATGTCTTCACACGAATACGTACGTGTGGTTTTTGAAAGCCTGGTACCATCAATTTCCAGTATCCTCGCGAGGCCCCCGTAAAACTAGGCTGTTTTTGCGACTGCTCGCTGTTGTCTTCCGGCCATCGTCACCCGATTATCATCAAGGGCCGATGGCCAGGCACTAACGGAGTAACGAACAGCATCGTGGAGTAGTCGCACTGGGCCCTTCCAGTCTCGCAAGGAAAGCAGCCAATCAGAGACGATTTTAATCTTGGCTGCACACTGTAATTACGGTAATTACAGCGCCGTTTCCTTATTGTAAGGGTCAACGTCCTTAGGTCATGTCGATACACCCCACCGTTCCTGGCCTGGCCCGGCCCCTGGCGCAGTGGCGCAACGGTGATGACTGGAGTCCAGCACTCCAGCGTCCATATCGCCCATCTGCTTCCAATCCACTTCATGTCCATCTGTCAATCCGATGCTGTTTATGTGGTGGTGATTGAGGTTCCTAACTTCTCATACCCCGGACACGTCGGCAAATTTCCTCTTCGTCTTGTCCCTCGATCGCCTCCTTGTCGAGCAACAGTCGATAATCGGAGTGTCTCACGCGTTCGTTCAGTATCACAATTCGCAAAACCCTTATTCCGATCGCGCTACGGGGTCAATAGCCACTCTCCTACATGTACGGAACCTGAACAAACGTCAATCCGCCCCCTCCTGCCTTGGCTGTCTGTCTCTAAACTCCCAGCCTGCAGCCTGCGACAAGTCAACGCCGGGTTACGACGCGAAAGATCCCACATTCCTTTGATTTCTTCTGACCTGTTCACCACGTCGACGACACTACACAGTCCGGTCCTGTTGGTGTCAGATACCATCACGAGACACCAAGAAAAACTGAGCGAAACTACGGCAACTGCGACGACCACGCCATCCTCCCAATGCACATCTTTAGCGTGTTTCTTTGATCGCCTAGCCAAAGGAGAATACTAGGGCAACGACGCCAGCCGCTATTAGTGCCTAGCTCAGGTACTAACTAGGCTGAAGATCTCCCATCGACGTCTCAAAGGGGCTTTTGCCCGTCGTTCGCTGTTCTCCCATATCCCTCATTGTTCCCCCAAGGGGTTCAACTGTGAAGTCTTGTTCGCGCTCCAGTTACCGCTGAACAACCCTCTCACTTTTTGGTACGTGCTTCCGGTCCGCTCGCCCTCAGATCCGAGACACCATTGGCCGTGACCTTTTGGCGCTCCCTCCATCTGACAACATCCACCAGAAGACATTACCAGGAGGCTCCCTTCAAGCAAAAGTTCTTGCGTCACTCTTTTGCTTTACCGTTGCGCCTGCCCTCTTGAAATATTCGACGATTCGAACGAACTGGACCACAACCTCCGCGAGACGTACATCAGATGCCTCCCACTTGACGAGAATTCGCGCGGAATTCCAAGGGTGATACGACGCCGTACCACCGAAGTGATGCACGACATGGCAACGACGCTCCCCAGACCCTCACGACCGTCCAATGGGCCTCCGAACATGGCCCTCCCAGCTCTACCCAGGAGCAAGTCTCGCAAGAGCACCGGCAATATCCCAACACCGAGCTCGAGATCGGCCCCTGGCACACCAAGCGGCTTGCGGGCTCCTTCGACTTCGCATCTGCCTCCTCCACCCAGTCCCTCGCCTCTGTCAGGCCTACCTCAGGTGCCGAAATCTACCTCGACACAACTGAACCCAACAACCCCCAGAACAGTCCGAAAAACAGTCAGCATCAACTCCTTCCCGCAACCCCCTAGGGGAGGAAATGGGAATGTTCCCCCAAGTCCGCTGGGCACCGAAAAACCTCCCCGAACAGCGCGAAAGTCCAAGTCGTCCAAGGAAGGCCTGAACCACAGCTTCAACTCGGGCACGCCGAGCTTTTTGAATGGCAGCGGGGAGGGCAAGGCCATCACCAGCTTGCGCATGTCAGATGGGCTGGTCAGTGTTGGCTCGGAAACACAGAGTAGGAGTTCTTCAGCGCAAGACTCGTACTCGACATCCGCGACAACGTATGACGACCCAGCAGATGGCCCTTCGCGGCCCGACGCAACAGCCGAGAAGCGCATATCGAAGCCCGATGGCAAAGGCAATGTGCTCGTCAGTGTACGTGTGCGACCGACCGCCAGCGGCGACGGCAACCCAGAGGGCGAGTGGATGGTGGACGGACGCCGATCGCTCATTGCGTACAACGGGAAGGAGGGCGGAAACCACTACTATGGTAAGTAGGCATCCTTGTCCACAATGATTCCATGGAACCAACTCTGACACCTCACAGATAACGTATTCACAACACATGACAACAATTCGCGAGTGTACGACCACATCGCTAAGCGACTTGTACGAAGGGTCATGGAGGGGTATCATGGCACAGTCTTCGCGTATGGAATGACGGGCACTGGCAAGACGTTCTCGATGCAGGGAACCGCCTCGTCGCCTGGCGTGATCCCTCTCGCCATCACCGACATCTTCTCCTACATCCGCGAAACGCCCTCCCGCGAATTCCTCCTCCGCGTCAGCTACTTGGAAATCTACAACGAGAAGATCCACGACCTTCTCAGCATGCCCACCGGCAACGGTGTCGGGGGCGGATCCCAGGCGGAGGAGATCAAGCTGCGAGAGGACAGCAAACGGGGCGTTTACGCTACACCTCTGAAAGAAGAGATTGTCCAAAGTCCGACGCAGCTCCTCCGCGTGATTGCACGTGGAGATCAAGCGCGACGGACAGCCAGCACACAATTCAACGCGAGGAGTTCGCGCAGTCACGCTGTGGTGCAGATCGTCGTGGAAAGCCGTGAACGGACACCGGCCGGCGCTGCCAGCGCAGAAAACGGGGGCGGCGGCGGCAGCAAGCGTTCCGGACTGTTGCCCGGCGGCGTGCGTGTCTCGACGTTGAGTCTGATCGATTTGGCCGGTTCGGAAAAGGCTGCCGAATCCAAGGAGCGACGGCAAGAAGGTGCCCACATCAACAAGAGCTTGCTGACGCTCGGCACGGTCATCTCGAAACTCTCGCTGTCCAAGGAAAAGGAGGGCAAAGGGGGAGGGGACAAGGATGGCGGCAGTCATTTGCCGTACCGCGACAGCAAGCTAACCCGACTGCTCCAAGGGGCCCTGTCCGGCGGCTCGTTGATCAGTATCCTCTGTACGATCCAGGTCGGCTCGCAAGGCACCGCGGCCACCGTCAACAGCCACACGACGGAGACGCTGAGCACTCTAAAGTTTGCATCCAGGGCCAAGAATAACATCATCAGCCATGCGAAGAAGGCGGAGGAGTCCCTCGGTGCTGGCGGCGAGGGCGGTGCGCGCGTCCTCCTAGAGCGCTATCGGTTGGAGATTGTCGAGCTGAGGCAGCAGCTCGAGTCGCAGGCGAAGAAGAAGAAAAAGAAGAAGGGGAAGGAGGGGGAGGATGAGGAGAAGAAGGAAGAGGCGGGCAGCGAAGAGGAAGACAGTGCGAGAGAACGCGAGGACGAGAAGGCCAAGGAGTCGCAGATGGCAGAACGCCACGAGGAGCAGCTCCTGGAGATGCAGCTCGCGAGGACGGCGCTCAAAGAAAGGATCGACCACCTCAACCGTCTGATCCTCAGCTCCAAGTCGGTCGGGGTCAACGGCTCCATAAGCTCGCTCGGCCAGCACGCCAGGTTCTCGCAAATCTCCTTGACCGGGTCCATGCGGTCCTCGGTGGCGACCTCTGTGGGAAGCAGGCCCTTCCTCGAACGGACGGCATCCATGACCTCTGCGTCCTCGACGATTGGCCGTCGTTCTAGCAACGGTGGGCCGCAACTCCCCGGCGCCGACGGCGAACAGCCTGTGGACACGGAAGACGACAGCGTGGGCGACTTTGCGGATGGGACGGCATCACTGGCTGCGCAGAACCAAGCCCTGCAAGCCGATCTGCTCGACAAGAACCGGTACATTGCGACGCTGGAGAAACGGCTGTTGCAAGCTAGGCGCGCCAGTTCGTCGAGGGCCTCCATTGGCATCGGAGCATCCAACAAGGGCATCATGGTTGGGGAGGACCACAGCGTCTCGGCAGCGCTCAAGGAGAAGGACGTGGAGATTGCGGATCTCCGTGCCAGGCTCGACGACAAGGACCGTATGTTGACGGCGCTGCGCAGCGCGGCCCGGTCCCGTGACACGGCCGAGAGCAGGACGGAGATGCGGTCGCCGGTGCACTCGATCAAGTCGGGACGGCAGTCTCTTGATGTACCACGACCGTCGGAGGATCTCGCCATTGACGTGCATGGATCGCCGACGCAAGGGGAGCGACGGCCGAGGAAGAGCGTGGACGAAGTGACGTCGATGCTTGACGAGATGATCCAAGACCGAGTGGAGGGGGGATACATTGTCAAGGGCAACAGGGGCAGCGTCCGTCTGCCGACGAGCCAGCGGATGAGCAACCTGGCGGAGCCCTTTCAGGATGTCGAGCCCCTGCGACAGACGCCGACGCCGATGGGCGACAGGAGTCGAACACCAGTGCCTGCGGACCACTGATGACGGGGCACTGGAGAGAGAGAGCATTGGAGCCGCTATGCTGCCAAGTGAAAGCAAGCAAGCAGACGGGCGTTACGGTTGCTTTTCTGGACGGGCTGCTCGCCCACTTTGTAGGTGCTGCTTTGCGTTTATACCCGGTGTCGTTAGCATTCTTGTGTTTACCTTTTCTTCTTTCTTCCCGTTCGAGGGCCTCGACTTGTTTGCGAAACGGGTACGTGCGTGGGCTTGGATGAGCTTGCTGTTTGCCTCGAGGCCCTGCATGGTTGTGTTTGCGTTGCTCGGATCAGAAGTGCCTGGGGTGGGTGGTTGGTTGACGAAGCGATGCCGGATGTGGGATTAATTGACTATGAGTATTGTTTGCGCCCAGCAACACCGGCTGTGGTCTACTACGGAAAACTAGCTAACTTGAGGCTTCGTCTCCATGTCCCGTGTCATCCGTGAGCATCATGCGAGGAGGCAGGCTTATCACCAGTCCAATGAGAGAGACCTGGACCTCGCGAGGCAAGGCACGCATGAAAGCGTTGCTTCTACGTAAGCACTGCACGAGTAATTGACACTCGGCAACACTCGAGTACCTCTACATTCGCCATGAACCCATCAATTACATCATGCCTCGTGTCGTGTCTGTGCGGACCAAAAGGCCGAGCCGGGGCCAGGCAAACAATGTATGTCGATCTCCATACCGTAGCCGGGAAGTCAGTGACGCACGAGACAAGTCCCCGTCAATGGTGGACTACGTGTAATTTGGACTTGGCTTGCGAGCCAGACTGTCGAGTCTCGGGCTTTGCGCGTTTCGAGGACCCTTGGGGAGACGATGAAAAAGGGGCAGGACAAGACGTGAAGCTAGCGGATGATTGGACGGGAGAGGCGTCGCCAATCCGTGGTGAAACAGCCGGCGCTCGGGGGGCTCCAGTCGCCGGGATCTAGGGCGCGATGTATCTTTTGTGCCTGAATAAGCGCCAAGGTACCTGCCGGTTTTATGCTCTGACCAGTCGCGCGCGCGGATCTCCCCTCGATTCTAGCGCTCCGGGCCCAGCCTCTGGGCCGGCTAACCCGCTTCGAGGGGTTTCATGGCTCTGATCTTGTCAGGGACAATATAACGATGGACATTGGACCTTTTTGTGGCGAGTCGTCTTTCTGCCTCGGCTTTTGTTTACACGGGAAGTAATGTATTGTCCCTCTGGCAGTTGCATTATTCACTCCTCCAGTTCAATCGTTCTACTTACCTCTTGTTGGCTGGACACCGCGTCCGTCTGTGGCATCACCACTCGCTGCTGCTGCTCGGTGTTGCGTCTTGCCCACCTGCTGAAACAAGCACTGGACTCTTTTGCTGCTGACCAGAGACATGCGGGGTGACTGGGCGAGTCAGAAGGGATTGATCGATGGAGAGTGGTGATCCCTGGCGCGTGTTTCCGATGAGCAGCAAGCAAGCAAGCAAACAAGCACCACCTTGACCTTGGCACTGTCCCTAGCCCGAGGGCTGCGATATCGAGAGGCAATCTTTTTTTTTCCCCCTTGGCCTCCTCCCTTTTCTGTTTTTTCCCCCAAGCCCCAGGCTTCATTTCCATCTGTGCACAATTCACTTCTCTTCCGTTCCTTCTGCCTGTTTTATCCGGGGCTGCTCTGTTCACAAAGCTGTGCTGAACCAAAACCCTGGAGACCATCATATTCACATGCGTCCGACCTCCTACTCTGGACATTGATCGAGCGTCTACTATTCGACTGGGAACGGAACTTTGCTATTGACGACAAATTCTTTTCATACGACCACTGGCCTGGCGCCATATTCTGAAGCTTCCACCTCAGCACCTCTCAACAAATTCCGACCAAGAAACAGCTCTCATCACAAGGCCACAACAATCATGCCTCCTCGCCTCGATCTCAACGACTCGAACCACAGGCTGGTGGTGCCGCCATCCCGCATCAACCTCCGCCGCGCCAAGTCGTACAACGCGCAGGAAAAAGGCCCTCTGTCCGCCACGACCTCTCGCTTCAACTTCAACCATCTCCTCTTCTCGCCACCCCCGTCGCCCAGTCTCCCTTCGCTGATCCCCCAGAAGCCGAAGCGGACGGGCAGCGACCTCCTGCTCAAGTCGAGACCCAGCCGTGTCTTTCGATGGGGCCTCCTGGCGACCCTGCTGGGGGCCATGACCTACGTTGTCAGCATGTGTGTGAGGCACCAAGAGGGCATCCAGCAGGCCATGTGGCCCTACTTTGAGCAGCAGGAATACGAAATGGTCGGGCAGGATGCGTTGCCCGACTTCCCCACGCCCATTGTGCTCCGCGACACACGAGGCAGGTCAAAGTGGACCGTGTCCATACCGCCAGACTACGACTTTCCCCTGTCGACGGAGGAGTATGCGTCCATGACGGGGCAGTGTCGTGAAGTCGCCGCGCGGACGCGGGACATTACCGCCACAGCGGACACCTTTTCCCAAGTCTACGACACCGAGGACAAGTACTACGTCGACGTCTCCAAGGCAGAGAAGCTGGGTCTGCTGGACCACGGGCCGAAGCACGTGGAGCCCAGGAAGCAAAAGGGGCATTTCGTCGGTCTCACGCACAGGAACGTGGCTGGGCGGCCGGTGTGCGAGTCCTCCATGACCTACGTCCTGGAGAGCACCGACGCCGGCATGGGCAACAACCTCATGATGCTGTGGACATTTTACGGCCTGGCCAAGGAGCAAGGACGGGCCTTCTTCATCGACGACTCGCGGTGGGCGTACGGAGACTGGACAGAGGTCTTTGAGGCCCCTCCGCTGCCAGACTGCCGCCCCCCGCCACGCCATCACATTGTGCCCTGCCCGTTCCACGCGCGGCACCTGGTCGTCTCGGGCTCGACGGCCAAGGACATGTTCCCCTCCCTGCTCGCCAAGCACCATCGCAGGGCCGGCAGCGAGGACAAGGTCCAGGATCTCTGGAAGCTGGCGAGGGAGGGCTACCAGGACCTCTTCAAGCTCACGGCGGACGACGCCAAGTACGTGACCAAGCGGATCCGCGAGCTCAAGGTCCGCTCGCAAAAGGGCATCACGGCGCCCGACGCGCCCATCATCGGCCTGCACGTCCGGCGGGGCGACCGCCACCCGCTCGAGTACCAGTACAGCGAGACGTACATCCCCGCCGAGGTTTTCCACGCGAGCGCGCGGCAGATGGCCGCGGCCCACGCCGACGCGGCGCGGTACCAGACCGAGGCGCACTGGCGACGCAACGAGCCGATCCTCCTGCTCGCCTCGGACGACCCCATGGTGCACCTCGAGTCGGACTTCAGCGCGGCCGTGCTGTCGCAGGAGCGGATCCGGCTGGCGTCCAAGGACGCCATCCAGCAGCAGGCCGGGGAGCCCAAGCAGGAACCGCGGTTCCTCCACCGGTTCATCGACGAGGCCTTTGGCTGGGAGGGCGGGTTCTACGCGCCCATGTTCTGGAACCTGGGCGTGAGCCGCAAGAACAACGCGGCCAACGCACCCGAGGGCGTCGACGTGGGGGGCGCGGTCAACGAGGAGGCCCGCCTCCTGGCGCCGCCGTCGGCGCAGACGATTCAGCTGCGCAGCCTGATTGGGCGCGCGTACATGATGGACCTGGCCGTGCTGGCGGGTGCGAGCGACGGCGTCGTCTGCGCGGTGAGTGCCATGGGCTGCCGGCTGCTGGGCGTGATGATGGAGTGGGACAAGGGCGTGGGCGGCGCGGGATGGGTGAATGTCGACGGGACCTACGGATGGATGGGCATTGACTGGTGAGGGGACTGTTCTTGGAAAGGTGACACTCTTTTGCATTTTCTCGTGAGCATTTATAGCGTTTGGGGTTCCTCTTGGGCTTGTCTTGGCGTTTTGGGTGATCTGCGTCTGCCATACGGCGGAGTTGGGCGAGCCATGCATGGGCCGGCAGGATATATCAATACCATGCTGATATTTCGCATACTTGCCACCTTGAAGCTCTTCGGAAGTAAAAGATGATCGCCTACGGAACAATGTGAGAACTCGTGTCGAGACTATTCGTATCTACCTGGTAGGTATTGTATACTTTGTATTCTCATGGACGCCCGACGCTGGCAGCATCATGGATGGGTGAATGGAGGGATGGATAAGTAAGTGGGTCCATGAAGCGCGTCTTCCGTGACACTCGGAAGCTTCAACTCGCTTCTCGCTTCCTTCCATCCTCCACATCCATCATCACCCACCCACTCTCTAATCTGTAAAGCCAGCGCCATGTCGGATCCCTCGCAAGGCGCGCCCGCCAAGCCGCGCCTGAAGCTCAACGTCTCGCGCTCCGGCTCCTTTGTCACCGACCCAGCAGCCTCGACACCCGCCGTCGCAACACCCTCTGGCGACGGCACCCGCAAGGTCAAGCTCAAGGTCACCTCCTCTCAACCTCCCACGCCCGCCGCTGTCGCTGCCCCCGCCGCGCAGCCCGATCTCCCTCCGCCTCCGCCTCCGCCTCCAGCCAAGACCAAGGCGGGCCGGCAACCCAAGCCGACGCAGAAGCTCGTGGATAGCAAGAAGCGACCCCACAACGACGACGACGACGACGACGACGACGACGACGACGACGATGATGACGACGCCCCCATGGCCCACCACGCCAGCACGAAGATCAAGATACGACACACGCCCAAGAGCACGCCACGCGGGGGACCGACACAGCTCGTCGTCAGGCCCAGAGGGCGTGCGCCCCCTCGACCACCAGGCGATGGCTACGACTCCGAGGCGAGCGACCGCGAGCTCGACCCCCACATTGAAGAGCAGATTGTCCTCCGCATGCTGCCCGGCGAGCACTGCGACTACATCCGGTGGTGCATGGAGAACGGCAAGATGGGCATCCCCCGCGCCAGCGGCGGCGCCGACATCCAGATGAAGTTCTTTGAGGAGGAGACGCGTCGGGCCATGATCACGGTCAAGGGCCAGCCGTACGCCGCCGTCCTGGTCGACCTGCCGACCATCACCGAGGCCATGAAGAGCTGGGATCGCAAGAACTTTCTCAAGTCGGCCGACATTTGCCAGATGATCTACGTCTACGCCGCCGTCGCCAACGAGGAGGAGGCCCGGACGTGCGCGCTCCCCGCCCTCGTGACCGAGCAAAAGTTCAAGTGGCCCCATGGCCTGACGCCGCCCATGCACGACTGCGTCCACCGCCGCTTCGCCAAGATGGTGTCGCGCGAGCAGATTGAGGACAAGGAGGCCTACGTCAGCCGCCTCATGGCCGAGGACGCCAAGGCCAAGAAGATCTCGTACGAGTACGTCGACGTCGACGATCTCGCCTCGGGCGACGAGGACGAGGATGAGGACATGGACGCCGAGGGCGAGGTCGACGACTCCATGGGCTACTTCAACCAGCCCATGGGCGGTGTCTTTGGCGGCGACGAGGACGACAATGGCGATCTCGAGGCCGACCTCGAAGCGGCCTTTGCCAATGAGGACCTCGCGGCCGACACGCCCGCCACGGGGGCCGAGGGCATCACCCCGATGCCGGCCACCCAGATCGACACGCCCGGCAGTGCCATGGGCCCCCATGCCGTGCAGCAGTCCATCGAGGATGGCGAGTCTGAAGAGGACGCCGATGACGACGACGACGACGACGATGACGATGATGATATGGACGATGATGAGCGCGCCGAGCGGGACGAGCTCGAGGGCGTCAAGGACATCATCGCCGACATGAACAAGCAGCTGGCGGCCAAGCAGGCCGACTTGGAGAAGCAGACGAACGCCATCCTCCGGCAGAGGCTGCAGAAGCAGATTGGCCAGCTCAAGTCCGAGATTGAGCTCAAAATGTCGTCCATCGGCATGGAGGCGGATGAGTAAGTAGGTGGGTGGTTGTTTTACTTGATACCCGGGAGACACTCTGGATTGCATTGCACAAGGCGTTGGGGAACACACAAGGGCGCATTTTTTTGGGCGTTGGTCGGGCTTGAGTGACGGGAGAATTATTGAACATTCTTTAGAAAGCAAATTGAGGCCCTTGAAATTACTAGTATGTTCAAGTGCGCCGGCCAATGTCACCAAACCAGTCCACATCATGCCCTTGTCCATCTGCAGAGAATACCGTCAACAACAAGGATGTGTGCTCAGCCCTGATACTTCTCCAGGTATCTGATCATCCACCCCCGCTGCTCGCCCGCCATCTCCTGGATCGTGTCCTTGACGTCCTCCCAGACACCGCCCTCGCACGCCTCCTCGAGGGTGCTCGGCTGCGACTTGCTCCGCGCGCCCAGGCGACCCTCGATCCTCTTCCTCAGGATCTTCTGCAGGTGCACCGCAAAGTGCTTGTCCCGCTTCGCCTGCTGACGGAGGTACTTGGCGAGGAAAAAGTGCTCCTTGAGGGCCGTGTTCTTGTGGTCGTGGTTCCAGCGCTTCGTCGACGCAATCGCCTCCTCCAGCCGCCTCTCCGCTTGGCCACTGTCCCCGGACCGGACCGAGAGTCGGGGACTCTTCCGCCGGAGCACCCGTCGGGACTCGTTGGCACCCGTCGGGGACGGCTCCTGCTCGGCTTGCGGGTTGTGCTGCGTCAGGTACCCAAACTCCCGCAGCTCCTTCTCGACCGTCTCCTTGGAGGGCAGATACTCGGCTCGTCCGTGCATGTCCTCCATGATCACACGGATGGCGCTCATCTCCCCCTCAAAGTCCTTGACGTACGTGTCCGTCATCTTCTGCAGGTCCTCCAGCGTGACACCATTGTTCCTCTGGCCCGTGGCCAGCTTCTTCACCTGCTCGTCCACGGCGCTGATCTCCTTGAACAGGGCGGCCATGCGGCTCTCAAATTTATCTCGGAACGCTGTATTGTCGGCCGTGGCGTCGATGAGCTGGCGGACGTGTGTGAGGATGTCGGCATTCTGAAGGGCAAGACGGCGGATGTTGAGCTCAAGAGTGAGCTTGGCCAATGCGTCTGCGCGCGCGACGAGGTTAAGATCTCGCGGAGGCTCGGTTGCCTGTGTCTGGGTGGCAGTGGCAGTGGCAGTGGGCGTGGTTGGGTCACTGGCAGTCTGATTCTGGCCCTGACCTGAAGGGCCATCAACGACGGATTTATCGGGCATTGTACGGGATGCTCTGCTTAAACAGGGTGCCGGCGTCGCGAGAGTCCGTATAGATTGCTGGCCGGGAATGGGACGAAGTGAGAGAGCTACAGTGGTCCAGTCGATGATGGGGACGAGTAGAGGACGATGGACAGCGATGCAAGTGACAGGACACTGCACATCAATTACAGGTACCCCCGTACCAGGGAAGTCGTATTAGACTGAGTACCTGCCGTAGACCTGTACGCAGTGCCATGCTCTTTCCCCATTGTCAGGGGGCCATTTCAAGCTGTACCGTGAGGGGGAAGGAGCGACAGACCATGGATACCACCAAAGTAACGGTTGAAGCGGCCATCTGACCGCTAGCAGACAGGACTGTCCAAGGTGACATTCACTGCAGCAAGTCTTCCATCTCGGCCAGACACCTATCAATCATCATATCCCGGGCACGGTACCGCCCGTGGACCTCAGACCGCCGCTCGGAGGTGCCCCCTCAGACGCGCCGTTTCGCTGGGTATCAATCCACGAGAGGAACATGCCCACGTCCTTGGCCACCTCCTTTGGCATCGCCATCTTCTGCAGCCACACGGGGAGGAAGCCCTCCGCATCCGACGCCGTGCCCATGATCCATTCGATCCCCTCGTCCGTCTCTCGCACCCGCTCGATGCTCGTGTACTTGGCCCGCACGGCCGCGCCGTCCGCCTTGTACTCGCGGCTCACGTCGACGTGATCCACGACGTCGCCCGCGTTGATCTGGACCACCAGAAACTCCCGATGGTCCCCGCCCACGAGGGACGTCGTCGCCTGCAGCACGGGGAACACGCGCTTCGCCAGGGGCGACGGGAGCTTGTGCGCCGACTCCTCCATCTTCAGCGTCCAATCCCCCCACATGTCGCCGTCACGCTCGACCTGCACGCCCTGACAGTCCCACTCCCGGATCACGCGCGTGCTCACGACGGTGGGCGTGAACGCCTTCTCCGCCTCTGCGTGGGCGACCTTGAAGCACTTGACCCATTCGTCCCACCGGGCCGTGCCGCGCTTCGCCGCGTTCTCGTGCACACTCCTCCGCAGAAACCAGCTCTCCGGGTGCAACTTGCCCAGCGAGACAGCCTCCTGTAGCTCGGGGACGTGGTAGTCCCGCAGAATCGCCTGCAGCGCGGCGGTGGAGACGTCCCGCGAGTACAGATAGACGGGCGAGGCCGCCGCGCCAAATGTCCTATGGCCCTTGGACGTCCACGATGAAGTGTATGGGTTCTGCTTGGTGGACGCCACGTCGTCGATAAAGGGCAACGCCTCGTTGATGATCGACGTGAGGAACGGCATGAGCTCAGAGGACGAGGCTGTGGTGCTCGGGAGCAGGGAGGGCTGGATGCCCCAGAGGCGGACCAGCGGGCCAAAGTGTTCGGTCATGGCGGTCTATGATCGATGGCTTTTTGAAATGTTTGCGGAACGGAGGATGACAGATTCAGTGAGCTCTGCTTTACGGGAGCTGGATTTGCTCCGGCTGTCTCCGTTGTACATATATACCGCTTGATGTGTCCCACCCGTGGCGTGATAAGCACGTCTCTCAGGAGTAGGAGTAGTCTCTCTGTCATCATGTGCAAGACGACATGATCGATATCGTCATAATGTCGCTTTTGGGTTCATGTCGACTGAGTGAGACACGAGCGAGGTTGGGATGGGTGTCCGAAAGGGGATAAGACTCTCGCATGCCTCTAGCTAGTTGCTAAACTTAGCACCTTGTGGCCTAGCTACCCGACCCTCCCTAAAAGCCGAGGCTCCTCCATGAGCGTGCACATCTATTCAGTACGTATGGTAGAACTGAGCATTAAGCATTATGATCATCTATACGGCATCATCCTCGTAGCGCCTCTAATATGATGTGCGCCGAGCTCCCGAGTGCGTTATATACAGAATTTTCTCATTCTCGTCATCCCCAGCTGAATCAATCCCGGCGCTCCCAGCGGATGAAGGCCGGCTCCAGCGGCCTCGAGAAGAGCGACTGGTAGTCGGTGCCGACCAGGTTCCGGCTGCGGTCAACGTTGCTCAGCTTAAACAGACGCACCGTCTCGGCGATGATGGTCTGGAGCTGGAGGTTGGCAAACTGCTCGCCGATGCAGCGGTGGCGGCCGGCGCCAAAGGGCAGGTAGGGTGACGCGGCGCCCTTGCTGACGGCACCGTAGCCATAGTCAATCTTCTCCTCGACCTCGACGCTGGCGTCGTTGCGCACAATCGTCGGGGCGTTGGGCGAGTCGGCCTCCCAGCGGTGGCAGTCCCACACCTCGGGGTTGGGGAAGTAGGCGGGATCGGAGGCACTGACGCCGGGGGCGGACAGCAGGCTGTGCGTCGTCGGGATGACATAGTTGGTGCCGGGGACGGGCATGGGCGACTTGACGGCACGGAGGATGGAGTGGATGGGGGCGTGGAGGCGCAGCGTCTCCTTGACGACGTGCTGGTTGAGCGGGAGCTTGGCCAGGTCCTCGTAGGTGAGGTCGGGGAGGTCGGCGCCGAGGTTCTTGACCTGCTCCTGGTACAGCTCTTCGCAGATCTCGGGGTTCTGGGCCAGGCGCAGCATGATCCAAGAGCTGGTGGAGGAGGACGAGTGCTGGCCAGCCATGAGCAGGGCGATGAGCATGTGCGCCGTCTCGTGGTCGGGCACCGGGGTGCCGTCCTTGTAGGTCGAGTTCATCAGGTGCTTCATCATGTCGAATTCGGTGCCGTCGTCACCCTTGGCGCGGCGCTCCTTGATAATGTCCATGTAGATCTTGGCAATGGTGCGCTGCGCATGGTCGCGCTTTCTGTTCCAGGGGAGAGGGGCCCAGTGCAGCATGAAGTTGATGGGGTTGAAGCCCATGTCGAGATCGTGGTACAGCGAGGCGAGGGATTCGTCGAAGCGGTCGCGCACATTCTTGCCCTGCAGGGCGTGCGAGGCGGTGAATATGGTGATCTCGGCCATGTGCTTGGGGATGTTGACCATGCCCGACTCGCCCTTGAAAGCAGCATTCTTCTTGAAGTAGTTCTTGACCTCGCCCGAGATGATGGGCACGTAGGAGCGGAAGGCTTCGGTGGTGAGCGCGATCTTCATGAACTGGATGCTGTCAGCAGGGGGCGCGTGCGAAGGGTGCCAGGCGGGTCTCCTCATACCTTCTTCTGCTCCATGAGCTTGGCGTTGGGGCAGTCGTAGACCACATCGCGACCAAAGACGGGGGTGGTCAGGGGGGTGTAGACCTCCTCGGCGTTGACGTCCTTGAGCTTTCCGTTGAGGATGAAGTCGTTGCCGGCGGGACCCACGGCCACCGTCGTCTTCTTGCCGAGCAGGATGAAGGTGAAGACGTCGCCATGCTGTCGCGTGCCTCGTCAGCGCCTGTCGGGCATGGCCAGCCAGGGGTCCGATGGGGAGTGCATACCTTCTCGCGGTTGGTTCTGAAGAATGTGGGCGGGTCCATGCCATACGTGACAGTGCTCCCGATGAAGGGGAAGATGGAAAACACCATGGGAGGCTCATTCGGGTTCTTGAAGAGCAACTGCTTCGCAATGTGGACAGCCACGGACAGCGCAATCACCCCACCAAGAACCAGGGCAATCTGCGTCGCCATGCCGAATGCCTGGAACTGTTGGGCCACGGGATGCGTGGCGACATCTTGTAAAAGCCCCATTGTGAAGTTTGGCGCGTCGTCGTCGTTGAGGGCGAGGATGCGTCGTTGCAGAGTCAAAGGGTCGTCGTGGACTCGTGGTTTTGTTATACGGAGTAGACCAAGAAAGAAAGGGGAGACTGGAGTCGGACCCTTGCAGATGGTCCGATACTTTTTTCGATGGAAATTGCTCTGGTTCGACAGGGGACTGGCACTGCACTGTACTGCACTGCAGAGGGCGGTGCGGGCCCTCGAATGCCGTGGATCGCAGGTCTTTGCCAATCACAGCCTCGGGATTTCGGTGCCTTGATTGCGAGAGGCCACCGTATTCGTATTCGCATACAGTGCACGAATACGCGCTCTAAGTACTCTAACATTTAGCATATTCACATGGGAACTGTACACTAGAGTTGCCAAACAAGAATCCGTCACTGAACCACGCGGGAAACCCATGACTGGCATAGTATAGACGTTGATCCTTATCAAGCTTCAATCACGTACTCTATATCCGTACGGAATGCCTCGTCCCGTCGCTATATCCTCTTCCCAGGCGCAGACGTTTCTTCCCTCGTTCGCCATACCCAGGTGAACCCAACTCCAAAATCATACGCTCGCAAACTCAATGGTGGAAGAGACGGATGTTCTGCTCCACAAAAGTGATGCCCAGCTTCTCCGCCGTCTCAAACACGGCAGCGTCGTTCTGGCTGCCACCCGGCGCGGCAATGTACTTGACGCCCGAGCGGGCGGCGCGGAAGACATTGTCGATGAATGGGAACTGCCCGTGTTAGAATGTGGCTGGACAGGAACAAGGGAAAAACTTACGAAAGCATCGCTGGACACCGCCACGTCCTTGAGCTCCTTCATCCAAGCCTCGCGCTCCTCGTCGGTGAAGGCAGCGGGGACCTCCTCAAAGACACCCTCAAAGGCCTCGCGCTCAGGGCCGTCCTTGGGGAGCTGACCGCTCACGAGCAGATCAATAGCGTTGCTCTTGTCCGGGCGCTTGGTACCCTTCTTCCACTTGATGCCCAGCACCCGCGAGTGGAAGCGCATCCACCAGTTGTCAGCCTTGTCGCCGGCCAGGCGGGTGCAGTGGATGCGGCTCTGCTGGCCGGCCCCGAGACCGACGACCTGGCCGTTGACGGCGTAGCAGACCGAGTTGCTCTGCGTGTACTTTAGGGTGATCGTGGCGACGGACAGGTCGCGGGCCGCCGACTCGGACAGAGCACCCGCGTCCTTGGGGGTGATGATGGTCTTGAACGACTTGGGCGCGATCAGGTAGTCGTTGCGGTGCTGTTGGAGGTTGATGCCGTAAACGGTCCGGGTCTCCGTGGGGCCCGGGGTGTACTCCTCGTCGATCTGCAGTACCAGGTACCGGCCGCCCTTCTTCTTCCTCAGGATCTCCAGCGCGGCGTCCTCGTAGCCGGGGGCGATGACACCGTCCGAGACCTCCTTGGAGATGATGCTCGCGGTGGGCACGTCGACCACGTCAGAGAGGGCGATGATGTCGCCAAAGGAGCTCATGCGGTCGGCGCCACGGGCGCGCGCGTAGGCCTGGGCGAGAGCCGACGTCTCAATGCCCTCAATGTCGTTGACGAAGTACACCTTGCGCTCATCCTCGCTGAGGGGCGTGCCAATGGCAGCACCGGCGGGCGAGACGTGCTTGAAGCTGGCCGCGGCGGGGAGACCGAGCGCCTGCTTGAGCTCCTTCACCAGAGGCCAGGCATTCAGCGCATCGAGCAGATTGATGTAGCCCGGGGAGCCCCCCAGGACCTTGAAGGGCAGCTTGCCCTCGGTGGTGTACGCAGCGGCGGGTTTTTGGTGGGGGTTCGCGCCGTAACGCAGGGCCATGTACTGGTCACCTCCGGAGGCATACTCCCTGCGGAAGTAGTCGGAGATGGCCGTGTCGTAGTCTGCCGTGTGCTCGAATGCCTTGAGGGCGTAGCGGTTGCGGCTCTCCTCGGTGATCTCGCCCTTTTCCAACTCGGACAGGAAGCCGGCGTAGTCGTTGGGGTCGGAGAGGATGGTTACGCGCTTGTGGTTCTTCGCGGCCGCACGGATCAGGGTCACGCCACCAATGTCAATCTCCTCGACAGCCTCGGGGACGCTGACGTTGGGCTTGGCCACGGTGTCCTTGAAGGGGTAAAGGTTGCAGATGACATAGTCCACCTTGTTGATATTCTGCTCGGCGAGGTCCTTCTCGTCGGACGCGAGGTTGCGGGCAAGGATGCCGGCGTGGACGGCGGGGTGCAGGGTCTTGACGCGGCCCGCCAGCATCTCCGGGGCCTTGGTGATGGCAGAGACATCCCTTTATGTTTCCCCCCCGTTAGCCAGTCTTTCAGTGCGGATGGTGGGACAGGGTGTGTGGTATTACTCGACGGGGAAGCCAGACTCGCGGATCATGCGAGATGTGCCGCCCGAAGCCAAGATGCGAACATTCTGCGCGACGAGGCCCTTAGCCAGGTCAAGCAGGCCCGTCTTGTCAAAGACGGAGACGATGGCGATCTTTTGCGACATGATGATATGCTGCTCAAGCCAGGAATTGGATGCAGAGAATGGTGAAGTGAAAAGAGCCGGTTGAGAATTCTCCCGCACCGAATTCAGCTGCGTTAGTGCTAATGAGCTGTCGAGAAAGATTGTCGTTGCCGCCCGCAAACCCCACCAAATAATGTGAACCCCTCCATCATGGCCGCCGACGTCAACTTTTTATTTCAAGGGCCCACACCATTTGTCCCTGCCTGTCTAGGGTAGTCAGCTTTGTCCTCTCGTTGCACACGTTTGAAGCCACGTCTTTTACCATAAATAATGTTGCTTGACTGATATGCTATAAACTCCAGACCTAGTCGCACCTATCCATGCAAATGTCGCAGCTGAAACTTTGCTGGGGAAATCGCCAACCATGTGCCCTCTACCGCCGACGTGATCTTTGTCCTCATCAGCCATTCATTCCTTTCCCAACAAGTGGTATGTATCTGTCCTCCCTCCGGCATGACTGGCTCAAGTTCTCGCGTCATCATGAGATACGAGCTGCTTCTCAGGCCACAATACTCTTCCCCACGCTGCTCCACTTGAATCGTCGCAGGGTTCCAGAGGACCCCCGGATCGCCTCCCGACCGCACGATGCCGTGTCGTTGACGCCGCCCACCGAAGCAGAGAGACCCTCCTGACGCCCAACCTCCCTCCCAATCACGTACCCTGCACCAAAGCCCACGACGGACACGAGCACCACGACACCCGCGCTCACCACCCAGGTAAGTAGCGTGGGTGACACAAACGTCTCATCCTCGACCACGGCCGTCTTCTTCTTCTTGGAGGCCCGTGCCGAGGAGCTTCTCTTCACCTTGCCCGAGCTCCCATTGTTCCGCGAGGGTGATCGCGCGGGCGAAGATCTCTTTCTACGCGACGAGTCGCCCACGGCCTGCAGCGCTGGCTCACCCTCGCCCATTAACTCAGACTCAGGGACGAGACGCAGATCCATGAGCTGATTACTCGGTCCCACGCCGTTCCTCGCTATCCGTTGGGCCTCTGCCTCTTCCTTGGGCTTTGGTAATCCTCGTGCCGCAGCCGCGCATGACAGCAAGGTCGTCAGGGACGCTCGCAACGCCTCCTCATTGTCCTCGCGCGACGACGGCGACATGAACTGCGGTCCACGATGCACGCGCGTCTGCGAGCGCTGCGAAAAGGACGGCCTCGTGAAGCCACTGTGCGGGTGGGACGACGTTGCGGCGTTGGTAGAGTAGCTCCTCTGGGGGTGGCTTGGAGGGTGCGAGAAGGCATTGGGCTGTGGCTGAAAGGTCGGTCGATCCGCTGTGCGCCCAGCCAAGGCCGTGGCGTTGTCGCCATCATCGGACTCGTCGTCGTCGTCCCCCGATGAATCGTCCGCTTCGTCATCCTCGGGCGCCGATGCAATGTTCTCCGCCGAGCTGGCGAGTCGCCTGTCCTCGTCATCGGTATCGCTCGAGTCGTTGTCCTCCTGACTGCTCGAGCCGACATACATGGCCGTGCGCTCTTGCGGGAGTGACCGCGCCGACGCTGGCGCCCGCCGTCGTCTGTGTTGTGAGTTTACTTGCAACCCAGTGGTCACGATCTCGTCGCCGATGCTGGAGAGGGATGACGACGAGGGCTGTGATGAAACCTCGATCCAGGATTCTGCTGATACAGATGTGAGATGTATAACTTCATGGCAAGGGGCAGACGAACCGTCAAAACGCCGTTGCTGGTGTTGAGGTAGGACATGACCTAGTCGTCCAGGCGCATGCGACGATCTACCCTGTTGTTGGTGCACGCCGTCCATCTTGCTTGGCTCGTTGCCTCACGGGCGTTTTATAGTGTCCACGACAAATGGGTCCCTTTTGACTTTGCAACAACTCTCACACGGATGCTGCGCCTCGGAGAATAATGCGTGATGGCGCGGCGTAGTATCACGAATAGTCGTCGTGCTGGTGTTGTCTCTTACACGTGGTCGCGTCAATACCCCACCTTCCCTGTGCTGCTGATGATGTCGCTTCGCTGGTAGCGATAAGAAAAAGGATCGCCAAGATGCAGGGACTTGCTGCTGCTGGGACCGAAGATGAAGTCCTGTCCGGAATGGGAGAAAATCAAATGCACAGCAAAGGGTACCAAGGAAGTGAGTAACTTGGTAATATAACAGGATGTCACGGCAGAATGCGAGGTCGGGGGATTTTGTTGTTGGATGGAATGGATGGGTGGATTGATTGGGGGGGGGGTTCCAGGCTGATCTGACCAGCGCAGCTCAATCTAGGCGCATGCATTCAGACTCGACAGGGAAGATAACAGCTTGGAGTAATAAAGGGCCCTCTGCCAATAGTATGGCATCCAGTCCCTCATTGGTACCCAACAGATCGCCCTCACGGCGGCGGCGGCGCCAGCGCATGACCTGAGCACCTCTGCGCGTGTGCTTCGTGACAAGGACAGACAATGTGCGCCCTCGTCCCCTTTCGTCGCCCGCCTATTCACGCGGAGGCCCCATGCTCATCACTTCCCCACAGGAATGGCCATGTCTTAGCACTGCCTTACTTTACAACGGGCTGATGAAGATACACAAAGACCATATGGACAACTTGGGCGAGGGGCCTGGCTTCCGTACTTCCGTAACGATGACGCCTACGTAGCGCAACAGCCGCTAACTTAAAAGACGGGATACGTACCTTCGGGGTGAAGATGTGGGGGGGGGGGACCCTTTGCGAGAGGCGCAGGAGGAGGCGGTGAAAGCGACTGGAGACGTCGATTCAAGACTGGGCGAATAATCCTGCTGAGCACGTATGGGCCTCGTGAGCAAAGGGTGGTGAGCACACTTAGCTAATGATGGGCGTGGTCACGAGCGGGGTGCAGTGACCGCCCACACACCCGTGACGAACACCGGCAGACTGACTGCTGAGTGAGTCTGGGTGTGGGGCACAGTAGCAGGTGGAGTTGCAGGAACGCAGGAGGCGGTGATTAGATTGATAAGATTAGATCCTAGAAACACCATCGCGGTGGGACGCAGGGTCTCTCCAAGTGGCTCGGAAAAAGACGCATGGCGGGTCTCGTTCGATGCATGGGCCAAATTGCGTGACTCCGAGTTCGGCGACCATCCCTTTGACAGAGAATGCAAACATTGCGTGATCGACGCTGGAGGTAGGATCATGTCCACGTAATGTTGCGTCGCGTTGATTTGGAGATGTGGTGGGCGGAACACATTCAGAAGCGAAGGGGAGAAGCTAAGTGAAATCTTGTATGAATTTATCTGAAATAGCAGACACTTTTCCGTCCAAACGCCGTGACTGTGCATGAATCTACTGACTATCGTACCAAGCATCAATACAATGCATTATACTCACCAAAGAAAGTATGGTCATATAACACTGGAAATCCCATGGGTTGGTGGGAGGACGTTACAGGGCAGTGGGTGAGGAAGCATATATCTTCAGGCAGGACACGAGAAAGCCCCCAGAGCTCGCTTCAAGAAAACGCGTCTCGAACGTTGAAAAAAGCCCCCAGAACCCTCATCAGTCTTTGTGCCGCGACCACGTTGGCCAGTCCAAGTAAGCAAGGACTGGCCATGGTTTGCCATCAAATCCCTCAGAAGCCAACTGGTATACATCAAGACGCCAAGGTCTTTGATTTGAGCCCACTGTATCAAAAAGCCATCAGGTGCGCGTGCCTTGCATGACAAGGCGTCGGCCACAAGCCCTCGGTCCACGATGAAAGCCCTCAGGTACATCCGACGTTGAGAAGACGACGTCGAGATGTTCTCAAGCCCACAGCAAGCGAAGAACCGGCCCCACTGATAGTGCCCTCGGTGCCCCTCACATGTTCGCTCCCACAAGTGTACATGCATAGCTTCCCATCCTTTAGTCAAAGGTGACCTTGGTGCCGGAGAAGCCACCACGACCACCGAAGCCGCCACGGCTTCCACCACGGCCACGACCACCACGGTCGCCAAAGCCACCACGTCCGCCACGGCCTCCGCCGCGACCACCGCCACCACGGCCACCGCCGAAGCCACCTCCACCGCGACCACCGCCGAAGCCACCACGACCACCGCCGCTCTGGGGAGGACGCTGGCTGGCAAAGTCAAGGCGCACACTGCGCGACATGCGACCGTTGCCGATGGAAGCACCGTTCATCTCGGAGAAGGCAGTCTTGGCATCCTCCACGGAGCTGAAGCTCACGTAGCCAAAGCCCTTGGGGTTGCCGGAGTCCCTGGGTCAGGTCAGTATATGGTCATTCTGAAGGAACTTGTATAACGTACGGGTCCGTGGGCAGGCGGATGCTGGTAGGCTCAGCAGCCTCGCTGAAAAAGGCACGGACGGCGTCCTGGTCGACGTCAAAGGGCAGGTTGCCGACAAAGAGGGTGTCCGACTCGGGGCTGACGCTGTCGCCGTGCTTCTGGGCGCGGTCGGCGGCGCGCGACTGGGGGTTGGCGTCGGCGGGCTTGGCGTTGGCGTAGTCGAGGTTGATGGCGCGGTTGTCAATCATCTGGCCCTGCATGGCCTCGTAGGCCTTGGTGCAGGCCTCGGGCGTCTCAAAGTCGACGTAGCCGAAGCCCTTGCTGCGGTTGTTGTTCATACGGTCGGTGACGACGCGGGCGCCACTGAGGCCCTCAAACTCGGAGAAGGCCTGGTACAGCATGTCGTCGTCGACACCCCAGCTAAGGCTGCCGGCGAAGAGAGTTGTGGGGGCGTTCTCGTCCACCTTGGCCTTCTTGGTGGTGGTGTCCTCCTCGTCCTCAGCCTTGCGCTTCTTGGAGGGAGCGGCCTTGGTCTCCTCAGCCTCATCCGAGCTGTCGGCAGAGTCGTCGCTATCGTCACTGTCATCCTCAGAGTCATCATCAGACTCGGCCTGGGACAAGTTAGCAATGGACCTTGGGATGAACGGGCGGTGTACTGACTTTCTTCGTCTCAGCCTTAGCGGCAGGCTTGGCGGCCTCTTCGTCGTCGTCGCTCGAGTCAGAGTCATCCGAGTCCTCCTCATCATCGTCCTCAGAGTCATCGTCAGAGGACTGCTCCTTCTTGGCGGCGGGCTTGGCCTTGGCGGCAGCAGCAGCACCGTTGACCTTCTTGGCCTTGGGCTTCTCCTCCTCCTCCTCCTCCTCGGACGAGTCGTCAGAGTCGGAATCTTCCTCAGACGAAGACTCCTCCTTCTTGGCAGGGGCCTTCTTGCCGTTGGTCTTAGCGGCAGGCTTCTTAGTCTCCGCCTCAGACTCAGAAGAGTCAGAGCTGTCGGAGTCGTCAGACTCCTCTTCCTCCGATTCGGAAGACGAAGACTCGGGCTCGACAACCTTCTTCTTCTTGCTGGACTTCTTCTCCTCCTTCACAATGTTCTTGGCAGAAGCCTTGGCAGCGTCCTTGGACTTGACCTTGGTATCTTGCGAGGCCTTTGTGACGCCGCCGTTCTTGACAGCCTTGGAAGGGGCAGCAGCCGCCTTCTTGCTTTCCTTAACCTTGCCCATTGTGATGGTTTGTGTGCGATTTGGGGGTATATAGAAGAGAGTGAAAGTGTAGGGGGTTTTCTGCGACGGGAAGAGAGGCAGAAAAAGTGCGATGCAAGAGAACGATGAAAACTTAGACTCTGCTCCCGTTTTAAGTGTGGGTGGTTGGGGGTCTTTTTGGGGTCCAGCCTGACGGCTAAAAATCCCTGATTTTTTCTTTGCGACGACTTTTTTTCTTTTTGCCCGCCTGCGCCGTGGTGGGGCTTCCCGAAGGCGGTCAGCACTGATGCGGAAGGTACGTACCGCGAGGCTGCCGCTTTGGCGCCTGAGCAATCAGGACGCAACAATTGGTCCCGGTGGGCTGTGAGTGCTGCCCTTCTGATAGAACCACCAACTGCGACGACTTCCAACCATTCAATTGAAGCCGACTCCCTCACAAATCGACATCATGCCTACTCCCGAGTCCGAGAACTTCAAATCGATGAAGCCCAAGGTCGCCCCCACCTTCAATGGTGTGGACTTTAGCGACCCCAAGGCCTTCAAGGCGGCCGAAGATGCTATCATCCGCGAGCAATGGGTCGGCGCCATGATGATCCGTCTTGTTGGCGAGGAGATGAACAAGTGCTATATGCGTGAGGGTGTCAACCACCTCGAGAACTGCGGGCACCTACGAGGTAGGCAGCGTTGGGACCTGCCATGCCGATCACAGACAGACAGGCTAACCCACCTGGACAGAACGTTACCTCCAGCTCCTGGCTGCGAACAAGATCAAGGGCACCAAGTTCCAACAACAAAACTACATGACAAAGCAAGACGAGGCGGTCGACTTGGAGGCCAAGGTTCACCCCATCAACAGGATCGCTCAGCTCAAAGAGGACCCCAAGGGTGCTAGACCCTAGAGGATTGGAATGACGGAGACGAAAGGACACGGCACTTGGTGGCAGTAATCGCCAACTGCACCACAACACGCTGGTAGCCGAGGCAGCATGTACATAGAAGGCGACATTCTCCGGCGGAGACAGGAAGTCCATGCATTGGGACTGGCCGGTGCCATGTACAGTCATGTAGAAGAGCATATGACATGTATACCCTCATCCACGAAGAAGCGGCCTGTGCTGCGATAGCTTCTATCATTTCAGCGGAACATCCAGGTCTACGAGTGCGCAAAGCTATTCACAAAACCTTTGGCTCCCCCATACTTGGAAAGCCCAAGCAATCTCATGGTGGTGACAGGATGAGCTTCTAATCAAGGGTCGCATTCCAAGTCTTTCTCGCTTGCTCCATGCGGCGTACCCCAACTGCTATTAATCACTATCTCAGACAGAGACATTAGAGAAATTGTCTGCTAAATGGTGCCTCATCCGAGTCCTCATCGTGTCCTGCATCTGCCAACGTCAGAACGAAGCTGTTCGTCCAAGACCCACCAAGACCGCGCCAACCGCCTATGATTGGCCATGGGCCACGCGACTCCCAAACGCCCAAAAACTTCAAATTACAAGCGGCCGTAGAGCTCGTCCGTCTGAACAACCCATAGATCCGCCACGATGCTCTGCACACGGTGTCTGCGCACTGCATTTCCCTCGCAAAACCTCCTGCGAACGACCACCCGCTACATCTCCACCTCGCGACCCTTCCTGAGCGAAGCAGCACCGCCACTGTCGACGCCAATATCATCCCCCGGCGATGCAGCGCCCGCGGCAGCCCCCAAGATCTCCTCCTGCCCCGAGGGCACGGTGATGAAGGGCCTCAACTACCTGAAGAACGGAGAGGACCCTGTCGCGATGAAAGACGAGGAGTACCCGGCCTGGCTATGGGAGTGTCTCGAGGTGACGGAGAAGACGGGGGCAGGCGAAGAGGATCTGGATGACGAGTTCTGTACGTGCCCTTCACACCCCTTGGCAGTTTCGAAACATGCGGTTCACATGATGGGAGTGCTAACAATACACAGCCAAGTCCAAGAAGAAGCGCAAGCAGGCTATGAAGCGCAAGCGTGAAATCGACGAGAAGCTCCTGGCCGAGGGCAACTTTGAGGCGCTCGAGCCCAAGGTGCCGCTGCAGCACCAATCGGTCAACCTGCCTGGCAAGGAGGGCGGTTCCACCGAGGAGAATCTGGCGGCGAAGAAGGCGAGAGACGAGCTGATGAGGGCCATGAGGGTCGAGAGGAAGGCCAAGATCAAGGAGCGCAACTACCTCCAGTCCATGTAAAAGAGGAGGGAATCTTCACAAGAAGCGCTGTACGATATATACCGGTCGGATTGTATTATTTATTTGCATACTTGGGTAGAGGGCGCACCACGGCATTGCGTCGCTGATAAACCAAGTCCTCCCCCCCGGCTCTCCAGAACGAGTTGAATGTGTGAAAAAGGTTTGCTAATACCTCTATACTGGCGTGCTCAATTGCAGGAATGCTATATTACGCCTATCTGCCAGATTCTCGTACACTTCCTAGACGAGCTACGCTTTTGCCCCTCCCGTCCTCACGTCTCCTTTCCTAGTTGTAGGCGCTCAGGTCTAGAGGGACACTGCTGCCTCGTCCCGCTCGGTACTTCTTTGGTCGGTTGACGTATTCCCTCGGCTTGGGTAGAAGGCTCTCGTCTTTGAAATGCCACCTCGAATCTGTGATTGTGATTCTAGATCCAGAACCACCAACGCCGCCGCTGGGACTCGGAGAATGGCCTTGCGGTGACGGGCTGGGCGATTTCGACCCGTTGGCTGTGAGAGTGAACATGCTAGGGTCCAACATGGCTTGACGCAAGGAGGACCCTCGAGCCCTCGTCGGTGCCGCCTCAGGGGGTGGGGAGCTCGGCTTGGGTGGTGCTGGCGCCGCGGATGGGGGCGGCGGAGGTGGCGCGGGTGGTGCCGCGCTCGGGGCTGGCGAGGGCGAGGACTGGCCAGCCGCGCGGATCGCTGCTTGGGCCGCCAGTGTAGCCCCCGACTGTGATGATGCTGGTGGCGGCGGCGGCGGTTGCGCTCGAGGCGAGGGGGCAGCAGCAGGTGGCGGAGGCGGAGGCGGAGGAGCAGGAGGCAGTGACGGCGCGGAAGAGGGAGGAGGCGGTGGTGGAGCTGGAGGTGCCGAAGGCGCAGATGCTGCTGGAGGCGGGGGTGGAGGCGGAGGTGGAGGTCCAGCGGGCGTCGAGGTCGAGGATGTGGTTGAGAGGTTGGACGGCTTGCGTGACGTTGGCAGCGGAGGAGGTTTCTTGCCAATGGGCGGTGGCGGTGGCTTCTTGCCCGTGGGCGGTTTGGGAACCTCTTTCAGTAGCCCAGGAGGAGCAGGAGGCCGACCTCCCGGTATGGCGGGCGCGGCGCTTGCTGGAGGTCGAGGAGCGGAGTCTGTGGGTGGTTTGGGTGCCGACAGCGTCGACTCGCCAGGGTCCGACAAGTACGATGAGTCCTGGTCCCTGCCTGTGTCGATGCCTCCCCTCTTCTTCAGCTTGGGCATGCCTCCGGCGAACAAGCCCCCCAACTGTGGTGCGGCGTCCATGCTTGGACCCGATGACTGTCCTTGGTCGCTGTTGCTCCTTGCTCGGTTTCCAGGCACAGGCGGTGCGAGTCCCCCCGGCGGTGCTGGTGCGCCCATGCCTGGCACAGGAGGCGCGCCTCCTACCGGTGGTCCCCTGCCGCCTCCTGATGATCCGCCGACGATAGGCGCAGAACGGTCGTTGGTAACAGCCTTTTTCAACGGTTTGCCTTTGGAAATGTCGGAGAGAAGGGCACCCTGGAGACGGTTAGAAGTGCGCAAGGCCACTCATGCGTGAGGTATACTCACTCTGCCCGCACCACCGGGTGGTGGCCCTCGTGGTAGATCACCAGGAGGCGGCGGCGGCGGCGGCGGTCCTCCCGCTCCTGGCATTGGTGGCGGAGGTGGAGGTGGAGGCGGCATTGTGATTTAGGTATGTCGAGGCTCAGGAGTATTGAAAAGTTGAGGGCAGAGCCATGCGGGACAGATGTCCAGGCAGTCTCGAGAGCGTGCCAGTCAACGTCAAGGCGCCTGTGGGCTGCAGCCTTGGCCAGCGTTGGTTGGGCCGTGGAAGTCTGACGGTCTGTTATTTGTCAGGGCGCTCGCTACTTGACAGCCGCAATTGTCGCTTAGTCGAAAAGGCGAGCTATTGTTGACGAGTTTCGGAATCAATGCTGCCGCTCTGCTGGTGAAATACTCTGCGGTATGGTTGCTGGAGCTGTCGTGTGCAGTTTCGTCATCTTGCTTGTCTGTCTGCGCCATCGGCTGACTGTGCACAACGTGGCTGTCGTCGTCCTTCACAGGCGCCCCGCCCTGCTGCAGCGACGGCCCACAGGTCGACAGAATTCCCGCCGGACTGGCTAGATAGGGTCGAATATTTGCACTTGTCCCACAGGCTTTTAATCCAGGAAATAGTGAAATTGAATACGTTTGACAGGTATTTATGTAGTTTCCTTACACCATTGCGTCGGCTTTTGAGACCAAGATCTCCTTATAGATGCTACACTTGGGGGCTCACAACCTCGGTACTATCTACACAGTCCTTCGCAATTCTGGCAATTCCCGCTGCAGCTAGGTCTCTGAAGTAAGGTAGACATAATCTGAGTGGATTTTCCGTTAGTTTGAGGGATACTTGATAGAGGTTATTCCCTTAATTGGTTTGAATGTGGCACGTTTGTCAAGCTAGTTGTCTTCGAAATCAGTATAAAGTACGCTCAGGAGGTTTCAGTGATACCTAGGCGTGGACTAAATCGTAGGAAGCTCTCTAAAGCCCCTCTGCTCTAACAGCTTGTGCCGCCGACTAATGGCTCCTTACCCATGTGGATACGTACTGCAACGCCTTCACGTTCAAATTCAGGACGGATCGCCAAGAAGTTGGGGACTCGATTGCGCAGCAAAGACCAGGCTACCTACCACAATCTCGCAACTGGGAGGCTCGCCAAAGTTCGAGGCGCCTACCAAAGCGCAGTCATGCGTCGCACGAACCCCCAGAAGCTAGGCTCGCTATGCCAGCAATGCTCGGCCATTCCGCCACAGACTGCTCGACAGCCACTCGCTCTGCGCGTCCGACGTGCCCAGGCCGCGATACATGCTTCGAACAGGCCTTCACGAGTGTTCACGAAGAGATGGGCCTCGACATCGACGACCAAACCCCAAGCTGCATCGACACCGCAGCCGCCAGTGCCGGCTCCTGACGCTGCGTCCGCGATCGAGGTATCCAAGCCGCCTCGCGAAGTCGCCCAAGGGGTCGACAAAGCCCTCCACGATTTCATCAGCCTCGTGGAAACACAGGGTCCCGAAAAGAGCGCGGCAGCGAAAGCTTTGCAGACATGTCTCCGCGCCGCAACTAGTATTCATCCTCACCTGAAAAGGGTGCGCAGCCAACAGCCGGCCTCGCGGCTGGCAGCTCTGGCCATGGAGCGTCGTGGCACGGCACCCGCCACGGACACGGAGCTCATGAACGCCAACTTGCGCATATCCATAGCTGCGCACGCCATTGTCGCGCATCCCAATGTGGAGATGACGCAAAATCTGCTGGAACTCTATGTCCACACGCAAGCCCATCTCGGCCGGCCCGAGACGCTGCCCGCGGTGCTCGAGCTCTACGCCCACAAAGATAAGCCGGTGCTCAAGGATGGCAAGGTGACATATGTGCCGCAGAACCCAAACAGGGCAGACAAGGCCGTTGAGAAGGGTGTTGCCGACATTGCCCTGCAGACGGCCATTGACGCGAAGCACCTTGATGCCGCGCTTGGCATCACGGAGGCGGCGTTTTGCGTCAAGGCTTTCAAGCGCCAAAAGCTAATCAAGCAGGGCGCCGGCCCCTTTATGACGCTCGTATCACTCCCCTTTGGCATCTTGGGTCTCGGCACGGCATATGCACACTACTGGCAAAACACAATGGACGTGATGACGGCAACGGCAATTGGTGTCTCTGCCATTTCGGGGTACTTCTTTGTCGTGGGCGGACTGGGCATCATTGCAAAGCTCAGCGCCAAGGACCAGATGAGGCGGGTGACATGGCTGCCGGGCACACCGCTGCGCTACCGCTGGATTAGAGAGGAGGAGCGCGAGGCACTAGACAAGATCTCATGTGCGTGGGGGTTCAAAGAGACGTGGCGACACGGCGAGGAGACAGGTCCGGAGTGGGAAGGACTGCGCGAGCACATGGGCTATCGCCAGATGATTCTCGACCGCGTGGAATTCATGGAAGGAATGAACTAGACGAGTGAGCGCGGCTGGCTTTCTCATTCGTCGATATGTAAGTACTTATATTAGCTTGGATGTACAACAGGGTTTGAATGCAAGCGCTGGTCAAAGGTTGTTTCTTGTTCACGACAGGGCAAGTGTACCTGGTATGGCATTGTCTTGACTCAGGGGCAACCCATGCCGTAAGGTTGGGTCCGCCATGTTTCCCAAGGTAACGGAAAGTCGCCACGAGGCTTGAGACTTTCGCTCGACAAGCACGCCATAACTGACAACTACATTGCGAAACGACATTGCAGCTTATCTTGCCGAGTATCCCGAATTTATATAACAGTGTATCCTCGTGCTCTATCGTCCTGTGTTCCCTCGCAAGGTACAGACGCAGTCGACATTCGCAGCCATGGCCCCAAACGAAATGGCCACCACTGGACCACCGACCTACGGCAAAGAGCTTGCTAGAGCCTCTGTCACAGAAGTCGGCCCTGGGGAAGAGAGGCAGCGAGGCCCCTCGGGCAAGCCGGACTCGGTCATCGAAACAAATGAGCGTCCCGTATCCGCACATAGCGACACTGAGGGTTGGGTCACGACACTCGATGGCATCCGCGTTGTTGGCCTCACCGAAGACGATGAGGCCTTCTACAAGGGTTTCACGGCTGCTCAGCGACGCAGAGTTCGTCTCAAGACGGACGTGCGATTGCTTCCTGTGCTCTGCGTACTCTATCTCTTTGCGCAGCTGGACCGTGGCAACATTGGAAATGCGAGGATCGAGGGTTTCCAAAAGGACCTAAGCATGACAGAAAAGCAGTGGAACATTGTCCTGGCAGTGTTCTTCCTGCCATACTTCATCCTTGGTACGTCGACTGGATGTCCTGCGATGCACAGCCTTGGCTAACTGTCGGCAGAGGTACCCAGCAACATGTTCCTAAAGACGCTGAAGAGACCATCGCTCTACATCTCGGGCCTCGTCCTGGCTTGGGGGGTGGTGATGACCTGTCACGGTGTGCTCGAGGACTTTGGCGGAGCCGTTGCGCTGCGCCTGCTCCTCGGTGCATTCGAGTAAGCTAATAACCAGACATGGACCTGGTGAGGTGTACATACACTGACAATGACAGATCCGGCTTCTTCCCTGCTGCCATGTTCATCTGCTCCCAATGGTATCCCCGTCAATTTGTCGCCTTCCGCATGTCCATCTTTATGGCCGTAGCATCCGTCTCGGGCGCCTTCTCTGGTGTTCTGGCTGCTGCCATCTCCACCATGGGAGGCGTTGGAGGCCTGAAGCCCTGGCAATGGATCTTCCTCATTGAGGGCGGCGTTACCATCCTGCTGGGTTTGTTGACGACCGTGGTGCTGGTCGACTCACCCAGGACTTCGAAGTGGCTCACCCAAGACGAAAAGCGCTACCTCGAACTGATGAGTTTCATCCGCGACAATGGCAGTGCTAGGGTTGAGGGTGGACCAACAGTGTGGGATGACCTGAAGAGCATCACAAGCGACTGGCGGTACTGGACCCTCGGACTGGTGTTGCACAATGTTGGTGCTTGTGGTCTTGGTATGTTCCTTGCTCAATAAATGCGCGTGTTCGACAATGATCTCATAAAGGATACAGGACTCAAGTTCGCCGTTCCCACCATCATCAAGGGACTCGGCTGGAGCCGTCAGCACTCGCAGCTCCTCAGCGCAGTGCCTTACATTGCCGGCACATGCTCCGCCCTGGGTGTGTCGTTCTTTTCCGACCGCTGCTCCGTGCGTTCGCCCTTTGTGCTAGTCTGTCTCTCCAGCATCGGGCTCGGCTACATGATCTTGCTGATTGTAGCCATCGGCGTCGGCAAATCGACTCCCGGTGTCTTGGTCGGCATGTCCCTCGTCACATCCGGTATCTTCCCCATGGCCCCCCTCTGTGGCTCCTGGGTTTCGAACAACTTTGGTACGCCGTCCCGTCGCGCGGTTGGCATTGCCTTCATCATGGCAGTGGGCAGCATTGGTGGGCTCACTGGCAGCTTCGTCTATGACTACAAAGACGCACCGGGATTCTTCATGGCCTTCGGTGTCTGCCTGGGTCTGGCTGTCGTTGCCATCCTCATGGTGTTGGTGCTTATCTGGTCATACCTGCGCTCCAACGCAGAGCGTGTGTGGGTGTCAGAAGAGCAGGTCAGGAGCGAATATTCCGACAAGGAATTGATGGAGCTTGGGGACAAGTCACCCCTGTTCCGATATACTCTCTAAGGGGGGAAACGCGCACAGCGCAGCTCCAACCCAGCAGCGGTAACTCAAGAAGCGATAATGGAGTTGCTAGCGTAATGACATCAGTCTACATAATATGAATACTCGTACGTGTCCCGGGTTCAGTTAGCAGGTTTAGTGAAATCATCATAGATAGGGCTTCTAGAAGCGTCTGACCACACATAGTCTGAGCGGTCCGTGAGCCAACCATCAAATTGACGAAATTGCCTCACCTATCTTCGCTTGTAGTGGCTTGACTATGGACAAGCTGTTGTTGTCTCTGCGTCTGAGCACATTGAACCACTTGGCTTTAAGCGTAGGCTTAAGCTGAGCTACGTAAGACAACAAAGACAGGAAAACGGCCAATGTGCCGGCTCACGTCCGCTTGCTTTCCGTCCTTGCCATTGACGTCCCGAAAGGAACTTGCTCCTGTTCAAAAGATCCTGGCTCGTGTGTTATCGCTTCGATTTGCCTCGCATGCAAGGTCCGTTGATATTGAGGGTGCGTACGCCGTCTTCGCCTCCGTTTCGTTATACTTTGTGTTTGCGTCGATATTGGACTGTTCTAGCAAAAGCATGTTCCGTAGAACCAGCTTCCGACTTTGTTCATGTGTTCAGATGACCACTTCATGTCACTTGTTTGACGTGGTACACTGCTGTTTGGCCGTGTGTGGTTGTGAACCCCTTTTCGCCCACGTTCGTTTCCATCACATCGCCGTTCATCTACAAGCAGCAGTCAATCGACATATCTAAGCAGCATAAATATCTCTACATTTCAGATTCAATGATTCTTTTCGATTTCCTCATCAAACTCATCATTCCAACACAATTACACACAACAAGTGGCCAGCTTCCGGTTCCGCTTATACACAAACAACATCCACGACCAAAACCATCCAAGTCGTCAAAACATATCTAATCTTCCCCGCCAAAGCAAGATCAACATGTCTTCATACACGGATAGTCAACGTGCTTACCCCAACCGCTCTCCCCGCCATCAGCCCTCAACGCCCACCACCTTTGACGAGATGGGCATCCAGCCCATGTCTGACGCCCAAGAAGCAGCCTTGAGCCGGAAACCCTCTCTCGCTCGCTGCCTCACCCGTCGCATGATCGATGGCGATCGGCAGAAGGCTAACAAGGCCAAGGCCAAGGAGACTCGCCCATCCTCCCCCATGCCCCCTCAACCGTTCTCCACGGGCCATTCCACCCCAGGCTCCGACCCTCTGCTCAGCCAGAACAGTAAGTCTGGCCCTCGTAGCCGTGCCGAGATCATTGCTGATAAAACGATCCAGCGTCACAACCGCAAGGGCAAGTTCTACTGCCGTCATGCGTGGGAGTCGGGTTGTCGCTGCGAGAACCGTGCGCGCAAAGAGGGCGATATGTGCTTCAAGTGCAACGACGGTGCTTGCGCCTTTTGGCACCCATGAGTGCGGGTAAGAGGTACGTGGCCGTGGGATCTGCAGGGTTCGAACGGATGGGAAGGCGGAAGGAGTTTTGATTTCGGCTGATCCAAACTTATAGGAAACATGGGACAAGTATTATTTAAAAAAAAAGGGAGGGCGGTTCCACCTGCGACCTCTTCAATGAAAAACAAAAGAAGAATCACCATTGTGAATGACGGCATGATACAAGTGATAATCTAGATACTCTCACTTTACTGACGCTTCGGTCGCCCTACATGCTTCAGACTCGCTGTGAAAGAACGCGCATCGCAATGCCATGGTATGCTGAACACGCTAGACAGACAAGAAAGAGAAATGAAATGAAACGGCCCTTTGATGCTTCCATTATTGTCCAAGCTTAGCTCGTGACTCTCCTGACCCACAGCGTGCCGGTCTCGTAGTTTGCCTCGCGCTCCTGACGCTTGTACGCGCGGTGCAATTTCAAGCCTAGGTCGTACTCCTGCCTCTGCACCTCGGCGAGCTCCTCGCGAAGAACCTCGACTTTCCTCTTCTCCTCCTCGCGCTTGCGCAGCACCTCGTGGCTGGCCATGAGCCTGTCAGCGGGCATGAGTTCCGTCATCTTCTTGATGCTCCTACTGATGTTGTTGCGTCGATGGGCCAGCGCCTCAAGCTTCGTCTTGAGCAGCACGACGCGGTCTTTGGTGTCGACCATCTCCGGTGGCGCCGGGGGCAGATCCTTGCTCGTTGACATGATGGACATGGGCCGGCCAACCGGCTTGTCGTGGGCGATGCTCCGTGGCGTGCTGGCATGGTCGGACGTGGTGGCCGACTTGAGCGAAATCACCAGGGGGTCGTGCGGTACCGTCTGCGGGCTGTCTCGTCCGGGGACGGGTCTCCTACGATCCATCACGGAAGACGCTGGCTCGGAGACAGGCGGCACTTGCTCCTCGTTGGAGCGTCGAGAGGTCGTGTCGTCTGCAGATGTAGGGTACCTGGTGCTGCTGAGTTGCGACGGGGGCTGCGTCCGTGAGTCCTCCAGCAGCGGGGGAGTAGACGTGATCTGCTGCGGTGAGGTGGTCAGGGTCGGGTGATCGGGCTGCGTTGAGTAGACTGAGCTGGAGATGGACGGGTGGACGACGTGTGCTGGGCTGTTGGCAGCGTTGGGCGGGGGCTTGCGCTTGATGGCCTTGTCCGGGTTGGGAATCGTGAGTCGAGGGGGATGGGGCGAGACCCGAATCTGTGGCGGGGAATCGGGCGCCTCCATGGAGGAAGACATGTCCATGCCTGTTTCGTCTGTGGTGGTGGTGGCGTTTACAGCTGCGACGTTGTCTGTCGCAGGCTCGTTTGCGAAAGAGGCCCGGCCTTGGGGTTGAGGCGGTACCTGATTGTGGCGATGGGGCATGAACTTTCGAAGGGCTGCCATTTTCGACGAGCCATGTGCCATGTCGTGTGCCTGTTGACTTTGCCGTATAGGCTGAGCATGCTGCTCCTGTGTGCGCGCATCCCTCGCCCGCTCGGCCCTCTTGCTGCTCTTGGGCGGCACCTGCAGCGGCGGCACACTGGTCTTGTCCTGGACAGGTTTGACGACAGTCTCCCTGCCGCTGGCGCCCTGCCATGCTGGTCTGTTCTCGATGGGCTCCGTCTTTCCTTTCCCCAGCTGCTGGCGCACGCGCTGCCCAAGAGAAGGTGGGGGGTTCCTCGAGCGCTGGCCCAGCTGAGCCGTGACGGTGGTCTTCATGCCGTACATGGGCGCTTCGTCGCGGGGTTCGGTGCTCTCTGGTCGAGGATGCATTTGGTCGGTAGGATCCTCCCATCCGACGGCGTTGCGAGATGTGTGGTCCGATTCTATAGGAGGGGTCCCAGCCCTCAGGTGCGTGTCGCGATTCGCTCGCGGTCTTGGAGCCACTGCATCGGCGTCGCTCAGCTTCTGCTGCTGCCTTTTCATCGTGGGGATACTGCTGGACGGATGTTGACCACTGGACCGAAGAGCGGGCGAGGTAGCTGTTGATGAGTTGGCAGCGGGATGTTGCGCCAGTGGGTTGGCCCCCTCGATGAAATACTGTCGAGACACATCTGCGTCATCCTCCTCCATTGGCGAGACACTGTTGTCATTGTAGTACCTGCTAGTGTCACATGTCAGTCAGGGTACATTACGACCATTGCTTTCTCTTACGGGCTGTTCTCTGGGCTCAGTTCGGGGGAGCTTGGCAACGACACTCCATCCGTATTGATCGCCTTTTGCTGCTGTTGTAGTTGTGTGTAATACAGGCTCGCCATTTCGTCGCTCTGCGGTTGCCTCTTGTCGCAATGATCGTCGCTCACCACCAACTTTGGTACGGCAACTTCGCCGTTAACAGGTGGAGGGGGTGCCGGTTGGACTCTCTGGCGCCAGTCTGAGGTTCGTGGGAATTGTCGCGGTCGAGGCGCAGCTTCTGGTGTCGACGAAGAGGTGGAGCTTGGTCTGTTATTTTGGGCGCGTCAGCATCCCTTCATTCACTCTCGTGGTTGGTCGAACCCCCATCGCTTCTTGATCAGGAATTCGGAGCGATTGGGGGAGAAAGGCTCTCGCTCGCTCACTCACAGGTACTCGCGCAAAGCCAGAGGCGTGTCGCTTGAGCTGGGCACAGCCTTGCCCTGTTGAATCTCGAAGCGATGGGGTCGATTGCCACCTTCAGAAGATTTTGCAAGGCGCTCAATCCGATCGTCGAATCTGTCCTGCCAGAGTTGGGTGTCGGGGTCGTCTCGCGCCTTGGTGGTGGTGGTGGTGGTGGTGGTGGTGGCAGCTGGTGATTGCTGTTGTATGGCGCTGGAGAGTCGGTGCCACATTGTCGAGGGGGCGCGTCTGTCTGGCCGACAGCGGCATGCGCGACATGATATGGACCACTGATTCTCGATAAATAATAATCAGACCTCCCAGTCGCAGACGAGACGATTCAATTCGTTTCCTGGCAAAGTTGGAGGGGCACCGGTCGGCTCGACTCTCGTGGCGTGCATGACCCGACGGCGCGAGCTCTTGTTTCGAATCTTGCTGGCCCTCGACACCTCAGTGGCTCCAGACTCCAGGAGTCCAGCTTGCCTGATGTCGCGACGCACTAGGGGTTGGTGACCCGTTGATAATAACGTTGCTTCTTGATCGCGCTGCCTGTCGCTTCAGTCTCGGACCACTTTGTTGACGACAGCTCAGACCATCAGCTCACCAGCGGTTGCAACGGGCATCGCTTTGAGACGTAACTATTGAAGGACTGCCGAGCGCTATCGAAAGGGGTGGGCATTTATTCATATGCATAGCTATTATTACGACACCACGCATCTATCAATGCACACCATGCGCCAAGAAAGCGATGATTACGGTTATCAGTGGGCAGCTTCAGTTGTCTTCGACATGCAACCTTCATCTTGGATCGCTGTGTGATGATCAAACGAGTCAATCGACAACTTCATTCACTGGCTCACATTAGGGACCTAATTAGTCAACCCCAAATTAATGCGAACCTGCGACCGATCCGGCTGCAAACGGCCGTGAACCGTGACCGTTTGTGGAACCGTGTCCATGTTTCACTCTCACCATGACAAGGGTCTCAGCGAAACATCCTTGTAGTGCCACATGTAGGCACAAATTCCATTAATTCATTGATGAAATATTCACATCGCACTCTCCCAACTTGATTATTTCCAATCCTCCAGCACCGTGTCGCCCTCCCGAATGCCACCAGCCTGAAGACTGTACTCCCATAGCTTGCGTCGCTTGGTTTCGTCCTGCGCGTCCTTTGCGACCTCGAACTCATCCGTCCCGTTGAGGTACAGCGGCTGCCCGGCGGGCGAGTCTATATCGAAGCAGGCCCGCACGGCATCGCCAGCGCTCTTCCAGGTCGTCCTCATGGGCCCGTTGGGGTTGAGGTGCACAGACAGCGCCCCCGCGACGGGCAGCACGAACCAGGCCAGGAACCACGTGAAGAAGAAGCTACCGCGTCGCAGCAGATCGGAGGACATGGCGCCCGGGTCTAGCCCCATGACCGCGATGTGCGATAGGTCTGGGTCGCGCGCTACGCGCCGCGCCAACTCTTGTTGCAGTATGACGACGCAGAGCTTGCTCGCGCCGTACCGACGGAAACCGGACAGCCATGACGGGTCGTCTTGGGGCGTGCTCCATCTGCCTCGGGCCAGGTCGTCGAGGTCAGGAAAGAGGCTGTTCCAGAGAGGCGCGCTGTAGGGATCCTGACCGCCCGACTTGTTGCGGGCATCGTCGACGCTATTAACGACCAAACCGTTAGCCGCTGCGAACACATGAAACGAGGCTGTATGCCAGTGAGATAGGTTGACTCACTCGTGCGTCCAGCTTCCCACGATGAGGATGCGCCCCTCCTTCTTGTCGATGCTCTGTAGGAGCAGCAGGGCGAGCAAGAAATTGGCCAAGTAGTTGACCTGCCATGTCGTCTCGTAGCCGTCCGAGGTCATGTTCTGCAAATGTAAGCTCGACACCGGCATCATGGCGATCAAAAGAACCTACTATTTCTTTATGGTCCTGATATCCTGCGTTCAGGATCAGAGCTCTGATGGGTGGTATCGCGCCGCTGGTCACTCGCTCGTTGATGTCCTTGGCGAACGCGCGCACCCTCTCCATCGAGGAGAGATCCAACGCCGCGACTTCATGCTTGTGTGACGAAGGCGCGCTTTGGAGCGCCTTGCGCAAGGCTGGGGCGGAGGATGGCTTGCGGACAGTGTAGATGCCAGTCTGTGTTTCCGCCAGGTCGGATCTCCTCATGATGTGAGAGACGATGGCGCTGCCCATGCCGCCGGTGGCGCCGGTGACAATGGTTGTGCCGCTGGGAGGAGACATATTGAGGGAGTTGGATGGAGGCAATGGCTGTGCTGCTTGGTTGAACTTGGCCTGTTGTTGCGCTCGACGTACTTATATGACCGGTCCAGTCGCCCGAACCCACCTTCAACAGGAACTAGATGTGATCAATAGAGCCTGCAGACATGATATGCTTCAGGAGTCTCCCTCATTTGACAGACTCTGCATCCTCCTCATGCGGGCTTGTGGATACGTCACCGTACGATAAGCGTGGGGGTTTGTATATTCGGGATTTTCCCCGGACTTAAAGGTTATCCTCCCCTTCCCACGTCTCACGAGCCCCAGGCGGTCACCATCCCCAGCACTACCAAAGCCATTCCAACAGCCCTTTTGCACCTGGCGCCACTCGACTGCGGCGTGCCTTCGTTTGTATCTTGGCCTCCTTGGCCGGTGACAGTCCCGTCGTGCTCGATGCTCATCTCCTCCGACAGCCCATCTGGGCTGCACTTGGTGCCCTCGGCGAGATCCATGACCACGCTCCACTGCCCAGACGCGCAGCGCTGAAAGGTGTCTGGGTGACAGGACCACTGACCCTCGGGGGAGCATGCTGTGCCCGGGTCTTGGTCTCGCGCTTGCAGCAGTGGGGACGCATTGGCTTGGAGTGATGCTATTGAAGCGAAGAATACCATAAAACCCATAGTGGCCATTGCTGAAGCCTGCATCGTGCGTGCTCTGATCTGTGTAAGTCGGGCTTGTGGGGTCAGACATGCAGGTACGTCCTGTATAAACGGACATGACAGAGCCAGACGTCTTGCTGTCAGGTCTTGTCAATAGCGATCATTTGCAGCGTAGGAAATTTCGCAGAACAGACTACATCCTTCAAAGAGACTCACGCTGGGTCGACAGCCTTTTTGTAAGAGAGTTCTCGTCGTAGATGTGGAGTGATTTATTACTGTTCGTCGGTGGATACATGCAAGACGTGGATATGTCCTATTGGCATGCGAAGCAACATGTCGGTGAGTAGGTCAAGGTTCCATAGCTGGAGGAAATGGCGCATTCAGAGACTTGTGTCCTCGACTCTGAGGATAGACAATTCATCAGTGATTTGCTGGATATCCTGGTTTTGGCAGCTTTGTGTGATGGGGTTTCGAGGCGACAGCGTGCATGCGTCAGGCACAGCTGCCCAACCTTAATGTCGTGTGACTCGGGCACGAGGTGCTGAACAGACATTGCAAAAGCACTTCACCTGCATGTTGCAGACAGAGTCTGGGCACACTCTCACAGTCACTCTGTTTGAAAGTATGAAATGGCCGTATGACTAACTCTGCTGGTAGTTAAGCTTTCTGTGGCCAAGTTGCAACCTCGCTACTGATTCCAAAGCTCAACCCCCGTACCACCATGAAGAAGAATCGAACCTACCGACTGTGGATAGAAATAGAACTCCAAAGAGATGTAGAAAAACAATCCTTCCGTCAAAGATCGCCTGTCCCGTGAAATGCCCACGCCTGATGCTGGGGACGGCCATCCGCCGTCAGACACCATACTTGCCACTCGTGGCGGCAGCAGAAGCGGTTGCCTTCCGGATCTTCATTGCCTCTTGGTTTCTCGTGTGCTTCCGGTGCTTGATGGCCATCAAGCCCGCCAGGGTTGCGATTGTGAGGCCTATAAATATGGCGCATATGATGACCTTGGTCTGCCTCGCGGAGCCGTGTTGGTCTTCGGGGAGAAGAATCCGGGTGCCATTCTTGCCCGCCGGCTTGGAAAGATTGGTATCCATCGGAAGATCTGGTTCTGACGAGGCACTTCATTATTTTCGTTGCTATCTCTTGGTATGAGCACAGGCGCAGAACTCACCGGTACCGTCTGTGATGAGCTTGGCAAAGCGTGGGGTGGTTGCTAGGAGGACCAGCTGGATAGAGCACAATTCTCGTGTGAATCGCTCAGCGTGGCTTCCCAGAAGGATGTTCAATCAAGAGCAGTATATGTATATCCAGGCATTGGTGACCAAACGTTGTTTCAGATTCAACACTCCACTCATTTATACTATGCCATGTCCCATATAGCCAGCCAATTCTATCTATCTTGCTATCACTTATCAATCATGACCATCGCCTCCCTCTTGCCCCTCATCGTACATAAACACATTTCATAGGCCGTGCCATATACCCCAGAGAACATTGTGTATGATGAGTGGTCCTCGTAGATTGTCCTATCCAGCCCAGCGCGCGACTGCGCGCGTCGTCCATCCCGTTCCTAAACGCCTGTGCTCAAAATCAAAAGCGGCCGTTTTACATTGTCGCATTTCCATTCACACTCTGCCAGACCTTCAGGCCGCTCTTTTAAGTTTATTAATAAAGTGCCCCTGTCGTGGACGCTGCTTCGCTCCACGGTGGGTAACTCGTGTGCCACTGCCCGTCATCGTAGGTTCCAGACTGCGATGGTCTGACCAGGGTCGAAAACGTGGTTGGCGTAAATGTCGCGACTTCTTCCACGGAAGACGGAACAATAGGTTGCAGTTTCGTCGCAACTGGGCCTTGGGACTTTGGGTTGGTCGGGGTAGTGAGCGATGGGGGGCTGATCGCACTCGATGGCGCAACGGGCAGCACTGGCACCTCAGTCACGCTGACGGGAGAGGCAGTGGTCTGAGAAGCTGGGATGACGAATGTGACAGAGGAGGCGCTGGGAGCGGTGGCGGTGTCGGTGGCGAGGGAATCAGTCGTTGTCGTAGTCAGTGTTGTGGCAGGTTCAGAAGCAGGCTCGGGCTGCGGAGCAGGTACCGGAGGCAGAGGTGTCTGTGTGATATAGACTGTCGCCGTTGGCTCTGCCTCCAAATCGATTATGGAGATGACCGTTGTCGGCACCGGAATCTTCTGTGTGACAGTCTCAACCTCTGGTAGAACTGTTCGTGTGATGCGTTGCGTGACTGGATTCGGCACGTGTATGACCGTCTGGGTGAGCGTTACTGTCGAATCTTCATCCCCATTGACTGGTTCGTTCTCTCTGTCCCCGCTATCCTTGCCCGGCTGGTGAGCGTCGTCCTCGTCTGGCTCCAGCGGAATGATAGAGTACTGCGGCTTGCTGCCAGGGCCTGTTGGCGCAGCCCGGACGTCGAGACCTGGACGCGGTAGAGCGCTTGTGTTAGGCAAGCCGAATGCCAGAGTCCATGTCAGCAACAGTGACACTGATATGCGCATTGTACGAAAGCCTCCCTAGGTGAGGATCTGTGTGTGAGGCTAAGGAAGCTTGGAGTGGGCGCAACGCAACGTCGATGCTGCAAAACCAATCACTGGAAAAGGAGACGGACAAAGTTCATGCAGAGAGACCCGGTGGAGAGGCGGATGGTCATATTGTATAGCTACTAAAATAATGAGATGGCTGGTCGCTGAAGAAACAGGAATGTTGAAGGTGATGTTGTTGGTACTGTGGGTGAAACAGAGACATCTGCAGGAGAAAAGATGTGGCTGGGGCGTCAATGCCAGCCACCAGCCACCTTTTCCTACTGGCGGATCCTGCTTCGGAGTCCGGCAGTAATGCACGTCGAATTGCGCGGATCGTACCTGCATGTGATCGATTGGCTATCAGACGGGGATGCGTCCATTGCCATCAATAGTTGTCTTCTTTCGCTTGTCGAGCAAGCTGAGATGCACTCTAGGCGCGTTTCTTGCTGCAGCAACGGACATTGGGTTCAAGTGGTGACGACGCCCAGAGTGCGGCTGTGCGTGTGGCTGCGTATTCGCACCTGCCTGCGACATGAATGAGGGGCAACGCCCCTCCCCCACCTTTGCTGCAGTGTGACCGTAACCGTAAATGATGGGCTTTTGCAGACTGAAGGCCTGACCGGCAAGTGTTCGATTGCCAGGAATCTGGAGGACTGGGACTGCGAAAAGTACACTTCCGCATCGTCATAGTACCGCTCATGCGACAGAAGCATGTCGCTCCGATTATCGGTACCACATCGCGAGTCAAGATAAGTGCTCGACGACGGCGTCGAGGACTCGTGAAGATGACGTTATTTAGGAGCGCTCCGCCACGCGGGAGCAGTCAACAGCCTAACAGACCTGCGGACGAGGCGGCTTCTCCAACTTTTAAGCTACGTGTGCTTGCGCATTCATATGGCTGTCGCATCCCCTCCGTCGACATCCCGTGAACATCCCCCCCAAGACGACAATCCGTGGTCGATTCCCAAGCGCCCTCTGTTCCATAGCGCCGACGGCAATGTCTTACCAAGGATACGGCCAACCGCCGTACGGTCGTGCGTTCTCCCTGCCTCGGGCCAGACGCGGCCAGCGCAACTCTCAACCTGCTGCTAATGAAGTGTACAGAGCCTCCTCAAGGCTACGGCCAACCGCCATACCCTCCTCAGGGCCACTACCCACCACCACAACACGGGCATCCTCCTCCCCAACAAGGCTACCCACCTCAGCAAGGCTATCCTCCCCAGCAGGGCGGTTATTACCAGCCTCCGCCAGGCCCTCCCCCGCCGCAAGGGCATCACGCCCCTCCTCCGGGTCCTCCGCCAGGCGGCCATTATCCCCCGCAAGGGCAGCCCCCGTACGGCCAACCTCAGCAATATCAGCAGTACGGTGCACCGCCCGGTCCTCCTCCCCCGGGTCAGTACGGTCATCATTCACCTGCACCTCCACCCGGTCCGTATGGCGCGCCGCCAGGCGCTCCCCCCGGCCACGGTGCGCCTCCGCCGCATGGACAGGCGTATGGCGCTCCGGCAGCACAGCCAACCCCGCCGTCGCCGGGCTACGGTCCTCCACAGATCATTCAATGGGATGGGAATGCAGACGCCCAGGCGCTTAGAGCAGCTATGAAAGGGTTTGGGACGGACGAGAAGGCGCTCATCCGGATTCTGTCCAACAAAGACCCGCTACAGATGGAGGTCATACGCCAGACTTTCGATCGTATTCACAAGCGCAATCTGATCGAGGACCTCAGAAAAGAAACAAGCGGCTATTTTGAGAAGGGACTTGTCCAGCTGGCGCGCGGACCGTTGCACACAGATTGCCATCTCTTGTTCGAAGCGATGGATGGGCCAGGTACGAAGGAGGTTGTCTTGAACGACATTCTTCTGGGCCGCTCCAATGCCGACATTAAGGCTATCAAGAGCACATTCCAGCAAACTTTCAGACGGAGCCTCGAGAGCGCGGTCAAGGGTGACCTTAGCATGAAGACAGAGCGGCACTTTATGATTGTCCTTGGCGCTAATCGCGCTGAAGACTCTGCGCCCGTCGATCCTCGCCAAGTTGACCAGGATGTGATGGACCTGTACAAGGCGACGGAGGGACGGATGGGTACGGATGAGATTTTGGTCTGCCAGATTCTAAGTACAAGGAACAACGACCAGATTCGAGCTATCGCCCACTCATACAAGCAAAAGTTCAGGAAGAACTTGAGCGACGTCATCAAAAGTGTAAGAGCTTCTTCAAGGATAGTTTTCCCTGGACCTATATGCTAACGGTTATTCAGGAATTCTCCGGTCACATGCGAGATGCGCTCCATTTCCAACTGCAGGAGGCTGTCGACAAATACATGCATGCAGCCACACTGCTCGAGGAATCCATGGCAGGGATGGGCACAAAGGACAACCTGCTTGTCGCGCGCACAATTCGGTACCATTGGGACCCAACCACGCTGGCCAATGTGAAAGCAGCGTACCAGCAGAAATATCGCAAGAGCCTGGGTGCCCGTATCAAAGGCGAAACCTCTGGGGACTATCGCCTGCTTATGATGGCTTGTGTTGGGGAATGGTCCTGATTAGTGGAATATGTACCTGGACATTCTGGAACGGTCGTGTCGGCTGTCGTTTTACCCTTATTTTGCTGTTTGTATACAATTCGCCAACCACAGCGCCTCTTGTCGCCACGTTATGCTCATCATGAAGTTTGTCCAGTGTCAATGGGTGCAAGGGTGAGGCAGTCGACCCAAGAACATCGCAGCGCATCACCAGAGGCTTTGACAATGCAAGATATGGCCACCTTCCTGGCCTCGCTGGATCAAGCTCACCTAGCAGACAAAGCAACTTGTTGCCCCCAGAAAGAGCCTTTGATGGTCGTGGTACAAGAAAGTCTTTGGTCAATCCAGTCACTCCACGATGATTCACAGGAACGCCGTCTTGGAGAGGACCATTACTCAACGACGACTCTCGAGCGAGAACCCTGGCTCTTATCGTCGTTCAACGTCTTCGGTTCTTTCCTAACTCATCCCAACAATATCAAGACATACGCAACAACACTTTGCACCAGCCACATTGACACACAAGTCAGCTCAAAACGATGATTGGCTAAGTGGCAGACCACTGCGTCCAGCAGGACCAGCCAGTCATCATGGGTTGGGGCTCTTGAGCAATGGCACGTTCCTCTCCTCATCGATGCGACCATCCTCAGCTCCGCAGAGAAAGCCATTTCATGGACACTCTGACGAACTCTTTGTTGAAGCTATATTCCGCAGGGGAGAGGAACCTCGCCCTATACTGAAAATCCCTGGCATCATTGACCAGAGCATTGCCGAGCTGGTCCACCTCGACCATGCCATTCAGTTATTCGAGGAACATATCGAACACTCAGACGCTGGATTCTACGCATGGTCTGAACATCACAGGTGCGCCGTCGATCTTAAACTGACGGTAGAGCGGACCGTGCGTGCCTACAGGATTAGCAAAGACCACATCAACTGTATTCAGATGGCCAAGAGGGCCGGAGTCGCACCGGGTGCGTGGAACCAGAAAGCATGGAACGCGCAGTACGCGCACATCCTCAGGCTCCGCTGGACGGCTTTGGAGGCCCTACTAGGCTCCCCGGGTCTTTGTACCCATGAATTGCGCCAGATCGTCTCGAAGCTCAAGGCGCGGTCCGTTCCCTGCGGAACCGTGGTCGAGCGTGCCAATTGGCTTTATCACGGCGCTCCGATCCATCCACAGAGTAGGCTCTGCTTATCTCGTGGATTGGACGGGAACTAGCAGTCTTCCGTCTATTCAATTTGCGGGGAGCTGGTCAAGGACGCGGATGCTGCCAACGCCTTGGCAACTCGCTTCTGGATGGCTTGCGATGCTTCGCGGCTGCCGGAGTCGTTCACATGAGGGCCAAGGAGAAAAGATGGTGCGAAGGTGTTGAGCTGCCTACGCCTTGGTAGACATGAGAGTCGACGCGATCATGCTGGAGATAACTATGCGTGCGGGTGTTTTGGTCAGTGTCAACGGGAGAAGTACCATGTTAGTTTTTTGTTTTTATCAGAGACAAGGAACAATTATCGGCAGAGGAACATAAATGCATGCATTTCTCGAACATGATTTATTGGATATTAGTGGCATGGCGAATAATCGCTGAGTAATATGGAGCATATGCTAATTAAGCCGAAATATAAGCGGGTTCGCCCGGGACAGGTCCTTTGACCGCCCCGAGCGCTTACGATATATTTCGTTTAATTCAGGTTTTGCTTTCCCCCCTAACCTCGCATTAAATTCTTTACCGCCGCCTTCTGTAAATATCCCAGATACCCACACCAACTAGAGCGACCTATCGCGCTTTCTCCCAAGCCCCGACCCTTAGCGATTTCACTATCCGTATCATTCTCGCCTTCGTTATAGCTATAGCTTTATAAGTGCACACGGGCTTGGCATACCCATCGGCCTTGAGAAGTACAAGTAATTATCTGTACGCGAATGCAGATTAGCGTTATCGAGTGCACTCGCACGAGGACCCGCTCCTGCCTAACTAACTCGCGTTGCACTTGCCGCAACCCTTCACGTTCGGGTTAGCTATTGGAGCTATCAACGCGACCGGGTGGTAATTATTAGCTACCAAAAATCAAACCTCACCTGCCTCGTATCCACCAACAACGAGGACGGTCGTTGCCTGCCCTTTTCTTTCAGCCATATTGTTCTTTGGGAGTCACTTTGGGTCAATTCTTTTCGTCACGGGTACTCGCCTTTGATTTTTCGACTTGTCCTGCGCCTCCAAAGGCAGCAATTATCACACGCGCTTTCACCTGCTTCACACTAGCGGTTGACTAATAAGAACGCGCCCCGGATCATCAACGCGCTCCGTATCCCGCGCTCAGCGTCTAGCAATCAACATGGCGACGCCTGAGGTCATCATGTCTGACGTACCCGTGGCTCAAGGAGGCGTCATGCCTTCCGTCGAGGGCCAGCAGCAGTCAATGGCCGCCGTGCAGAGCGATCATCCTAGTGCAGCATCGCATACAGCACCTCTATCCAATAGCCCCGGACAGACCCAGGCCTCGGTGCCCGTGAGACAAGCAACAAACACACCAGCGCAGACACCACCCTTCAATCTCCCGAAGATACCAACTCCAGCGCCAGGCATAGCACCATCACCGGTCCTTGCCCAGCATGCTGTGAATGGGCATGCGTCGAGCGCACCCAAGTTCGCATCGCCAGAACTACCAAAGCCTCGTACGGATCAAGCTACAGCCAACGAATTTGCAGATACGTCTAATGCCATCAAAAGGGCCAAGCCTAGCGTGGTTCGACACGTTGTGCGTGACAACTGGGATCGCTGCCTCATGGGCTCCGAGTATCACACTGCGTTTATGGTGAGTTGCCCTTCCTACTACGAACCTGGAGCAAGTGACTGACTGACGGGCCTCATCCAGCTCAATGCCATCCTTCATCAGGCAAGCGAGGCGACCTTGCGCACAGCCGTCAAGGACTTTGGGGCTAAGATGGTGCAGACATCCAAGACTGCAATCTTCCAGCATATGACCACACGAGACATTGATGAGCTTGCGGATCAAATACTCTCAAAGGCCAGCCCTGCATTTCTGGATAAGGCTGTCGCGCAACGCCTGGAGACCGCAACGGCGCGCAACCTGGTCAATGCCCTGGCCACAGCTGAACGCTTGGGGTATACCATTGACGACTACGTGGAGGAAAAGGGTCCGAATAGTGAAAAGGAGACGGTCACCCCAGATGTCCGTGGTCTGTACAAGCAAGTGCAGCAAAGCAGCCAACATTCATCGTCAGCTACGCCGGTACACGGGTTGCCGAATGGTGGGCAGCATATCTCGGTTGGCCAACAAGGGATCTCGCTCCTGGTGTGCCCGACGTGTACACGGCCCTGCAGCGGTCCACGCGCTCTGGAATACGTGAGTCGTACCCCTTTGATCACTAGACTATGGGTGAGACTGCTAACATGCAATAGCACCAAAGGAAGGGGGTTTGCCGCGATGCATTCGACATTGCCAAAGTTGGCAAGACTGCCTGTCCACACTGCGGCCTTAATTTCGGATCTCCTCACGGCACCAAATATCACACCAAAAGCCAAGTTTGCGGCGAGTACGACGCACAGGTAGAGCAGGCGATGTGGCAAGCACTACAGGAGTTTGCCCGCCGCGCGCCATCGGCGCCGTTGACATGGTCCACGGCGGCTGTTGGGCCAAAGACTAGTGGGCAAATGACACCGCAGGGGCAAGCGACCCAATCGCCGAGATTGCCGCCATCCTCTTCACAAACGCCCGTGCCCATGCGCACAGCCGCGAACGCACACCAGGCCACGCCCAAGCCTCCCGGTGCCGTCGAGGACCACTATGCTCATCTTGACCCGAAGACTCTCAAAGCGTGGACCGAGGAGCGGCTCTCGATAGAGGAGAAGTATGGCGTGGAGATACGTAGTGCTATGAAGCTTCCTGAGCCCCATGCCACTGATGAGCTTATCAAGATCAAGAACCGATATAACACGAAGCAGAGCGTTACCCGCAAGAAGTACGGCATCCGACTGAAGGAGCGTCGCCCGGTAGCAGAGGTAGACGCTGAGCGATGCCGTCTGCTCCAAACGCCAAATGCGCTAGAGGTGTGGGCTGAACAGGAAAGGAAAGAACGCTTGTTTAAGTCGGGGAATATCCAGGCCGTGATCGACGCCGGTAATGCTACGCGGCCTGCCAAGAGAGCTCGCTTGGACGCTGGGCCGGATACTGGAGTACCTCAGTATCAACAGCAGCCGTCGCCTCCGAAGCCTGTTGAATCTCCTCGTAAGATGGCTCCCCTCTCCGAGATGGGCGGGCTCGGATCCTCAGCGGCGTCGGCAGAGACGGTCGATCCAACCGCGCAGGCGCCACAGAAGACCACGCCAGTAAGGCTCTACGCCAATCGCCCGAAACCTTCGCCGCTTAGTCAGCCACAATCGCGGTCCGCGGGCGCCCATGATCATCCTGTCTCCATCGCCTCAAGTGATTCGGAGGAGAGTGACTCGACAGGGAACAGCAGCAGCGATGACGATGGTGAAGACATTCCTGCCCAGTAGCCAGGGTGTTTCTCGACGAACAATCATCAAGAACTAAATCTCGACCCTTGTTATTATTTTTATTTTTCCCCCCCTTTATTCCAGCATTGGCGTTGCGGCAGGCAAAATAGGGAGAAAATCGGACATCATGTGACGAATCTTGCATCTATCTGCTTCATCACCTCGGCATCGCAGGCCAGGAGTAGGGCTCATCGCCACCGGAGCATTTGCATGGTACGGAGTACAAACAAGGCGTTGGGTTGGGTCACTGGGTCATTCTTACGGAGCACAAAGGACGTCATTTATTACTTCTTGATCGCCGTGCTGAGAGCTTGATACGAGCGCATGCGCACGTTGGCAATCAGACGCCCAAATGAAAGCCCGCGTGTTCATTCGTTAATTAATAGTACCAGTGAGTGAAGATGATTTCATCAATTCGATTCCGTCACCGGATCCCACCTGCAAGGGGCCTGCTCTTGCGTTCAATTGAACGGTGAACCGGCCGTTGTCAAAGATTTCGCCAGGGTCTGTCGCAAGTTGACAACCAAACCCCATCAGGTAACATGTTCGTCCGCCCATGTACCAGGAATCGATACTACGTACCGTACGTAGACAGAAGACGATCTCCTAGGACCCTGAGAGCTGACACTCTTCTGGCGGAGCAAGTCAGACTACTGATTGTCCCAGCGAATGACGACCAGTGCACGGTGAATCAGGAGAAGAGGCGCAACAAGACGGCCATCACCATCCACTGGGCTTGCCAATCGACAACCTCGATTGCCCATTCTCGCCATCAGCTTCTTTCGCCAAGCGCCTCGAGCGGACGGGCCCACGCCCGCTGATTGGCCAAGCCACACGCGGGCGCGTCTCTGAAACGCACGACGGACCTAGTCTAGGGGTTCGTCTCGCGCAGTACCGTCCACTAACAGCACAGCCCTTCACTCACTATGCTATCGTGTTAGTGTTCCATCTCAGGGGTTTCACAAGCCCGACCTTCTCAGTCTGGGCATGCGGGGCGGGGCGTATCTGCACCGTCGCCGAGAGAAGAATCAATCACAATTCACAGGACGTCAAGTCGAGGCAGGGCCTTAATATAGGTTATCCTTCTTGTTCTCCTCTTCACGTCAGATTGAGCGTGTCATTAAATTGAGTTTCGTCCCTCTCTCTTCTTTGCCCATTTGCTTGTTTCGTGTGCGTCGCGTCCTAGTGGCAGCCCTTCATTCTGCTTCTCCTTCTCCTTGCTGGCTGGTCCAGCTCTCTATACAGCCTGCTTGCTTCATTCTTGGTACTGTTCCTTATATCGCGCGAGCGATTATTACTCTCTCGCCATGGCTTCCATGTCGTTCGCGCATAAGGCTTTCCACTGGTCACTCCCTGGCTTTTCCCGTCCGAGCCTCGACAAACACATCCCCGCCAAATCTCGCGGCGACAGCAACAACAACAACCACAATAACAGCAGCAGCAACAATGTGTCTGTCCCAGTAGCCGGTACACCTCACGCGCGCTCGCACTCCGAACCACAGCCTCCTCATCCTGCGCCCATTGCGAAGAGGAAGAAGCCCGCCCACCAGTCCGTCGACGATGGTCTGGCGACAGTCCTCGTGGGCCCCCAGAAGCGCCCCTTCAAAGTCAACAGGAATCTGCTCTGCGCGACATCCTCCTTCTTTGCCGAGCAACTCAACAGGCCATCCCACCACCGCCACGATGGGTCGCCCCGCGCTGTCTCGCTCTGGCTACCGGGCGAGCTGCCCTCCATGTTCGCCCTGTTCGTCCAGTGGCTTCACAACCCGCGCCACACCTTTCGTCGCATGCTCGACGACGCCATTGCCATTGCGCAAGACGACAACGGCATCCAGGGCCTCAACGACATCCACTGGGCAATGATCCGCCTCCACCTCTTCGCCAGTCACCTCGGCATCTACCACCTTCAGGACTCCGCCATGGACGCCCTCCAGGATCTCTACCTCAAGTGTGACTGGGACGTCACACCGGGTCTCGTCTCCTACCTCTACACAAAGTGCGACGGCCTCGCCGCCGTGCGCCTGCGCCGCTGGGCCGTCGCCATGGTCGCTTTCAGCCTCACCGGCAACACGGCCACCAGCGTGCCCTCGCCCATACAGGATTACCCAGACGAGGCCGGCTCCCACGTGTTCGACGCAGGCGACGACATGGCCACGCAGTTCCAGTGCCTCATCGACTCCGTCCCCGAGCTGCACGACGACTACAGCGTGCACATCCACAAGATGACCACCTCGGGTCTGGACCTGCGCTTCAAGAACCCGCAGCTTCGCATCCCGGCCAACAAGCTGCGCAACGACGAGCGTGCCTTTGGTTTCAGGGAGTGCTCCTTCCACTCGCATCGTGCGACTGTCGGCGAGAAGCGGTGCCCGCACGAGAGGAAAAGGATGAGGAGCATCGTCGCGGAGGATCCCGTCCTGCTGGCGGCGCAGCTGGCGGGCGCGAAGACGTTGGCGGCAACTCCGCTCGTCGAGGAGGATGCTGTGCCGAGGCCGCTCTTTTCTCGAGAGGGTGGTGATGCCGAGGAGCGCGACAAGGCTGTGAAGCACGTCCGCTCCGTCTCAAGCACGCTGCGAACATGAGGGTACGGTGGCGCGCGGTGGGTGGTGGTGTGTCGTTGTTTGTGGTAATGTCAGCATATTAGCTCAACACAGTGTCAAAGGTGGACATGTTAATAAATAAACCAGCACGCGGATCCATCGAGAGACAAATCGATTCCATGTGAAAGTGGTGCAGTATATATTCATAGCTCGTTCATACAGATTCGACGCTCAGCCATCCGCTCTCGTCTATCTTGGCCGCTGACGGGTGAACCCCTGGGCTTGCGACATGTACATCATATTCTCGTAAAGACAAACTTTTTCGCGCAGAAGTAAACATTCGTAATAAAAAAAAAGGAGGTGAAAGAAGAAACACGAAGACGTAAAGGTCGTGATAGCCAAAAGGATGTTGTCCTCCGCCTGGCTCAAGGGGATGATGGTGGATAAAAAGGAAAAGGACCGTAGATGGCAAAGATCGTAGTCGCGGCGCAGCCTTCTTGCTAGCGTCGGTAGTTCATGTGGCCGCGGCGTCGGCCACGGCGGTGGTCAAAGATGAGCAGCAGGTCGAGCAAGCAGTAATAAATACTAGTAGTCGGTCGTGAAATCCGCTGTCGGCAGCATGCTCATGTCAAAACAGGGCAGACAGAACATGGTCTGGTGTAGTCGCTGTATCCGCATCCAACTGGGATGGGTATCATCCGTAACGTCGTAATTGTCGTGAAAAGGAAAAGTCTGGTCGGAGCGCTTTGAGTGCGAAGTAAATGAATGTGGTTGCTTTCTTGTCAAATAATGTGAATCAGAGAGGTGACTCAGAGCGCCGACGCTCCTCGCTGCGTTGGCGAATCTGCTTGAGACGCTCGTCTATGTAGGCCAGGCGGTCGGGCAAGGGCGTTCGGGTGCGAGGCGTCTCGCGCCACTGCTGCATGCTCGAAAAGGGTCGCATCGAGTTGGATGCGGCGCCGGGCGCCGCGGCGGCGAGGTGGGCAAGGACACTGCTGCCCCTGGCGGGGAAGGAGAAGCTTGAAGGGAGACCGCCAAAAGGCGAACCCAATCTTGGGGGGGCATTGTCCAACGAATGCAGGAACGCGCGAGAAGGGATGCGAGCCGCAGTCTCGACGGGTTGCTGCATGTTGGCAAAAATCGAGGGCATGTTGTCAAAGTCGGAGCTCGGCGCAATGGGGCTTGCCCCCGGCTCACTCCACATATCTGAGGGCAGGCTGGGCCTCTTCGACCTGCGCGCCTCGAGATCTGCACGGCGCTTTTGCGTGTTGGACCGGCTCCTGTTCACTCTGACTGGAGACTTGAGGCCTCGACGCGCGCCCATGGAGTTGCTTTGACGCGGGGTCTCGGAGCCCAGCATCTCCGCAAAAGAGCTTGAGGTACTGGGTCCATAGCTTTTGGCTACAAAAGGCGACCCCAGACGAGGTCTAGGCTCGTCGAGGTAAGGCGGAAGGAGAGAGGTCTGGCCCTGCGGCAAGGGTGGTAGTTCTTGGGCTTCCTCCTGCTGGCCAGCGGTAGTGAGCTGTGCTAGGGGTCCCCCGAGCTGCATGGAGTCGGAGGTGCTGACAGCGAGGGACATGGCCATGTCTCCTCCAGAGAAAATAGAAGGCGCACGTGCTGGAGTCGTGCGTCGAGCTCGTGCGCGACTCATAGTCTTGCCGAACGGCGTGGGGCTGCTTGCAAAGTAACGCTCATTGCGGCCCTTGCCTCCAGCATTGGCCTTGCACATCTCCACCAAATGGGCCCTTGTAGCAGCGTTCGTGTGGGGCCATTTTATGTAGGTGCACTTACTTCCTGCCGTCGGTGTTGTACTCCCACTGCAGTCCTTGGATTGCTTCAGGGCGTTGGAGCCTCTCCAGCTGCGGCTAGCTTCCCTTGCGACGCGAGCCACAACACCACACGGCGGGACACCACTGGCGCCAATGCGCACCGGGGTAACCTTGGGATCCTGCAGGTACATTGTGTAAGTTGTCCAAATGTGGTTATCCATGGCCCTGGTCCATGGGGCTTTGCGCGATTTCGCCGCACGCACAGGCGCGGAAGGCTTGATCGTCCTGTCCGCATCGTCGGGCGATAAGAACTTATCAAATCGACAGCTGAACTGCTGATCTGGACTTATCAAGCTTGCGTCATCCGATGCGAAAGAGGACTGGCTGAAATAGGACGCGCTCGTGCGATTTGAGCGGGCCGTTGATGGCCGACTCGACTCACACTCCGAGTCGCTAAAAGTTGAGTCGTTAGACCAGTCAGGGAATTGGTTGGTGGTCGCAATCGACAGGTTCAGTTCGCCTGGCGCAGGTGTTTTCGGTGGAGAGAACATCCGCTGATGAGCGCCACTATGTGGAAGCTCCATTGAATGCGCCTCAGACAGTGTAGCAAAGGCTCCCTGGTTGGTCGTGTCCAGCATATCCTCATCGACCACGAAAGGCTCCTCAATACTAGGGATGGGAACATCGGCGGCGTCGACAGACGCCAAAAATTGTTCCGTGGGCGCCGCAGGGGTGCGTGATGCAGCTCGCCTCTTGAGTCGGAAACGTTGTCTAGGTGGTGAAGGGGGCAAGTCGATATCTTGTTGAGACGAAGTCGGTTCGGGTGTTTGGGGTCCTTCAGATCGTCGGAAAGCCCGCGTCCGCATGGCAGACAAGCGCTGCAAGGGAGTCATCTTTGCTTGCCGAATTGAGTTGGTTGGTGCGGAAACTCTGCAGACGTAGCGATAAGTAGCGCCCACCAAAAGCAATGTCGAAACGGCTGGCGCGTTGGACGGAGCGCACGCGCAAAGGGCAAGCGCAAAGACGATATCCTGCTTCTTCTGAAGGTCGATCGACAAGGCGCCCTAGATTGACGAGAGGGCGCAATGTCAATAAGCCACGCGTCAAATTGGAGAGTGGTGAGACTTTGTCCTTAAATCGATGGAGGATGGTGGCGGGGAAGTGGTGCGATATTGATGTTATCGATCAATTCCCGCAGAACAATATTGGCAGTGGCGATGGTCGGATCGAAGCGCGCGCAATATTCTGAATCGCCTGAACACGACTGTGCGCCTGGAAGATGTGTCGCGGTAGATAGGAAATGGGTGTCGGTGTAGAGCCGAGTAGCGAGAAGCAGGCTCGTGGCGTTTGTCGAAACTTGAGGCGAGTTCGATGGCTAGATTGTTCAAGCGACTTATATCACATGGTCTAGAGACTTTGTCGAAACGAAGCAGGCGCACCAGCGAAACGAGGGACTGGAATGCGAAGTAGAGGTGGAATGACGAGAGTGAAGCCGGAAGAAGAGGAGACGATGTGGGCGGCAGAGCGGGCAGAGTGGATGGGTGCGCAGGGTTGCGGGCTTCCAGTCGCTCTTTCCCACACAGCGACTCTTGTGTCCCGTGGGCACTAGGTGCAGGTGTGACTGGCTGGAGGGGCCACTTTTTAGGGGGTATTCGCTGGCTTACCCACCTAGGGTGTGCACTGCAGGGCAAACGAGGGTGCAATAGGATGGATGCACTACAACGCAAATCCTTCAGTTGACCTCTCTAATAAGCCGTGAAAGAAAGCTCACATTGCCGATGTTTCTTGCTACAGTTTTCGTCCAGTTTTTCTCGGATATTTCAGGCGCACAGAAACAGGACCGCGGAGGGGCTGTGTTTGTTGCTTGACGCCAGCCACACGAGGGGTGAAGTGACGAAGCGGTGGACAAGACGGTGTAGGAGACTAGACCCTCATCCATGCTTTGTGTCTAAGTCTGAGCAGACCAGGGTTCTGGCTAATAGTTGGCTCTGGATTCTCATTCAGCGTATCTCGCGGTGAAGGGACGTCCTGGATCATGCAGCAGAGGCCCGCTTCTTGGATGGGCGTATACTATCAGGAGTCAGGACCAAAATGAGTGGCGTGCGTCGTCCCTCTTCTACAGCAGGATGCAAGATGCGGACCTGGGTGTGTCGCTCTCACGAGTCACATCCATTACTTGCGAAGTGGCTAAGCAGAATGTGACAGCAACTCAGCAGTGGTATTTTTGAAGGGTATTTTGAAATGCTACCCGAGAATTGAGCATTGTGCGGTGGAGTGGCATGTCATTACATGTGCTGAGTTCAAGTCAAGCTCGCTGGGAGTGATCGTTGATAGTTTACCATACCTGCACTTTGGATACCGTGATGACCGAAGAAGCACATGCCGCTCGAACGATTGTACGGGCCGCTTTGACAGCCTTGTGGATTTGTGAGGTGGTTCTGAGACTCCTGGTCCAGTGACCACACCAGCCACCAGCAAAGACCGTCACGCGCTGTGTTTATCCACAGCTAGTGAAGGGGGCGTGCATTTGGAATGCGGTGGCTGGTCAATAGAATTGCAAGCTTCAACAATGTGCGGTGCAAGGTGTCACAAGTGTTGCGACAAGCCAGAGCTGATCAGGATGGTGCGTGCGTGTGAGGTTGAAAAGCGAAGTTGATAACAACCTGATGTCGCCAGTTGAAAGGCGATGGAGCCACGAATTGGTTTTAGGCATGTCAGTGTAGTTCAGTGCACAGGTCACAGTGTCCGAGTGGCCTTCGTCCGACATTTAGACAGTGACTATGGACATATTGACTTCGACATGGGCAAGTAAGTACGTAGTTGGCCTTCGTGGGATCATGATGATAACGAAGTGAGGCACTTTAGACGCGTCGCAAGAGACGCGACAAGAGCGCGCAAAAACGCGGTTGCGGAAGTGGCCGCAGCGGGAGACGCAGGCCGGCCGGGCCTGAGCGAGAGATTGTGGGGGTCATCGAGCTGTCAAAGCTCCATGGACCCTGATTGGCTTACGTTTACTTACTCCTATAATGGCTTGACGGACAGCCAAGCTCATGTCGTCTCTCAATAGAGCATCCGCAAGACTGGTGTGACTGGGTGTGCAGTTCATGTCTTTTCACATCACGACTGAGCTTTGAGTTGATGACCCACTATAAATCATCTTGAAATTGTTGTAGGTGTAGCCAGACCCCTTCGCAATTTTTCGCGTGTACATCCTTTCGTGCATGTAGGGAAGAATCGATTTTCGAGAGCAAGTTGTGTGTTACTCTTGCTGTCTATCACAAGACGTGTGAATACTCGCCTTCGAATTCGGAGAATCCATCTGGCTGCTCGTATTACTGCCCTGTGCTACCTTGCCTCAGATGTCTTGAGCGCTCGCTACTAGTTATTATTCCCTTATAGTCTACGCAACTCCTACCGACAGGTGACGGGCCATGAAGCCGACCACGCGGACGTTTCCAGCGTGATTCCGCAAGCCTGTCCTCCTGAAGCGAAGGGGGAAAAAAGGTCAGTCACATAACGTGTACTTGTTTGTCGATCTTACCACCTCGGGCAGTCGGGCTTCGCTTCTGCATGGACGGCAACTACTGCAATACTTGCCCGCAATCGGGAGAACCCTTGTGGCGCTCCAGTCATCATATACGCATCCCCGGTGCAGGAATGCGGCACATCACCGGGGAAGCCCGGGAGCGTTCGGATCTTGCTCATGAATGATAATCTACTACGTACGTATTGGTTCTTCGAGCCCAGGCCGCTGTAAAAAATTTCAGACGATACAAGCAGGACCGGTACTACATACTAGTTGGGCATTCGTGCTTCCGCCCCTTGGGATCATCAGGCTTTTGATATGGTGCCGCCCTTTGGGCATGCAGCGTCTAGGCCTGTGGAGCTGCATGATGGCATCAAACAGCACGAATGTAACATATTCGTATGATCTCCAGCCTGTCGGACACGTAGGGATGCATCCGACAGCCGCCAACACACACATACATGTCTACTTACTTACGATGCGGTTTTGGGTGCTTGCATCTGTATATGCATGTCGAGACAGGCTGGCGGTGCAGGTTTCATAGTCCCAGCACACAATATTGGCGATCCTGGACGACGTAGCTATGCACTGTAGGGCTCTTTTCGCTGGCGCAGAATCCAAGTTCCCGTTCAGCCTAGCCATTTCTCGCGATAGAATTTCAGCCAACACACATCAGTTGGTATGTGTCGCATGTACCCAGGAAAAGCTGCACTGATTCGCCATCCGTCAAGGTCTTTCTAGAAGTCTAGGGTAGGAAGATTCAACAGGGGTCTAACTACTGACAGCTCCAAATCACCATACACTAGCATCTGATCACAGCTGTCCCAGATCCTAAGCCAGCCACAATTCTATGGATAGCAGTACCTGCAATACCCTTTGTGAAATGACTATAGCTGATTAGGAGGCGGTCCTGCCGGTTCCCCTTCCGACATGGCTACGCTGCATTCCCACCCAACTGCCCCACTTGCTTCCTCAAGTAGGGACTGCGTGTTGTGCAGGTAGCGCCTGCCACACAAGCCTTCGTCGTCGCTGCCAAAATCCATCAACCTCACACGATTTTTGGGTCACGCTTGTCCCCAGTACCAACAGGTCGCACTCGTCCACCACCATAATAACGACTCATACCATCCATCACAGCTGCATGCCACTTCACGGTACCGCGCGCCACCCACTGCTCCACTGCGTCGAGCGCCTCGCTTGTAGGATCCACCCACGCTCACGGACCGGTCAGATCCATCTTCTCGGGCTTCGTAGGCAATCCGCGAAGATAGCGGTGGCTGGAGAATCGACCTTGGTGCCATGGAATCCTCCGGTATCCTTACTATCGACAATCTCCCGGAGAGGCTGCCACCGTGGCACCCGGAAGATGACAGCCATGTCTACGCTATTGTAGACATGGGCAGGTACATCGCAATTTGGATGCGAGCAGCGTAAACAAGCCACTGACATCTACAGCAACGGAATTCGGTTTTCCATTACTTCACTTGCCCCTTCGAAGGCCCGTCTTCTTGAGCCCATCTACTCTACGCGCGCGGCCATCTCCCTCTTTGATGCTTTGACTCCCGACGACCATGGTGCTCTCATCTTACCATCTGCTACCATCAGCGATGTGGCGATCGCACTCCAGAACTTCGCACGACTGGCAGATCTCCACCAGGTTCCTCGTCGGAACATGATGATATTCGCAACGGAGGCAATGCGTCGCGCGTCCAACGCCACCGAGTTGCTGGCCGCGGTGGTCAAGGCTACCGGGGGTTGTGGCGTTCAAATTCTCGAACCGGCTGTCGAGACCCTTTTCGGAGCCGTAATGGGATCGAGAAGCGCCGTGACTACGGTAGACCGTGGGGCTCTCTTCCTCGACCTGGGAGGGGGCAGTGTCCAGATCACCTGGGTCGACACGTCACTCGCTGCGTATGAGACCAAAGCAGCCTTGGCCGGTTGCAGCATGCCGTACGGTGCTGCAAAGCTCACCCGTATCCTTGAAGAAGGAGACGCTGAGCTTCAAAGTTTTGAAAGCAACAGGCTCCTTGAGTCGATGAAATCAGCCTACGACCAGCTGTGCGCCAAATTCACAAAGCTACAAGACATACGTCGAGCCTACGACAGCGGCAACAAGAAGGCTTGTCTCGATGTATATATGTGTGGCGGAGGTTTCCGTGGCTATGGAAGCATGCTGATGCATGCTGATAAGCACCAGCCTTACCCAATACCATCTATCGGGACGTTCACGGTCGACGGAGCCACCTTCAAGCAAGTCGATGAGATGATTCGAATCAACAAGGAGCATGACGGAAAGATATTCGGCCTATCCAAGAGACGCCGCCGTCAGTTTGATGCGATCACCCGAGTTGTTAAGGCGTTCATTGCAACCGTACCAAATATTAATCGCGCCACATTTTGCCAGGGATCGAATCGAGACGGCGCCCTGATGATGAAGCTTCCCCGCGAAATCCGCGAGAGCAACCCTCTTGTGGCGATAGCTGCCGTCTCCGCCCAGGAAAAGCCAATCTTCGATGGGATCCTGCGGAAGATCTCCCAGGCCCTGCCTCAAGAAGTACTGGCGTCTTCCAACATTCCCACGGTCTTGTCAGATGAGGGTCTAGGATGCCTCTATGTTCGAGAGATTTGGGCACGGGGCGGCTACTACGCCGACACCAATGCATCTTATGCCCTACACAATGCCATCTCCCGAGATTCTGATGCACCTGGGCTGACTCACTTGTCCAGGGCCCTGCTTGGTCTCACTGTTGCCGCAAGGTGGGGCTTAGGCCTTGGTCCGGCCGATGCGAAGCTTGCCGAAGGTCTCGAAGGTATCATCTCCCGCAATAGCAATGATGCTGTATTCTGGGCCAAGTATATCGGCGCTGTCACCGACGTGGCTGCCAGCATTTTTCCCGTCATCCCGCGAGACATTGACCAGTTCGAGAAGTCACTCAGGTATAATCCACTCGAGTCGGAAAGTTTAACTCTTCTCTAACCTATGGAACAGTTTCAAAGCTCACATTCGACCCCGAGAAGAGAAGAAAGATCGTCTCGAGCTTGAAATACTCATCTCAGAGGTCATTATTGCGCAAATCAAACCAGCCGGCTTAATAGAGAAACTGAAGAGCACGTTGAAAAACGGGACCAAAAAGCCCCAAAAGAAAATCGTTGCTCGGATCGATACACTAAAATCATGATTTCGTAACATCATCACCATTTTCCAACACAGAAATACCACCACTGGGAAAGACCGGCCAATTCACCTCAACCCATACCAAGAGACGTCTCTCTTACTCATAGTCATCGTCGCAGTCGTCTTCCGCCCCCCTGGACTTCGAGGACTTGGGGGCCCGCCTCCTTGCATTCAGCTTTTTGAGTTCGTGGTTGACAACGAACACGCAAAGTCTCCGGTCAATCTCATTCTGCGAGCTTTGCAAGCTCTGCAAGAAGTGCTTGCGACTGTCGAGAAGGATCCTGCCGCTGTGCTCAATGGCTTTGTATCGGGACCCACTGTACTTGGGCGACCTGAGCCAGTCCAATGACACCTCAAGGCTCTTCTTTGTTCTGAACTGATAGTGATAGAACGTCGCCAGTAGCGGGAAGAACCCGTCTGAGAGATACTGCACTCGGGCGTACAGTGGGTGGGCTGGGTCAAAGTCAGCTTCCAAACGAACAGCAAGGGTCTCAATCAAGCTCACAAGAACGAGGGTCGGCGACGCGCGACAACCAATCCCAGGACGACGCCGTGAGGTCTCGGTAAAACAGCATCAATTGCCACAGGCCTGCCCAGAGAGCTAGACGGTCATCCTGCTTGGGCTGGTGGGCGGCGGTTGTGAGGTTGTCCAGCTGCCGCAGGATATCGCCCTCGATAGAGTGAATGGCCTTCATCGCAATGTGGCGAAGCTGCGCCTGTACCGAGATTGGCAAGACACTCACCCTTCCGGACGGATCGCGGCACCCGAAAGAAGACGTCTTCCAGATACGGTAGAAGCAACCCATGCGGTGGATAAGACACACCAGACGATGCTGAGGCAGGCCGCGTCCCTCATTGGCGTAATCCATGAGGAACCTCTGTACGGCACTGGGGAAGGCATGATCCCGTTCATGGTAGATTTGGGCCTCTACCCATTGTTGCAGTTGGGAGTGGTCGACGAGCTGACCCGAGGCACTGGACAGAGAGACCTTTTCGATAGGGTTGTTTCCATCCTCGTCCCGCCAACGGTACGGCTGGACGTAGGCATGGAAAAACGGCGAATCCACGCTCGGCTTGGTGGAGAAGAACACCTTGATAGGCTTGACCACCCCGGTGAAGATACGTGGACGGGCCTCTGCGCAGAAAGCGGCCTCCTTCTTGGGGTTCCTTGACCAGATATCTGCAGTGCAAAGGGTCAGCCGACATGCGTGTGTACAACCTGGTCTCTGTTCGTCTTACCAGGACCTTGACCGATAATGGGCCACAGCTCGCTCAGACTCTTGCGGGCACATACGAGATGAGAATGTTCAGGGAAGGCCTTGCGGCATGCGGGGCAAACACCGTTCTCGTGGCACTGAGACATGTCTTAGCTTTTGATCACGGGACACTTGGTAAGGGCAGTCGGGGGACACCTACTCGAGTCTTGGATACCCGGCATGGCAGGCAAGCTCCACTCTTACGCACGTCGGCTGTTTGATCTGGGTTCTCCAACTGCCTCGGACGCTTCGCCGGGGTTCGTCCAGACGGGAGCTTGGGACCGGGGCCCTGGTCGATCGGCCCTGTGGCACCTCCCGGAATGGGGCCCCGAACCTTGTGGTGCACAAGCTCCCGTCGGGATGGCTTGTGCGAACCATGCACGGGATATGCCCAATCCTCGTCGCGGTGAGCACGGTAGCCCTTTGGACTGCGGCTCGCATGACGGGATGGGCGGTCATGGTACTCGGGCAGCTCATGGTCAGAATGCTCAGAGGGCGAGGTACTTCCGCCCTGGATGAGGTCTGGGGGAGAGGAGTGTCCCGAGTAAGTCGGGGAGGTGGTGGCATTATCTGAGCCGAAGGAGGGGCTCATCCTATAGAAGCGAGCCTCGAGGGCGTCGCGCGAGGGAAATTCGGTGACAAGTTTGGAAAGGTGCTGGTGCTGGGGTTGCTGGGTGTAGGAGTAGGCGTGCTGGGGCCAGTGAACCGGCTCGCCGAGCAGGGCCGGGTAGTCAAAGACTTCGTTGAAGAGGGCATCGAGGTCCGGGGAAGGGGGAGCACGGGGGTTTTCTTGTCCAAACTGGGACAAGTCTCTGATGGGATCCATGCTGAACTTCCCGGTGTAAGTCATGGGGGATATCTGATCGGAATCTGATCTGGTGGAACCTTGGCTACCTGCGTGCGGCAGGCGTGTTGAGCATGCAGCTAGCTGTGCGTCTCGGATGGACGAGTCGACGACAAGATGGGATGGAAGGCTCTCCCGACGGTCAATCTTGTGCAAGAGCTTGTACGGGTTCAAGGACGTGGACTCGACACCAGAGAATAATTTGTTTGGCATCACATCGCCAGCAGGAGGGCGCTGCTTTGGCTCCCGCAACGGGGTCGACTTACACGGTTGTGCATTCTCGGTGTCGACAGGGGTCTCCATTGGCTACATGGCCTCTCCGACCCAGTCTTTCCACGACCATCTGGCCTATCAACCACCCCTGACCGACCGAAAATTCAACTTCCAGCAATTCGACGCCGTCCACGGTCATGTGACACCCCTCGCGAGCAACGTCGAGCCATCGCGCAGCCAGCTCGACCCAAGGGCGCAGCGCGGCTGCCGTACGAAGCGCCCCAAGACAGGGGATACTCGGTGTGTCAAAAGTGACAGAAATCTGCGTTGGGCGCATTGAGTCACTCAATTGGCCATTTCGGGGGATACGCAGGTTGGGACAAGACAACCCTGGGAGCAGGCGCCCAACTGTCGCTTGGTTCATTTTAGCGCGACACCCTTCTTTCGGGATGGCCCGGTCCGCGCCAGATCGCGAGGCACCGTATTCTCGGTTCTCTAGGATGCAGAAAGGCTTGAGATCAAGCCTCGTCAGTCAATTCAAATCAAGACGAGCTCGAGCGACGGTGACTGGAGACGCGAACACCTCTGCAGGGATATCTCCAAGACAAATCGATATTTGAGGTTGGAAAGCCTGTCTACGGCGAGGTCGCGACATGGAATGGCGCCACATCACCTCTCGACACACCTCTCAAGATGAGAAGAGAAGAGATTGGGTACGACATGCAACAGACGATCGCCAATGTGGCACCGTCTGCCCCGGTTGCCAAGAGCAGACACAAAAAAATGGTTTTTGGACCAGGCAGTCTGTTTGGCGTACCTGAGGTGCTGTTGTTAGCCTTGGATGTTTCAACTTGTTCATCATGCCATTCCATCTTTTCTTGCTGCCTTGGGGTGAAGCAAATCTTGAGGGCAATAACAGAACCGGGCATTTCATTCTTACTTTGCTTTCATGTGTCTCCAAAACGCCTTGACTAATTGATTTGTTGGTTGCGGTGCATGTTGTTCTCTAGATCAGCTCGAGTTGGGCCGTGCGTGACAGGCTACCCTGCACTTGATCGACGTTCAGGACCTGATACTGTTTGTTGTGCGTGGTTCTCCTGTTTTATAGAGTGGAATGTAAATCCTCGTCGTTGTTAACGCTTGTACGCTCAGTCGTTAGGTTGGTACCACCAATGCGCAAGGCTATGTCTAATTTCACGTTGATCTTTGTCATGGCTACGGCAGCAGCCGTTCGTTTCGAAGAGATTGGCACTTGACAAAACTAATACATCTGCTCAGACACAGCATTCACAGATCATGATCATTCATAAACCACCGGCACAATTAATCGCGAATACCATAGTGAATGTCGCATCCAGGCTCTGGGGTGGACTTTGAAAGATGTGTTATGTGACTGAGTCTGCCCCTACGACCCCAGTACTTGTTTCTGAGCAAATTGCCCGAAACATCGAGGCGCATCATGAACACGTCATGTGATAAGTACAGTTCCACCACAACCAGCGGAATCGTGCCGCCCACGAACCGCCTTTCTACGATTGAGGTCGTCCCTGTCTCCCGGGTGTCCGCATAATGAATTGGGCTAGAGCGTCTGAGTGCAGCGCAGATTTGATTCTGTATCCGCGATTAGGTCAATTCGATTTTGCGTTCCTGAAGCCGGCCCGATGCACGCACAACGCAGGGACCAAGACCGAGCGAGGGGCGCATATGTACCTCATCGTATTGTGTATGTAAGCCGGCAAGGTGTCTTAGACCTCTTTTTCCTTCAGAAAAAAACGGATTTGAAGCATGGACGTCCTTGACCGACACTTTCCTGATTACTAGTCATCAGGAGCAATTGCTCCCGATCATCGGTAGCGGACACTTGTACGAAAACAGGGCAGAGTGCAACCTCCAAGCACAGGCTGCACCAGCCTCCACACTTGACCAGCTAGATCCACGGCGGACCGAGCAAACTGATTCAGGAAGGGCTTACTTGTTAGCACTCACAGAGTCACAGATATAAGTACGCATGCGTGATGGGCCGCGAGGGACAACACCAATCCGGAACGATGCAAATTTCACCCCGCAACGTTACCATGGTGAAATTGTGCATGTCGGGCCATCGGCGGTCGGTCTTTGGTGATCTCAGCTGTTGCTGCTGAATGGAGTTGGGGCTGAAGGGCCCTGAGGTTCCTCTCTCAAGAAATGCCATTCATAGAAAAAGGGTGAGCAAGCAGGGAAGGTTCAAAGCAATGGCACGGATATTTAAACGTCCGCAGGCGCTGCATGATGCTATTTCCATCGTCAGATGGGCAATTGCATGAGCGATATAAGGATGACATGCGAATTCTTGATGTGTGAAACCCCGAAGTCTCGACGCCCCACATCCAGCCATTCATTCGGGGTCTGGACGATCCTGATTCCTGACCGCTTCTCCAGTGAAACTGTGAAATACGCGGCCAGAGTGTCGCACACCTTGGCATGGAATTGTGCAGAATTGCTGGACAGCAGCTCGTAACACTACGCGGCAACTGGGCACTCTGCCAAATTGTCCAAAACCCAGGGGGTTGCGTAGGTAGTCATTGGGATATGTGGTGGAATGGATCACGGAAATGAAGAGGGCTGACGGCAGTCTGGCTTGTCATGCTTCTCGGGGGACGGAAAGGTATCTTCTTGTCAGCACAACGCGGCGTACGTATGTGTAGTCGATCTGTGCAGAAGCGACGAAGCGTGTCAATCATCAACCAGTCGCTGCAGGCAACGTGCCTAAGGTATTTGTGAATCTGTGATCATCACTGCCCGACAATTGCCAGGTGGCATGGCGTGATCAATATGCGTTGCTGCACGCCTATTGTATGTCGTGGGCGGCTGTGAAGGCATTGGTAGAACGCTGACCGCCGTGACAACAAGTGGCACAGCCCTTTATCGGGAGTTGGTTACCTCATATTGTGTTGGTGATTACTCCGTAGTACTTGCGTGGCAGTCTTCGCCTATTTTGGGCCAAGGACTGATGAGGGGTCCTTGGCTCCTTCCCTTCAGTTGATCCTGATATACTACTCCTACTGGGGCGCAGGCAGGTACGTAAGACCGTAAGAGCTGCTGAGATCCAACAAGTGTCAGCCAATAGCGGGCAGGATCTGTTCTCCGTGCCGGTGCCTGGTTGGAATGCAAGGACACGACGTCAAGGGGGGAAGATTTCCTTCGGGTGCATCCCCCTCCACATGGCATCGCTCACTCCCGCATTCCTGCCCATCGTGCTTCATTGAAACGATATCTTCTAAAACTCCAAGGTCTCGACTCGCGGAATTGCAGATCCAACTGTGTCGTCCCCCTTTGTATACATCCGCTGGCCGCCTGTTTCACTCGGCTCCACTAGTGAGCTCCTGCTCCATTTATGACCTTTTTTTTTCTCGCTACAGCCAATACGAATTCAGGCTTTGTGCTAACGTCATCGCTCCACCACCACCACCACAGCCTCCAGTCCTTACAGCCACTGCCTGCCACCGACCGAGTTGTCCTAAAGGCATACTAGCAGAAAGAGAAGGAAAAGCGCATTGCTTTTTTGACGAACTCTAGACGGAGAGCAAAACACTCAGTAACAATACTCGTGCATGGGTGAGCGCTGCCTGTGCTTCTCAAGTACCTTACCCGATCCGATCCATCAGGGATCCATCCTCTTCGCCATCTGACACAACCTGCTAACTCAATTTCTTGCGTAGGCAGTCCACCCACAATAACCTTCGAGCGGTCCAGGACGACTGACCTACTGTGCGCTACAATCCGCTCTGGGGCCCGCCTGGCTCCCCGTAAACGTGCTTCCCCGGTGGCACAGAGCCTCCCCTACACGGCCGACCTACGCGCGGTACGAGACTGTCTCGCCTCCGTCCGACCGTCCGACCCGAGACATAGACTACCCCTAGGGTATCGCACTCGCTCGTCTCTGCCGTCGTCTCGCTTCCCGGGCCTCCCCTTCTGTCCGCTGGTTCATTTCTTCCCACCCAAGCTCAGTCATTGCACGGCAGCACTCCTTGTCACCCTGCAACCCTGTAGCTTGGACTGAAGAAGACGTGGAACACAGTCAGGAAGGAAGAGCTGGCAAGATCGAGACCGACGAGACGAAGCTCCCTGTCATGTTGCCCAACATGACTTCGAGTAAGTCCTCTCGGCCGTCTTTGATGCCTTCTTCCCTATCTTCTCTTTCCCTCTCCTCGCTCTCCTCACGACCCTCTACACCTACGGCCGAAACCAAAACGCCTACCAGACCACGAGCAAAACTTCGCAGAAAGTCCACCGTTGCTGCTGCCAAGAGCTCGACTGGTGCCACTGGCTTTGGAGAATTACCCTCGCCCGAACGCCATCATTCCCCTACCCGTAAAGATGCGGACCTTGGAGAGCCAGTGGCTCCCAAACCAATGAACAAATCGAAGACCTGGAGCAACCGCCTCTCCTTTCTGATGCCCTCGCTCATTACCAACGATCTAGATTCTCAGTCGGGCTCCCTGCGCAGGAAGCCGATAGTTGGCTCCACGAAGTCCGACCCCCCGACAAGTCCAAGCGTCACGAGCCCTGATCCGCCTCCGTACAGATTGCACGACCCCCAAAGCCCCGAACGAACGGGCCAGTTCACGAGTAACCACTCGCTACCGCTGAGACACATCACTGAGGCACAATCCAATGGGTCACAAACGTCTTCGATATCCTCGAGACCAGGTTCCGATTCTCTGCAGAGTCTTGGGCTGCCGCCCCTGACCGAAACGCCGATGTCGTCTGCTTGGATAACGACAGAAATGCCCGCGCACCCCGAACATGCACCACCGGCACCACCTTCTCCCAGGATTGCCGCGGTCATGCAGCAGGACTCAGCTTTGAAGACTGGCACTCAGCGGAGTTCCACGTCAACGACAGGTAGTGCTTCGAAGGAAGGCTCGCCGAGGCAGAAGCTGCACAAAGAGCTGCCGGAAAACCGATCCCGTCGAAATTCACTCAAATCCAGTTCAAACCATGCGAGTTTGCAGTCTGCTATCCATAGCCAGCCAGTGGCCTCCGACCAGCGAGCTCTGCGCAGCGTCTCAGCCCAGATCCCGGCGCCGGCACCTGATCCCAGCGACCCCAGGCCTTCTCGAGTCCCATCTCTACCGGTTGTGCCCAGCGTCACAGCCACGCCTCCTACCGAGAACGCAAAGAGCCAAAGCCCATCCCGCGGACGTCTTCGCCGCAGTTGGTTGCCGGGTGGAGGCAGGTCGAGATCTAATTCGGTGGATGTGCATGGGAAGGGTCCAAACACGCCGCAGGCATGGGTCTTGACTGACGGGACACACGCCGAGTACAACCCTTTGCTCTTGCGAAATGGCGAAAAGGTAAGTTAAGACGAAGCCATGTCGGGATCTGAAGCAGGCTAATCTTATCCATGTAGGTACCCGAGCTGTGGAATGAGAGTGGCAATATCCTTGTGTACCTGTATCCGCAGGCTAGCGGGTGCGGGCCGTCGTTCAAGGTGATGGAGTTTACCGTGAGCTCGTCATACGTCTTCAACGAGCTGATGCAGACCGATCGTGACAGCCTCTTTGGGACTAGAAGTCGTGCGAGAAGCTTCAGCGGTCGGAATAGCTTGACGGCGGAAGATGCTGGGCGCATTCGATCGCCTCCTAGCTCCCCTTCCGTCTCTGACTCTAATACTGGAGACATGAGGTTGTATTTGCCGACTGCGCCCCCGTCAGCAGATTCTGGGCAGTTGGCAGCGCCCGGGGAGGGGTCAAGTGAGGAACTGGACCGACTGATCGCCATTCGGAATCTATTTGCGTTCCTCACAGGGCAGCCTCTTGTGGCCACCAAGGCACGTCCTACTGTATTCAAGGTCTTTCTCCAGATCGCGACCCTGCTGGAAGAATTCGGCTTTACGAGTCCGGATGGCGCGACCTTTGGAACCGCTGTGGACCTAAGCTTTGAGTTCTACATCGATCAGCTCGGCCTAGCGGATTGCCGCCACAGTCGTGAGAAGACGATTGAGGCTCTCATTCTCGGCGAACGCATGCGGAACATGGACCTATACAGCGAGGCGTTTGCCCACGCAGCAGGCAAGTATGCGGCCATTATGGATCTAAAGCTGCCCCTGTACCAGGAGGTGAACCCTCATACACGGCAGCAGCTTGAGCGAGCTCATTTCGATCTTCTTAATCGTCAACACGGAGTGAACCAACATATCGAGCAGTTTGAGTTTCCCTCGCTGTTCGCCGGATTGGCTAACTCGACATCCATTCCGGAGTTGCGCCACGTTCGCTTCAAGGTGTGGAGGAACTCGTTCAACAAGCTGCGGTCATTCGTGCTCAGCCACTACAAGTCCACGTTTGGCAACTGGCCACCAAAAGCCAGCAGCAGCAAAAATCCCTTTGCGGAAAGCGGGTTGAATAGGCTGGTGCTAAAGATGCTCTACTCGGACATGTGTGCTTTGTACGACTTGCTTGTGGATCGCGACCACCTGACATCCAGAATCATGGACGAGGTGCCGGCCATCTCAAAGGAGCCGGGCAAGATGACGACTTCGGCTCTGCGCAACATCATGTCCGAGTTCGATCGATCCAAACCACCTGTTCTGCCACCTGTCCCGTTCGACCTCCCGCAATTGCCTTCCATGAGCTCTGTTCTCGAGACCTATCCGACCCTGTCTGCCAAGGACCAGATCAAGTTCGATAAGGGCATCAAAGAGCACGAGCTCATCTTGATCTTGAACAAAGCGTACAACTACGATGCGAACACCGTTAAGCTGCCGTTTTTGGAAAAGTTTAAGGAGTTTGAGCTGCGCGAGGCCAAGGGCAAAATGGCTCCCGACCTGTACGACCAACGCATGGGCTATTGGTTGTTTCTCTACGTGGTGATCCAGTCATTACCCATGCTAGTCGTGGACGCTCCCGGCCTCAAGTTCACGGAAGGGTCTGAGTACTTTCTCTGCCAGCCACCCATGGGTAACCCTCCGTGGATTGAGGATCGTCAGGTCAAGAAGATGTGGTACGAAGTAGCTGGAGGTGGAGGTTTGGTGCAGTTATCTACTGATGCTGTACTGTTCAGCGTGGAAGCCACTTATCACCGCAGTCACTGTTGGCTCGCTGCGAAGAAGTGGCAGGGGCTCGCCGATCCAGAGCTATCCATGGAGGACCCGGGCTTGCCTGTGCTGGAGCCACCTCCGCCTATGCCGCAGGATGACGTGATGGGCAGCGGTCCTCCCTCTGTCGTAGGCGGCACCTCGACGCCACCGGGCAGCGTCGCCTCGCCGCCTGTCACCCTGCTCCCACGCAATCTATCCCCAGGAGGCCCTGGAGGGGGCCGGACGAGTCGGGCCAGCCGGGCCAGCCAGGCCTACAGGTCCAGTGTGGCTCTTGGTCTCGAGCCTGTACCGATGGAGCCGCCCAGTCTGTTCGGCGGCGGAAACCACGCACGCAGCTCTTCCTATGGCCCCCGTCCCATGAGCTCCATGCTGGGGAGCAGGACGCGCTCGCATGGGAACTTGGTCGGCGCTTTCCAGTCGTCACAACTCGGGTCGCCCACGTCTGATCCGCAGGACGATCCTAATACCGGGGCCACGTTTGATGACATTCTGGGTCAGCCGGAGAAGAAGTCCACTAAGAAGAAGTTCTTCTTTTGACCTCGAAACCTGCTTGCGGTCCTTTCTTTTTCCCTTGTACCTCTTCGACATTGCGGATGTTTTGCATATTGTGTGGAGTTTTGAACAAAAAGATCTGGCCATAATTAATCCCGGGGCCTCGGTACGTGTACGTTGCGATGAAGAGACAGACAGACACCCAGTTGGATACTAAATAGGAACGAACCATTCTGTCACGAGCGGGTCCAAGGAGCAGGGGCGAAATTATTTAAATAGACATTATCATGTGCGTTGCTTTCGCTATGAAGAATATCGACGGCTGGTTATTATGTGACTTTCTTTATATGTGTATGTAAAATGCATCATCCCGTTAACGCCGGATCCCATGTTCTGTACTCTTTTGTACAGCCCAGCCCGCCCGCCCGTCCGTCCAAAACGCCGGTAACAATGGAGTGCGCAAGGTGAGCGACGCTGTTTGTGGCTCTGGCCTTCAAGAATAGACAAGAATTCAAAACTCCCAAGGATGCGAATTACTGTAGCTCGATCCTGGTCCATCGGCCACGCTCCGTGTGCCACCACCTCTCCTTCTCCTTCTTGTCCGCCACCACGCCCTCTCTCCTGTTCCAGGCGCCTGTGCAGCCTTCCCTGCCGCCGGAGAGGACCTCACCCGCGTCGCCCATCAGGTCGCGCATGTCGACCGCGCCACCCTTTTCGTCACTCGACCCGGCATCAGGGAGGAGGTTGTAGATGATGGGGCTGCCCACTGTGCCCATGTAGGCGCCCAGCTGGAAGGTGTCGACCGTCGCGCCCTCCTCGTCCGTGACGACAACGCCAAACTTGGGATGCGCGCGTGCCTTTTCGAGACGAGTCTGAGCTGCGAGTCGCGCGAGCCTCAGGTTTGTGCAGCTGAGGGGGATAGGCTCGAGTCCGCTCGTCGTCGGTGAGGACGGAGTTCGAGGGGAGAAGGATAGATACTGAAGCGGGGATATGGGCGATGACTCGAACGAGGGCGACTTGGGGAGCGGTGGTCTGTCGGTTGTCATATCGCTGGCGCAGAAGCGATCGCTCGGCAGATCAACGCGTTCCACCGGCCGGCAGAGCTGCTGGAAGACGGCGTCGGGATCGTTGGGCGCGCGCAGGGAGCGCAGGGCGGGGAAGCCGCCCGCGGCGATGGAGCGTGCGAGGATGTCGTCTGCGGCGTTGGCGCAGTCGCGGTGCGAGGTGATGTCCCAGTGGATTTTATTGAGGCTGGCGGAGGCGAGGTACGGCATGAGGCAGAGGGTGAATGAGTCGACCTCGGGCATGAGGGGCGGGAAGGCCTGCGCCAAGGAGAAGGAGGTGAGGCGGGAGAGGTTGGAGAGGATGCGTGTGAGGGTCGCGAGGGAGGTGAGTGGCGTGTGACGGAGGTGGAGAGCCTGGAGCGATTGGCTCATGGGCCGCGTGGCGAAGGAGGAGAGGCCGCTGGAGGAGATGCCGGTGATGTGCGTGAGGCTCAGGGTGCGCAGTGGCGGCAAGGCGAGGAGAGTAGCGTCGTTGAAGGCGTTGGGTGGGAGGTTGCAGAGATGGAGTTGCTGCAGGTTGGGCAGCATGCTCAGGGCTCTGGTGAGGAGTGAGTCTGGCGTGATGGTGGCGCCAGGCAGACAATGTATCGAGAGGCTGGTGAGCTCCGACCAGCGGCGATGGTGATCGAGGAAAGCCCCCTCCTGAACGGGGGAGAGCTCGCCCGGCATGACGAGGCCGTTGGCGAGGCGGGTCTGTGAGCCTTTCTGCTTCTGCAGAGCAGAAGGCTCAATGACCCAGTCCATCTGCTTGAGCTTGGCGCGCGTAGACAGGGCGTGGAAGATCTTTTTGTGCGAGTGGTCGTAGGGTGTCCTGTGGCCATGCAGGCGCTCGAGGTTGGGGCACGCCATGACTAGAGTCGCGGTAAGATCGTCGTACTGCTCCAAGGTCTTACTGGTGGTGCCTTTGGCTGTGGTGTCGAGCCTGGGTACTTTGAGTGAGCGTACGTGAGCCGCCAGGTCAGGCTCTGAGCGCAGTGTCCTACGTAGCAGAAGAAGCCTTGCGCCCTGTATGTTCTTGAAGCGCTTCTTGTGGGAGGCCGAGTCCGAGCCGACAAGCTGAATGTCACCGTAACTGAGACTGTTAGTACTTTGACGTCATGGCCGTCTTGTGCTCGGCAACTCACAGAGCAGCCCGTGCGTAGATGCACCATCGCTTGGAGGAAAGCGCGACGGAGCACAGATCTCGCTGCCAGCAAGTCGCACAGCTGACTTCTCCATTTGTCTTGCTCCCACCCAGGTGTGCATCTTTGAGATTATCTAATATCAGTTGCAACACCTCGCCCGGCAGTGCCTCGAACAGCTCGTTCGGTAAGGGATTGGTCCTCCTCCTCCTCAATGGCTGCGGCACCCGGTACCCTCCGCTCGTGACCTTCCATTGCCCACTCGACTCGAGAGATTCGATGCTAGTCCTGCTGCCCCAGGAAGAAGAGCGCTGGAGCTCTGAGCGTACCGATTCGCGCGAGAAGATTGTCGAAACAGTGGTCGCAGAACTGTTGGATAATTTCCGCGGCGAATTCAGGGCTGTAGGTGGTGGCGTGCCTGGCACCTTGCCAGAGAAGGTCTGCAGGCCGGGATATATGGGATAGTTTGTCATGGGACTGCTGGGTGTATCAGGGGTCTCGGTCATGTCGTCGACTGCATCCTCCGAAATGGCCCAGAGGTTTTTGTTCACCGGGGAGCCGGGTACCATGTCTAGACGAGCCGTCTGGATTGGCGGCACGGTGACTGTTCGCGCCATTGGTGTGTTTTTCTCGTCGATTGAAGCCCGTGGTTGCCTGGCGATGCTATTTTGCTGGTGATAGTAGAGCACTGCCAAGCTCGACGTGGAAGATGGCCGTTTTCGCTTGGTTTGTAGCTTGTTGGGTCTGCGGCTGAACCAGAGGTTGCGTTAGTGCACATGAAAGAATGGGCCAGGAATTTTTCTTTTTTCCAAGATGATGAAAGAGGTGAACGAGAATAAGCAACGCAGGTGAGATGGAAAGGAGCCGAGTCGACTGGAGTCAGGGGTTTTCCGTAGCAACAGGAGCGTGGAATATGGGAAACAGAGTCATGTAGATGATTCTCCATGCCCAGAAACGAGCGTCGAGAGCGTTCATCTCAGCTGGGCCAAGATCAGCACCGTCAATTCCGCTTGGCTTGGTGGCTTGCTGCTTGGCAGGGCCCCTTAAGAAGTTAGCGCAAGGCCCCGCCTCGGCGATCTCAGGGGCCGCGCCACGCCACGCTGGGTGACTGAGTGGTTGCTATTTGCCTCCAGCGAGTGAGGCTAAGGGAAGCGCTCTTGGTCTGATGCAAAGGCTGCAGGGCAACTCTGCGTCGACCGTGTCTTGGACTCATAATGGATGGGTGTAGGTGATGTGGCAGTGTTGATGCTCCTTAGTGCACCGACTGAGACGGGGAAATCACGAGCCTTGGCCCATGTCAGTGCCGCGCAGGTGCGTGCGTGCATCTCTGAGATGTGTGGGGAATCCATTGGGGACCCTCCTTCGTGTCCAGGGCTCCAGAGTCCAGAATCTAGCCAGGTCCGAGGGCCAAGGCGAGCCTCGCCAAGCTGGCGTGGCCTGGAGGCTGCTGGAGCCACGTAGGTAGACTACGTGTAGTGAACCAGAGGCACGTGCACCGGAGAGTGTGCATGCGGGCCCGCTGCGGGAAATGAGGGAATCGAACATGAAAGGATGGGCAAGAGAAATTCAGCAAAGTGAAGAAGAAGAAGATGCCCGACGCGTTGAAAAAGGGAAGATCGGCTCCTTACCAGAGATCTGCCGAGTGTCGATCCCGGCGGTGGCCCTTGCCGGTCGCTGCTGCTGCTCCTGCCATCTTGTCGCCTTCCGAGGCTTCTGCTTCTGCCTGCTTCTTCCTGTCCTCCAACACGGACAGCGAATTTCGCTTGCTCGAACCAAAGAGGCGCTGCATCGTGGCGACAAGCCGAAACGATGTCTGTTTATCGTTCTGCTGTCGACGTCTAAACTGCGAGACAATTCTTGCCTATGTCGTCTTCGGCCGATTACTGATCGCCTCTGCAACAAGACGTGGCCAATGCAGCTAATAAAGCGCCAGGCTCTGCGACACCACAAGACGAGCGGACAGGACCATCCGCTTGCTCGTTGGTCCGTTGCCGCACAACAAGCACTCGAAGCCAGGGCGAACAGTAAGACGCGAGACAGTTCGAGAGAGCCGAGAAAAAGGCGTCGAGGGAAAATGCTCTCAGACATGCATCTCGACGGCTGGCTGGCTGGACGAGTGACGGACGGACTGCACCTGTGGTGGGATAATCAGATGATGTGAGGATGGAATTGTTGACCACGTCCGTCGTGGTCGCTTTATTTCGCCCAGACCCTGCCTCCCAAATATTCATGCGGCGACTTTGTCGCCAACATTGGAGCAGAGCCGCAGACGGCTCACTGGCCACCTTTTGCTCGTCAAAAAGTGGGAAGATGCAGAATTATGAGGCTGGCGGGACCACTTTGAACCAAGTTTTGCACATGCGCGGTTGCGCACGCGATGCCGAACAGGGTTTGCCTGTTTTCGATGCATAAGCTTCAAATATCGATCGAAAGATTCGAAACGACGTCCGAGGCCCTGAGCTCCCCCCGCGCCCTGCCTTACGCACTCGCACCCATGCCTCTTCCTTCTACCTTCTTTATTCCATCGCAATGACGAAATAATGACCGCGGGCAATGCTGTGCTGCAGTCTGGTGAAGTTGCGGCAACCAACACAGCGTCCAGCTCGGATTGCAAAGAGGCTGGGCTTGTCAGTCGTGTGTGGGGGAGGGGCCTGGCGCCGAGAAGGCTGGTCTGGTGTCAAACTCAGGTAACATTAGATTTTAGACTAGTCGCCGGCTACGAACTATAGGTCCTGCCTGGTCTTCCTCTGGTTCTATAATAAGTACAGCACAGACAGAGGTAAGCCCAGGGTCTCCATCCCTTCGCTCTCTATTACGAAAGCCTTCACCCAGGCGCTACTGTGCCTGCCCCCACTCACTGTTCAGCGCTCTCAGCTTGAGTGGCGGGAGGTAATGTCCGGAAGACTGGCCGCGACTATGCAGCGACTTATGTCACTACTGTAGTAAAGGGTACGCTCTCAAGCCCTCTGGGGATGAGCTCGGCGTGAGTACCGTCAGAGACGTCATCTATGCGGGCAGTGAAAAGTGTTCTTGCTTCAAGGAGACCCTTCAGCACTACACTCAGATATAAAACCTTCCATTGCAAGACTGTCCAAACGCCTCGCTGCCTCTAATGCCCAGTCCAAACTGGATCATCTACTCAGCCAAATCGTACGCGTCGAGCTGGACGCTGACTATAATCCTCTTCGCCGCCGCCAGGATTCTCATCCAAGTCAGTCGCAGTCGGCATCGTCGAGCGAATCATGAAGCGAATTCCCTTTGGCTCTGACTTGCCAGGACCGTCCTCGTGACTTCGCTTCGTACCATTCGTGGCGTTCCGTGGGGAAAATTCCATCTTCTTACTGCTGGTCGGGCTGCCCAGTACCAGATCATCGTCTGGGTGCGTGGCTCTGCCGAAGCCACGGCCAAAGACGTGGTGCGTATACTGCAACGGGGCCATTTGTGACACCTCCTCGGAGTCCACCTCGGGTAGCTCGTTGATCTTGGCGTTCTTGATCCAGTTGTAGATGGGACGAATGTCGAGGATGGACTTGGCCTGCCGATGCTCGGCTTGTGTCATGTGCTGCTTGCGCTCGAGGATGACTTCGTCAATGCTGCCCTTGAGCACCAACGTCTCCACAGTGACGGACCTCTGCTGACCGACGCGACGCGCTCGTCCAATGGCTTGCGCTTCGACTTGGGGGTTTAGCACCGGGTTGATGAAGTAAATCCTCGAGGCTGCCTGCATGTCAAGCCCAAAGGCCGCTTGCGTAATGTCCATGAGCAAGACGCTGGGACACGTCAGTACCATTCTCGAAGTAGAAAGGCTCAAGGAACCTCACCGAAATGCTGGATTGTAGTCGAATGTCTTGACATACTGTGCCTTCCTGTCCGTGCTCAGTGTCTTGGCGTAGATCAGGTACTGTATTTGCATCTGAATACACATTAGTGACAGAAGGGGACCAAGAGAGAAGACTGTTGCTGACCACGTCCAGAATGCTTGCCAAATACCATGCTACATTGTCGTTCTCGTAAAATACGAGTATCTTTTCTTCCTCTTGGTGTATGGCCAGTTGATCTAGCAGATATGACATCTTTGCCGACACCGTAGCAATGATCCTCACTTTCTCCAGAGGCCTCATGGACGCTTCGTCGTTGACGCTCTTGACGGGGTCAATGCCATTAACGCCATGCGATCGAGCTTTGTGTGCGCTGTCCCCACCCAGCCGCACGTTTCCCGCGAGACTCTTGGACTGCTTGTTCGACGGCTTGGATGCTCTGTCGGGCGTCTGTGCTTGCAACATCTTTGCCTTCTCTGCTGCGCCTGCTTGTACCAGGCCACCATTCAGCAGAGCGTTGAACTTGTCCGGTTCGCCCAAAGTCTTGTGGACAAGCTTCTGCAGGTGCAGTAACAGACTGGCCGAAGTACAGATCGAGTCATTGCGCGCACCATCCTTGGTACCGTAGACGTCGGCATCGCCCAAAGCCCAGGCGCGACCGGCGCCCGCAGGGAAATTTTCGACCTGAACCGGCATTTCATGAAACTGATTGCTCAACCTCCTCAGGGAATTCGAGACTGCCATGTGACCAAAGCGAATGGCATCGCGTAGTAGAGCGTCGTCTTGGGCGGAGATCTCAACCTCTCCCCTGCGCAAGAACTCTTCGGCCGTCTCGACCGCTGTCCCAATCTCGATTGAGTTGAAGAACGAACCACCAAAGAAGCTGGCCTGTTTCAGGTTGCTGCCAATCTGCATAAGACTGCTCCTCTGTCGCGGGTGGAAGAAGTAGTCCTGGTCCGTGCGCTGCGACTGCACGGCGTTGGAAATGATCATCATGGAGAAAATGTTCAAGGAAAGCCGATCCTGATAGGACCCTTCCAGAAGGACCACCCTCTCCTGGACGACCGGCAACTTGTCGACTACATCTTCCAGGCGGTGTCGCACAATGAGCGAGTCCAGGGTGGATTTCAGAGTGTCCCATCGCCCATGGCACCCCTTTTTATGCCGGGGCAACATCACATAGTTGTCCCACACCGCCAAAGTGTCGCCTACTTCGTGCTGCGTGTTCGCCCACGGGCGAGCACCCAGAAACGAAGACACCATCATGCCAATGTGCGTGAGGTCCCTTCGCTCCATCAGCGCAGATGGCTGCGAGGGCTTCTCGTCGGTGCCGCTGTGGTCTACACCGTACAACCCCTGCGAGGGCGTTCCGGTCACCACCCAGCGATAGTCGAAAATCATGTTGCTGAGGCCTGACGCCAGATCACCTCGGCGCCCTAGCCATGTGTTACCGAGCTTGTGGCCTTCGTCGATCATGCACCTCTTGAAATGGATCCGACCCAGCAGACCGTCGGTGATGTTGCCGCGCCTGTGCTCTTCTTCAAAGCGACTGTGAGAGAAAAGAAGGAGGTCGCAGTTCAGCAGCATCTCAAGTGGAGGTAAAGGATCGGTCTTAGCAACAACGTGAACAATAAGGCCCTCTGTATGCTTTCGTATCTCTTGCCTCCACTGCGCCACCAAGTTCGCCGGCACGAGGACGAGAGTCGCATCGCTAAGATAAATCTTGGTTGGCGGGTGGGCAGAGCCATCCTCGCGACGGTGCCTCGACATTCTCCGAGGCTCGGGGGCTGGTTTGAGATAGTAGCCGGGATTGCGCCTGAGGGCCTCGACACAATGGCCGAATGCTTGTGCATCAAAGTACGGTCTCCAGGGCACGCCAAGGCGAGTCACGGTCGCTGCCGCCATGTCAATCAGAGAGGTTGCTTTTTGCCGCCTTGGGACCGGCGCAACGCCATACATGTCTGGTATTTTGGTGGCAACAACCCTCGACGCCAGGACGACAGCAAGGCAAATAATGGTCTTGCCAGAGCCCATCTCTTCGGCGAGGATACCACCGTGGACACCCTCATAGTAGCGGGGCTCGGACAGGATGGTGCCGCCGCCGCTGTCGTTGTACCACGGGTTGCCCTGGATGTCTGTGCGCATCTGGAGGCGGGGATCGACATTGTATCCAGGCGAGGACTCGCGCTGTAGCATCAATGCAGCTGATCGCCTCTGATATAGATAGAGTTGTGAAGCCAAACCATCCACTTGACTGCTGAGTATAGAGCCCATGGCTTCTCGGCTCAATGTATCGCTGACATCCTGAGGTTTTGGGGTGGGTGAAGGTATGGTGTTGAATAGATGCAGCAGCGAAGGAGGCTCGCGGCCAGGCTCAGACTCGAGTGACGCAGATGCCCCGCGGCTTTGGTGGCCATGCCAAGCATTATTGGATGTGTCGAGTCTGGCAATGATGGATTGTCGAGCTTGCCGATGCGAAAGACTACTACGGTCAAGGTGGGCGCGATGCACATCATCCGGGAGAAAGTACACACGAACGGTGCAGCGGGTGTCGCAGATTTTGTACTCCAGTCTGATCCATCGATTGGAGAAGAGAGTCTTGCATGGCTTCAGGGTATCGCTGGTGAGGAGGCATCGCTGCGCCTCTGCCTTGAGTCGGTCGTCGTCTGTGGTGACGGGAGGCTCGTCACGCGGGTGAACAAAGGAACACCAAGACTTGAACAGTGGCGATCCTAGAAGTTCTGGAGATAGGATAGAGTTCTCCTTGTCGACATGAAGTGTCCCGATCGGAAGGTAAGCGCTTGGCGATAGGTCGCTCATGTTGATCCAGTCCGCTCATCGCCGTCGGGATGACCAATGCATTGTTCAGGAGAGCCAAGATTCGTGGTCTGGAGTGAGAAGCAAATGGTGTGGGTGACAGTGGAACATCAGTTGAAAAGATGCAGAAAAGTTCGCTTCGGGTTGAAGATGTGCCTCTTGTTGGATCGATAACGCGTTTTAACAGATGAAGATGTCTGTTGGCACTTGGAAGTCACACCAGGCGGCAGTGAGCAGCCTTACTGTGCGCACACTGTATGTAAGGTAGCTACCACGAAGCACAGTGTTCAGACTGTGCGTCAGACAGAGCCCGCAGATGACATGCAGAAGCACCATCGTCCTGAGGCAATGGTAATCAACATGTATTTGTCATAGATCTGAATTACTTTACGCTCCAGCGCGAAAGCAAACCAACCTTCCACTCCCTGAACGTCCTTTCCTTCATAGGAAGGCATGAGTTGCTGGACTCAAGCGCTTCCAAGGCTGTCGCAATCACAGCCTCTGGAAGGCTGATGTCCTGAACATCGGACGTCATGGACTCAGCCATCTTCTCTGCCTTTTCTATATCGATGCACTGGTAGAGAATCTTCATCGCTTCTCGCTTGCCTTCCATTTGGGAGGCTGTGTAGGTGACGTTGGGGTTCAGCGCCCACAGGTGCATCGCCCGCTGTCCGCCGGCCTCGCTGCCTGCCACAAGTTTCTGAGGAAGTATGACGGACTTTGAACAGCCAGAGCGCGAGATTGTCGCAGTCAGCGTTGCGGCGAGGCATTGCTCGGTCGACGGCATGCCTTGTGTAGATGCTGTCTCGGTCGAGACCTGCCACTTGAACAGGGAGACGGAGGATGCGACATTGCTGTAGAACCCGACCGGCTCATTGCACTTCTTGCAGCTGACGTTCAGGAACTTGGTCGACTCGCCGATAGCAGGTGCACTTGCATTGTGTTGCTGCCCTCCCGATACGGAGGAGGAAAACTGGCACCGTTAGCCGGGGCTAGGTCACCCTGCAAAGTGCCATCTGGCTGTGGTAGGTGATGTGCCTTTCGAAATCTCCACGCGGTCACTTCTCTGACCGATCGGATGAAATAGAAATGCTGTCTTCAGTACGGTCAAGCGCGCGCGAACCCATTCGCGAGGAAGGGTTCCGCGGCGAGATGCAATGCCAGCGCAGGGCTGGGACGACGAGAAATATTGATATTGGGGAGTTGTATCGATGACCATGCCATTACGGGCTGGTGGTAGCCGACGCGGCCAACTTCTTCTTCCCCAGTAGGTTCAACGCAGCCAGGGGGGAACTTACTAGGATTCCGTCGCAATCAGACTCTGTGAACATAAAGGAGGTAATGTCGACGAGGCCGACAGTCTCTTGTGCTGAAATGGCGTTGCTCGCACCATAGCCTCGTTTCGTAAGGTCAGCTTGCTCAGCGCCCCCATTGGTGTGTCCATGGTCGTGGTCGTGCGGTTTATGACAGTGCCAAAACTCCATCATCTCGGCCCAGTTCTCGCTAGGAAGGTCTTTCCATTGTGAGATCTTCCCGCTTTGGACAAAAACGTTACCACATGCTCTGCAGGTCACGAGTGACCCTGGTCGCAAGTCGACGGCTGTCCATGGCAATGCCTGGTTCGAGAGAGAGAAGAGTGATTCACTAGGGAGGGTAGACGAAATCGGCAGCCTCCAACTCAGATTCTCCATTGACAGCGCCAATGGCACAGCTGACGCCACTGCCACTCTCTCGGGCAGCAAGACTTCGCGCGTGAGGCCTCCGTGCTGGACGCGAAAAGCCGTGCCTCCCTGGGTGACCTCTGCGACTGTGTCTGCGTTGGAAGACGAAGTGAGGTTTACCGCGATAGACACTTGTCGTATGTTCGATAGAAACTCGGCATAGATCAGGATTCCCGAGGGGGGACTGCTGACTGCTGTCATGTTGCGTCTGTCGATGAAAAGAGGACGTGGTGAGGTCTCCGGTCAGTCGGAGGGAAGTACGTATCGTGACTACGGAATAATTAATGGGTCCCTACCTCGCGTGCGCTTTAGAGCATGAGGTTCAGGGTAGTTGACTTTCATCATGGTTCGAACCATCATCGCCCAGTCCTCGTCAACACAGCCAGAGTGACAATGTAGAAAATCAAAACATTCAATATTGAGTCCGTTTCTTATTTTCGCGTCGAAAGAGTCTTTGAAGAGAACCAACATTGTCTGACAGTCGATCTGCTGACTCTCGTGACCTGGGCGCTGCCACTCTCCAACAAAACCGGCAGCCCAACAATTACACGATCCCCTCAACCACTCAACGTCATACCATCGTCTTCACTTTCATCTTATACACAACCCAGAAAGTGATCGACAATGTCTGGTATACTGTCATATCTCACGGGGACGGCCAACCGGTCGGGCTCGATCAATCTGCCAAGCGTCGAGATCCATAACGTCGAGACCAACCCGGACCGACGAGCCCGGTGTCTCAAGCACCTGCTCAAGGCCAATCACGTCAATTACTCCGTCGTCTACCACAACCTGCAGTACGACAATCACAACCCACACATCTTGTGCTCGGCATACCTGCTCGGGGCCGACCAAGAGCACCTCAATCACATATACGATGAGCAGATCAAGCCTCTCGAGTCTTGGCGCCCGTCGCCGGCCGAACTCAATGACTTGGACTGGCGGGATTTCCTGGGCGACAAAAATTACCAGAGGGCCTACCTTGACTACTTTGAGGACAAGCTCGCGATGGAATTCTCGTACGACTGGAAGAAGGTCGTGGAGCATTTCATGTTCGAGGGCGATCAACCGCTGTACCATGGGCTGATCTGTGGACGTAAGTACAGCCCGAACGGACACATCGACTCGGACTGACAGTGACGCAGTTGGCCATCCCCTCATTCACCTGGGTTATGCCTATGAAATGGACAACAAAGAGTTGGCGATGGAGGCCCTGGCCCTCACCTCAGTCCAGCGCTGCTTCTTGAACAAGTACCTGGATGACAAAGCATACACCAAACCGTCTTCGTTGAATGGATCACCTCTTGAGCTGCTCAACAAGATGTGCTCTGATAAACGCTTCGGCAGCCTACCGAAGAATCCCGAGTTTGACGAACTGGAGTCGATCCTAGAGAAGCACGAAGACCTCGTTTTGGAGTACTGGAACGGATGGAATCTCGATGACCCCCAGAAGCAGTTCGAGCTGTCCCAGGAAGCAGCAGTCGCTCTTCTCGTCGCCACGGTCCGGCCTGGCACGCACTCGTTCAACTTTGTCTTGGTCCACCTGCTCACGACGAGCCACGCCGTGCGCATCCTCTTGCCCTGCTTCCCCAAACAGCACCGCATCAATCTCGTCAGGGAATGGTGGCTGCTCGTCATCGCCATGTTCATCATGAAAGGCCGCCCGACCATTGACCCTGATAATGTGGAAAAGGACATTAAGCAAAAGCACTGGGGCTACGTCGAGGAGAAGGCACTCAAGTCGCCGTATTCAACGGACGCCCATTATGTCAAAGGTGAGAAGAGTCTGATGAGCCAGAGGGTGAGACTAACGTTCGTGACAGCTATCCGTGCAATGAAGGAGGCAGCCAGGACATGGGGAGATGTTCACGAGCAGTATCTACGTGCTGCAGTCACGTTTGTCGACAACTTCCATGGATGGACATTTTGATGGTTCGATTGGGGATGCGGTCACAGGTAAGCACCGAGACGGTTGTTGAAAAGCTTTCTACTTCAGACGCTTGCGACATGGCATTCGGGAGCTGTGCCACAGTCATGGTGATTGGGCGTTTGTATGAAAAAGGACGTACTATGGCAGTGTTGTATGAATGAGACTGATATACTGCTGCTATGTGATGGCTTGTTCAGCAGTGGAAGAACGCCGGTTCTTTCTACATGTCTGTAGGGACGCGCTTGGCAATACTACCTGATGATCAATTCGTAATCAGAGCAGTATTTTGGAACAAAAGTGAACAAAAATCACGGCAGTTCTTTTCCAATTGAACTTTCCATGTTGACATTGGACCGAGCTGGGCACGTCGGACGTCACAGTCGCACAGTGTGTACCTAGGTACTACCATACAAAGGGCCATGCCGCACCGTCCCAGCTGATGAGCACTCTCACATTCACGGTTCTCGTCGCGTACAAGTCCGCCTACTCCACGCTCAAGACACTCGCAACGTCTGTCGTACCAGTGTCTTCGGGACGGACTTATGCAACCCATGGATCGCGACTTTGCACCCCTCCCACCGCGCTGATGGCTCCGCCCGCGAAGCGCCGCAAGCGCAACAACGACCTCGACGTTTCAGATGACGAGAACGTGAAGCCACGCGCAGGCAACACCCTCGCCAATTTCTTGGTCTCCTCCCCTTCGTCCCCCGCCAAACACCGAGTTGTCCAGCCATCGCCAAGTCCTAGCAAGGGCAGGGGGGCTACACGAGCCACGACGCGCGGGTCGACGCAACCCAAAAACGGCAGAAGCCCGAGCTCGAAGAAGACCGCGAAAGACATTGGCACAGGAGACGAGAGGGCGAAGACGGCCGACTTGAAGACCCTCTTCTCGAAACAGGCGCAGCGCGAGCCAAAGAAGCCCACGGCGATCGACGACTTACTGAGCGACCCTATTTCCGAAGACGAGATCTCGGAGCTCAAGAGCAGCTCCTCGAGCGTGGTCGGGCAGCATGCAAGAAAGAGGTTGCGGACAGATGTGCAGACAGCGCCATCTAGCAGCGTGAGCTCGAGCCAGCGATTTCTCAAGCCGACGAACCCGAATAATGCGGAACACAACAGCGGCGAGGATCAGCGACCGTGGTCCGAACGCTTCGGCCCCAGAAACCTCGATGAGCTCGTCGTTCACAAGCGCAAGGTGGGCGATGTCCGAAAGTGGCTGCAAGATGTCATGGCTGGCCGTATGCGCCAGAGGATCCTCATTCTCAAAGGACCGGCTGGCTCCGCCAAGACAACGACCTTGCGGCTGATCGCAGACAGTATGGGTTACGAGATTCTGGAATGGAAGAACCCCACGAACAATGCGAGTTCCGGTTTCGTCTCGGCGTCGGCGAGGTTTGACGAGTTCCTGGGCAAGGGTGGGAGGTTTGGCGCTCTGGACATGGACGACGAGCCGGCGTCGCAAACGCCGGCCAGGAGCTACGGAGGCACACATGGCGACAATGTGAACCGGATACTGCTGTTGGAGGAGTTCCCAAACACATTCTCACGGACCTCGACGGTGCTGTCCGCCTTTCGCAAGTCGATACTGCAGTACCTGGCCGAACACGTGCCGCCCCTGTCCATCTTCACGCAACAGTCGCAGCGCGAACCCATCAAGCCATTGGTTATGGTCATTTCAGAGACACTGCTGACGACGACTTCGGCATCGGCGGACAGCTTCACGGCGCACCGACTGCTTGGCCCTGAGATCCTGCGTCACCCTGGCGTCGGCATGATCGAGTTCAACCCGGTGGCCCCAACATTGCTCGCCAAGGCGCTGGGTCTGATTGTGCAAAAGGAAGCCAGGAAGTCGGGCCGGAAGAGTACGCCGGGCCCTCAGGTTCTACAGAAGCTGGGCGAGATTGGCGACATCCGCAGCGCCATCTCGTCGCTCGAGTTTCTTTGCTTGAAAGGCGACGACGAAGCGGACTGGGGCGCGCGGGTGACTTTCACAAAACCAAAGAGGGGCGCCAACGACGGCGCAAGCTTGACAAAGGGAGAGGCGGACAGCCTGGAGCTCATCTCGCAGCGCGAGGCGAGTCTGGGGATCTTCCACGCCGTTGGCAAGGTGGTGTACAACAAGCGAGACGAAGTGGCCGCAGGGAACGACGTGGAGAAGCTGCCACCGTACCTGTCACACATGTCTCGGCCGAAGCGATCCCAGGTCGATGTAGACTCGCTGATGGACGAGACTGGTACCGACACGCACACCTTCATCTCGGCGCTGCACGAGAACTATGCTCCCTCGTGTATAAGCACCGACGCGATGGATCTCTCCACCCCGATTGACTACGTCAACGAATGTATCGAGTCCCTGTCACAGAGCGACCTACTGGGGCCATCGCGCGATGTCTTCTTCGGCGGGCGTGGCGGCTTTGCCGGCCAGGACGGGAGCAGTCACATCCTACGGCAAGACGAGATCACGTTCCAGGTTGCCGTGCGCGGCCTGCTCTTTGCACTGCCCAACCCCGTGCACAGAAAGCAGGCGGACGGCTCTCGTGGAAGCGATGCATTCAAAATGTTCTACCCGCAAAGCCTCAAGCTCTGGCGGGCACGAGAGGAAGTGGAAGGCTTGGTGGACATGTGGTCGTCCAAGCTCCTGAAGGGCGATCTCACGGGACCAACGAAGAATGTCACCGAGGGAGCGAGTGCCTTTCGCAAACCCAAGAGCTCGTCTTCGGGGGAGTCATCTTGGATGCAGCGCCAGCAGCAGGGCTCCCGGCCGTCAGCGGTGGACAGCTCGCTGCCAGAGTCGCAGGACAAGGTCGACGACGATGCGATCCCCTTGCTATCCCTTGGAAGTGCGGCGCGCCGAGAGATGCTGCTCGAACGACTGCCGTACATGGCACACGTGGCCCGCTCGTCCTCCCACGCGGGCAAGAGTCCAATCAAGGCGCGCGATCTCGACAAAGTGGTTGCCTTTCAGGGTATAAATGCCCCTACGGATGAGGCGTCCGATGCGGAGGATGGAGAGGAGAACGACGCTCCTGCCGCGTGGGCCACCGACAAGCCATCCGAGGAGGCCAGCCCCAGGAAGAAGCGGGCTGGCATCAAGCCGGGCGCCATGAGCGGCTTGTTGGCCCAGAAGCTCGTACTGAGCGACGACGATATTGAGGACTGACGTCCGATTTGTACCTGATACTACCTATGCATGGATCTGGAGTTTATGGTGTTGTGGATTTGCACAAGGTGGCGGTATAGGTACCGCCTAATGGCGTGAACGACGATGTGCGAATGGAATGCACGCATCCTCAGCCACAGGGATCGTCCCAGTCTGCTATCAGTGTTGTATTCAATCTTCATGGTGCTCAACAATGTAGGGCCGCCCGAGGACCCTCACGATAAGCCTGGTGCGGCGCAGTAGAGCAGCTGCCCAACATAACTGTGCCCTGTGTAGCGCCACAGCGTGCAGGGTACAGCGTACAGTGTGCCTACAGTGTGCCTGCCTGCCTGCCTGCCTAGCTTCACTGTGAACCTGCAACTTGCATGCTCCGCCATCCAAGCACCTTTGCTCCCGTGTTGATACTGATTTGAGAGCTCCAAAGCGAACATCGCTATCTATTCTACGGAAGCAGCACCCATCACCATGATTTCTCGTCCCTGCAACATCTTGTGCTTTGGCGACTCCCTCACCAGCGGGTACTGCGACTGGGGGTACACTTCCCACCCCTACTCCATCCGTCTACAAGACCGCATAGCCCAGGAGTTGCCGCCGGGCACACGCTTCGAGGTCTTCACCAACGGAGAGCCGGGAGAATGTGTCGGTGCCGATTCGTTCAGGTCCAGGCTGGAAGTGGAATGTAGGGTCTTGCCGAGTGACCAGGCCCGCCGCATCTGACAAGCTGACGCTCATCCCCCCGCGTGTTAGTAGAGAAAAGGAGTTACGACTGGGTGATCATGCTCGGTGGGACAAAGTGCGTTTCTTTCCATTCGGCGCTGCCACATGTACCAATACAAGGCTAACGGCGGCAACAGTGATCTCGGTTCGTTCGAGTTGCCAGAGGACATCTTTCAGGCTCTGCACGACCAGTGGCACCGCATCCTTCGAAAAGGATGCAAGCTCCTGGCCTTGACGATTCCTGAGTGCGGCACCCGGCACGAACGGCTGGATCGCGCAAGGAGGATTGTCAACGACCATATCATGAGCTACCAGGCTGAGAACTAGTGAGTTGGCGCTAGCGATGCTGGGTGTGCTATCACAGGGGCTTGTCGAGCTGACAGCGAGTATAGTCACGCCTTTGATTTACGATCACATATACCGTACCACTCTCTCACCGAAGACGAGCAGGACACGCTGTGGGATGATGGTCTACATTTGACGGTGGGTGGGTACAACTGGATGGGCGCACATATCGCCGATGCGTTCATCCCCTTGCTCAAGCAGGACCTGCAGAAAGCGACGAGCAAGGATCGCTACTCGTCAAGCAAGCCGTCATCAGCAGCGAGTAGGTCGACCAAGTATGAGGACGACAAGCGGGTCTTTGAAGAGAGGGCGAGGGCTCCGACAAACGAGACATCAAGGCAGGTCATGTCGTCGTGAGAAAGAGGGACCTGGAGTGAATGTATAAGGTACGCCATGATGCGCGCTAGTAGCGTCGCTTGCGAAAGAAAGCCCGTCCTATGCTGTGCTTCTAAATGAACCGTGCCCGTTTGCGCCATGCCATGCCATGCCAAGCCCTCTTTGTCCCTATTTGTTTCCCGTTCTGTTTTCATGCCGTGCCGCCCTAGGCGAGATTCGCCTCGACGAAAGCCTGGGAAAGTTAGACAAGGATCCATATCCTTCGCGGGAGTGTCCAGCGTACCGGGAATTGCTCGTGGAGCGCGTTTGTGATATTCTCAACCTCCTCCGACAGATTCTCCACATTGGCGTCCCAGCGCCTCATCTCCTTGCCCACGACAGTCTCTGTACGGCCACTCCCCTTCTGACCAGAGGCCTCGCCACCGTCAAAGTAGACGAGCCCGCCGAGTTGATCGATCCGACCCGCCAGTCGGCCCTGCTCGATCATCCTCGCCGTCGTCTCCTCTGCTCTGCTGGCGTCCAGACCCAGGAGTGACCCGAGGGCGTCGAACCGAATGTTGCTATACAGCTTGGAGACGCCGAGCAGGTTGTGCTCCATGACCGCCTTGGCTAGGACCGTCGTGCCGTCCGCCGTGGTCGCCAGCTGGTGTGGCTGCAGACCCTCGGCAAAGGTCTCGACCTCTTTGGCCGTGAGCACCCTGTCCAGGAAGATCTTCTCCAGGATCCCAAACTCGTCCAGCTGCGCCGACCGCTCGTCTTTGTAGAGTCGGCCCAGCGTCCGACTTCGCAGTGGCCCGGCCGGCGCCAGGATGGCGCACTTGGCGGCCATGCTCAGCGTGTGCAGCCTCTCCTCCTCCGCGATGGCGAGCGAGAAGCTGATCTCGTGGTACTTGTTGGCCGCCGAGAGGAACTCGCGCTGCGCGTCGAGGATGCGCGCCTGGGACAGGTTGAAGTGCAGCGTCAGGCCCTGGTCCTCGACCCGGTGCATGATGTTCTTGAGCTTGGAGATGTAGGCGCTCGCGGCGGTGCTGTCGTCGACCTCGAGGTAGTTTCGGACGATGCGAATCCAGACCGTGGCGCGCTCCTGGATGGTGACCTGGCGCTGGGACAGGTCGAGGGGGATGTCGGCCAGGACCTTGGCCGCGTCGACAAAGTCTTCGTTGTTCTCGTGCGCCGTGGCGATGAGCTCACGCAGGACGGCGACGGCATCGGGGAAGACGGCGGACTGCGCGGCCAGGATGTCCAGGGTGCGGTTGCCGACGTCGATCCAGAGATCAGGGTTTTTGAGCTCCCTGAGTCGTGCCACAAACGCGGCGAGGATGGAGCGAGACATGACCACGCCAGAGGGATGCTCGAAAAGCGTGGAGATGACGGCGATAAAGTTGTCGGCCGTCGCGTCCGCTGAGGAGCTGTCGCAGATGTAGGCGAGGGCATTCTCGTAGAGGGCGGGCTGTTGGTCGATAGGTTTGGATGCTGTGACCTGGAGCCTCTGCAGGACAGCCGGATCTGGCGCCATGATTTCGAGTGTCTTTGATCCGTATTCAATGAGGAGGATTTTCGGGAGACGTTGGCTGTGTATGCTACAGCTCTCGAAGCGGGTGACGACGATTGCTGGTGGCAGGATGTGGAGTAATTTGCTGCAGCTTCACCGAAGCGAGCTAGCGGTCGGGGGACCGACATCGGAGGCGGGGCGGGTCTTTGGTGGGGTGACTCCCACAGGCATTTGGTCATCCAGCCTACCCTGCGCACATGTATTGGGTTTGGTGCTGGCTTTGATAAGTTATATGCCCAGTCATTCTTATTCTTCCTGAAATCAGACATTGGCTCTGTCCTGTAAAATGACCAAAGTCACGATCCTAGGCGCCGGGTGAGCTCTCCAGGCCAACCTACCAAGCAACCAGCCTACTGACCCAAGTCACAGCATCACGGGCATGGCCATTGCGGGCACGCTGCCCGCGCACTGCGACGTAACCATCGTGGCGCGCAACCTCCCCGGCGATCCAGATAGCATAGAATGGGCCAGTCCGTGGGCCGGTGCCTGCTGGGTAGCAGAGGAGGGATCAACACTCTCGGAGCAGACGATGCAGCTCGACGCGCTGGCGTACTGGCTCCGTCTGGCCGAGCGGTTCCCGGCGTCCAGTGTCAAGAAGACGGTGGTCTGCGATGTCTTTGACTATGCATCCCTGGAGGACATTTGGTACAGGGACAGGGTGCCTAACTTTAGGATCATGGACAAGGGGGAGCTCCCACCGGGAGCCAAGCTGGGCGTCTCCTACACAACCATCATGTTGACCCCGTCCATCCTCCTGCCGTGGCTACGCAAGCGCCTCGAGGCGAGAGGCGTCACTTTCGAGAGGGCGACGGTCCGCTCGCTCGCGGACCTCAAGGGCATGGGCCACGACGTGCTCATCAACGCCACCGGCAGTGGACCCATGTACCTGAAAGATGTCCAGGACCACACCATGAGCCCCGTGCGCGGGCAGACGGTGCTGGTGCGAAGCAACTTTGACGAGCTGTGGATCCGGCGAGGCGAGGCGTACACTTACCACCTCGCACGGGGGGACGGCACGGCTGTTCTCGGTGGCATCAAGGACACGGGGAGCACGGATCCTCGAGCCAGCGAGGCGACGAGACAAGATGTGAGTGAGCCCAGACGAGCGATGCCCACGAGTGAACCTGACATGATGACTCCAGATCATACGTCGGATAAGCGAGAATCTGCCGCAGCACTTCCCGTCTTCCAACGTCGAGGACTTTGAGGTCCTCCGAGACCTTGTCGGCGTCCGACCGTCCAGGAAGACCGTCAGGCTCGAGGAGGAGGAGCTGGGCGGCCAGTGCGTGATCCACGCATATGGGACGGGCAGCGGTGGCTATGCCTTTAGCTGGGGTCTGGCGAGGCAGGCCGTCGAGTTGGTGAACGGGCGTCTGCATGTGCTTCCAAAGTCGTCCAAGCTTTGACGGGGTGAATATTGGAGTGGAGGTCACGTGCGCACTTTGAATCGAGCGATGCACAATCCCCGACTCGCTTGGATGATCTGCGTCCTGCATGCCAGCACTTCCACAGCGGATGTATACTTGCCTCATGCTTCGCGCGGTCCACGGGTAGCTCGATGTATTATTAGCTCCAGTCTGAAGTTAAGCTTATACAATGTGTCAGGGCCCACCCATTCCAGCGTCTCATGAAACCCAATGCCCCAGGCGCCGCCGCGTCAATGCCAATGCGAAAGGTGCCGAGCCTCCCGGTGCATGGCCAAGCCCTGCCCACCAGTGCCTCAGACTCGCCTCAGGACCAGCAGCAGCACTTCCTCGCACTTGACCCCAACTCGAGAGACGACCGCCCATGATGCGTGAGTGGCGATGCTCATCCGACCTGTCCGCCTGCGACGGCTCCCTCTTCTCCGTATCATCACCCCTCTCCTCACCCTGCTCCTCCTCGATGCGCTGCTCCTCGTGGCAAGCCGCCCGGCTGCTCCGGCTTCTTCATCGTCACCCGTGAGCCCGAGACACACGGCCGAGCACGGGAGCGAAATCTTCATCGCCTCGATACACCGAGACTCGGCACCCCGACTACACGCCTCGTGGAGTGACGCACTGTTACGTCTCGTCGAGGCCATTGCCCAGGACAGTGCTGTCCACGTATCCATCGCCGAAGCCTACTCGAGCGACGGCACCCGCAACGAGCTGAGGCAGCTGCAGCTCGGACTGGAGCGGCTCGGCGCCAGCAACACATTCACCCACGGCATGACGGGCCACGAGCTGGCGACGCTGGTCGACAACCCACCCGTGCCGCGGAACATGCAGGGCGGGTGGCTGTGGCTCGACGAGGAGAGGCGGTGGGCATTCCGGGAGACACCGCTGCTGGCCAGCCTCCGGAACGAAGCCCTGGCGCCGCTGAGACGTCTCCGGGAAGAAGAGGGCAGGACGTTTGACAGGATCTTGTGGGTAGATGACCACGTCACCTTTGAGCCGGAGGACGTGGTTGAGCTGCTCAACACCCGCGGGGGCAACTACACGACGGCATGCGCCACGACGCTCGATCCGTCCTCGCGTCTCGCAGAGGTCACCGCTATCCGCGACGATCAGGGCCATCCGATCCTATCGAGCCGATGGCCCTGGTTTCTGTCCCTGACATCCCGCGCCGCCGCGCAAAAGGGGGTCCCTGTTGCTGTCCGGTCCTGCTGGGGCGGCCTCGTGGCCATGGACGCTGCGCCAATCTACGACGATGACGCGAGCCTTGCGTTCCGGGCCATTGACGACGCACTTGCCGATAGGCGCATTGAGGCGGACGAGACGTGCTTGCTGCAGGTTGACAGTGCGGGGGACAGGGGCGTCTGGATGAACCCAGGCGTGCGTGTGACACGGACGCCAGAGGAATACCACCGCGTCAAGTGTGGACGGGTGCCCTGGCAGTCTGCCGTCTTGGGATCCTGGGCAAATCGCCTTGGGCGGTGGTTTGGAGCCGCGGCTGTGGACTCTGACCTGCGCTCAAGGGTGCAGGCATGGTCGAGAGGCGTACCCGGGGGTAGCCCGAATAGATACGAACCAGGCGTCCACTGCTTGTTTGACGGTACACGTGTTGTCAGGCGTAAGCCTGTTCTCCGTCTGCCTTGGCAGCCATAGGAGTGTATATATGTGCGTGTATATGTACAGATGAATCCATGTCATATGATCATCCATCCTCTACCAGAAATGCATACGCCCTTCAAAACATGCTGCTGTTGTCCATGCGGAGCCCATCAAACGCCAATCCAATATCCAAAGCGCATGCAGTCTAGCCCGCCTCTATTTGTTGTGCCACACCAACGTGCGCAGGTCATCCCAGCTGTCGCAGTCCTTGTAAATGTACGTCATGCTGCTGCGCAGGCTCGACTGCAGGTCCTCGGGGTGGTGCTTGAACAGCAGCATGACGGCGCCCCAGCTGAGACTGGCAAACGCCGGCCAGGCGTAGTAGTTGATCCTGGAGTGCAGCGGCTCGGCCGAGACGAGGGGCAGGCCGTGGCCCGGCTTGACGGCGATGCGGGCGAGCGCGAGGGCGACGCGGGCAAAGATGTAGATGACAATCTGCTGGTTGACCGAGGAGATCTTGCCCGTGCGCGGGGAGCGGCCGCCAAAGACAAAGTAGCCGCCCAGGAGGCCGGCGAAGAAGGAGTCGTAGGGGCCTTGCTCTGTGTTAGTGTCGAGGCGTTCTAGAGGGGTGCTGCTTCACTGACCTTCCTTGCCGGGTGTGGGACCGAATCGCTTCAGGGCCATCATGGTGAGCTTGTATATACTGGCGAAGCGGGCGAGGTTGGAGGCGTGGTGTCTCGTCGCGCGCAGCACGAGGCCGACTTTTTGTCGAAAGCTGTGCACGAAACAGGTTAGGTCCGGCCGGTGGTCAAGAGCAGGTCAACAACGTACGTTCCCGATCGGAAAAGAAAGATCATGCTACGTGATGTTAGCAGATGTTTTCATGTTCCTTTCCACAGTGGACACGTACACCAGCGCATGGGGGAAGCGCACTTTGGTCCCATACACGGCGCCATTGCGGGCTGTCTTGACGAGGGAGAGGACGTCGTGGTACTTGGGGTCGCGGACAATCTGCTCGAGCGCGGCCTGTGGTGTCTGTCAGTCTCTGCGTGGGAGGGTGAGCGTGGTCGTCGTGCAGCGAGGCTGCGCAGCACAGGGCACCCTACCTTGATGCCGTCGAGTGTGGAGGCCATGGTGATGGTGAGCGCGGTGGTGAGTTGCGCCTCGGCTGGTAGCGGCTGCAGATGGATGGATGGATGGATGGATGGATGGATTGATGGCAGTCGCGTGGGCCTTGGGGGGTTTCCAGTCGACGAGGCGGCAAAGTAGCGTTCAGGACAGACCGCGAGGCTTCGCAATAGGTATCATGAAGCAGTCATGGGGGAGGGAGAAGGGACTTCTTGTCGTGGTTGGAGATGGTCCATGGATGGCATGCCGCTGGTGAGCCTCGGGCCACAGGCGGGTATTCAGGCAGGCGCACGGTCCGCCGAGGGCTCCTGCCAATTCCAGTTCCGCCTCCACGGACCACAGGGACCCATGACGTCTCTGTGGGGGAAATTGTTAGTGCAACGGGCGGGGCAGATTGGCATGTGACACTGACAGCAGACATTAACAACACCAAAGGTCAGGTAGGTCAAGGATGGAGGTGAATGATTGTTTATAATACTGACATGCACGTCCCCTACGACCCCCTAGCACCACCGTTCGTGCGGCTCGCGCCACTGGACACCCAGAAGCGCAAAGATCCTCCTCTCGTCCCGCCCCTCGACGAGCTCCCCCTCTGTCACCCTGGCCCTCGCGGCACCGCGCAGCACATTCCTGTAGAGACCGCGCTGATTCAGGCGCATCCCCTTTCTGCTGGCGAGCAGGCGCATGCTGCGGTTGAAAATGTCGTTGCCCGTAAAGTAGAGGAGCGCCGCGCCCAGCTCCGTCTCTGGCACCAGCAGGAAGTCAATGCGTCGCCAAAGGTGACGTTGTTCTGTCGACGACGATGACGGCGACGACGACGATGGCAGCACGCAGCACCCGTGCCACTTGCTGCCCTCGGCGGACCGCGACGAGGCCAGGCACGCCACCAGGAACCCGCTCGCCTCGAGGGTCCTCGTGAGCGTGTCGAGGAACGGCACCAGGTCGCCAGACAGCTCCGTGCCGGGCTTGGTTACCACAATGTCAATGTCGCCCGACGTCTGGGACCCGCGCCGATAGCTGCCCCCGATGATAATCTCCACGGCCCCGTCGATCCCTGCGGCGGTCTTCTTCACAATGCTGCCGAGTGCTTCCACCTCGTGTCTCGGTATGCGCTGCTGCAGGTCGTCATACCGCTCTATGCCCACGAGCTGGTTGGCGGACAGCCTGGCGTCCCTCTTCAGATCGTCCAGCGTCCGGAACCCCTGCGCGATCCACTGTTGTGCCTGCTTGTTGCCAACACCGTAGATGCCCATGAACAGCCGCAGCACCTTGCCCATGGGCTCATCCTCCGCGTACTCGAGCCGTCGAAGACGGTCCGTCGTGACAACCTCCTCAATCGTCTGCGCCAGCCGTGGACCGACGCCCGGCAGCCGGAGCGCCTCCTGCTCCGTGGTGATGCGCACGTCCTGCCGCTTCAGGGTGCTGATGGCCTTCCGGTAGGCCACGGTGCGCCAGTTGTCGTTGATGCGGTCGTAGTAGCCCGCCATCTGCTGCAGCACCTCCATCGTCCTGGCGTTGGGGTTGTCGGGGCGAGCGTCCTGCGCCGTGGCTTGATTGCACGCGAACCGCTCCTCGAAGCGCATCTTCTTGCCTCGGGATGCGGGACGATGTGTTTGGCGGCTGCGTTCCACCTCCGAGCCCGCCTCTTCGTCTGCGCTTGGTAAGTCTTCGACTGTCCCGGCGTTGGAGCGCGCGTCTTCGTCGTCGTGCTCTTCGGCATCGAGTGGGAGTTCTCTATACTCTTGCATCAAGTCGATGACACTGGACAACTCGTCGCCCTTGGCATCCCGGGACGGTGTCGGTTCCGCCATGGCGCTCAGGTCGAGGACCACAGGCTGCGACTCGCCACCGCGCGGCCCGGCTTCCAGGGAAGACTCTTCGCTCCTCCCGGGCGTCCCTCTGGGCGGAACGTAATCCCACTTCTTCGGGTTCCTCTGCGGCGGCTTCAGCTGCAGCGACCGTGACAATTCCTCCGATCTCGGCGGCGGTGCTGCTGCTGCTGGTTCAGCTGTGGGCGGCTGGGCATCCGGCTGCCCGCGCAGCAAGTACTTCTTCTGCCCGACATCCAGAACGGACTTGAACTGCATGCAGTCCAGCGGCCAGTCCTCATTCACGACAGCCGCCCCTCGTGCCGCCGTGGCCAGGTCAGCCTCTACATCTTGAAACGTGAGCGCCTTGTCCACGATGAAGTGCGTGGCCCCGGAAGCAAACTCTGTCCTGGTCGCACCGCATGCCTTGGCCTTGGCCATCCTCATCCTCCGCGCGGGGGCAATGTCGTTGTTGGGGACATAGTAAAAGACCAGGCCCTGGAAGACCTGCTCAGTCGCTGGTCTCGGTGGCACGTCGCTGGCCTTTCGTCGCCGCCGCTTCGTGGCTGTCGGTGTCTCGGTCTCATTCTCACTCGTCATTCGTTTCGGCAGTGGAAGCGGCGCCGTCTCGCTGCGTTGGAGACGACGGGTCGACGCGGGGATGGCGGTGGTCGTGTCGTCGGATTCCGTGCCTTGGAGCAGGTTGTGAAGCACTCCCTTGCGTACGTAGACGCTCGCAGGTGTGTTTTGGATGACCTTGGAGGAGTCGCCCTGCTTCAGTGTCTGGGGCGCCGATGAGACTCTTCTGGGTGTCGTGTGCGGCGGTGCCCTCGCCGACGTCGGGGGTGATGGTCGTTTCGGCCGGGGTTTGAAGAAGCCATTGCAATCACGGCGCAGCGAGATTTCCTCTGGGCTCAGTGCATCGTCTGGGGGTGGTTCCAGGTTCTCGAACAGGTGCCGCTTATCGGCAAGGGAGATAGTGACGTCCATTGTCATGTCGGGCTGTCAAGGGGTGTTGATGAAAGGAAACAGTGGTCATGGTGAGATGGTACTCCATATCTGGTGGAGGCTACATGTGTCTGGCTGAGCGGCTGTGAGTGTGAGTGAGGTGAGGTGAGGTGAGGAGGTGAGGATGGTTGCCTGGCTTGAGTTAGGATGGAGTGGTCACGTGAGACGATGGAGCGTGCACCACGAAAGGCTCCTCAACAGCAACAACGCCATATCAACAATCATAGAATAGGGTATCTTGGGTATATATACTGCCTACACGGCCAAAACAGAAAATACATTGCTGCGCTTCATTCATTCACATGGCGTGCCCCGCCATGCCCGACGGGCCCCCGTTGGGAGCGTACATATTGGGCCCTGCCGGTCCCGGTCCTGGCCCTGGCCCCGGCCCCAGCCCCATGAGCTGCTGCATGTTGTGCTTCTCCATATGGTGAAAGGCGGCGGGGTCGGCCGAGTAGCGGCTACCAGCCTCATGGTCGACGTCGTTGAGGACCTCGCGGGTGAGCTCGACGTAGTCGTAGGCAAACTCGCCAATCTCGGTGTCGTCCATTCCCAAGATCTCAGCGTCCTCGGAGGCGCGGATACGCAAGCCCGGGATCATGTTGAGGACGAAGAGGATGAGGGCGGTGCCGACAAAGGAGTAGGCGCCGCCAGCCACCGAGTCGGCGAGCTGGTGGGCGAGCTGGATCCAGTGGCGGTTCAGCCAGCCGCCCTCGATGCGGGTGACGCCGTCGAGGGCGGCGATGTAGTCGGCGGCGAAGAAGGCAGTCAGAAGATTGCCGACGAGGCCGCCGACGCCGTGGACGGCGAAGATGTCGAGAGCATCGTCGACGCGAAGGAGGAACTTGAGCTTGGTGGCGTAGTTGGAGAAGCAGGCGCCAAAGAAGCCAAAGAGGACGGCGGACCAGGGGGGCACGAAACCGGAGCCGGGTGTGATGGAGACGAGGCCGGCGACGACGCCGGAGCAGAAGCCGACGGTGGACCACTTCTTCTCGAGGCGGAAATCGAGGAGGCACCAGGTCATGCCGCCGACGCAGCCGGCGATATTCGTATTGACGGCGGCGACGACGGCGCGCAGGTTGGCGGAGAGGGCGGAGCCGGCGTTGAAGCCGAACCAGCCGACCCAGAGGAAGACGGTGCCGACGACAATGTGCGTGACGTTGTGGGGGCGGTAGTTGAGCTCGTGGGTGCCGTGGCCGCGACGCTTGCCGAGCATCATGGAGTAGGCGAGGGCGGCGGAGCCGGAGGCGATGTGGACGGGGGTGCCGCCGGCAAAGTCGAGGCCGCCCATGCGGTTGGACCAGCCGGTCGGGTTCCAGGTCCAGCAGGCAATGGGGTCGTAGATGACGGTGGCCCAGATGAACATGAAGACGACGCAGGGCAGCATGCGGCCGCGCTCGGCGACGGCGCCGGTGGCGAGGGCGACGGTGAGGGCGGAGAACATGCCCTGGTAGACGGCGAAGAGCAGGTCGGGGACGCGCTCGGAGCCGACCGAGGGGCGGGCGAGGACGTTGATGAGGGCAAAGTTGTCGAGGTTGCCGATAAAGGGGCCGGCGGTGTGGGAGAAGGTGAGGGAGTAGCCCCAGAAGAACCACTGGAAGCAGGTGACGCCGGCGGCCATGACGGAGAGCCAGATGAGGGAGAGGGCGGACTTGCGGCGGGCGAGGCCCGAGTAGAAGAAGCCGACGCCGGGGATCATGAGGAGGACGAGGGCGGTCGCGGTGAGGATCCAGGCAATGTCGCCGGCCTGTGGGATGGTTAGGGCTGCGAATCAACTGCGCTGCCTGTGAACGTACCTCGTACCAGACGTTGACGTCAAAGTCGAGCGGGTTGGCGCCCTGCGCCGTGGTGCCGTTGTAGGGCACGAGGACGACGTAGTCGTGATTGTGGTCGGCCATGGTGGGCAGGTTGGGCGCGCGTGCGCGGGTGGGCACGACAGTCGCGCAGTGTCAGTCGAAGCCGGACGGACCTCTAGGGACCAGAGAGCACCTCCAAGTCTAGTCGTCCCTTACCCGGCGAGAGGGCAGGGTGTAGCAGTGGTGTGGTGGTGAAGTGGTAGTATTGCTGGTGACGACGATGCGAGGCCTGCGTTCAGCGGGTGTCCGAGTGCGCTCCTTGTTCGACGGGGGTGAGGAAGAAGCGATTGATCATATCCCAGTCGGAAGAGACATATGGGGAGTGCCGGCCGTGGGAATGAATGGAATGAATAGAATGGAATGGAGAGATTGAAGAGAGATAGATACCTAGGCCGTGGCGGCAGATGCTGGAGGGGCCCAGGCCAGAGTTAAAGCCTCGAGCGCCCGTCCGCCATGCACCAACTGACTAGCCTCAGGCAGTTAGGCCAACGTTGAGCAGCAGCAATCAGATGGCCCGCCATGGCCGTGGCTGCATTCTGTCACGTCCAGTGCATACATTAGTGGCCGTTTCGCATTGCTTTTGCTCGACTGTCGGGTGGTGGTGGTGGTGGTGGTGGTGGTGGTGGTGGTGGTGGTGGTGGTGGCAGCGTGGCAGCGTGGCCACGACAATCAATCGCGACTGACGCAAAGCAAATACGTACGTGGATTATTGAACTGGGGCAATTGGCTGCGTACCCCAGGATCAGAATCAGAATCAGAATCAGAATCAGATTCAGGGTCAAGACAACCCCCGGCAGAGATAAGCGCCCAGCAGTACCACATATGTGTAAGGGCATCGAGACACTGTCGCGCTCTAGGCACTGCGCGTTCACTGATAACGACGCTCAGTCGCAGCTCCCTCTACCAGGCCTCTCTGCGGTCTGGAATGATTTGGCACCTCGCTGCCTCTGATGGACTGTCATTCGACTCCTTGGATTCATGATTGCAACCTCATTGCAGCAGTGCAGCCTCTGCTAATGACATTTCCGATGCTTCTCGTCCTTATCGGGCAGGGGTCATGCCTGTCCTTCCGACTTCGTCCTGGCGTGGGATAATACCTACTCGTACCTACCTACATGTATATGTAGGTACGTACCTTAGATAAGAGTCGGACTGGACAGTGGATGGTCGGGGTCGGATCCCCCACGCTCAAGTCCTCGGGCCCAGCCGCCTTCTCAGTGTGTGCGCCTGCTCTCTGACAGGACGTTATTATTACAGGTATTTCTTCCAACGGAAAAGACGATAATATCTCTCCAGCTGCCTCACATATCAGATCCTGCGCATCAACACAGTATGCAAGACAATGTAACCTTCCTCAGGGGCTCGCGTCACGTGCACCCCAACGCCAGTGTCGCTAAGGTACGGATGGGCGAGGAAGTCCGGAGCTCAGGACGAACTGCCTCGTTTCCTCCCACGTGCACTCGTCATGAAACTCGGGCAGAATATGTAATACATTATATATGGCTTGTCTAGTTCCTTGGCCCAACAGACGCCTATTGCCATACGTAGATGACTCGAAAGATACATGTACAACAATGGATCCGTACTCGCGTTCCCCGGCACATATGCCCAAGCGATGCCTCCCAAAAGCTTCTCCCGCGATGCTGTTCAAGGCATCCCAAACCCATTTTGTATACGCGTGTGAATGTGTGTGTTTGAAAGCCAAAACGCCAATCGCTCATGCATCAGTAATGTCAGTGCCCCTCCCCCTGGCGACCACTTTACGAGGCCACACTCCCCTGCAGCGTCTTGAACCGGTCCTCAAACGCCCTCATCTGCTCCTCCTCGAGCACCCTCTGCAGCCGCCTCGTCTCGCGCACCGCCGCGTCCCGCTCCTCCTGCAGGTTCAGCACCTCCACCTGCGCCGTGCTCATCCGCGTCACCACCTCCTGCATCTCCTGCTCCGTGTCCGACAGCGCTTTCTCCAGCTCCAGCACCTTGGCACGGAGCGTATTCATCTCCGCCTCGTCCTCAAACGAGACCGCCGCCAGCCGAGGCGATGCCGGGAACGGGGACGAGGCGCTCGCGGTTGTCGGCAGCAGCGAGCCCTTGCGGGACGTTCGTAGCGCCGGCGACCGCAGTCCCCCCATCGCAGGGCTCCCGTCCATGCGCCGCAGATGGCCGTTGTGCGCATCCCGCAGCTTGGCAATCTCCTCCTCATGACGGTTCACGCTGTCCTCCGACGCGCTCTGCGCCGCCACGAGCTGGTCCTCGAGGCCGCGGAGACGCTCCATCAGGCTGGTGATGTGGTCGTTGTTGGCCTTGCGGTCCGTGTCGCCCCGCGTCACCGCTTCCGACAGACGCATCCGCAGGTTCGCGTTGGCCGCCAGTTGCTGGTGCACCTGGCAGGCGAGCTGCTCCACCTGCTGCGCCGACTCGACCAGGTCGCTCGCCATATCCCGCTCCGCCTCGACGCTCCGAGCCTCGCCGGTGGAGGCTTGGTCGTACTGGCGCCGGAGCGCGTCCAGCTCGTTCCGTACCTCGTCGCGCTCCGTGACGGCCACCGAGACGGCTTGCTCAAGACGCTGCATGGCCAGCAGGGTCTGCTCGTCCGACGCCACGCCGACCTCCAGCTCCTTGATACGCTCCAGCGATTCCTTGTAGGCCGCCTGCAGCTGCTGGTAGGCGATGCTGAGGGACTCGGACGTGACAGGGGCCCCTGACGATGAGCCGTTGCTGGAGCTGCTGGCGCGGGCAAAGGTCTCGGGGATGAGAATGTCCTTCTCCTCGAGCAGCGCCCGCAGCGAGGCAATCTCGCCCTCGGCCCTGTCGAGATCCATCTTGAGGCCGCCCAGGCCCTTCTCCACCTGCCACTTTTGCTCCAGCGCTTCCTCGGCACGACGTCGGAGGACGTTGATCTCGGTGCGTAGGGTCATAATCTCCCGCTCAAACCCGCCACGCTTGGTCGGCCCGGTGACCAGACGCTCACGCTCCGTCTCAAGGAGGTGGATGCGCTTCTGGTACTCGCGGTTCTGGAACTCCTGTCGCTCCAGCAGGTTCTTGAGCGCCCCGTGGAGCGCGTCACGCTGGGCCTCGACGTCCTTGAGCCGTTCGGCTAGCGCCTCGCGCGACTCGACCGGCCCCGTCTTGACGCTGTTCGATCTCGACAGGCCCATGGGCGTCCTCTGGCTCCGCATCGTCGCCGCGACCGAGTTGGACCGGCTCAGGCTGCCTGACATGACGCGCGACGCCCGCGACGCTCGCGACGGCGCCTCGGCCACGACCGAGCCCCGCCGGAGCGTCGTGTTCTCCTCCTTGAGCGTCTGCAGCTCCTGCTGCATCTTGGTCGACTCGTACGTCAGGTTGGCGTACTCGGCCGCCTCCGTCTCGAGACCCTCCACCCGGGACCGGAGCTGGGGCACCACCTCGTCCCGTAGGTTGTCCCGCTCGTTGCAGGCGTCCTGCAGCTCCGTCTTGAGCGCCTTGAGCAGGTCCTCAAAGTTGCCCTTGGACGACCGCTCCTCCGACAGCCGCCGCCGGAGGTCTTCGCACGTGTTCTCCAGGTCGCGCACCCTCTCGTTCGCGTCGACGCTGTTGATCTGCGCCAGGTCAATGTGGGACGCCCGTTCGGCGAGGTCCTTGATTTGTTGGTCGAGCTCTCGTCGCTTCGACCGCTCCTCTTGCAGCTTGCTTGTCAGCTCCAGCCGGATCGACGCCTTCTCCTGCTCTGACCTCCTCTGCACTTTCTCCACCTCGTCGCGGCTCTGCTCCGTCTCACTAGCCTTGACTGAGCCGTAGCCCGAGTCTGAAAAGTAGTCGCTCGTCCTCTTGCTCGGGGGCTGGGGGTTGTTGACTTGCTCCTGGAGCCGGTCCACGAGGTCTTCCAGATCCATCTCGCGGCGGATCGAGCCGGCCAGCTCGGAGCTGATGGCCTTGAGTTCTTCCTCCATCTCTTCTACGAGGGCGGGTGTGGCGTAGCTCGATGGGGGCGGGGTCGAGAGGAAGGACTCGCAGTAGCCGAGGGCATTGCCCGCGCCGTCATACGCCTTGGAGTCGGATAGCGAGCGGATCAGCTGCGTCTGCGGCACGTCATGGGCCGTCCCCCTCCTGGCCGGGGTCTGCGGGGACGGTATGGAAGAGAATTCCGTCGCGGAAGGCGATGGGTTGCCCCAGCCGAAGAAGGCCGCAAAGGGCGAGGGGGCGCCTCCGGTCGGTGATTTGGGCAGCGGCTTGTTGAGCTGCGCCGACGAGGGCGACTCGTCGTGTCTTGGTAAGGCGTCCTGAGTGACGGAGGAGTCGTCCGTCTGTATGTGGAGGTGTGGTGGCGTTGGTCTGGCCGCAAACATGGGAGGCGGGGACTGGTAGCGGTCGATGGGGTCAGAGTACGTAGACTCGTCGTCGTCGTGATCACTGTCGCGTTGCTCGAAAGCAGTAGCCTTGGGTGTCGCGGCGGAACCAACGTCGGGTGCCAGGTCGGACAGCAAGTCGTCGTAGCCGGAGAGGACGTCGTCAGACTGATCTGTCTGGAACCCTGGGTCGATTTTGTGGTTTTCTGTGATTGGAGTGCTCTGCGAATTGGCAGACGGTAGGTCGTGTTTCACGGCCGTAGAGGCTGGTCTACGGCACGGAGAGTAATCCAGTCAGCGGTCTGATCGATGTGGGCAGCATACGTAGTACGTAGTGCGTAGTTACTCACAAATTATCCCCACGAGCCGACGTGGGATACTCGTAGAGGGTTGGGCTGTCTACCGAGCCAGACCTGGCGAAGCGGTGGTCTGGCTTGGGGAGGTCGAGCGGCGAGGGCACACTCGACGCGGTAGAGCCCTGGGAAAAGCGAATGGCGAAGGCTTGGGCTGTCGACGACAACGGCTTCCTCTTGATGATGTTGGTGCGCGAGGCGGACGAGGATGTGCGAGGGAGGCTGCTATTCGTCGGTGATGCTGTGGCAGGTGGGTGTGCTCCTGCGACGCTGGCCGTGTCGTACAGTTCGTCCGAAGAGATGGAGGCCGAGGGCTGGTGGTGCGACAGACGGTGTGGGAGGTGCTGAGGCTGGGGGGACGGTGACGGGGACGGTGACGGGGACGGTGATGGGGAGGTTGTCGTATCGAGGGGCCGGGGTGTTGGATCAGATGAAGCAGAGACAGTGTCAGTCTCGAACTGGTGAGGGATCGACATGCGGTGGTGACCTTGGTCTCCCTGGGCGTGGGAGTGAGGAGGTGGTGAGGAGGCCATAATAATAGTATCGCGCGGCCTTGGCCAGTGCTGTCCGAAGATGGACAATGAGGAATAGGACTCAAGACTCGAGAGGGAGGTACAGTACAGTCCGGGGCGAGGCGCGCCCAATGCGACCGTGTGACTGCCGGCAGTGGGTTAGTGCAGCGCGGCCTGGTCGAATGGACGTTGAGCAGCAGGCATCAATCAAACAGGACTGGAGCTGAGGCCACGGACGAGCGAGCACATGCACACACAATCGTCGAATGGGCAGGCTGGACGTGCGAGGGCGATGGCAAGACAGCGCAAATGAAGACGTGAGATGTCGCGAGGTTCGAAGAGGACGCGCCTCCTCATTGGCCACTGTGGCTGGGCTGGGCTGGTGGCTGGCGGTATCCCATCGCCATCAGAAAGGGGGACCTGGTTCATTGGCAGCCACGTCGGCCAATGGGCGTCATCCGCTCGGCGTGGTTCCTGCGCTAGCGCGGTCGGGTGAGCGTCCTGAGTTCTAATTGGTGGTCCTGAGGGCTGGCCGTGAGTGCGTCTCCACTCTATCTCAGCGGCTCCACTCTTCCAGGGGTACCTGTGGGCCGTCGGCCTTAATTAATATTGACGATGCAGTTGGCTAATGAGCTGGTGGGCGACCATTTGATCATCGAGTCAAGTTCTTCTGAATACGTAGACAGTATCATTAATAGATTGGCCGGCAGTCGTTATTCATTGAGCTTGCTGTGAAGCCTGCGATGATGCAGCCGAAGATATATCTGAGATAAGGTACGGAGTAATTACACAAAGAAACACCGTTAGCGCGCGGGAGGAAACTTCCAGCCGCCGTGACAGTTCATGCCTTCTTCACGTTATGCCACGCCCATGTCCTTGCGCTAAATCAGTCGCGTGCGTCTTTGCATTCTACATACACCAGCTAGCTGCATCCAGACATCGTCCCACGTCGGTATCAATCGACCTCATGGCCGCTTGTTGATCCAGCTGGCCCTGATGATTAGGCCTCAAAAGGCTCACATGTTCATCCGCCTGCTGCCCCTGATCGCCTGCAACGGACCCCACGGCGATAAGACCCCACGGCACAGATGGCAATCGTTGCCTGCAGCATATTTGCATTGCGCGTACCATGCGACCTGGTGATTGTTTAATTTCATTAAAATCGCTTCTGCGATTCGCCTTGGCCACTTCGAAGTTCGCGTTCTCTGGGCCCCTGTCACCCCCATGCCGTTCGATCTCAGCCCCTGACGCCGCCCTGGTAGCGCTGCAACTTTGATCCGATCTGGTAGGGGCCACGGTCTGATTAGTCGCGAGACCACTTTACGCGTCGATCCTCATCATCGTCGTGACGGTGCCTCCTCGGCAGACTAGCGAAAGGACGCAGGTCATTGGCGTCCGAAGTCTTCGTTCGACGTCGTTGGTCACTGGGTGGCATCAGGCATTGGACGTGTACTGTACTGTACTGTAGTCTGGTCTGCAGGATCCTGGCCAGATGCAGGTGATGCGTCGGCTGCATCATCCAATCAGGGGCTGCATCTCAATACTAAAGAACTGCACTGATGTTCGCTTCCCTATTCGGCTCAATGAGGTCGTAACGTGACGGTCGACTTCACCGCCATCGGTGGTGTGGTGTTACTAACTAGTTACACCTAGTAAGATTTCGCCTACCCTATATGTGATCTCAAACCACCTGCTTGCAGTCATCGGTGAACAGATGACCCTGTACAGTTGCCAGAAACTATACTGATTATCTGCTGATTCACTATCGCTGGAGCTCATGTATGTGGCTCACGGGTGTTGTCTGGTGCCAGGCAAACCCACTGCGCGGCCCTTAATCGTACGTAGACCAACTTCCTTCACTTGGTGCACTAGCTAGCCATGAGTGATGCCTGCACTTGTTATGAAATCGTCGTTTGGATTTAAATATTGCGAATATGATCCTATAGGATTTTCAAACCCGGCTCTATTACGCATCAACCTTGCCTGCCGGCAGTAACGCCCACGATCCACTGCACGGACAACGCCGCATCTGCGCCGCCATGAACGTCAGGCCCGGTGAGCGCGTGTTGCCATGGTCCTCCATGATGGATGTGCACCGCACACAGCGCCTCCACTGCTTCTTCGCGTCCATCCTCGTCACCTGCTTGCTGAACGCGTCAATGTGCGACAGTCGCACCCCCTTGACGGCGCTCTCATCCCCTTGCACAGTGAGTATCGAGTACCCGTCAAAGAACAGACGGGCCATGTCCGTCGTCTTGCGGTACGCCGGCAGGTCCACGTGGAAGAGTTTCCGGAGTAGGGGCAGGAACCCCGGCACCGGCACCGTGGCCGTGAGCATCTGCGTCTCGAACATGGCGCGCAGGGCCTTGATCGCCTCGTCCTCCTCTTTGCCCTTGAGCGCTTGGCTCTGGCTCCTGGCCATCTTGGGCAGGAATGCATCATATGCTTGCGCAATGCCCTGCGAAATCAGCTGGTTGAGTTTCTCAAAGTCTCCCACCTTGATGGGGCTCTGCGCAAAGACCTTGTGTAGCTTCACAAAGGCAGAGCGCATGCCGGGGGTGTCCTTGCTCGCTTGACCTCCTTGTCCGTTTTGGCCACTTTGCACGTGAGGGTGTAGTTGATAATATTCCATGGCCTTGTTTGTCGTGTTGCCCATGTACGCTATTTTGCGGCAGAGGCTGGCGAGAAAGGCCCTGCTTGTCGAGCACATTAGCAGCTGCAGGGCCACCTCGCCCTGCTTTTCGAGATACGGGCCCATCTCCGACGACCTCTCGGGCGTGAGTCGAGCCATGAACTCTGCATCGTGCATGAGCTCAAAGAGAGACGACGAGATCCACGAGAGCAGATCCAACGACCACTTGATTGTACTTGCAAGAAAGTCAATGATTTCTAGAAGCTGTCAGTTTCTTTGGTCTCCCAGCACTGCGGGTGCGCTTTGCGTACCGTGGTCGTCCAGTAGGCTTTTGCGGCTGGCCACCGGGAAGGGAGCATTAGTTGTAATCGTTATGTTGAAGGCCACGTTGCGTATAGTGCAGCAAAGCATAGCGAATTTGCTCTGGAAACTGCGTGGTCGCAGGTCCCCATGGTAGCCGAGAGACACTCCTATACTCAGAATGGGTGCCAGCTGCGCGTTCTTGAGCAGCGCATCGCCCGGCTGGTCGGGCACGTAGTCTGTCTGCACGGACAGTATGCGGGTGAGCTCTTGGAACCAGTCGGCGATCATCCCTACAGCTGTTTAGACCATGGAGTCGGGGCGATGTCCACAAAGACCTACTTGGGCGGGTAGCGTGATAGGGCCGAGCGACGGCAATGACATCGTCAAAGCTGGTGGAGTATTTAACACACGTAGCTGCTGCGATTGTGAGACCAGCAATCGTAGCCGCATAGGTTTGGCCTGGCCACTGTTAATCACGTTTACTTGGCAGTGTACTTGCCAGAACTGACTGTCTTTCATGGAGCTCCCAAGGTTGTCCTGGCCACAAGTGAGTTTACTCCAGTGTACTTTGCCATTGTCGCCCAACTGGATCATGGAAAAGTGAGACGGGGAGAAGGCGATCTGCTGGCAGTGGCAGTCGTCGGGAAACGTCCAACCGACCTGCCGCAGGTGTTGCACTGTTTCGAGGCTGCGCTCAGCATACAGCTCGGCGAAGGTGAATCTATCGCGGTATTGCGAACTGCCATCCGAGAATGCAAGGACAATGACCTTGCCAAACTGAGCCGACTGGACGCCAACGACGCACTTGTCCAAGACGATCTGCTCGAGAGGCTGCAGCTGCATACTTGCGGCCACCTCGGACGCGGCGCCGTTGCGTTGCAACCGCATCTTGTCCAGTCCCGAGCAGAGCGCATGCGGCTTCTCGACGGCTTCCCATCGATTGATGACGCTCTGATTTGTTGGCGCGAACGAACCGTTCCCCGACGACCGCGCCCGGATGGAGATGATCAGAGGAGGCAACATGTCCTTCCCACTGTCGTCCAGTATGGAGGGCATCAGCAGCATCTGCGTCACGTGCGGCATGGAAATATCCTCCACGGTTTCTGAGGGCAATTGTGTCATTGCCCAATTCTTCGCGCTGAGTTTGAGGGTATGGCGCGTGCCCTGATGCCCTCCCGACTGGACTTGCTGCGTGCCCCATTGGACGTCGATCTTGACAAGCTTGAGTTGCCGCGAGGTGGTGATGTAGGCGAGCTCGACATATTCTTCTGTAGTGTCAGCAGATCAACCGCATCGTATTTGATGAACCAACAAACATACTCTTTTCCGCAGCGAACGCCGCGTGTGTGATGATTTCGTCCGAGTTCCCAAAACTCTCCAGCTCTAGCCTCGTTTCCTCGGGCTGGTTGCTCCCCTGCATCCAGAACATCTTGACCATGCCGCCCGTGGTGACCGTCAAGAGGGCGCTACGCCCGCCCTGGGGATGACTGACGGTATCCGCTTGGATGAAGGAGCTCTCGTACGACCAGTCCTTGCCGCCGCCAGCTTTGGTCGCCGGCCCGTACGACACGTTGAAGCTCTGCCGCGCCTTTTCGCCCGCGCCGCCGCCCGTGGACGGGTTGACGGGGAGCCAGTACGAGCCGGCGATAGCCTGGGCCGCATCCACCGCATCGTCGTTCCAAGACCGGGTGAGCCATGACTGGTTGACTGTGTGGGCGAACACGATGATGGCGACCCTGCCGGTATTATCAAACACGGCCAATTCCGGATTGTTCGTCTCTGCCCATTCGAGATGCACCAATGGGTTCTCCGGGCTGCCACGTAATAGAGGGCTGACAATGGGGTCGCTCAGGTCCCACTCGCCATTATCCGGACGAGTATGCAGATAGCGAATCTCGATTTCCTGGCCATTGGGCGTGATGGAGGCGATTGTGCCGATCTTGGACCATGCGATCGTTCTGTGCGTGTCAGTCAGCAGCGACTCTCACGCATGATACATCTGCCATACTTGCAGCAGCCACGACAGCGCAACCAGTCGAGCCTTGACTCGAGCTGCTTGCTGGCCGGGGGGAGCGGAAGGCCAGTCGCATCGCCGAACAGATCGGCCATGTCGCCGCCCGTGTTGTCGAGCGACATGGGCATGTCATTGTTGAGCATGATGGCCATGGCGAGTATTAGGCGGTGGGAGGGAGAATATCCCCCCCCAAAAAAGACCGAAGATGATCTGGGCGCGACAAGAGGGAGAAGATGGACTACGCGAGGTCCAGCCTCCGACCGCCAAAACCTTGGTTCAAGTGCAGTACATAGCCTCTAACATAGAAAGTGAAACTTATTAGCTGACGAAAGAAAACCAATGGTGTCCCGGTCAATTCAAGATACTTTCATGTTGTCGCGCGCTGTGAACATGAACGGTGCGGGTTTGAGTTGTCAACTTGGTGTCGCCGGCGTCGTGATAAGTGGGTCCACACTGGCTTCAAGCTTCGGATGAGCTGAGCTGAGCTCCGAGTCCTGGCAGTCACGACTCACCGTGGAGCAGGTCACGTGATCTCGTCTGATGCCTCATAATGCGCTCACGGTTCATCACGTTCAAGGCAAGCGCAATCTTGTCACACAACTGCCAGCCACCGATCTCCATTTGCTTTTTGAGACCTCGCGTGAAACTACCAGACACCACACTCATTCTCTTCCTCCGCTGTGATTAACCGCTCTGTGCCGTCCATTGTTTTGTTGACAACCCCACGATACCAACATGCTGCGCTGTGGTTCCCCATTGCGTCCTGTTGCTTCTTCGCGCAACCTCCTCGCTCCGTCTCGTCATTTCCGTTTCCTTTCCACCAGATCAACCCTCGCAATGGCTGGAGTGCATATTCTCTCATGGCCTGCGGGGTGGTAGCATTTGGTGTCGGCTCATACGCCACAAGCCGGCTATCCCAGAACATTCCACCTTTGCACGAGCAAACGCCAAGCGGAGACCGCTCGTCATTCAAATCACAGTACGCAGACAGAGGCACGATGCTCAAGGTCAGCCTGCCCGAGCCCTGTCGCTACGCGATATTCACGTCTCAGTAGGCCGTAGCAGAGATAAGGGACATCCTGGACGACGATGCTGTCAGCGTAGACCATGATGATCTGGACGAACATGGCTATTCCGAATGGTCTTTTTCGAACTCTGACGTTCGAAGTAGCCACTGTACGTCCCAACAGCACGGAGCAGGTCTCTGCCGCCGTCAAGGCGTGTGCGCGTCACAAAGTGCCAATGATCCCCTACGGTGCTGGTTCGAGTGTCGAGTGCAACCTCAGTTCGCCCTATTCGGGAATCTGCATTGACTTGTTTGGCATGCACAAGATCGTTGCTTTCCACCCCGATGATATGAATGTCGTCCTGTAGGCTGGCGTCAATTGGACCAATCTCAATGAAGAGATCAAGGAAAGCGGCCTCTTCCTGCCCTTGGACCCCAGCCCAAAAGCGCTGATCGGGGGTGTGGTGGCTACCAACTGCTCTGGTACCAACGCCCTTCGCTACGGCACAATGAAGGACTATGTTGTGAATTTGACGGTGGTCTTGGCCGACGGTTCTATCATCAAAACCCGTCATCGGCCTCGCAAAACGTCCGCTGGGTACAATCTGAACTCGCTGTTCACGGGAAGCGAGGGTACACTCGGGATTGTGACCGAAGCAACGCTCAAGCTCGCCATCATACCCGACAGCTTTAGTGTGGCTACAGCGACATTTCCAACAATAAGAGCCGCAGCAGACGCGGCTACCAAGATGATACGCTCAGGCGTGCCATTGGCGGCTCTTGAGCTCATGGATGATGCTCAGATGGGCGTCGTCAACAAGAACGGTGGCGCTGGAGGCCGCATGTGGCAAGAGAAGACCACTCTCTTCTTGAAGTAAGTCGTCCGTGTCGGCTTCTTCCTGTCGCACACGCTGACCCCCTGACCCACGCAGATTCTCCGGTACCAAGAGCTCAGTGGAAGACAATGTTCGCCTCGCCCGCCACGTAGCCAAGGCATTCCGTTGCAACACGTTCGAAGCTGCGACGGACCAGAAAGAGATGGACTCGCTGTGGGCCGCGAGGAAGCAGGCCCTCTGGGCTTCTCTCGCCATTCGGCCAGAGGGCACTCAGATCTGGTCTACGGATGCGGCAGTGCCAATATCTCGCATGGCTGAGCTGATCCGTAAGTGCGACCCGACCTGGACTGTGCAACTTTACTAACGCACAGCAGAAGCCTGTAAAGAGCGTGCCGAGAAGCTCGGTCTAGTCACAAGCGTTCTGGGCCACGTTGGAGATGGCAACTTCCACCAGATGGTCATGTACGATCCAAGGAGCCCTGAACAGGTCCAGGCGACAAAGAAATGTGTCGAAATTATGATGGAGAAGGCGATTGAAATGGAAGGGACTGTCTCGGTAAGATCACGTCTGTTTAGACCAGACCGCATAGTTAACCAGCGCGTAACAGGGCGAACATGGTACTGGCCTGGGTAAAAAGGTAAGCACAACGCCCCGCGGAATCGTTTTGATCCAAGCTGACATAAAAAAGCACTGTCTGCTCAAAGAGCTCGGACCAGAGACCATCGGTCTCATGAGAGCTATGAAGAACACCCTGGACCCGATGTGGTTGCTGAATCCGGGCAAGGTCTTTGATGAGTGAATCGCAGATCACAAACCGCCGTCTGATTGATTGGGGGAGCTCCTTGTGAGAGAAAAGGTTTCATTACGTCGAATGAGCCTGATTCAGGCCTTTTCCAAGGTCGCTGTGAGCACATGACCTCCGGATGCGACCCTGTGTTCCATCGGTCGTGCTCGTCTTCATGTTGCCTTTCGCAAGGCATGATAGAGATGATTCGACGCTGACAGCAATGAGTCTAGGCGCCTTGGACCATGGAGCTCACATGAGCAACTCCCGTCCTGGTGATCGACATGGTCCCACGTCACAGGCATACATGCACTGACACTATCTCTTCATAGGCCGCTACGAGGGAGCGACTGATGGCACAGACAGCTTGCTTGCTGTCTTTCCACGACAAAAAGTACTAAATAACCGGGGTGCCCGCGATTCAGTCATGCTCTCCTATACCATTTCCGAGCTGACTTGGCATTACTGACACTGCACCCAACTAAACTCACCGAGGCTTCATATCGTAACCAGCAAGCAACATGGTCTTCAAAGCCGCCATCGCCGCCCTCGCAGCTAGCGCCCAGCTCGCTTCAGCGTTTGAGAAGCCTGCTGCACCTGCTCAAGGCATGCGTCTAATCAAGTCTTCGGAGGAGGATCCTGGACAATGGATCTTCAAGGAGGACAAGTACACCATGGTCAAGTCCAAGAGAGGACGCAAACACTACATCGACATCACCAACATTGAGGACGATTTTGTGCTGGAGAGATTGTCGGCCAAGAACCGTGTGGCGGCGCAGAAGGCGATCGAGTACCCGGATACGTTGGGCCATGTTGACGAGGCCCAGTCCTTTATTAGCAGTGCCGGCACGGAAGGGCCTCAGTTGGGGCTGAAGCACCTGACCTCGTGAGTGACTTGCAACGCAGGATCTTGGCTGTGACTATCAAGCTGACCAAGATGGCTACCATGGGTACCACAATCGTCATTGCGAGTCCGAGAGTGGCACGGAGGCTGCGAATCGGCTCTTCAAAAAGGTCCAGGACCTTGCCTCGGCTAACGCCGCCATTACGGTCGAGCAGTTCCCCCATTCGGATTTTGACCAGCCCTCTGTCCTTGCTCGCATCCCAGGCAAAAGCGAGAACCTGGGTGTGTGTACCGTCAGTCCTCACTTGACGTGCGTACTGACGAGTTTCTCTAGTGATTATCGGCGCCCACTTTGACTCGGCAGCGGGCAAACCCTCTGCTGCCGCTCCCGGGGCGGACGACAACGCCACCGGCATGGTCGTTGTCCTCGAGTCTTTTCGCGTTCTGGCCCAGGGCGGCTTCGAGCCCGAGAACACACTCGAGTTCCACTGGTACGGCGGCGAGGAGATTGGCCTCGTGGGCTCGGCCGACGTCTTTGCCCACTACCGCGCCGCGGGCAAGACTGTGCTGTCGTACGTGAACCAGGACATGGCCGGCTACTCGCCGAGCGGCACGCCCGCCATTATCACCGACTACACCGACAGCGACCTGAACGCCTACGTCAAGCTACTGGTGACCGAGTACACCGGCCAGGCGCCCAACGAGGATGCTTGTGGCTACGGATGCTCGGACCACGCGTCCGCCGATGCCAATGGTTTCCGTACGTTGCTTTCTTGCCCCGGGCAGATTGACGACTGCTAATCAGCCACACAGCTGCCGCTTTCTTGTTTGAGGACTTCACCAACCAGACCAGCCCTTATATCCACACCGTCAACGATGTAGGTAATTGTCTTCTTAAGTTGGCATGCTGTACTAATCGTGCGTGCAGACCCTGGGTACCATCATGTGGGATGCTGTTGAGCGTCACATTCAGTTCTCCATTGGCTATCTTGTCGAGGCGTCTTATCTGTAAGGATGGGTGGGATACACACAAGGCAAATATGCCGCCTGTGCAAGTGCCCAATGATGTGCAATCCCGACATGAAGCTATTTTCAGCAGAAGGATGGATGAGTGCCCTGCTGCATACTCCACGTCCCAGTGCCCAAGCCCCAGGTTACAGAGTCGCGTGCGGCAAGATGGATATGGTAGCCTGGAAATGCAAGGTTCTTGGTCTGTTCCATCCTGTTTGCTCTGATGCTGTGGCCTCGCTCGGCCGAGTCATCAGATGTCACGCGAGCAGTGCAGATCCTTGACTGGACGGAATAGGAACGATCTTCTCGCCGCTTGATTGTACAGCAGCCGGGGGAAGCAGCTGTTTGTTATGAAGAGTTTTGTGAAACGAAGAGTTGAGCTGAACCTGGATACCTGGTAGGTACGAGGTTGTGGCGGCCTTTCTGTATGTGTATACGTATACAGCTTGGTATGACAGCCTCGGGCCATTTTAGTCAGTGCCCATCACGTCTAGACTGCCATGCTCTTGAACAATCTCTTATGTTTGTCTTGTTGACCAGTCGAACTAGCGAGAGGGCGCACATCGCTACTCGTCTTCACCTGGCCCTGACGATGGTTTCCGGCTGGGAGTAGCCTTCCATCTGGGCACGGAGGAGGTCAGGATTATATGGAGCATAGATGCAGGGGCGCCCTGCGAGTGCTGACTGACGGCGCGTCTGGTTGTGCATGAAGCGGCAGGGATCGACATGAGTGCAAGAGCGTCTCTGTTCAAATTTGAGCTTCTCGGACGCAGCGGATGTACTTGAATTATTGAGCCTGGCACGTAATAAAAGTTGGGAAGGTTTGGCTGCGGCTGCTGACAATGTCGTCATTGGCGGGAGCCGGACCTAGTACTAAGTTAAAAGTCTAGAGAGCCTGGAGCCCGCTGTGGCTGATGCGTCCTCGAGAAAGGCTTGAGCTTGCTACTGACGAGAGTCCAGTCACTTATTGTCGCGATTGATTTTCATTGTACCAGAGGCTTGAATAGGCGCTGCAAATCATTATCAGACGAGTTACGGATACTTGTGATCTACTAATACCTGTACGTATCCGTACAAGTCTCGATCACAATTGAAGTCCGTTCTTTCGAAACAGCGACGCTCCGCTACTGATCGGCACTAATAAGGATGGACAGCGCCAGCGGTGAGTGAGCGACAGGGGCCCGGGGAGGGAGCTTCCCGCCAATTATGGCCCAGGGCCGCTAGAACTACTCCAGTGCAGGTCGCCGACCCCACAAGCCACGGGCGCGGCTGCGCGCTAGATTAGCGTCCATCTCATGTCTGCCTTTGGAACCGATGCTCCAGTCATCGTTGTTGTTCGTCTGGTGCTCTCTGGACCTCTCCTCGACTACCCATGTATGTATGTACGCATGTCTGCTGAAGGATTCTGGACGGAGACGCAAGTGACGACACGGGCATGGAGAGCATGGCAGCCAGCCAGGGCAGAGGCGAACAATCTTGTTGATAACTGTCGACCGTGCCGGTCTGTGTCGTCCCCTTGAAGCTCTGGACAGTTGAGTGCTGCTCTCCGGGCGGGCGTCTGAACCCATTTCGACGACATCGACGCTCCTTTGTTGGGAAGCTACTGCTGGCCAGGCTTCTCCTTCCATTCCGCGCTCCTTTCTCACGTCCTGGACACTGCAGAGCACCGCGACTCGAAACAAGCGACTCCAGGAAGCTATAGCCTACCCAAGGTACCTACTATAGTACAGGGCCGCCTCATGATGGCGGCATCAACAACAGCGCCTCATGCTCGCACGACCCGCGCCGGCAGCCAAGTCAGTGCAAGCACGTCGCTGCTCCATGTCGAGAGCAACGACATGGCAGAGCAGTCCGCGGGCCGGACTCATGAGCGCCCTAGCCTGAGTACCCGCAAATCGAGTGCGTTTGCCAGACGCAGACCCTCGTTTGGCCACATGAGCAAGCATTGGAACCGGACGAGGAGTGCTATCGTGACGGGCAACAAGAATGTCAAGTCGGCTGATGAAGATGATGATGATGATGATGACAGTACATATACACCGCCGTTACCAGCAAACGCTCCGGGGTCTGATCTCCAGGTAAGATTCATTCGTGTTCATAAGTCTCCTTGATCGCCAGTCGATCTGTCTGTCCGTCTTTCAGCCCGCCGCCCTTGCATCACGAATGGCAGTAGCACTCGAGACATGTGTCTCCTCTGGCTAGGGCTGCATCGGTACGAGACATGTCTCAGCGTTCCGTCATTCCCGTCACGGCGGATCGGCCTCAAGTGAGTGCCGTCTGTCTGTGGATGTGATCGAACAATTCCAGCTGCTTCGGTCGGCCGTGGCTATCGCAAGGGAGGCACGCCGCACGCCGCACGCCGCACGCCGCACGCCTCCATCCGCACAAACCAGCTCCTCTCCAACATGCACCATGTGCGTATTGCTGCCACAAGATCCAGGAGTCAGCAAGGACACGCACAATGGACGATGCAGGGCAGGGCCGTCACCACATGACCGACCAACGGCAGCGGTGAGTCGCCGACTTGCGGCTTGCTCTTCGCGCCGTGGTGGAGACACGGACCGCACTGCAGTGAAGTGACTGCACACGTCGAGCCTTGGCAGCTGCTCTCTTTGCACACACATCCGTCCCTCTTCATCATTCTCACACGCGGCTTGCATGCTCACCTAGACGAACCCTCCCTCCCCCTCTCCCTCCCTCTCCTCCCAACGGCATGAACCTCCCATCCCCAAGAGCCAGCTGTTGGTGGTCCCCTTGTCCTGTCCCCAATGGTTCCATAATATATCCAGCCTGGGCCCTACACGTACGTAGAGGCTAGCTAGATCACCAACCCCTGCCCAGCTCGGCCCACCTGGCGTCGTGTGCGCTGCGGTGCGAGTGGGTGCTCAGTGCTCAGTGCTCAGTGCTCCAGTCGGTCGGTCCACTGGCCCTGCCTGGGGACTGGAGCTCCCGCGAACCCTTGTCTGTTCCCCTTGAAGCTGCTGCGTTCCTGCATCGAGCACGAGAGACATGGACACTCGCTCCCATGCCCTCGTCTCGCCATCTGCCTGCCTGCTTGTCTTCTTGTACCTAACCATTGCTTCCATCCTGCTCTCCGTCATTGACCCTACCACTCAGTACTACTCCGAGATCGAGAGGCAGCGTCTCGTCCAGCAATTCGGCATCACCCCTTCCTTTGACACCTCCAGCCCTCGACCGCCTGTCCGCAGAATCACCGAGCCTGCATCATCCCAGCCCAGGCACTCGAAACCACGCCAAAGCTCGCGGCGAAGCAGCATTGCAGAGGAGGCACGGTGCTCGAACACGAGGCGCTTCAGCCAGGTCGGCGTCAAGGGCACGCAGGTCTACTCTCTCCACGCCCAGAAGCCTGGACGACGTCGAACGATTCGAGACGAGACGAAACGCCGAACCCGTCGCCCTCGCAGCGTCGCCCCTGACCGGGTTGACGAAGCCTTTCTCGAGTTCCAGTCCCTACAGCTGCGCGAGCGAGAAGGCGACATGGCCTCTGGCGACCATGGTCACGCCCAAGGAGTACCCCAGGCCTTCTATGACAGTTTCCGCTGGTTAGAGGATGATGGAGCCCTCGATCTGCGCCTGGGCTTGAGCTCCTATCATCACGATATCCAGGAGCAGCCAAGACCTGCACCGAAAGAACAGGAGCCCGTCTTCCCACGACGACCGTCTTTCCGCCACCGGTTGTCCATGAACAAGGCCACCTCTTCGAGACCCCCCCTCCCGGGGAGCAGGCCCGGCACAAAGGAGACCGCAGCTCCCTCTCTCAAATCCGTCAACAGCTTCGGGCCAAGCAATGGCGCTGGGCATGTCCGCAAGGCGTCCAGGGCCCTCTCGCTCATGTCTCTGAACAAGCAGCCTGCGCCCGAGCCGCCAGCCATGATCGATCCTGACGCTGCGCATTACCAAGACCCCAACACCCGTATGACACTGCGTCACTACGTGGCGTCGCCGCAAAAGTTCGACGAGGCACTGGCCTACGGCTTTCCCTCGCTGAACGAGAGCAATGGCAGCGAGAGGAAGCAGTCCAAGGACAATGGTTTCGGTGCCTACAAGTTGCGAACCTTTTTCGACGACGACCAAATGTCAACACACAGCAACGACAGTACCGTGAGCGACCCGGACTCGCCCAAGACGCCTCCCATCACGGACAAGCCGGTACCTGCGCACCCAGTACGCGTGCACACAGAGCCCATCGTACCGACATTGTTCGGCGTCACCAAGACAATCGACAATCCGCGCGAGATGACAATGCGCATGACGCTGACACGGCCCGATCTCCGCTCGCACGATGAGCAGATATACGGCTGGCAGCAGAAGCCGGCACCAGCACGCAAGAGTCACGTCCACAGCGACTCCTGTGCACCACCGGCCCTTCCTAGACAGGACAGTCGCACCAAGGACATGGAGCAACATTTCGCAACCTTGGATCGGGAGGGAAACGCCGACTCGGCTCCTGAAAACGGTAGCTTGCGGCGACTCTGGAAACGAGTCCGTCGTTCGTAATGGTCCCGAGAGTGTCAGCACACGCCACACCTGGACTCTCGAGAACCTGCCCTCTCGACTTCTTGCTTTCTTGACACGGTTTTTCTCTCGTGCTTCATATACCCTTGATTTGATCATTGTTCGACGGGACGTGAGGGTCACTTGGCGGCATTCTCCTCGCACACGCACACACATACATAGTCTGCGCTGCTTACACTCGTTTTATTTGTTCGTTCATCCAGCCCATTGCAAGGAGTTGGAGGTGGCACCACCGTTCATTCGTTCATTTACCATCCTGACAGGCCAGGGCAGGCAGCTAGCTAGCTGTCCTCTGTAACGCAATGCATTTGTTGGGCGTTTTATTGGGAACCATGCAGCTCACGTGGCGTGTGCGAAATCAGGGCTCGTTGGATATGTCATGAGCAGTAGGGGTGCATATCTATGATTAAACCCCCGGGCTGAATACAAAATGCTTGTCGTCGATCCACACACAATGGTCTCTATTATGATCAGCGCCTCCGCCGTCTTGTGCCCTGTGCCGATGATTGCCACGATCCCTGGCCCAAGACATGACATGACTGATCACCGTTCGTTGCTCAAGACAACAGCACCCGCCGGGTACGACATGCCTTTCTTCTGTAGCCCAACATGTAACAACAATGTTTCTCTGTTCAGCTGCCTAACCCGCCAGTGATTCGTAAAAGAAAAAACGCCAGTCGTCATGAGCCTTTTCCTCAAATGTATAACTAGACCTTCGCTCTTCGTCCACGTGCTATAGCTACATAATCATATCCAAGTGTACATAGTTGCAAGGCCGGTCGGTATGGGCCCCAACCTCCTCCTCAGACCTCCTCATCGCTGTCATCGCCCAGGAGCTCGCCCTCGTCATCGTCCACCATGGTATAATCACCTCTCCCCCGCGCAAAGCTATCTCGCGTGGTGAAGCGTCTAGGGCCACTCGAGAACCAGGACCCACCGCTGCCCCGACCGCCCACGCGCTCGTAGGTGCCCCGTGCCGTGCGGAACAGGCTGGCGACCAGCAGCGGCGTGGAAGCCGCCACGGCCGCCACCGCGGAGATGGCCACCACGGGGTACTTGATCCAGGGCTGGTCGCTGTCAAAGGTGGTGGACGACCCGTCCCCGAGTCGGATCTGGCCAAACTTGCCGTTCCAGTTCTTCCACACCCACCAGCCGATCCCGCCGGCTAGCAGGAAGGGGATCACGACGGCGAAGAATATGCCCAAGGCGGACGTACGGTGCTTGCGCTCGAATTCTTCCTCATGGCCCTTGCACGGATGCGCGATCGATATCTTGTCGAGCTCAGCTCCGCCTTGGCATGTCGAGAGGGGGACCTTGCGGTAGCCTGTCGGTTCGTACCATTCGGTCGCGTTGGGGTTCTGCTTGCACCATTCCTCTTGGGACATGGGCTCTAACCCTTCCACGAGTGAACACTGGTTATGGTTGTCTAGCTCGTAGTTGTATGCGCTGGGACAAGGTTAGCCAATGCCTGACATGGCGGAAACAAAGGGGGGAGTGTGCTTACCATTCAAAGTCCTGACGAGTGCACGCGCAATTCTCGTAATCAAGAAGACGCTTGAGATTCTGGTCGTTGTAGCACTTGCTGTCGGGTTTCTTGCGCAGATACTTGGCCACGTGGCCAAAGAGACAGTCCTTGTCCTGGAGAGGGTGCTTGGGAGACCATTTATAGTAGTCCGAGTCGTTTCCGTCCGTGGCCTCGCAAGCTCGGTCGGTCAGACCTGTAAAGTCCAAGTTGACCGAGAAAGTCTTGCCCTTGCCGGACTTGCACCAGAGGAGGAAGTTGCGCGACGTGCCGGTCCTGAGCGTGGTAATGTCCAGGACCGTCACCTTGCTGTCGGCAAACTTGTAGTCTTGCCATGTCCTTCCCTCATCTGTCGAGTACGAGACCGAATCTGTCTTGTAGTCGTTCTTGCTGGTGGCTCGCTGCACCAGGACAATGATGGAACCCTGGTCACCGTACTGCCACGTCCAGTGGCCCCTTTTCACGTTCTTCCAGGTGATGCCACCGTCGGTCGACATGAACGTGTCCGCATCTCTGATATCACTGAGCTTGTTGCCGACGTTGCCCACGCCAAAGATCAAACCAAGAGCGGTGCTCGCAGCAAAAGTTTTGCGCTTATCGTCCCGCTCGGTGTAGTGGTGAAGGTGCAGAGCGCAGTCCTTGTCACCCCTGTCGGACAGGCACTTGTATGCTTTTCCATCAACGTCAAGGCTTGGTGGCGTGAGGTAGCTCCATTCGTTGCCGTCATTGTGGGAGATCTTGGTCTGGAGCTCCTTCGTCTTGGCGTCCTTCTTGTCGGCGTTGGTGACGGTGTTGATGAGGACGACGCCCTCGAGTCCAGCCACCTTCTCAAAGTCAACGTACATGGCTTCGTCGCAGTTGACCTTTGGCGCGCTAAGCACGTATGACGTGCCATTCGAGTTGCTCTTCACAATAGAGCCATACTGACGATCAGCGCCACCCTCGGTGAGCACAAACAGGTTCACCGCGTGCGTGGAGCTGTCGAGCACAGTGTACTCGTTGGCCTGGCCACCGTTGAAGTTGTAAGGGAAATGCGCCGCCTCGAAATGCTCGCCATCCAGGCTCGCGTACGCCTGGAGAGCTTTGGTTTCCGAATTCTCGCCCGCCAGCACGATGAACTCGCTCATTGTCGCAAAGTTGGTGACTTCTCCCTCGAAAACAGTCTTGCTGTCTTTGAAGAGGTTGTTGCTCATCACAATGGTCAGCGGTGCATCGTTATTCTCTTCGCTGTGCGCGAGGCACACAATCTGCTCATTGTCGCGCAGCCTATACGCCTGATACCCCGTGAACTCACATTTCTGGACGTATCGCAGAATGGTCCGCCAGTTGTCGCCACGGTCGAGGGACAAGGAAGCCTCCAAGGAGCATGCTCCATTTTTGCCTTCGCACTTCTTGCCGACCCAGATCAACCAATCCTTCTTCTCGGGGTGAAAGCTCAGGGGCAGAGATTCACCTGGCTCAGTTGGTGCCGTGAAGCTGTGGAAGCTCTGCCCACGATCAATGGTATAGAGTACTTCGTCGCTCTTGGTAGTGAAGAAGACAACATCCTTGAAATGTTCGTGAGGATAAATACCATGCACGTCCTTGTCTTCGAGGATACGCTTCCACTTCTTCCCGTGGTCGTTTGATAAGAAAATTTCTTTGCCAATACGGATTCGACCCATACCCTCGTCCTCGGCGGGGCGTATGATAATTGTCTCATCAGTTCCTGAGCTCGATTCGCCCCTCTCGAGGTAGATCTTCTGGAAGTCGTCTAGCTCTACCTTGTCGAACACGTGCTGTGTCGACGAGATTTCTCCGCTGGCAGGCTTGCTCGGCGCAGCCACGGCATCAGAGCATTTGCGCTCTTCTTCAGCATCCTTCTGCTTGCCATCGCCACGCTTGCACGTGTTGCCGGGAATGAGCCTCCAGCCAGAAGTGCCCATGAACGTGTCGTCGGGTCCGTTCTTGCACGAGTCTTCTGGTCGCGGAATTGGGCCAACTTTTTGGCATGTGCTGTCGTCCTCGGGGTCCCGCTGGAAGTTGTAATCGCACTCAAAGTCCTTGTCGGTGCAGTCGCAGTCTTCCGTCTCGGGCACCGGATCCCTGAAATCATCCTTGATGAAACATTCTGCGGACTTCTTGCGACGCTTGTATGTCTGCTTGTGGCCCATGATACAAGTGGGCTTGCCATCATCGTCAACACGCGCATGCCACTTTTCCAAGTCATCGTCTTTGCAGGTCCGCAGATCCATGCCGCCAAAGTCGATGGCCAAAATGTGCGGCACGTCGTCTCGGATGCCGAGAAGTAAAAATTTGAGACTCGTTGAGTCTTGGGTGGTTGTCAAAATATAGGGCCTGATCTGTGTATCTTTGGGAAAGTCAACTGATTCCCAGTTGTCACCGTGGTCGATGGAGTAAGAGATCTCCTTGACATCCTCCTTCTCAGAATCCTTGACGGCGAGTAAGATCGACCCCGAGTCGCCGAATTCGTACTTGTGCGGGCCGTCCAAGGCCTTCCTCCAGGAGAGACCGGCATCATCAGACACAAACAAACTGGCTTTGCGAAAGTCCGGGTTAAGGTCCTTGCCTGTGTTGCCATTGCCCATTACCAGTCCAGGCGCCAAGCTGGAAAAGACCTTGCCGATATTGCTCAGGTGAGTCTCTGAGTGAAGGTGGACGTCCTCGTCTCCGGCTTTCAAGGGTTCAAAGGTCCGACCATCATCGAAGGTAATCCTTGAGACCACGTTCTTCCTGTCGCCTTTCTCGTCGACCGCCTTTCCATTGTTCACCACATTGACCAAGTACACGCCCTGAATCCCAGTCATCTTTTCGAAGTCGACGTGACCCCGCTCATTGCGGTTCGTGTATGGGACGTTCTCGGTGAAGTATGTGCCGTTAGAGTTGCTTGTGAAGAGTACACCCATAGGCTGCGAAGGGTGCGAGGTCATGACATCAACCTGGATGCTGTAGTTGGTGCTTTCGAGGACCGTGTACGCATTCTGACTGATCCTATGTGAGTGGTCATGATCGTCGTCCACAGGGAACATGGCACGATGCCACCTGATGGTGTCGTCAGACACGTAGAGCGCCATTTCGTCGCTGTTCCAGGAAGACGTAGCAACAAGGATGTATCCCTTGACCACCGCCAGGTTGACCACGCCGTCCACCACCTTGTTTGTGTCCATGGCCGGCTCGAACTCGTCGATGCGATCGTCAACCACTGCAAAGAAGGAGTCAGAAATGTGCAGGCGCTGCTCTTCCTGGAAGAAAGAGAATGGATCGGATACGATGCACATTGTCCGTAGCTTGTCTCTGTCTACATCACCCGTGGAAAACTCCGGAGAGGACTTGGCCCACCAGCAGCCGCTTGTATACGCTCGGAGGATATCGACAGTCTCGAAGCCGTCAGTCGTGTAGGTCGATTGCTCGGTGCTGAAGATCCCATCGCGATCCTCCCCGTTGAAAATGATACTCTTGGGGTCATCGGCATGGAAGACGAGGATTTCAGGCTGCCAATCACTAGGTGCGCTTATGCTGTCGAACTTCTCCCACGTCTTGCCCCTGTTGTTGGTCTTGTAGTGTTCCGTGCTACCGGAGATGGCAAAAGCCGTCTTCTTGTCGTATTTGTGCATGATCAGGATGGCAACATGACCATCGGGGATATCGCCGACTCTTTCCCATTTCTTGCCGGCGTTATCAGATCGGTATATGTTGCCTTCTGAGATGTCTTGGAAGAGGATCACGTCGCTGTCCTCAAAGTAATTGAGGTTCTCCGGCATATGATTCACCTCGAGTTTGGTAACTGTGATATCAGGCTTACCCTTGGCCGCGACCACTGCTGACCACAGCATCACCGCCATGGCCAGCAGCAGGAGGCGCCATGACGTGGACTGGCCGCCCGACCTCATCGTCTTGCGAGGGCGGAAAACGTATGGATCATGGAAATTCCCGAGGTTCGAAAATCGTCTGAATCGCGTATATCCGGCGTATCGACGAAGGAGTTGCCTCAACTTTGGCGACCGTCAGCTTGGTTTGGCGAGGTTAGATGTTAGGGGTTCAGCACCTTCAGCTACGGAGACACGTAGACGCGCAGCGCATGCGCCAAGTTCACGGGCCCAGGCGGCGGCCTTCCAGGGCAGGTGTGGCGTGAGCACGGCAAATGCTAGCGTGGATGGTGGTGGCGTCGTCATCGGGCCCCCATATGGGTCAGGACAAGTGTGGCTGGTGTATCTCCGTGCGACAAAGGTACTCACTAATTGATAGCTTCGAAGTTGTTCTGGTCCTGAAAAACCTGTGAAAGACTTCCCCTCGAACGAAGGTTCGTAGCATTCCCTCTCGAACCGAAAGAGACCGCAATGTAGTAGGTTAATGTTCATTTTGACGAGATTTCAGGCCTATGGACTCGCCCGTTGAAGCCACTGGTATCAGCCTAACCATCCCCTTCTAACTCCAGAACGCCGTGGCTCGTGTCTTGATCAAAGATGCATCCCGCCTTCGTCTTCATCGGTGTCCAAATTTCCCATTCGTTCCTCGAAGACCTGCCTCAGCTGTTCATCACTCAAGCTCCCACCAGAGGGCTGCCCTGGTCGCTGGTCCATGGTGATCTCCCCATTCCGAATCGTGCCCGCCTGGAACGTCCCGTCTGTCCATGGCGAGTTGCCTTGATCTTGAGCATGGTCTGCATGACCGTTGACTGTCGGTGTTGCTGTGTTCTTGGCCTCTTGCCCAGCCTTGGCGGCCAGAACCTCCTCGGCGCTTCTGAACTCATCCCAGCTGAGGCCCCTGCCTTCGACCTCTGCGCGTATGATAGCTATTCGCTCAGCCATACGGTCTATCACCGTGTCATTTTCCTTGATCGCGTCTATGCAGTCCTGGTCCGGGTCGTTGTTCGAGGCCGCTCCCGATGGCCCCGATGTCTCTGATGTTGAAACAGCTGTTTGTGTGCCATCGGCAAAGGGACGGAGCTGGTCGTTCGAGTATTGAAGGTGAGCGATGGAATTGCGAATTTCGAGAGTTTTGAGATGGAGCATTTCGATGGATAGGTCTGTCAGGGCGGCAGCGAAGCGCGCCGACGATATAGGTGTGGTGTCGGCAGACATTTTGCCTACTGCTATGCAAGAATACACAAGTGTTGGTAAAAATTCCGTCAATAGTATTGGTTGCGATGCAGATCAGAGCTAGACGTGTTCGGAGCTCGAAGCTTTCACGTTGGAGGGGCCGATGGTGGGGTGGATGTACGTATGTGGTCTGGCGTCATGGCGTTGGTGCCTGTCTATGACCAGTTTCAATACTATCCGACAAATCCCAAGCTCGCATACTCCCAGCCTGGTAAAAGGTCGCCTGCTATAGTCAATTGCAAAACAGTCTATCTCGTACCTGTTTGGGCTCCTCCCGCCTGGTCTACAAGTGCCCGTCTGGCTGACGATAATGGCTCTTCAAGAGGCGTCTAGTAATTACAGGGTCAGCCGTTTCGCGACGACGTAGAACTATAGGTGCTGTTTCCACGAGCTCACGCACAACGCAGCTAGACGCATGGCCCTAGCCTGTGCGATTGACGCAGGTAAATGAGACTAACATTCCCATGAGTTGAGTTTATTTTGTACAAATTTCATCGAGGTAGATGTGCACTTTGCCTGTTCAAGACTTCAGAGTTTCAAATCATGCTCGGCTGTAAAAGTGGGACCAGAGTAGCCTTACCTATTTAGGAAATGCTTCCAACTTCTTTTATCCGACATCACCACTAATTAATACCTTCGCATTTTCATGCCGTCGTGAGCGCAGCATCTCGCAGGGCGCCATTCTGGCGCAACGGAAGCCCAAAATGAATGCCTCAATGTGCCCGAGTGCATCACGGACGCTATTACGCTTAGCTTCACGCAGCTTTCCGAGCGCTTCCTGTCGATCATATCCTTTCGCTTCGCGACACCTGTCAACCCTTACCGTCCCATGTACAACTTTGCAGCGCTCGCGATCGATACGCCCGACCGCCACAAGCCCATGCAGGGTATTGGCCGCCAGTCGAGGGCAGTGCCGAACATTCTTCAAACGAGGTGTGATCACAGCATATCAAGATCTGCCGGCGGAGTACAAGGACAAGCTCGGTCTGTTCTTCAGCCGGAAGCCCTTGTCGCAAAAGGAGATTGACAGTATATTCGGCGAAGGTCTATTGGAAGAGGACGGAAACCAGTTGCTGCGGATACTTCACGGGCGACGAGTGGCAGGTACTCTGGAAGACCCGGCCTTCTCTATTCACACAGCGCGGTTCTCGAAGCAACAGATCCAGAGAGGGTTGGAGTATTTGCGGAGACACATCAAGGTCGATGAGGTCTTGAATGCTGGCCTGCGCGCCGAGGATGAGCTGAGTCAACTCGAAGGAACCCCAGCCGAGGAACCAACGGTCAAGACTGGGGCGGACGCCCTCGGCCCAGAAGTCAAGCCGGACCCATCACCCAGTACTCAGGCGAATGCAGGGGACACCAAAGAGGTCAAACAAGACGTACCCGTGCCAGAAGTCAAGCCGGACCCTGTATACGGACTCAGCGTCTTCGACCAGATCCGGGCTCGTAACCAGGCCAAGGAAAAAGTGAGGCTCGCGAGGATTGAAGAGGAGAAGCAACGTGCCATAGCCGAAGGCCGACGGTTACCAGACGATGACGACCCGCGAGCGCGGTCTCTTGTTGAGGTGGACGAGGGCCAGCGCGCCATCACAAACCCGAAAATTGCTAAGTACCATCGCGAGGCAATGGGTACGGAGACAGAAGCGCCCGAGATGTCAGTATGGCAGCGCACTATGCCCTCCATCTTTTTCTACGTCCTTACCATTGGGTTCCTGGCGTCGTTGACCATGGTGTACACCGAGCCAGAAGACAAATATCGACTCTGTCCCGAGATCTCGCCGGCCGTTGCGACGATTGCTACCATAGTTGCCATCAATTCGATGGTCATGCTCTTGTGGCGGATTCCGCAGATGTGGAAGTGGATGAATCGCTACATGATTCTGGTAGTTGGGAAGCCACGGCCAATCACTATCTTCACTGCCAACTTCTCACACCAAATGGTCAGCCATTTTCTCCTGAACATGGCTGTCTTTTCGCTCATAGGTGTGCATCTGCACGAGGACCTGGGCCGCATGGGCTTCATCGCTCTGCTGATGGCCGCCGGTGGAGGTGGCTTCCTCGGTGCCTTGATAGGGTACTCGTACAAGGGCATGCTCGGTGTCACATCGCTGGGCGCCTCCGCTTCTACCGTTGGCATCGGTGCAGCCTACTTCTGGGATCATCGCAACGATAGATTCCGCATATGGGGTATGCCGCAAGACGGCGTGCACGGCATTGTGTGGTGGGCACTTGGCGTGAGTCTGTTCACCTTAGAACTGTTCAATTCGTTCGCCAAGGAGAGCAAGTCGGACACCATCGGTCACTGGGCAGGCCTGGTCATTGGCATGTGCGCCATCGAACTCATGAACATGGCCGGGCTGGGGAGGAAAAAGGGTGACAGACCAGAGGTGGGGAATGGACCCGGAACAGAGCTGGTCAAGGACATTCTGTCTGGCGAGGAGAAGCCCGCGCGCAAGTAGGTCCGATGGCTTGTAAATAATACTGTGTAAACTTATATCGAGACGTGTATAAATTCGGCCAAAGCTAACATCAAACGTGTATCCGCGTCTACGGCATAAACGAACATTGAACACGCTTTTCGCGTCAGATACGCACCTTTCTCGCGAGACGGAATCATTAGCTAATTAGAGCTTGACCTACATGGGGAAGTAGTGGGGCAATGCTCGATTTCCTGGGCAACCGTACTCTGTACCTAGGTTAATACGTATATCTCGGAGGTCAGAGAAATCAATACAAGAGAAATCAAAGATGGATTTATGGCATGCAACATGGAGCCAGCTGGTCTAAAGTGAAGCTCACCCTGATATGAGGTTACTTTCTCTGGTGATGTGCTAACAAAGCCAGAACCCAGCCTCGCCAACGGCTACTTTCGTCTAGTTTATTATAGTACCTACTTAGTTATCTACTATAGCCAATCACTCGATAATTATACTAACTCGCTTGGTTTAACTACAAACGCCTTGTTCACAAGCATTTATAATATCAAGTTGATTTTCTACTACGATAAGACAATGGACCAGGAATGCAACTGAATTAGCAACGGGCTTTGTGCCAGACGGTCGCTGCTCAGGTCGCTGTACTTATGGTGAATGTTTATTTACCATGGAGTGCTCTGGGGACTGCGGCCGCTGGCAGTGGGCTAATCGTAGCCGGCTGTAGGGGGCTAGGGCGCCCCCCTCTTCTGCCCGTTCTGGTCGACTCGCCCCAAACCGACTTGTCGGTATCGGCAATCTCGACAGTCGCACCAGCTCCAAACAGACTTTACAACGTCACGCACGCTTTGCCTTTTGCAATTATAGTATTATTATCCTCAGCGAGACCGACATGGTATAATCGACCACCAGCGCGCTTTTCCTCTTTGCCCTCCCGCCTGTTTTCCTCCTTCTGGCAGTCTCTCCTACTCAACTTGGGCTTGCGCTGCCCGACGTCACTTGGTTTCGGGTTTGACGCAAGAACGATCCAGCGCATGCCAATCAATCCATGGTTAGGACCATCCACCTAGCATTTTGAGCGCAAGGAAGAACCGAAAGCATGGAGCAGGACACCTGGTCACCATCTCCTGCCCCGGATCGAGGCTCTAGTCCTCTTTCCTCGCCGCCGCCGCTCCCCTCTCGGCTGTACGCAGCAAATCACCTACCGACGCCGTCGACATCCTCATCACCGCTATCCAACATATCCAGAACACCTTCGATAGAAAGCAGTCCAGAGCCAGTGGCAGTGAACGACCTATCGCATCGATACCCTTCGCCAATGTCAACAACTACCGCGTCGGGTTCGCACACCCCTCTCAAGCGCACAGTTTTGCCGACCGCGCCCAAGGCTAGAAGTGGCCCAAAGAAAGGCAGATTGGAGCGCTCTTCACCGTCTGAGTCTGAAGACGGTCAATCGGCGCCCAAGAAGCGCAAGGTTGGCATGTATTCCAAGGAGCGCACCACCGAATACCTCGATCTGATGAAGGACGACACGGAATGGACAGACAAAGACGACGCGCAGCTTGAGCGCCTGACCGATGCCCTCAAGAAGAAGAAGAAGATTGTGGTGATTGCCGGTGCTGGCATTTCCGTGTCGGCAGGAATTCCCGACTTCCGCTCATCCACCGGACTATTTGCTCCCGCAGGATGTCAGCAACAAAAGATGAAAGCGTCCGGGAAGCACCTCTTCGATGCTTCAGTCTACAAGAGCAATGACTCCACCTCCGATTTCCACACAATGGTGCGTGACATGGCGAACATGTCATATGCGGCGAAGCCAACACGCTTTCATCACTTACTGGCGTCTCTGGCACACGAGGGTCGGCTATTGCGGCTGTATACTCAGAATATCGATTGTATCGATACATCCATGGAACCATTAGCTACAAATGTGCCGCTCAATCCCAAGGGCCCATGGCCTGTCTCAGTGCAACTTCATGGTGGCTTGAAGAAAATGGTTTGCTCGAAATGCGCAGAGCTGCAGGACCTTGAGGCTGAGCTCTTTAATGGGCCTGAAGCACCACTATGCGCGACATGCGTGGACATCGACGATCTTCGGACAAGGTTTGCAGGCAAGCGCAGCCATGGCATTGGCCGCATGCGCCCACGCTTCGTTCTTTACAACGAGCACAACCCTGATGCAGACGCCATCGGTGCCGTGACTGAAGCGGACCTCAAGGCTCGTCCTGATGCTGTCATTGTGGTGGGTACGAGCCTCAAAGTGCCTGGCACCCGTAGGATCGTCAAAGAGATGTGTCTTACCGCACGTGGACGCCGGGATGGTTTCACTGCCTTTATCAACCTCGACTCGGAACCCAAGCATGTGGACTTCAAAGACTGTTGGGACATGGTCGTGCGCGCTAAGTGCGACAAGGTAGCCCTGCACGCCAACCTGCCACTCTGGGACGAGTCGGCCGTGGCCACCGACAGTGTACTGTCACCAGAACAGGCTCTGCAGGCCGAAGCGCTGTGTAGCTCGACAGATCTATCCGTGGCCATCCCAAGCAGCTGTCCCTCGTCTCAAGAGAAGCTTAACAGCCCGATACCTGTTGCTACGATATCGACCAAGCAAACTTCATCAGTGCTTACTCCAAAGCCCAGTCGCAAGCTGGCCACCGCGAAGCCAAAGACGAAGCCGAAGGCCAAGAAAGTCGACAAGCCTGCCGCAGCCAAGCAAACCAAACTGCCTTTCACCAAGGACGAAGGCAACATTGAAGAATCCTCGCCGGCTTTGCAGTCAGCCGCTGCGCGTAACCGCAAGCCGCTCGCAAAGGCGCGACCTGGAACGATTGCCGGCACCTTCAAAGCTATCAAGACGAATACAAATGATAAGAGTAAAGCAAAGGCTGCCATCAAGATTGAGCCCACCACAAAACCGTTCACCGCGCATATTGAGAATGAGCTGGAGAGCGACAGCACAGCAGAGTCCAAGTTCGATGCCGCCCCGACTACACCAACCGGGCCATTGCAGCCCGCATCCCGCGAGGTTGTTTCTCCTTCTTCGATACCAAAAGGCATGGGGCGCTTATTGAATTGGCCATGATGCATTTGACCCGTGGAGACCGGGCAGGCGTTTTATTTCGGAGTCGACGAGCACGGAGGACTGCTCGACATTGCCAAGGGCGTTGCACAATGCAGGCGAGGGCAGCCTGTTCGGTCGCATTGATTGTTGTACTTTTTCTTCTTCTCGAGACAGAGTTGTACGGCTTTGCGCGTCCTATGGATTTTTAGGGATTTACTGTCACGTTCACCATCATATAAGTACACGTCGCTGCGAACGAAGCAGGACCGTTTACTAAGCAAAGCGCAAGATAGGACTCCTTGGGCGCCGGTTGTGGAATTGGCTTTCAGCAAGCGCACAGCTCTCCACGCTGCCTTTCATCATGCCATGTGCAATCCTAGTGGAGTGACATCTAGTACTCATGGCAAGGGAGCACTGGTGGGTCTACACCGGCGATGGACAGAACCTATCAGAGTGATACAAACTCACCTTGTTTCCCTGCTGTCGTTCGCAGTCACCTCGTTACACTACTTGCGCTCATATGGTAACTCTGACGCACGGGGCGCCTCTATTCAAGAAGTAATAGCTCGACAACCCGTAAAAAGGGCTGCACAAGAAGGAAAATGAAAGTCGTGACAGGTGGTATCGTACGCGTGCCTGAACCAATCCCCAACAAGAAAGCGTGTCCCCAAAAACTGAATGCTCCCAATGTCCTTTCATCATGCCGTAGATAGCCTGCCCGGCAAGGGAATCGGCCCACTATATCGTCGAGTAAACATAAATCGTCATTCAATCATTGGAATTGGTGCATGTGCTGGTTGTTCCAGTGGTTATTGTTGTAGTTGTCGGCGCCCATGTGCGGAGACCGGACAAAGGGGGATTGCGAGCTGTGTCCGCTGTACGGGCTTGCGCTCGCTGTGGACGGATCCATCATGTGGTTGAAGCCCAACGAGGATCCCATCTGATTCTCATCTTGGAGGCCAAGACCATCGGAGAGGTCGTTGGACAGGTCGGGAAAGGGTTCCATACCACTGTCGAAACCGTGGCCATTGTTACTTGCAGTCATGTATTGGGTCGTCGGCCCATATGGTGCAGACGTGGCGGGCATAGTCTGTATTTGACCATTGAAACCTTGACTCATTGTCGAGTCCAGACCTAGGGTTGGCTGCTGGTATCGTTGCGCCATGGCGTTGTATTGTGCGTTATAGAAATGATGCTGCTGGTTGTGCTGATGGCCCGGAGGCACATTCGGGTACATCTGATAGCCAGTGTCCTGGAACGAGCTATTGGCTAACATCTGTGACATGTCGTGGTGGTGATTGACTGGTGGAAACGGGTCGTTTGGGTTCACGACGGGATATGTCCTCACAGGCGGGTCTTGCACCGGGCTGATGATGGTGTCGGCCGAGATCTCTTCCGCCCTCGCAGCCACAAGACGCAATACGGGCAGGGCAATGTGTTCCATGTGCTTGGCCAAATGCACTGTGAGCTTCTTCCACGTAGGGAACGTCTTGCCGCAAAATCTACACGGTTCATCCTGGGGACGATTTTGGCTGCTAATGTGGCATTCCTCGACCTTTTGCCAGGTAGGATCTGTGCCAAATGCTTTTTTGATGGCCGTTTTGGTCTTAAGCTTGGGTTCGGCAAACTTGTGTTCGCGAACAAGATGCTGAAGGAAGTTGTCGCGGCGGTAACAAGTGTGACTGCAATCATCTACATTGCATCTCCATGAATCCAAGTGGCGATGGCCCTCGTTCTCATGACGAACCCAGTCAGCTTTGCGCTTGAATGACTTGGCATCGCGGCACTTGTCCCAAGTGCACGTGAAAGGCATGACATCCTCATGGACATGCTTGGTCCAGTCAGACGGCTTGTTAAATTTCTTTTGCGTGAAGCAGAGCCGACATTCGAATTCGGCCGGCAATTGTTGCGCTGGTGGCATGGGAATGCCCTTGGGGAAACTGTCTTGGTTGAACTGGCCTTCCACGGGTGCATTCTCACCCTCGTCATCCTGAAAGTGCATTGCGAGGGCGTCGGTTGCCTTCGCACCAGTCTTCGGTTCCAGCAGCTTGGCCTGACCGCCGTGGGTCATGCAAAGTCCACCGTTCGCACAGTTGGCGCCCATGCTCAGGTGTTTAACTTTCAAGATCAAGAGTGACTTGTATCTGACGACTTGCTGGTGCGCAATGCGATCTACCAGGTACTCGAACCGACCTTGCATGTATGGATTCAAAGCGAGGACATGCTGCTGGAATCCGGTCAAGTTAGGTGTGACGGTATCGATTTGATTAGCCTCCCCTTCAAGAGAAGGGTCGTCAGCATCCTCGTCGTCCTCGTCTTCATCATCAAGGTCCTGTTGCGGCGGCGCTGTTTGTCGCACTGATGTGACAGGAACGCCTCCGTTGGCCTTCCATAGATCGGCGAGTCCGGGGCTTGTGTCCAAGTTGGACGCTGATGTCGGCCGAGGAACCTCCGATCGACTTCTGGCCCGCTTCAGAGGGTTGTCTACTTGTAAGCTGGACAAGAAGCCCCTGGGGGATGTTGCGCCGACTGACGCCTTCCTAGCGTGGTGTGTTCCCACAGCGGCTGCACCGGTACCCATGGACATAATTGCAGTATTGATGCTGGGAGTTTTGTTCTTGCCCCAGCTTGAGGTGCGGTCCGGAGGAGCTAGGTGAGGGGATCCCGTGCTGTCGTGCTTTACCAACGGTGGCGGCTGCTCTTCACGGCCATCGTCACTCACGTTGCTCGCGTTGCTGGACCGCCGCTTGCGAAGACCGCTGATGCTGGGACGTCGAACAAAGCCACGAATGTCTCGAAGAATCTCAGTGGCCTTGCTAGTTTTCTCTGGAGTTTTGGTGAGAGACAGCTTCTTGAACAGATTACCACTGAGGACTCCTTCCATGTCCACCGAGGCTGTACTGTGGAAACTCCTACGCCGTGTGCCCCACGTGGCTTGTCGGGATAAGATGGAGTCATTGTCGCGACATAGCCTTTCGAACCTGGCCATGGCCGCGGCAGACGAGACGGGCTGAGTTTGCCCAGGCTTTCTCCCATCCAGGATTCGGTGGATGATGGGAGCGTCGCCCCAATTTCGATCAGCTGCCAAGATGTCCTCGTCTTCCTGTGTCATTTGCCCACCGACACCTGAAAAGTATGTCTGGCCGGGTATAAACCAATTCTCCGTGCCCTGGCCCATGGGAACCTGGTCTTGTGAATTCCGATTCTCCTCCTCAATCGCACGACTGTCCTGCTCCTCACGCGGCGCTGAAGTCTCATCGAGATTTGCCGATAGCCACTGGCCTACTTCGTCCTTGCGCTGGTCCCGTTCGCGGGCCTTTGCGAGTTCCTGGATGTTTTTCTCGGTCTCTTCAGAGTCACGATGCCTAGGGTCAATTCCCCCATGGCCAGTGGAGGGGTCGCGCTGCCACATGCCCTCGGCATCGCGGGTCGCGTTGGAAGCGATGAGATCACCTGCAGATTGGACTCCACCAGCGGTTGTGATTGACTCGTCGTCTTTGAAATGGCTTTCTACAGTCTCAGTCGCCACAGCTTTCTCATGATCCCATACGGAGATGACCAGTTTGGGACTGGTGGCAGGCATATTCATGCGGGCGGGTGCCAGGCCGTCTTCGCTCGTACGGGCGCTACTGCTTTGACTTGGCGTCAGCTGCGTAGGTCGCTCGATGATTTTCTCTGGTTTCCAAGGCTTCTGTAGCTCCTGTGGTGAGATGGAAGGAGGAGGATGGGTGTGGTGGTGTCGTGTGGCGGCCCTGAGCTCACTGTGGGGAGACGCTGCGTGAATCGAAACCGTCGGATCAGGCGTCAACGGATAGGGAGACTCGATCGCATCCTGGGCAGATTGGGTGCCGTTTGAAATGTTTGGCGCAACGTAAATGGGCTTAAAATCGAAGTTGTCGTCGAAAGAAGAGGGCTGTCCGTGGCTGTCACCGAGCTCTGCGCCTAAGAAGGGGTCTTCGTCGAGATCACTACAGCAACTTAGTGCGGAGCTTGAGCCACCTGGCGTCGTTTCGAAATGGTGAAGTGCTGGAGGGGATATGGTGTCCGCGCCGTAAGGTGGCGCTGCTGTTGAGGAATGATACTCGTTGCGTGGCGGGTGGTTCGGGTCGTAGTCGTGCTCTGAATATGACATGGCTAGGGTTGGCGACATGACGGCAATGCGATGTGGGAAAGACCGCACTGAGTGAGAGCGACCTCACCTCGCCTCGCCTCAACCTGACCAAGCGACTTCCGAGCCTGATTCAATGCGCGCCTGGTACGTCTAGGAGGAGAGTCGAGTCAGGTCCTCTTTGTCAAAGCTTCAAGCCGGGCGGCCAGGCACTGACTGGAGCAGATGTGAGGCTGGGCGTGCGCGATGATAATGTAAGGTAGGTGCGTAGGAAGGACGGGATGGGGGATGGAAGGTGTGACCGGGCGCAGGTGGGGAATCAGGCAGTATATACCCCGACTCGAAGTAATCAAGTCGGTCCTGCGGTTCGGTTGGCGCCAGACGGTCCGCTGCGGTTGATCAAAAAGAAACAAGTATAGCGGTGGCTCATATGACGGAAGTGGATTGAAAGTGAAGCTAGAGGAGGATGTGACAACAGACGGAGTGTGAGATGCCTTGAGGACCTCGACGTGGAGGGCTGTTGGCTAGGCTGATCCGAGGATGTCCATGTCCAGTCGTCCCCGACAGACGACAACAGCGCCAGCGCGCCGTTTTGGCTGCTGTAAGCCCGAGACCCACCTGCCGCTGCCTTTCAGCGCTTAGCGCCCGGGGACTGGACTTGTTGACTGATCACTGGCGCCAATGGTACATGCGGTCTATCCGTACCAACTGCTGCACTGTAGTCTGCGTGCTTACAGTAGGTAGGTACTGGTAGATACCGTGAGGCTATTACGGCAGGCTTGTGTACTGAATGTCTACGGTAGCTATATGTGTGTAGAACGAATGCACAACCTCCAGTCCCCGTGCGCAAAGAGTACAGCTACGACTGAGGACATTCGTGACTATCGTGGAGTGGGTCACGTCTCTTGACTGCTCCCCCACAGGCAACCATGCGTGAGTGGAGCCTCCGCTCAGGTCAAAAGTGCCCCGGCGCGTACTACGTACCGTCGCCTTTTGCGCGCTCCAGCGCCAGCACACCCCAAGAGATCGTGTAATATGAGCCCTTCCAGACGTTTATCGTCAAGACTCTACTTCGAAAATTGCCATCTATATCTCGCCCGTGATACAAATGGCCTCCAGTACCCACATACCTCCGTCATAGTACTGTCATTCTTGGTTTCACCAGCGGCCCCCAACGAGGCGCACAGCCATCGAGCAGGGATGAGTGAGGCGCATTCAACCATCACCAGTCCCCCCAGTTCACTGCGATTGAGCCACTTATCGCCGTCCTAGCCACAATCTAGTAGCGAGGCATTTCTCCCCCTCTCAAGGCAAATGAACAAATACAGTAACGCATCGATCGAACAGCTTCAAGATACAGCAGTGGCTTGATTGAAGATGCTGCTTGCTGGGGCGGAACCTCTGGCCGCACCATGATTGACCACATTGTCCAGACTCCGCACTAGTTAGTCTAGTACTCAGGGTCTGTTTTCAAGCCTCTCTCGACGAATAGCTGCTCTCCCTCTGATCACCGATGCAGTGAGAAACCGCCTTCCAAGCCGTCGAATCCATCCGCCACAAGTCTTGTTCCGCAACAATGCAACCCACTCTGTCTTTCATAGGGCTGAGTCTGTGAGATCAGAGTTTCCCATACCTAGTAGATCCCGCCCGGCCACGAGGCTTAGCAGATCGGCTTTTTAGCCGCATGTCAAGCACTGCCACGCCGTTCTGCCACGCCGTTCTGCCGGTGCCGGCTGTGTCTACTGTCCACCCTGTCCCATGACGTGCAGGAGGCACTGCTTCGAGTCCGCTAAGAGATAGGTCTTGTTGAGGCTATGTAATCGCCGGCATTATACACTTGGGCTATTGAATCTGGCAATAGCAAGGGAATGTGAGAAATTGAGCCGCTGCGTGTGGACCGTTTTTCGTGATGGTACGGATACATACAAATCACTTCACCACAGTAGTGTCGCTGATTGGGCCTCATTCGAGAAGAGTATTCATTCGAGTCCAGCATGCAACGAGTGCTTCCTCAGCTTCCCAAGTAGAAATGACAACAGCGCAATTTAACACCCAACTCGTCGTCATATTGCGCCTTGGTCAAGGGTAAGCAAACCAAACTGACACCAGCACGTGATGGCAGGCTATGACGCCGCAGCGTAGCTCTCCCGATTGCATTCAAGTTCACGACACCCAATACCTCCACCACAATCAGAGCAAAGGAGCTCGCGTAGACTGCATTGATCTATCACACCTGATTATAAAGATCGGCGTACATGAAGACTGGGCGAATTGGCCCCACTAGCTCAAGATGTTTCGTGTAAGTGAACAGCGTGCAAATAGGCAATGTGCCACAACATGACATGAGCTCACAAGGCACAGCGACACCCCGAGGAACATCTACACCTGCGCCTGCACCGCGCCCGCTCCGTCATCCTCACAACTCCAGAGTACGTATAACCTGCCCGCCAAGAGCCGAAGTATTCCAACGCTGCACGGCTGTTGACACGTACGTCCCAGACTCGTCGAGATCCGCGCTGCTCAACGCACCTTTGAAGGTGCTTACATGCGCACGGCCCTCGGTCAATTCTCCTTCTCTCTGGTCATCCTCAAGATCTTCACGGCCGAATTCTACGCCATCGGGGCGCTCTTCGCTATCTACGGCGCCGCCGTGCTTCTCGTCGCGATATACCGTCGGTACGAGGGCCACCGCCAGTTCTTCACCGCCCTGACATCGCCGAGCGAGGGCAGCGACGAGAGCATCAGCAACAGCGACGAACTCACGGATAAACCCCTGAGGAAGAGGTTCCGGACCAGCGGGGACTCGGTCGCGCTGCTCACCATTCTGAGCCTGTGCGCGTACTCGACGTTGCTGGTCCTGACTTGGCGGCTTATGCCCTGAAAACAGGCTCACGTAGCATGCTACGTGATGCGAATGTCATTGCTTTCGATATTGACACTTTGTCGGGTGAAGATACCCACTCTTTTCTGCTTGGATCCTGATATCTATCGGTAAGGTATGCTATGCTATCTGCCCCTGTTGTTTTTGATGTCCCCGAGCAAATCGCCTGGTACCTTTATATCTCGTCACGCCAGGCGTCTAAAAACGCGACCATGGAGCGCCTCTACAAACTCCAGTCCCGTTATCTCTTATTCATCATGCCATTTCGTATTATCCCCATCGTCCGTGTGTCCTTCATAATCGCTGGCTCAAAATCATGTTCGCCAAGCTGATAGCCTCGTGTCGGCCGGGTATTCTTTGCTTTGGTTTTCAGGTGCCTCCAGCTTCGGTGCCATCTGTGGCTGTTGCCGCCGGCACATGCTGGGTTGGAGGGAATGGTGCTGAGCCCTCCCATGCCCCATACCCTTCCGGTCTATCAAAGTCCTGTGGCGGCGGCTGTTGCCAACCTGGAGGCACCTGCCCTGAATGGGCGATTCCTGTTGGCGAGACCGAGGCAGCACCCATGTGATGGTATGTATGCGAATCGGGCAAGCCCTGCATGTTGGTGGCGGTATATGCAGGTTGCTGTGGTATCATGCCGTATGCACCAGAGCCGCTGCCGCGCATCGCGTCGCCACTGTATGACATGGAGCGCGCGGGGACACCCATCTGGCCCCAACCTGCCTCTCGAGGCCCCGTCCAGTTTGCAGACATCGGATGTTGCTCTGCGGGTGCTTCACCGCCCGGAGCATCGCCCTGTGCTCGGAATGGGTTGCTCCAATTCGGGTGCTCTTCTTGGAGGAAGGGGTGGATATTCGACGAGGGAACCCATGAAGGCGGGGTCTGGCTGTAGTCGTACCGACTGGCAGAATTTAGATCGGTTGCTGGCGGACAATTAGTCATGGGCAGCCCCCCTCGGTAAGATTGGGGCGTTATGAACTCACGCATGCTGCCCTCAGGGCCTGGGCCGGCTGTCAAAGGCGGTGGCATGGGCGGCATATTTGCAGCGACTCCAGGAAACGGCGCATGAGGCCCTTGCGGGACACTGTATGGAAGGCTTGCCGATGGCGTTCCGGCGGGCGACGATGGCTGCGAGCTGCTTCGCGGATCGGCAGACGGCTGCGCCGAGCCCCTGTGGCGCGCATCAGAGCCCTGCTGCTGCTCTGTCAATATGAAGCTACAGTCTTTCTTCAGGCGGATGCAGTTGGCGCAGCGTCCTTGAGGGTCGTTTGCGGATGGGATGCACCGTATCTTCCGCCTACGACAGTGACCTGGGGAAGCGTGTCAGCCAGGTCAGGTCAAGGAGATGGACCAACCGCGGGATACTGGTCTTCAGACTTACTGCAAGCGACCGATGTCCGATGGTAGCCGAGCTTGTTGCGCTTCTTCTCCGTCGCGCTGGGCTCCTGGTGCATCGCTGTGCCGTCAGGAGTTGAAAAGGACCGCTGCAGCGGCCAATTCGGGTCCATGGGCATGGAGGGCGAGGGCTGCTGTGACGACATCTCATATCCCGACTGGAAGGAGCCCTGGGACATGTTCATCTCCGACCCGTCCATGGGATGGCCGGAGGATTGGTACGACATGTCGCGGACTGGCTTTGCTCTGGGGGATGCCGCCACGGATGTATATGGATAGCCCCCGGCAATTGTCTGCGTAGTCAACCCGTAGTTGCTATCGTACCCAATGGCCATCAGACTGGCAAAGACCGATGTTTGGTCGAATGATTCGTTCGTTTGTTTTCATCGACTTTGACGCGCCCGGTCGAGAGCACAGCAGCGGTTGCCCGGAGTGACGAGGTTCCTCGTTGCTCAGGGCGCGTAACTCGTCGTACAGCAGTGCTGCTTCGATATATGGCACGGCGCGTGCACTCTGTTCGTCTCGATTTTCGGTGTCGTTCAGTGTGGCGCTGTCAAGTCGCTGTGCGCCGATGGTCGAGCTGTGCCACACTGTGGGTGAACAAGCCCAGAATGAAGTACCACCGCAGAGTTTGTCGACTCGCACGGATTGGTCTGATTTACCTGACTGTTCAGTGCAGTGTTGACGTCTTCTTGCGCGGAACTCGAATACTGAATGCTATTCGCCAGCCGTTTGCGGACAGTCTCACTGGTGTGCTGCGGCTGACGCCCAAACTGAGAGCTTGGATGATACGTATCCGACCGTTGTGCGGCGATGATGTGGGTTTGAATGGAATAAAGACAGAGGAAGAATATAGATGAAAAACAGAAGAAGGCTTCAGAGTTTGTCAACGACGTTCCAGTGTAGCATAACGAACGACTTACACTTCCAGTCGTCTGGAGCTCACACTTGCGCCTCTGGGAAAATCGGACCCCTACTTGGACTTTCGTCCAACGCTCATGTCCAATACCGGCTGTAATAGCTGAAGCGCAGAATAGTCCGCTATAAAGCTGACAAGACTGTATATCTGTAGGTTCTCGAGACAAGTTGCGGTAGCAAGGTAACCTCCAAACCCCGCTGTCGAAGCCCGAGTCGATGTGAGCCAACTTTGAACAGTACTCGGCAAGGATCCTAGGATCGTCGCAAGTTTCCTCGTTGACTAGTACGTAGTAGGAGCCGCTGGCTATGTCAGTGGGCGGTGGGGGGAGGGAGGCTTGTCCACAATGACTCGGGGATCAAGTCGAGCTTAGCCTGGTTGATAGCGAGGAGATGGGATAATTAGAAGAGAAACTAGAATCCAAGGTGTGAAAAAGCCACCGTCAACGACAGCCTAGCCGCACTGTTTTCTCAGAAGGTCCCGATAGCCAAGCGTACTCGAAGCATCCAGGTCGTGTGGTGCGTGCTGGGGGATGCAGATCACCCAGCTCGAGAAGAGTGCATGGGAGCAGCCGCTTGCGCAGGAGCCAGAGGACAAGGCCGAGTGAGTGCGAGAGTGAGTGAGTAAAAGTGAAAAGCGAGTGGGTGTGTGTCGTGCCAACTACCTAACTGGACAATGTACCGACCTGTCCATAGGTTATACGAGTGTGTACTTAGTAGGCTGGGCTTCCATGCCCAAACTGGGTATACGGTGAGCTTCGGGTAGTCCCTTGCAGGTATCACTTTGCGCTTGGAAAAATTCCCCAGTATCCAGTTGCTCTCCAGCCCATGTCGCTCGTTGTGGGAACCGACCGTCCCTGACTCCCTTTCCCATTTCGCAGGGACCTGGACCTCTGGGCGGCGGGCCGGTGTAGAAGACAGGGGGAAGAGACGCAGGCGAGACAGTGCCAGCCAGCCTGCCGCCGCCGAAACAGGAAGACACAGGCACAGTCCACATTCCTCAGCAATGCATGGGTATCGCCTGCCAACTCGATGATGATACTTGTACTGTCGAATTCGTACTCTCGAATTACCTGCCTGGCATTTGTGCGTAGGTACGAGTCTATCCTCGAAGCGGGAGGACTGAGCATCGCCGTGACCGTGACGAGTGTTGGTCTGGAATTTTCGACGCAGCTTGGTGTGAGAGTAAATTGTGAGGGGGCGGACTCGATCACCAATGCCGTACGTACGTACATACGTACGTACCTGAGAGGCCAACGTGCAGGTACTTCGAACTCGATAGTATCGGATGTACGTACTACTCTTGCCGCAACAGTTGTCTACTGAGTAGACAGATTCTAGGCGCGGCTGTAGATGGCTCATCTCACACCAGTCGCGAGACATGCCGGCTTGTGGAGCACAGACGCTGGGTGGTGCCATGGACCAGTCGTGGTGGTGGTGGTGGTGGGTGGTGGCGTACCTTATTGTGGTGAGTACTGTACGGATTACAGTTGAGCACCTCGGTCTGCAGGGTTAGGAGATCAGCAAACATGCAACCAGCTCATCCGTGGTAGTATCCGTAGTTTTGTCTTGGATTTGAGCAGACCTAGCTGTAGCATAGGGCTGGCACGCACGCAGCGTCGAGTCATGGCGTGGCCGGTAAGGTTCCGAGCCACTCGAGCAAAATGCTCGAGATCCTCCCAGCCTCCAGGCGATGAATTGTACATAGGTTGCGCATCACCGGTGGGCACGCCAAAACGACAGGTCACCCTCCATTAGCGTGAAGTGCGCGTGCGCGCAATTGGTACCACATTATCACCAAACCGATGAACGTCCTCAGCAAGTCCAGCGGCGGAGCCCCGAGCGGGGTCTAAGCTCTAGTCGTTTTCTCAGTGCGTGCTGCAGCGACCCCTGGTTCGTGCTGAAGACGACATGGAGCTCCAGTCTTTGTCTTAGTGGAGGTTTAAAAGCTCTCAACAAGCTCTGGAGCGCCACCAGCGCCAATTCCATGTCGTTCGAGGAAACGTATGGGTTACGGTACGTACACGCAACTGCGCCTGCAAAAGCATCGGCAGGGATTCGTGTGATGGGCTGAAGTCTGTCATGTCTGTGGAGGTTCTCCGACAGGGGGTGAGAGGGAGCAGGAAAAAGCAGCGTGTGGGCTGGGAGGCCACCCTCATTCTGTACTTGTGTTTCTTATCATGTGTGTGCATAATGTAAGGTAGTCTTGATCGTCGGTAATTGGCGGTCTGCATCATCGCCGCAAAATAATCTCGCGTCTCAAAATGAGCATGTCCTACTGATATTAATTACTCACTCACGTACCGGCCGGCGCTCGGTGCTGGCTCGTGTAACGTACACGACGGACGGTGTCCTCTAATAAAGGCTCTTGTAGACAGATCCCGCGATGTACTCCACCCCCACTTGACTGCGATTAATGAAACGCCGGCCTAGTAACAACTTGAAAAGATCTACGTGCCAATCAACAAAGACCAAGCAGCCGACGCTTGTTGCGGGACTGGCTGCCTGTCAGGTCATATCATCAATGGGGATAGCAAAAGCAACGACTGCCTGCCCTCACCTCGAAGCGAAGACAGTATTGATTAAATGGATTTGATGACAACAGCCTGCGACCGCTGGAATGCATACAGGGCGTTGGCAACGTTGACGAATTGAGTTCAGCTTTGCATGCCAGCTCTGCTAATTAGTTC